TCTCCCGGGCAGACATTTGTCTGACAATATGAGGAATATAATTAATATCCTAGAAAAACTTCAAGTGAACATCAATACTAAGGCTGTCTTGATATTTGTGGACGCGGAGAAAGCCTTTGACAACATCTCTTGGAGCTTTATGAAGAAGAATCTACAGGGGATGGGGGTAGGTCAAGGTTTTGAAAATGGTATAGGTGCAATTTATTCAGAACAAAAGGCAAAATTAATTGTGAACAATGTAGTGACAGAAGAGTTTAAGATTGAGAAAGGGACACGACAAGGCTGCCCAATTTCTCCATTGCTTTTTATATCGGTCCTTGAGGTTTTGTTAAACATGATAAGAAAGGACCAAGAGGTTAAAGGTATACAAGTGGGAGTTAAACAGTATAAACTGAAAGCATTTGCTGATGATTTAGTACTGACCTTACAGGAGCCAGAATCCACTACAAAAAGAGTATTGGAACTGATTCAAGAATTTGGACAAGTAGCAGGTTTTAAGCTGAATAAGACGAAAACTAAGGTTTTAGAGAAAAATTTAACTGTGAATGAGAGAGAGAAGTTTCAGGAAGAGACAGGACTAACATTGGTTAAGAAAGTGAAATATTTAGGGGTTAACATGACTGCCAAAAATGTGAATCTATTTAAGGATAATTATGAAAAATGTTGGATAGAAGTGAAAAAGGATTTAGAAATATGGTCAAATTTGAAGTTATCATTGTTAGGCCGAATTGCTGTGATAAAAATGAATGTGCTGCCAAGGATGTTGTTTTTGTTTCAAACATTGCAAATTTTGGACAAGATGGATTGTTTCAAGAAGTGGCAGAAAGATATTTCCAGATTTGTTTGGCAGGGCAAGAAGCCTCGAATAAAATTTAAGATATTAACTGATGCTAAAGAAAGAGGTGGACTTGCCCTGCCAGACCTCAAACTTTATTATGAATCAGCAGATTTTTGCTGGCTGAGAGAATGGCTGCTTCTTGAAAACACTGACGTGTTGGATCTAGAAGGTTTCAATAATGTATTTGGTTGGCATGCATATTTGTGGTATGATAAGGTAAAAGCACATAAAGCGTTCAAAAATCATATTGTTAGAAAAGCACTGTTTAATGTTTGGATAAGATATAAAGATTTGTTAGAAAAGAAAACCCCAAGATGGTTGTCTCCAATGGAAGCGAAGGCACAGAAAAAACTCAATATGGAGGCCAAATGGCCGAAATATTGGGAAATTCTGGATCAAGATGGAGACAGAATAAAATTGCAGAGCTTTGAAAAATTGAAAAATAAAGTGCGAGATTGGCTCCATTATTATCAAATAATGGAGGCATACAATTTGGACAAAAAAGTTGGTTTCCAGGTGGAAAAATCAAAATTGGAAACAGAATTGTTAGATTCCAAAATTAAGAATTTGTCAAAAATGTATAACTTGGTGTTGAAATGGAATACTCAGGATGAAACGGTGAAATCAGCAATGATTAAATGGGCACAAGATGTTGGACATAACATAATGATGGCTGACTAGGAACAGTTATGGACCACAGGTATGAAATTTACGGCATGTAATGCTCTAAGAGAAAACTTAATGAAAATGATTTATAGGTGGTACATGACACCAGTCAAGCTTGCAAAAATCTACCATTTGCCCGATAATAAATGTTGGAAATGTAACGAGACTGAAGGCACATTCTTTCACCTTTGGTGGACATGCCCAAGGATTAAGACATTCTGGGAGATGATTTATAACGAAATGAAAAAGGTATTCAAATATACCTTCCTGAAGAAACCAGAGGCCTTTCTCCTGGGCATGGTCGGCCAATTGGTGTTAAAGAAGGATAGAACTTTCTTTATGTATGCAACAACAGCAGCAAGGATACTCATCGCAAAATATTGGAAGACACAAGATTTACCCACCCGGGAAGAATGGCAGATGAAGTTGATGGACTATATGGAATTGGCGGAAATGACTGGCAGAATCTGAGACCAGGGAGAAGAGTCGGTGGAAGAAGATTGGAAAAAAATTAAAGATTATTTACAGAAATATTGTAAAATCAATGAATGTTAGAAAAATGTTGGAATGAAGTTACATGGCTTTAGTAGAAATGTTATAAGGAATTAAATATAAATAGATTAATAGAGTATTAAAGGGAAAAATAAGGTTAGAATGAGTTAAGATAATTATAGGATAGAAAACAGAGGAAGATGGAAAGGAATTGCTGAAATAATTAACAGAAGTGGAATACGAAAAGGGAGGTGTGAGGAGGTCGTGGAAATAAGTGAATGAAAGATGGGATAATGAAATTGTTTGATTTATTTTATTGTTTTTGTTTTGTTTTGCTAGTTTAATGTATTGTATTGTATTGTGTGTTTTTCAGTGTTTAAATTTTTTGGAAAAGTAATAAATATTATTTTAAAAAAAAAGAAAGAAAGAAAATGCACCAGCCTGATTTCTGAAGAGTCAGACAACAGGTTAACATTACCTACACGGGTGTGCATACAGTAAAATGGCAGGGGTACTTTTCAAACAAAAAAAATGGGTCCAAATCAGATCCAACTCAGAAACCTAACATGTGTAAAAGAGTCTTTTAACCCCCACTATGGTCCCAATTTTGAACTGTGTACCCTCCTTGACCTGCAATTAGCATAAGAAAACAAGTATCCCATTGAAGCTAATGGGAGGTTATTCTCCTTCCCACTGCCCCATTGCACTTGTGAAGGGCTGGAAATCTCTATCAGATAAAACCTTGAAGATATACTTTGAAGCTGCTGCCTTTTGTTGGATTAAGGATTGGATTCAATTAGACAACGAAAATGTTTTAGATTTGGAGGGACTGGACAATTGATTTGGATGGCATGCATATTCATGGTATGACAAGATAATGGCTAGCATGGATGGGAACTATAGAATCACAGAACTGTAGAGCTGGAAGGGACCCCAAGGGCCATCTAGTGCAACCCCCTGCAATGCAAGAACCACAGCTAAATTATAGTTCAAAACAGCTGGCAGGAGCCAGGGCAGAGAAGGCGGTTATAAACCAGGCATGTTTCCCTATTAAATTCGAACCCAAGAAGACATAATAACAGAAGAAGAGTACTGCTGGGTCAGGCTGGTGCCCCATGTGGTGTAGGGTACTGTTCTCGCAACAGACAACCTGATGCCCCAGTGGCAAAGCCACAAGCAGGACCTGAGCCCATAAGAGCACTCTGCCCTCCAATGGTTTTGAGCCAGCAATACTGCCTCCCATGGTGGATGCAGAGCTTAGGCCCCATGGACCGTATCCATTGACAGCCTTGTCTTCCAGTGATTTGCCCAATGCCATTCCAAGTTGGTGGCCATCACTGCCCCCTGCAGTCCCATCGTTGAACTTTGCATTGCATGAAGGACTTTATTTTATCTGTCCTGAATCTCCCAACTTCGTTGGATATCCGTGAGTTCTAGCGTTACGAGAGGAGAAGAACGTTGCTCTATCTATTTCTCCATGCCATGCAGCATTCTGTAGAGTTCTGATGTGTCCCCTCTTCCTTGCCTTTTCTCTAAAGACCAATTACAGCTTCAGAATATGTGGCTTCTAAGGCATATCCCATATTCCAAGAATCTATTATAGCCCCCTCTGCCCGCCCGAATCCTGGTCCTGAAAATGCCAGCATCAGCATGGAGAATTACTTTCCATGAGGAATATGGAGGTTAAGAAGAGGCCGCAAGCCTCTAGGAAAACAGTATTTATCTGCTCTCTTATCAGATGCCCTCTGCAAATAAAATAAATAAAAATGGTGGGGGACTATGGCACAGCTGTGGGGTTAAATCAGATATCCAGGAATAAATGCAGGCGTCAGAGGAGCTGAAGTGTTCTATTCATCATCGTCGGGAAAGAGAGACATAGTTATGGATGGATGCAATTTGTCAAGAGTAAGAGAGAAAACAGCAGGCCTTGAGAAAAAGCAACAGGTCTTCCTCAGTTTCCTGTTTCCATCCCTGCCCAAAAAGCTCTGAGGCATCTCAAGGAAGGAGGAGACCGGGCCCAGTCCCAGGCTGCTGAAGTGATGGACATGAGGCAGGAGTTGATAATGCAGGTGAGCTGCGCACAGGTGAGCTGAAAGTGAGCGGCTAGCCAGCCCTGTGGAGCCTCCTTTTATTGACACAAATATGCAAACCCAAGCAGATACATTTTGGGTTGTGACCTTTACACATCTTCCGGTCCCGGGATCGTGGGGTGGTACAAAGTTATTTTGGCACCTGTTTCCGCCACGTCATTTTCCCCTTGCACAGTGTATGACGAAGGAGACAAAAGGTCTCAGAGACAAAGGTTACAGACAGGGCACCGCAGACTACTGAGACCGCAAAAGGTTAGACAGAGGGAACCATGTTCAGACAGCTGTGGCTTGTCGGGGGGGGTGCCCTGCACCCCAAGGTCACGCGTGCAGGCAGACTGTGGCTGCCTGCTGGTGGGGAGTGTTCCCCACTCCCGGACCCCACTCCCCACTCCGCGATCATCCCTACAGGCTGCTTCACTTCTCCCTGTGTGGCGATCACACAGGGTCCCCGGACGTTGATGGTCTATTGATCCCTGTGCCACCACTGTGCTCGCTTCCCCGCTGCCACCAATCCGTTACTCTCGGGTACACACTGAGTCCAGACAGTTGTTAAAATGAAATCAAATAAACGAGTTTATTTTGTAAGCATTAACAAGTATGGTTTCTCAGTTAATTTTCTTGTCAGTTTCTTATCCTTATTTACCGGCCTGTACCTTCCTAATATCTTCCGACTGATTATCTCAACAGTTTCTCTCACTCTCTCACATCAGACTAGCCCAACCCACAGACTTATCCTCCCTCTCTCTTCTCTAACTCCAGACTGACTACTTAACAACTCTAACTCTAACTCCTCCCCTTGGGTTCCTATAGGTTAGTCGTTTTACAATTAGTTAACCCTTTCCTTATGAACCCAGTATGATGTCACACGCCTAGGAGGGCAAACGCCATACCCTGTAAGACCAGACAGATCAGACAGCTGGGATAGCTCAAATGGTAGACCATGAGACTTTTAATCTCAGGGTCGTGGGTTTGAGCCCCACCTCGGGTGAAAAATTCCTGCATTGCAGGGGGCTGGACTAGATGATCTGTGTGGTCCCTTTCAACTCTACAATTCTGTGATTCTATGATCTGGCAGCACAGGAGCAACAGCCCCCTTCTGATGCAAGATCATCTTCTCCAACTCAGGCATTCACAAGTCTACATGGTCATGACATCCAGATTTGCAATGATGCATCAGACAATGCATTTTGCAAGCCCCTTTTCATTTGCACATAAAAGAAGCCGCCACTAAACAGCACAGAATATATCCAGTTCCCAACCCCCGTCAACACCATTACATTATTTTATGTAAGCTGGATCTGATCTCACCGTTTCCCCATCCGCTGGTTTATTGTTTTCGCTGGTGGTGTGTTCTTAAAATGAATTAACTGTTAATAATATATATAGTTTCATCAGTCCACAAGCTGCCCCAGAAGCTTTGTTCTAATCCTCTTTTAAAGCCATCTAGGATGTTACTCTAGTAGCTATTTAGACCTAACCTCCACAGACTTTTAAAAAGAATTTTTCATTCCATGCAGCTCATATGATATCAAACACCCCCATGGTATTTTGTTAGTGTGGTTGCTTTGGCAGGGGGCACATTTTCCCACTTACGATGGAAACTCCTTCTGGGATCCAGATTTTGGACTGGCGCTTTTGAAGAAATATGTTTCAAAAATTAAATTTCCTCCCCACAACTTGCCCTTTCGAACTTCTGGGGCAATCAAGCAACAGCTTTCTGCTCAAAGGAACTGCCAGCAAGGAAGATGCCTGGCAAGGCTGCTAATGGGAGAATCCCAAGGGCTAGAAAGAGGGGTCAGTGGCCGCATCCGGCCCCCTGGTCTGTGGTTCCCCATCCCAGCTCTAAACACTAGGCAAGACTGCCTCTCCACCTCATCAACCCCCTGCATCAACACAGCCTCACCTTCTCCCATTCCGAAATGTTTGTTTCCCGCCCTAAATATAATTCCCCTTTCATAACGGCCACTTAACGATGTTCCATTTGCCAGGCACGCAATTTGGGATATTAATCCTATTAGCCTGCATGCATCAGGCTGCAAAATATTTTTTTATAAAAAAATAAAAGCCTTCTCCAAACACACACAAACAATCTGCTGTTTTCTTCAGCCGACTCCCCCCAAAAAGATGAGGTGGTGGAGATCGGAGAAGACCCACGAGAGAGGGGGAAGGTGCCGCAGATGCACGGGGAAAACTCTTCAGAGGTTCGCAGCACTTTTTGCAAATTAATTGCACGGAACGGGGGTCCCCCGGGGCTCCCGCGTGGAATTCCATTATCACCTAATAGGGTGTCACGGGCGGCTCTGCAATAAGAAGTAATTTGTCAGATTAAGCATTAACTATCATGTTTGCAAAACTACATCTTTTCCACTCACCAGGGCATCAAAACCAATATCCTAATCCCTCCGACCCCCCCCCCCTTTTATTTTATTTTTGCTACAGTATTTATCTTGGGTCAGCCAGGCCTCTGTCTCCTAACTCCTGAATGGAAGCGGGTGGGATGATGAATACTGGGAAATGAAATTGCATTTGTTTCCTCTTTGTTCTCCTCCCTGCCCCCCTCCCTGCCCCCACCCCCAATTCTCCTCTTCAGCCATTGCTTGGAGAAAAGTTTATACAGTGAATCTATCCAGAGTCCCCCGCACCCCGCATTGTTTTGCTTTCTGGGGGAAGCCTGCCCCCTGCAGGTAAGAAGGGGAATCTCTCAGACCAGCGCAGGCTGTGTAACTTGTTGATACAGTTTGGAAGAACCAACAAGGATTTAGTTCCATCTGCGTTTTTAAGCGAGGCGAGCTAATTCACACGTCCCAATCCACTGATCGGAATGTAAATTATCCTTCACGCGTCTCTGGATTTAGCACTGCAGTACTTTGCTTGGAGAGAGAGAGAGAAAATCATCACCAACGTCATTGTTTATTTGCATGCTGACTTTCCATAGGTTAAAACCATGTTCAAGGCAGCTTACAGCATGAAAATCACTGGGTTTTTGTTAAGAAAAAAAGGTGTAGGTACTCACCATGAAATTGTTGCAGTAAGTGCCACAGTTGTAACATGGAAAAAGGGGTACTGGTACTGCGTACTATTGAGTACCCCCAGGGGGGGAAACATCACTTCTCATGTTAACCTAATTACAAAAATGTAGTAAAAGTAGCCATCAGCAATAAATAAAAGCATAGCAAAAGGTGCACAGCAAAATTAAGCAATCCCTACATAAATAATAATGAGATCTAAAAAAATAAAAATACAAAAAATAGTATCAAAAAAAGCAAAATTAACATCTCCAAAATTAAATATTGACCCCAACACAAAACCCCAAACAATACCCCACTCCAAAGAATACCCAAATGTGTTAAATTCATTATCTTCAGATTTTGTGTGTGTGTGTAAGCATATTCTAAACGTATATTTTGTGGTGACATGCAAATTTTCATACAGAATTTATAAGTGCTCAGATGAATGCGGAAATGGGGCAAAGGAAGCTTACGAACGAACTTCAGCAAAACTGACCGACCAGAAACAGACTTATCAATCAATCAGTCCTTAATATTGATCTACATGCAATGTTACAGCTACACTGAGTAGACGCGATGACATTTAACAACATGGCTTACTGACTTAGGTATGTTAATTTCAATGGGCCTGCTCCATGCAATGCTTCTGAACACCAGTTGCTGGAAACCACAGGAGGAGAGAGGGCTCTTGTGCCCGAGTCCTGCTTGGGGGTTTCTCCGTGGGGCATGTGGTTGTTCACTGTGAGAACAGGATGCTGAATCCAGCAGGCTCTTCTTACTCTCTTCTGTTAACATCAGGCTGCACCTACAAGGTGCCAGTTGCAGAACACCAATCGAAAGGGGCTTTGCTGATGAAGCCTAAATCATATGTGACCAAATGGAGAGAAGCATCTTCTCTGAGAGTGTTTGATTACCTGAGCCTCCCTCTCTTCCTGACCACTATCAACAAACCAGCACAGGCAATGCTAAGTGGTATGTAAGATAATTGGATGATTGCTGTGCAAACATTTGCTGATTAACCTAAGGACTGCACACACAGCTCCAAGGAACGTCAGGCTGTTGAAACAGGATCCTCTGCTTCAGGAGGATGTGAAATCGCTTGCAAGGAGGCAGCTGGGAGACTCAGACCCACAGCCGCCAGCCTCGGGACAGGGGTGGGGCAGTAGATTCAATAAATATGCAGCAAGGAAAACAGCCAAGAGCTCACGTAGTGGTTAAAATGTTGGACTAGGACCTGGGAGACCAGGGTTCATATCCCCACTCAGCCATGAAGCCCACTGGGCGACCTTGGGGGCCATTAACTGCTTCTTAGCCTAAATGACCTACATTGCAAGGTTGTTGTGAGGATATTGTGGGGAGGAGGAGAACTAGGTGTGCCACCCTGAACTGCTTGGAGAAAGAGTTGGGATATTAATGCAATAAATGAATGAATGTTTTGACATTCCAAACTATAGTTTGGATTCAACATTCTCCTCTCCTTCTAGGAAGGTGTTTTGCATGGGTCTCTCCCTCCACAACAACCCTGTGAGGTAGGTTAGGCTAAGAGGCAGCGGCTGGCCCAAAGTCACCCAGTGAACTTCATAGCCAGGTGGGGATTTGAACCCTGGTCTCTCCCAAGTCCTAGACTGGCACTTTTATCCATGACACCAGACTGGTCCTCCTGCAGCGCTTCCTGATGGTGCAGCCATCAAGTGATGTGTGTATGTGTGTGTTTACTATTCACGGCAGAGGCGGCAGCTTCATGCATCAGATGTAGAAATGCAGAGTTACTTAAACCCGCTATTAAGAGGTTCAGGAGAGTATTATGGAAAGGATGATAAGATACTCCGTCCCTTTGGACCCGAGACTTTTAATATTAGGATTTACAAGGGATGTGTTTTTATTAGGAAGATAGGGAATTGCTGCAGAATTGGATCAGTGCAGCAAGCAATTTGAGCTGCAGAAAACTGGAGGCTTGCCAAGGTGCTTTCAGCCGGAGAGCACTGAAGACTATCTGTAAGATTATGATAATGGTAAGATCCTAGCACACTAAACTCTGTCAAATGATTACTCTTGGAAACCGTTTTGTGGGCACCTGCTCTTTTTCTTTCCTTCTTCTCTCTCTCCCCCACCCCCCAAATAAAATATTGTAATGGGCATATGTAACAGATACCAGGAAAATGCCAGTTGCACTCCTGGGAGAATTTTTAATCCATTCAATTGTGCAGATCAAATATAATTTCCCCCTGCATTTTACATCTGGAGTCTTTGGATTGCTATTATACACGTGAGGATCCTTGGGCTGAGTCATCCTCAGTGAGTCCCCCCCCCCAATGCAGAAGTAGGAGAGTGTGAAAACTCTTAATTCTTTCCACCTCCTCTTGACTTTCTTGAATGTTCCCATGTAATAGGAACAGGGAACCTGTGGCTCTGGGTTCATCCATAAATTCCCCTGAACATCCTGGGCTATCGATGGCCACTAACCAGGATAGCTCTGTTCTGCCTCCACACTCAGAGGCAGCAATGCTTTTGAATATCAGTTGCTGGAAACTGCAGGAGGGGAGAGGGCTCTTGCGCTCAAATCCTGCTTGCTAGTTTCCCATCATGGGTATCTGGTTGGCCACTGTAGGAACAGGATGCTGGACTAGATTAGCCAGTGGCCTGGTCTAGCAGGGTTTTTGTTATGTCCCAGAATCATGGAATTGTAGAGTTGGATGCAATCCTGAGGGTCAATTAGTTCAACCCCCTGCAATGCAGGAAACTCAACTGAAGCATCCGTGGCAGATGGCCATCCAAATTCTGCTTTAAAACCTCCAGTGAAGTACAGTCCACCACCTTCTGAGAGAGTCCATTCCACTGTCAAACAGCTCATACAGCCAGAAAGTTCTTCCTGATGTTTCGTTGGAATCTCTTTCTTGTAACCTTACATTTATCCTTGTTGAAATTGAGATTGGCCCAGTTTGCCAATCTCTTCAAGTCATCTTGAATCCTGATCCTGTCTTCTGTGGCAGAGGCTTTCAAGCTTCTCGAGTCCATGGCTCCCTTGAACAACTGTAACCTTGGGTTACAGACGCTTCAGGTTACAGACTCTGCTAACCCAGAAATAGTACCTCGGGTTAAGAACTTTACTTCAGGATGAGAGCAGAAATCGTGCAGCGGCAGGCCCCATTAGCTAAAGTGGTACCTCGGGTTAAGAACAGTTTCAGGTTAAGAACGGACCTCCGGAATGAATTAAGTCCTTAACCTGAGGTACCACTGTACATTCTTTCTGTGGCTCCCCTGTGAGGAAACACACTCCAAGCCTCATAAGCCCCCGGCCTGCAGAGCCGGAAGCCCCTCACCCTTCCTCGTGAAGTGTTTCCCTCAGGCTCCTCTCCCCTCTCCTTGGGAGTCCTCCAGACAGCTGCTGCCACCGCCCCTAGTCTCTGAGCTATCCCCTCCCCACCCCAAAGAGAAGTGCCTCCTCACACCGCCCGCCCCCCAGGGCCCGGGAAGAGGATGCCCCCAGCCTTAGCGGCCCAATGGAGACTGGTGAACATGAGGCCAGCATCTTATTCACCTTGGGAGGCAGTAGTGGCAGCAACAGCAGCAGCAGATGCCGCCGGACCTGCATGGCAGAAAGGCTCCCCTTCAGTGTTGGGCATTCAGCTCCCAGGCAGGCCTTGCACAGAGCAGGCACAAGAAAGGCCAGCACAGCACCTGTCTGTCCAGCCTCCCACTTGTCTGTCCGTTCCCAGCAGCAAGGGCTGGTGGACTGGCTGGCTGGGCTCCCTCACCCACTGGCTTGCTAACTCCGGGCAAACAGCATCCCCTAGCCAACCCCAGAGGTGCCATTCGCCTGCGGAGCTGGTAGCCAGGGCTGCTGCAACAAAAAGATGTGCAAGGCTTTGAGAGGCAGAGATGCGAGAGGGCATCTGAGGAGGGAGGGAAGAAAAGAGGGACAGAGGCCATTGTTGCCCACAGCACCCCTGACCATCATTCAAGGCACCCCAGGGTGCCATAGGACACTGGTTGAAAACCACTGTTCTAAGGGAATAATAAATGAATGCCAAAGCCAAGATTAATAATAGCCACATATTATGAAATGTCAGTAATTTTCAATCCCTTTCCAAATGATCCCTACTACAGATTTCACCTTTCCCATGGCTAGGCCAACGTCTTCATGGAGCTTTCCACTACGAATCCAAGGTCTCATTCCTGTTCAGTCACTGTCAGTTCAGACCCCAAAGAAAACTTTTTTGCGATGTGACAGCAGCAGCCTCTGGTGGCTAAAATACCAAATGGAAGATTTTGATAATATCTCTGCTTCTGCCAACTTTTCTAGTCCTAGTTCACAGTGGCTCATGCAATCCGAACTTCTTAAGGACCTACAGTAGGTCTCCTGCCTCTTTGGGGTATCACTAAACGGTGTAAGAGGTTTGGGTACCCCCAAAGCAGCAACCTCACATCTCCTAAACCCTCACACTCCTTAGAATGTGTTGCAAATACGTGGTGTGGTGTTAATACACTTCTAATGTCCCCACCTCAATGAAGTGAAGCAGGATTAGGGTCTGGGAAAGTCTACGTGCAATGGAAGTGTATGGAACACTTTGCAATATCACAAGTTTTTCAGGTGGTGGAGAGAACAGGCATGGTGATAAGAACTTAGGAAGATGCCTTTACACAGAGCCTGTCCAGCCATGGGCCTATCTAGCTCAGTACTGTCTTATACTGGCAGCTACCTGGAGATGCTGAAGGATTCAGTTGGTTCAGTTGCACAGCCCTGGCAATAGGTACCCATGGGGCCAAGATAGCAATTAAAATGCCATGAATAGTTCCAACTAAGAAGCTTAGTGGTTTCAGACCATGGATACCTCAAAGTAGGCAACTTGGTGGTTTCAGCACCACGGAGAGCTCCAAGTGGGCAAAGGCAGGTGGTGAACTGCAGCCCTTTGAGTCTCCTTCTCCACAGTCTGGCTTCCACCAGGTTCCACCCCCTAGCACTGAGAACCGTGGGTCTTACAATTCCCCCACCCCACCCCCTGGCAGGAAGATGGCAGCAACTTTTCCTTTCTGTGGTTTCCTGCTAGACAGGCTCCTTGTGCCATTGCTCAGGTGGGGTTGTTTGAAAGGCACTCAAGTCCTCTGGTGAGTCAGGCTCCCATGTTTGTGCTCAGCAGGCTCTGGATCACTGCCCTGAATTTCCAAGGACCCTGAAGTGCCACCTTTGGGTTCTGTGGACTCTAAACCACAGTACTCAGAAGACTGGCCCTACCCTCTAGACCTGAGTATGGTCAGCTCCTCCTGAAGGCCAAGCAACATCATTGCTCTTAAAAACGTTGGTTTTTTTTTACTCTAGTCTCTTTCCACTCTGGAGCCACAGAGAGGCCTGGAAGAATGAAACAGTTTACAAGCAGCAACAAAAGCAAAGTAACAGGGAAGGGAAGGAGAAAATCCCATTAAGATTTAATGCTTTTGTGGCTTGGCGGCTCCCTCCAGCAGGAATCCTCCATTTCCATAAACCCATTATCTCCACCGCCGCCTCAATTAATTGGCAAGCTTCCATTGTACGTTTAGCATATCCCAGCACAAACCCGGGGTGTTTTACACAAATGCTTCTGAAAGCTTTCAAATAACTCAGGTTTGCTTAACGGGAAATGTTAACAATGAACAATCGCACCACCACGGAAGATATATATACAAGGATAGAAAGCGTGTTATTGTTAGCCAATTATACGCTTGTTTTTCTCCCTCTCTTGGGGTAGGAGAGGGCTGTAGCATCCTACTGCTATCAACCCCTGCAGCACCACACAAACTTCACATCCTGGACATGCAAAAGAAAGCACTTCATCACATAGCAGAATGTCATGGACTGGTTGGGTGCAGAGGAATGGTGGGAGGAACAAGCTGTGGGCCCATCAGAGCCTGGGGAATGGTGGTAGAGGCAGAGCATAGCCATCATGGCTAGTAGCCATCAATAGCCCTCTGTGGTGTAGTGGTTAAGAGCGGTAGTCTCGTAATCTGGTGAACCGGATTCACGTCTCCGCTCCTCCACATGCAGCTGCTGGGTGACCTTGGGCCAGTCACACTTCTCTTAAGTCTCTCAGCCTCACTCACCTCACAGAGTGTTTGTTGTGGGGGAGGAAGGGAAAGGAGAATGTTAGCCGCTTTGAGACTCCTTCGGGTAGTGATAAAGCGGGATAGCAAATCCAAACTCCTCCTCTTCTTCTTCTTCTTCTTCTTCTTCTTCTTCTTCTTCTCCTCCTCCTCCTCCTCCTCCTCCTCCTCCTCCTCCATGAATTTGTCTAATCCTTTTTTAAAGCCAACCAAGTTGGTGGCCATCACTGCCTCCTGTGGGAGGGAGTTCCATAGTTTAATTTTGCCCTCTTTATAGGAGTGTTTGGACACTGAGGTCTCCGGACAACTGTGGCACAGAGTGCGGGAGCAATAAATTGCCCGAGAAGTCACTTAGGACTAAGGAGATCCATGATCTAGTAAATTCAGAGCAGGGAAGCAAATGTTCCCCCCTTCCTCATTTTACATTTTAATTGCTCATTTGATGCAAAATGTGAGACAGATCCATCATCTTCCTGTGACGTTCCCGGGGTAATTTGTGCCTCTCATTTCGCCCCCTCTCTCTCTTGAAAAAAAGATAGCAGGAGTTTAAAGAAAGTGACCATATTTCATCGCTCGTTGCTGCATTCCCCAAATTTAAAATCAATTAACTCTCAAGCAGCTCCCTAATCCAACAATCAATTTGCAAACTCTTGCATTAAGGCTATCAAAGCGATCTGCAGAATGGCTTCTAGAACCTGTGTGTGCCCCCCTCCGTTATTTCCGCCCCCTTCTTGGATGGGAAATTTAATACCCATAATAATGGATACCCTTGGGAATGACGGACAAGAAACTTAATAATTCATGATTTTACAGAGCCCCAAGGCCATCCAACACATTTGCTGCTGCTGCTGCTTTTCTTGCAGAGTGACTCCTGGAATATCATTATTTTGGAACCAGCAGTCTGCATGGCATGTCACAGAATCGTAGAGTTGGAAGAGACCACCAAGGGTCATGTAGTCCAACCCCTGCAATGCAAGAATCACAGCAAAAGAAGCCCTGGCAGGTGGCCACCCAAGCTCTCCGATGAAGGAGAGTCCATGACCTTCTGAGGTTGTCCGTTCTGCTGTCAAACAGCTCTTACTGTCATCAAGTTCTCCCTAGTGTTTAGATGGAATCTCCTTTCTTGCCATTTGAATCCATTTGCTTGTGGCTGGTTCAGGGTGTGGCTCTCCTTTGTGCAGAGAAGATCAGGATCTGACCCCATTGGTATCTGTCACTGCTGGAAGGCACACACACACACACACACACACACACACACACTACCCACCCTACTGAGTCAGTGTTGCCTTTTTGCTTTCATTTCAACCCTCTCGGGAAGAGGCAATCTTTTCCTTTATTTATTTAGACAATTTATACAATGCTTACATGTTAACAAAACTCTTAGTGGTTTACAACACAGGCTGAAGCATCTTAAACCAACAGCAAGCAAACACACAGACACAACATCAGAGATGCCTCTCATAAGATATTGGCATCTGTTGTTCCAAGGGTCTATAGAAGATTATGGATTTCAAGAGATACTTTTATCTGTTTTATTGCATGCAGTTTATACAGTGCTTGATTGGAATGGGCATGCACCTGCCATTTTCTGTTATGTAACCTACACCATGGCAGCCATTTTCAGAGCGGAGGCCATGACACTTTCTCAGGCTCCCAAATGTGCCCACCAGCCCCCAAAAAGTTTGATGATCCCTGATTTGAACTCTGATCTTTGGCATTTTTTTTTTAAAAAAAAAAACAAAAAGAAACCAACATTGGATGTGAAGTGATGGACATGAGGCAGGAGTTGGTAATGCAGGTGAGCTGCGCACAGGTGAGCTGCATGCAAACTGCTGGCCAGCCCTGTGGAGCCTCCTTTTATTGAGACAAATATGCAAACCAGGCAGATACATTTTGGGCTGTGACCTTTACACATCTTCTGGTCCCGAGATCATAGGGTGGTACAAAGTTATTTTGGCACCTGTTTCCACCGTGTCATTTTTCCCCTTGCACAGTGTATGACGAAGGAGACAAAAAGTCTCAGAGATAAAGGTTACAGACAGGGCACCGCAGACTACTGAGACCACAAAAGGTTAGACAGAGGGAACGATGTTCAGACAGCTGTGGCTTTGTCTGTGAGGGGCTGTGTACTCTGCACCCCAAGGTCACGCGTGCAGGCAGGCTGAAGCTGCGGCTGCCTGCAGGTGGGGAGTGTGCTCCCTCCGGACCCCACTCCCCACTCTGCGATCATCCCTACAAGATGGTTTAACTACACACCCACAAGCTCCACAATGTCGTGCTGGGTTCTCTTCTATAGTACCACCCCCACCCCCCACATGATAATAAAGTAAAGCACCATCCACATTGAAAGTCCATTGGCAATGTGTCCAGTGCCTGCATCGTAGTACCAAAATTGTTTCCTGCAATGTAGCCAGCAGATAACAAATCACAACACTATTTGTGCAGATTGATGCTGGATGACTTTCTGGGAGAAAGAAAATGAGACTCTATTAGCTTCAAATTCAGGGAAGAAACAAAATTAGAGGAAAGCTTTTGGGTGACGTTTCCATAGAAATCAGAAAAAAGGATAGAAACCTTTAGACGTGGCATCAGAGAGCACACCTCAGAGCGTCAATCTCGAACATAAAATTGCCTGCGTTTAAGATTTCCTCTCCAGGTAACTTTGCAGGCACGTTTGGAAGCTGACAAAATGATGGGAGCTCTCGTCACATCTTTGCTAAAACCAGGCCGGCTTCAGAAGGAGAGATGCAATCTAGATAAGTGCGATAAATATGTGAAATGATTTCCACTGTTAAACTACATAATAGCCAATTTCAAATTTTACGTTTGGTTTTTATTTTTATTATTTCTTTTGTGCTTCTCATAAGGGGCATCTGGTTGGCCACTGGGAGAATAGGATGCTGATAAGGTGGACCATCAGCCTCTGCTTATGTGCTCATGAAACTTCAGTTCTACCTGTTGCCTCACCTTGCCTCATGGGTGGGCCAGCCCTGGATTTATGCATGTTGTGGATTTCAATGGGGCTTGCTCCTACACATTCTTAGCAGCTGGATCCATATCCTGCTTATACAGAAGTCAGCACCACTGAGTTCAGTGGTACTTCTTTATTATTATCCATTTTATTTATTATATTTTGTATGCCACTTTTCCCTCTAAGACGATCAAGGTGGTGAACATGGTTCTCCTCTTCTCCATTTTTTCCTCACAACAACCTTGAGAAGCAGGTTAGGCTGAGATCTGTGACGGGCCACTACGATCAGCCAGTGAGCCTCATGGCCTAGTGGGGATTTGAATCCTTGTTTCCTCCCAGGTCCTAGTCCAACAGTCTAACCATTACACCACACTGTCTCTCACATGCTCCCAAGTAAGGGTGGGGGCTTTCCACCCTCATTGCTAGCCTTGCAACCGGATCTGGACAGGAGAGCACATTTAGCACCGAGGACTGCTCTTGATTTCACTGGGACCTAATTCTAAAGAAATGTGCACCCTTACTTTAAAACTGTAGACTGCCTTGGTTGCCTTGGCAGAAGGGTGATTTGTAAATACAACAAATAGGTAAGTAAAATATTTTTGCAGCTAGATCCATGCATACTAGGAGCAAGTGCCACTTAACAGAGTTCACTTGCCTACACAAAACACCTTTAAAGCACCTGCCACACACACACACAAAAATCCTGGGAGCTGTAGATCTGAGTGGTGAACTGCAGTTCCCAATGTTCTTTTCGTATGCTTTAAAGCTATGGCATTCCTACATAGACAAACGCCTGTTTTGTTTGGTTACTTTGAGCTTGGATCCGCATTAAGGCTTCGTAAACGCAAAACAAAGCTTACAGGAAAATCGATTTTATATATAGGTCCAGTAGCACCTTAAAGGTAAAAAGGGACCCCTGACCATGAGGTCCGGTCGTGACCAACTCTGGGCTTGCGGTGCTCATCTCGCTTTACTGGCTGAGGGATCCAACGCGCACGGTACCTATTTAATTACTTGCACTTTGACATGCTTTCGAACTGCGGGAGCTCACCCCATTGCAGGGATTCGAACCGCCAACCTTCTGATCAGCAAGTCCTAGGCTCTGTGGTTTAACCCACCGCGCCACCCGCACCCCTTAGACGCATCTTAGAGACCAACTAAGTTTGTTCTTGGTATAAGCTTTCGTGTGCACGCACACTGAAACCGGGAGGTGAAGAGTTAATAGGAGGAAAAGGAGGCGTGGCTTGCTCGGGTCAGGAGCGGAGACACGGCCTTGCCTGCTTCCAAAGAACCTTTAGGAAAGCAGCAGCGAACGGTGACGTCACGCCGCGGGGGGCGACGCGACGTTCTGTGCGCATGCGCCCGCAGCGCGAGCGAGAGGGGGCGTCGGAGATGCCCGGATTTAAAAGGGGTCTTCGCCGAGGCTGAAGGGGCCCCATGAAGGAAGGTGCGTGTCCGCGAAGGAGGGGAGCTGGTTGAAAATGGGCGAGGGGACGCGCCGGTGGGTCCTGCTCTCCGCTCTTTCAAGGAGCCTAGACCTGAGGTGATGGTGATGGGCGCCCATAGGGGGCGTGGCTTGCGCTGCCCCCTCCCAACCGTCACTCTGTGGGGAAAATAAATGGCGCATGCGCGGTAGCCACCAAGCATCCCCCAGCCCACGAGGTGCCTGAGGCCATGGTGATGGGCAGGGAGGAGGAAAAATGGGTCAGCGAAGGTGAGGAGCTGTTGTCGAGGGGTCTCTTTCTCTCTCTGCCTGGAGCCTCCTTTTCCCCCTTCTCTTCCGACCTAAGATAGACTTGAGGTGATGGGGAGGCTCTCCCAATATTCATTGGGCAGGGTTGGTGGGATCAGGTTGTGAGTGTACTAAATAGAGAAGCGTGTCTGCTCCACGTGGGTTAACCCTGAAATTGCTAGGCATGCGTGTCGTTGTAATACAGTATATTTCTCCTACTGACTGTAGCCATTGCACGTGTTTTGTTTTTGCAACAGGACTAACTTAAATAAAAAGATTAAAAACTGCAAGCCCACCCAGTTTCATTAAGCTTCAATAGCGCTGAAGTGTTATTTGACAACAGCCCGTTTAAAGTGCAAGTGTTCATTCAAATGCCGTTTGTAAAAAGGAAACTCTTCCCAGTCTTGAAGGAAGTCAGACCCATGGAAGCTCTCTTCTGCTTGCCTTCTTTCTTATGATCAGCCCAGGCCTGCCTGCCAGTTTCCTCTTCCTCCTTAGTTGCCCCTTGTAGAACACGGCTGTGGGGAGGAGGATGGGAACAAAAGTGGAATTAATGTCTCTGCCTGTCTTTGGCTCTGACTCACCTACCCTTTCATCTGCCCTACCAGCCGCCACAAGGTCACTTGACCAAACCAGTTTCTGTGTGACTGGGAAAGAGTTTTGTAACACTACTATCACACCAGAAAAAAAATGTTTTCCCTCACAGCTGCCAAAAATAACCACAGTTTTAAAATGCTGTTTTCTAATTTCAGCCTCTCGCACGTGTAAATCTCTCAGGAGGGTTGGATTTCTTGAAGTATTACAATATAGACATATATGAAATTTGATAAAAGTAGAAGTTAAGGCCTGTATTTTCTGCTGATGTTTCATTTTTTTAAAAACTGCAGTTTTTTGGTCTTACGAGTCTCAGTGTTGTTTTGAACATTGTCTTTTATTTTAAACGAAATGTGTATTTAATGATCCATTGTTTAGGAGCTGTATCAAGAGGGTTTCCCTTTAAAAGGTGGCTTTATACTTATTTTAAATAAATGGATCCCAAGTAAAAGTCTCCATTCATTGAGGAAGAATGATGTCTCCAAGGGTAGTGGTGACTCCCCCTTTCAGCAGAGTCTGCAAGAGCCCTCTTGTCTCTTAAAAAGGCAAGTAAATTGATCGTGGCCTCAGTTTTTCTTACCTAGACCCCTTTTGTACAGAGTTATATGTATCTTTCCCCACCACTTCCTTTTTTTCTCTTAGCTCAGCACAGTGAAAGAAAAGGAGACCAGGGTAGAATCTACACACATATAAAAATGCTGTGAAACTACTTTTTTTAAAAAAAAAGTTTTGAAAAATACATTGAATTTTGCATAGCTCACTATCGCCATCTAGTGTCACATTTGTATATTGTACTTTACAACACATTTAAAATGTTTTATTTGCAGCTATGTAGCTGAGTCCCAGGAAACTACATGCCTTTTATGCTCAGGGTACATCTCCTAAAGGCAGCCAGAACCCTCAGCAGAAGTGAAAAAACCTTCTTGCTGTCAGCACAGACAGCTCATACCTGTGCTGGCCACAGTTTCCAAAAGATCGTTGCCTTCTGCAGGTGCTCCTGGTTGTGGAGCAGCAGCACCTCATCTCCGGCTGGCTGGTGGTACCAGCCGTGCATTGCCCGTGGCTTTCTCTTCCCATCACCACTACCCGTTTGGCCCTCAAAGTCCCTGTGCACAGTCTCCGAGATGGCAGAGCAGCGCTACTGCGTGGACTACGCCAAGCGAGGCACAGCGGGCTGCAAGAAGTGCAAGGAGAAGATCCTCAAGGGGATGGTGCGCATCGGGAAGGTGGTGCCCAACCCATTCACAGAGTCCGGCGGGGACATGAAGGAGTGGTACCACGTCAAGTGCATTTTTGAGAAGCTGGAGAGGGCCCGGGCGACGACAAAGAAGATTGAGGACATCACGGACTTGGAGGGCTGGGAGGAGCTGCAGGACAGTGAGAAGGAGCTGATAAACCAGCACATCTCGGGTAAGCGGTGGTGGTAAGAGCAGTTATATAGGGTGGCCCAGTATTCAGAGCCTTGGCTACTTAAAGTTAGCCACTTTCATTCATATTATTAGTACTAGTGTTACAAATTATTTGTTTTATTTTATTTATTTTGATAATCATTTTTATTAGTTTTCAATTACAATCCAATAATGGCCTTATCATAGCAACACCAATTTTTGACACAATTAATAATACCAATCGTTGAAATACCGAATTATATAATTTAGATAAGGTGGTCCCCCACATGCTAGAATTGATGGCTTGATTATTTGCTTTATTTCTACGTTCCAAAATCTTATTAATTTCCATTACATTCCAGGCATCATAATAATCCCTTATACAACAACTGCTATATTTATAACTTCTGTTTGTGTTGACACATTAAATGATTTATAAAACTACAAGTGAGGAACTCAGACTATATCCTTGTTCTTCCTTTGTGTGGCAATCATTCTGTACCTGATGTTTCTTCCTTTCCTTGTATTTATTTTATGTTTTTATGGCATTGATATCCCACCTTTCCATGGAACTCAAAGTGGCGCACAGGGTTCTCCTCCTCCTCTCTTCTAATCCCCACAATAACCTGCCACTCATCTTCTATTACTTTGCCAATAGGATCCTGCCCATAGTTAACCGATTTGTCACAAGTTGCCTGTGTTACGTTTGGCTTTTGAGTTGAGGCCCAGATACATGACAAATCACTTTTGCTAGTAGCTTCTCAAATTTTTTTAAAGGGGGGGGCAGGTTTCTCTGAACATGTATTACTCAAGACCTGTAGAGGTGTAGAATAAATTCTGTGGCTCCAGAGGCCTTTAACCTTTGACCCCTCATGTCTTCACAGATCTTACTTCCAAAGCTGCAAACACGCCGAAGAAAAAGGCCACCATCCAGGCGAAGATTTCTGCCAGTGGTCAAATCACCTCCCCCAAGAAAATGCTGGCAGCTTCTTCTGATCCATCACCAAAGAAATTTTCAGGGTTTACAGGTGCATAAGAGATGGACGGGCCTCTTTCTTTTGGTTGTAATTCATTGGTGGCTTTTCCAGCTCAGAGTCTTAGCTTTGGTTTTGTGGGGGAATCTGCAGGTGCTCTTGGATGTGGCCAATCCATGTCCAATGATCTGGGTTTTAACATTTAGGCCATCTGCTGATAGTCTTCGTTAACTGATGATTTGGCAAGAGTCTTAAGGATGCAGGAAGAGCCCTGCTGGATTAAGCCAAAGGGTCCATCTGTTTCTGTATCTTGCACCTCACAGTGCAAAGCACAAAAGGCTACAGCCCTCCCTTGCAATTGCATCACAGGACCTTGTATTCAGAGGTAGACTGCCTCTGAACATGAAGGTTCCATTTAGCTATTGTAGCCAATATGTTGGTAGACTCATCCTCCTCCTCCATCATCTCTATGAATTTGTCTAACTCTGCCTTGTAAGTAAGCCCACAAAAGTATACCAGTCTGCTGGAGGGGGTGGGGCTTACAGGTCTCTCCTCCATTGGTCTGCTACATTTCTTACCTGGGTGCAGAGGAAGGGCCTTTTTTCTCTGGCAGCCCACCTGTTCTGCACTGGCAATGGAGGAAGGATGGAACACACCGTCCCTTCCTCCAGCCAGCTTGCTTGCCTACAAAGAATTCCTTGTCGCCTATGGCAAGTGGGTGAGTGGTTTGGGCTGGTCTAATCCCTTTTCTAAATCTAGCTAAGCCAGCTGGCATCACCACATCTCGTCACAAGGGAATTCCATGTGTTAAGCGTGCTGAGTGAATAAGTCATTTTCTAACATCTGTTCTGAATCTGTTGCCCATCAGCTTCACTCCTAAGGTATGAAAGAAAGAAAAATGTACCTCTGTTCACATTCTCTACAGACAGGGATGGGGAAACCTCTGCCCTGCCATCTTGTTTTGACCTGCTGGGCTTCCCCATTTGGCCTATGAAGCTGTTTTGGCCGAGCCTTGCCCATCTTGCAACTCACATTATCTCTGACCATTGTGGCTGGAGCTGATGGGTGTTGTCATCCAACAAGATCTGGAGGGCTGCAGGCTAGCCACCTCTGTGATACACTCTCCTGGAAGTGATCCCTGTTGAGCATGACTTCCTTCCAATCACCCAGGCCTAGGATCAGGCTGGCTGATTTGAAATTCCAAATCATTTGCTGATGGTGATCTGCAGCAGACATCCTGGTAAAACACAGGTAGCCAACGTGGTGCCCTCCAGATGTTGCTGGACTACATCCCTGAATTGATGGGCAAGCTGGCTGGGGCTGAGGGGAGCTGGAGCCTTCTTCATCTTCAGTTTTAATCCAGAAACAACAAATCTGAGAAACGCTGCCTTGGATCTACTCAGGTGCTGTTACCTGCACCTGGTCCTCAGGATAGAATGGGCCAGAAGTGCAAATAAATGTTTTGGGGTGTGTGTGAAATCGCAGGTCATGCCAGTCAGCGGTATCTTTCCCTGAAGGTCTCCTTTTTCTGCACAGCTAAGCCGGGCAGCTCTGATGAGGTGGCCTCTGCATCTCCCCGCAAGCCCAGCTTGTCCACGGAGAAGAGTGACCCAAAGCACAAGGACTGTTTGCTGCGGGAATTCAGGAAGCTTTGTGCTATGGTAGCCGACAAACCTAGCTACAACGTCAAGACCCAGATCATCCAGGACTTCCTGCAGAAGGGAACCAGCGGAGGTACAATTCCTTCTCCCTTTCTCTTTTTTTAAAAATTGGGAGCGTTTGTGTTGATGTAGAGGGCAGGCTTAAATATATGAACAGTTATTATTATTTATTAAATTTGTATACCACCCTTCATCTGAAGATCACAGGGCGGTTCACAACAGAAAAATACAAAAAGAAAAACACAAAATACCTAATTTTTTAAAAAACCAGTAAACCCCCCCCCCATATTATTATTTATTAAATATGAGTGATCTGCCAAATGGGACAGGTGGAACACAGTTCGTTTCCTCATCCTGGTGACATAATGTACGGTATATGCATGCTATATGTCAGTGGTCCCCAAACGCTTTCAGGCCACTGCCCCCTTTGTTCCATAAGCTCATTCCCAGTGCCTCCAACCCTACAAAAAGCATTTTTCTGAATAGCAGTTTGCACAACCCACAAAGGAGGATCATAGCACAATAACATTCAAAAGAGTAACAATTAATTAGTTACTGTTTTGCACTCAAAGTGACTTGGATGATAAAAATAGAAATAACAAAGACGTTGAAGTCAGATGTAAAATCAGCAATAAACAAGGGTTAAAATAGTCATCTGTGATAAGCTTGGGTTGCTGTGATTAGGGCTGTAGGTTTTCTAGAGACCTCTTCATTATGGGCAAATGTGGTCCACAGAGGCCAGGCTGTCCATTCTCACCTCTTTCCTTGTACCCAGATGGCTTCCGTGGGGATCTCTACCTGACAGTCAAGCTGCTGTTGCCGGGGGTCATAAAGAGTGTTTACAACCTGAATGACAAGCAGATCGTAAAGCTCTTCAGCAGGATATTTGGCTGCAGCCAGGAGGACATGGTCCGAGACCTTGAACAAGTGAGGAATGAGTTTGCTATGTACAGTCATACCTCGGGTTAAATATGCTTCAAGTTGAGCGTGTTCGAGTTGCGCTCCTCGGCAGCCCGGAAGTAACGGAGTGCGTTACTTCCGGGTTTCGCCGCTTGCGCAGACGCTCAAAATGACGTCATGCGCAGAAGCGGCGAAAAGTGGCATGCGCAGACGTGCCGTCGCTAGTTACGTTTACCTCTAGATGCGAACAGGGCTCCAGAACGGATCCCGTTTGTATCTAGAGGTACCACTGTAATGGTCTTGAATCTTGGCCCTCCAGGCCTGTCCGTCAAGCCCTCAGGACACTCCCCAAGGCACACGCCCATCAGCCATCCTTGAGTGTTTTGGCCTGGCTGGGATGGATCATTGAACTCTGATTATGGCTCTTGCTTGCCTGGATGGAGGACAGAGAGAGGTGTTGGTGTAGAACCAGGATTCAAGATGGCCTTAACAGGTTGCAGAACTGGCCACAAACTAACAAAATGAATTTCAATATAGACAAAAGTAAGGTTCTGCACTTAAGCAGGAATAATCAGGTGCACACATTTAGGATGGGAGACACCTGGCTTGGCAGCAGTACATGGGGAAAGGATCCAGTGGTTTAGTAGATCACAAACTTAATATGAGTCAACAGAACGATGCAGCAGCCAAAAAAAAAGAATGCTAATCCAGGCTGCATCTAGTGTCCAGATTGAGGGAAGCAATAGGACTATTCTATTCTGCCTTGGTCAGACCCCACGTGGAGTCCTGTGTCCAGTTCTGGGCACTACATTTTAAGAAGGATATTGACAAGCTGGAAGGTGTCTAAAGGAGGGAGACTAAGATGATCAAGGGTTTGGAAACCAAGCCTTTTGAGGAAATGTTGAGGGAGCTGGGATGTTCAGCCTGGAGGACAGAAGTGCTGTTACATGGAGGACGGAGCAAGCTTGTTTTCTGCTGCTCCATGGAGGACAACCTGAATCACTGTATTCAGATGACAAGGAAGGAGATTCCAACTAAATATCAGGAATAGCTTTCTGACAGTAAGAGCTGTTCTAAAATGGAATAGACTACCTTGGGAAGTGGTGGATTCCTCTTCACTGGAGGGTTTTCAACAGAAGTTGGATGACTATCTGCCAGCGATTCTCTAGTTGTTTTCTGCACTACAGAGGAATGGATTAGATGACTAGATTATTTTCAGGGTCCCTTCAAATCCTACATTTCTATTATTTTGTGAAAAGACTCCCCCTCCCTATTCTATTATGTGATTTAGTGTATGATTCTATTTTAAACAGGGTGATGTGTCTGAGACAGTGCGGATCTTCTTTGAGCAGAGCAAATCCTGCCCCCCGGCTGCCAAGAGCCTCTTGACGATCCAAGAGGTTGATGACTTCCTGACACAGCTCTCTAAGCTTTCCAAAGAGGACGACCAGCAAAGCTTGCTGCAGGATGTTGCAAACAGGTACACTAAGAGGTTTGAGATTCCTGGCTGGGGAGATCAAGCTAGAGGTGAGGAACTTCCCCGTGTCTCCAGTGTGTTATTGGGGCTCCCATAATTCCTTACCATCAGTTTAGCTGACAGCTGGGACTGATGGGAGTTCTAGTCTGACAACCTCTGGAGGGTGGCAGATTAGAGGAAGGCCACAACAGGTTCTGCTCTAAGGACAGATTCTGAAGCGGGGGCCGCTAGGGGCGCATTGGAAGATGGCCGACAATACCATCTCTCTGTCTCACACGAGGCAATTAAGAAGCTAATATGGGAGTATGTAGCCTCCCTTGTTTCCCCAGGGAATGGGGGAAACACTGCCTTCGCCTGCGGTTGCCATAAATCACCCCCAAGTTCGAAAGAAGAAGGGGTTGAGGGCACTAGGCGCACAGCACTCGTGTGGGATGGCTCTCCTGACGCCATCTCTGATCGTGCAACCTATGCAGGAGCTCAAAATAACAATTAGAGAGAGCAGCAAATGCACATGTTTCGAGTGAAGAACGGGAGTTTAGACTGCTAATTGAAGTGACCTCTGTGAAGTTGAGCGACGGGCTGGATTCAACAGGAAAATATATCAAGAAGAAGATACATCAAAGGGTCGGTATGTCGGAACGGGACAGAAAGGGGGGGCTTTTCTTTTTTCCCCTCTATGTGATTACCTAACAATCCCTCCCCAAGAAGAACCGTTGCATGATTGACTATAAGCGAGATGATTAAGAAACTGTGTGGAAATGAATTACTAACCAAAGGCTTGGCTTATGGAGATCTGGAAAGGAAAAAGGCTTTTAGATTGACGCAGTTATAAAAAGAGAGTCGCCATGTTGGCAGGCTTTGTTGTAGGATTGACGATCAAGAGGGGGAGGAGGCCTTGGCTTTGTTATTATATCGAACTCTTGGCAGAACCCCCTGAGAAGATCGAGAAGGGAGTGACAGGCCTGCGAACATTAATGAGCAGACGTTAAGATTGTTTTTATGGAAGTGATGAAATGCGTCTGCTGTCTGAATATGACTCTTGGATGAATGGAAAAATCCACACAGGATTATAAAAATGCTTGTTTTCAACTCGCTTGTGGAGACTATCAGAGGTCACAAAGTAAAGAAAGGAAAAATATACGAAAACAACAAGAAGAGATGAGGAAAACAACAAAGAAGGAATGGATAGAATTGTGAACATTATTTGGACAGAATTGTGAACATCAAAGCAGCAGCAATAAGATGACCGGATCCCTTTCGGAGCTCGAAACATGGGTACCCCCAACAAAAATTTAAAATTTGGCTCTGTAATTTGGAATTAATGTGATTTGATTGGTTTGTTAATAAAAATTATTATTATTATTATTTAAAAAGGACAGATTCTGAAGTGGCAGCACAAGCTGCCAGCTTGCTTTTGCAGAAGCAGGGATCTGTTTACATGTCTGAATGGAAGACTGTTTTGGTGCTTTTGTAATCCTGCTTGTGCAGTGATAGCAACCAAAACAATCAAGGGGATGGAGCAAATCCCCTATGGGGAAAGATTGCAGTATTTGGGACTTTTTGCTTTAGAGAAACGGTAAGAGAAGGAAGTTTGTGAAACTATGCATGGCATGGAGAAAGTGGACAGAGGAAAGTTTTTCTCCCTGTCGCATAACATTAGAATTTGTGGTCATCCAATGAAGCTGAGTGTTGGGAGATTCAGGAAAGATAAAAGAAAGTCCTTCTTCACTCAGCACATAGTTAAACTATGGAATCCTCCCCCACAGGAGGCAGTGATGGCCACTGACCTGGATGGCTTTAAAAGAGAAGTAGAGAAATTCATGGAGGAGAGAGAGCTATTGATGGCTACTAGCTGCGATGGCTATGCTCTGCCTGGAAACCACAGGAAGGGGAAAGTGCTGCTGTGCTTGGCTCCTGCTTGCATGCTTCTCTTTGTTGTTGTTTTTTGTTTTTGTTTTTTATAAATGATTTTTATTAAGATTTCAATAAAAAGTTAAACAAAAAAAGCATGGAAAATACACAAATACACAATACATAATCCAAAAAAAGAAGAAACACAAAGAGCAGAAAACAAAAAAAAAAAGAAGCAGAACAATTAAAAATAATATCACCTTTTCATTTCTGTTTTTAAATTTATTTATTTTCTGGACTTCCTCATACCTCCCTCTTTTGTATTCCAGTCCAAATTGTTTGTCCAGCAATTACTTTTCCACTTTTTTAATCCCAATCTTTAATCTTAATATAATATAGCATTAAAATTTTACCTCTTAAATACCAAATTTCCATTTCATTAAATTTCTTTAATCCTAATCTTTAATCTTAGTCTATCTATAACTTTATCCTGTACAGCTGGAAACCACTTATTTTCAATTCAACATCACTCTAGCATTCTTTAATTTTGCAGTGTTTCTGTAGATAATCTTTGAATTTCTTCCAATCTTCCTCCACCGACTCTTCTCCCTGGTCACGGATTCTGCCAGTCATTTCCGCCAGTTCCATATAGTCCATCAGTTTCATCTGCCATTCCTCCAGCGTGGGAAGTTCTTGTGTCTTCCAATACTTTGCGATGAGTCTTGCATGCTTCTCTTTGGGGCATCTGGCTGACTACTGGGAGAGCAGGTTGCTGGGCTAGATGGGCCACTGGACTGATCCAACAAGGAAAAAAAAAATCACTGGGGAGAAATAATCTGCATAGAAGTGGGAGGGGGGCTCAGCGTTCTCCCTGCTGCCCCTTCCTTTACAGGCTGACTTGGTAGGCTGCTGTTGCATCTGTTTTGATCTTCAGCACTGCAAGCTGCATGGTCCTTATGATTAAGTTTTTAAAATAAATAAATGCACAGTTTGCAGCTGATAAAATCTCCAATGATTAATTGTTATGCTTCATGATGTTGTTTTATGATTGTTTTTAATTGTTCTTTTAATTTTCAGGTGCACGGCCAATGACCTGAAGTGCATCATCCGGTTGATAAAGCATGACTTGAAAATGAATGCTGGAGCCAAACATGTGTAAGCTCTCTCTGTGTGTATGTCGTTTCCAGAAATAATGCAGAAGTCTAAAAATGGGATGTGATGGAGACATAGAAGAAGACCACTTGGGCTCTTTTTGAAATGGAGCTGCTCTCCCAACTCTCAACAGCCCCAAGGACCAAGCTTTTAGTGTGGCATAGCAGTTAGACTGCTGGACTAGGACCTGGGAGACCAGGATTCAAATCTCACTCAGCCATGAAGTTCACTGTCTCCCAACCTAACCTACCTCACAGGGCTGATGTGAGGATTGAAAGAGTAGGTTTGGGGGACCATGTATACCACCCTGAGCCACTTGGAGAAAAAGATGGGATATAACTGCATTAAATACAAATATATATAGCGTCATCAGCCCAGTATTGTGCGGTGCTCCGCCAATGGGGATTCAGCAAACGCCTTCTGCGCCAGCTTTTGGAACGCCTGCTGAAAATGTTTCTATTCTGCCAGGCCTATGCAGCCAATTAAGAAAAGATCCTTCTGTGATGGTTAATGATGTAACAAATATGGTTTTATTGCTGTAAACCACTTTGACTTTCTTTTATGATTCAGTGGTACACAATTTTTAAATAAATACAGTCGTACCTTGGAAGTTGATTAGCTGCAGGAAGCTCCTGCAGCTAATCGGAAGCCGCAAAAGCCCCATCGGACGTTCGGGTTCCAAAGAATGTTCGCAAACCAGAACACTCACTTCCAGGTTTGCGGCGTTCGGGAACGAAAACATCCAAGTACCAAAGTGTTTGGAATCCAAGGTATGACTGTATGTAGAAATTTATTACTATTACTGTTAATTATAGTTATTGATCACTTCTTTGCCAAGGTAATTCAAAGCAACTTGCAGTATATAAACAAACACATATGTTGACTCTGGCAACAATGTACATTCGTACCTTGGTTCTTGAATGCCTTGTGACTCGAACATTTTTGAACGTCCGATGCGGCTTCTGCAGCTTCCGATTGAGCCCAGGAAGCTCCTGCAGCCAATCAGAAGCCGTGCCTTGGTTTTTAAATGTTTTCGGAAGTCAAACGGATTCCGTTTGAGAACCAAGGTACGACTGTATCTAAAAGGCAATCCTATTTTTGAAAAAGCAGGATTAAAACATACCACCCACTCAAAAAGGCCAGAGATAATGAAGAGAGAAAGGCCTGATTGAAAAAGAGATTTTTTTTGCCTGGCACCTAAAGCTATGCAACGATGACACCAGGCAGGCCTCCCTGGTGAGAGAATTCCACAAACAGCGAGGTGATAAATAATGCACTGACCTTTAAAAATTCAGGCCTCAGTTTTCCCTCAGCTATTCTGTGGTCTTATTCCTCACACAGCACTCTTCAGCTCCTTTCTCCCCTCTTCTATCTCAATTGACAAGAATACAATTGCTGGTTCAGGCTAACAGTCCACCCTCAAGCACATCCCAAGCACAAGAGCCCTCTCTCATCCTGTGACTTCCAGCAACTCATTGCTGCCTCCAGTAGTAAAGGCAGAGCAGAACCATTGTGGCTGGTAGCCATCGATAGCCCCTCTCCTCTATGACTTCATCTAATTTTATAGGAAAATAATATATGAGACTGTTACCTCCCACAATCTTTCTCCCTGCCTCCTTCTTTCCTTTCAGGTTGGATGCCTTGGATCCAAATGCTTACGAGGCTTTCAAAGCCTCGCGCAACCTCCACGACGTAGTCGAAAGGGTGCTGAGGAACCAGCAGGAGTCCCAGAAGGTGCCAGGCCTAAAGAAAACTCTCAGTGTCCAGGCCACACTGATGACCCCCGTTCAACCGATGCTGGTAAAAAGAAACAGCCCCAAACCCTGTGATCTGGTGGTCTCCTCATCCAGCCCATGGAGCTCCCTTTAGAGGCCCTCCTGTCCCCATCTCTGTCAACTGTTTGGCTTTTAATGAAGGCTAAAGCAAGGAAGAATCTAGTGGCACTTTTTGTGGGATGAGCTTGTGTGGACCACAGTCCATTCTGCAATGTAAGAGCCTGGCTGCTGCCAAAGGGCAGTCCATCCAGCCTCGCATTCTGTTCTCTCTGTGCCCAACTGGATGCCAGAAGATGGAGAAGAGTAGGACAGGTGTATAAATCATTCCAGAGCTGCTTCCAAGGAGGGAGAGCTCTTGTGATCTGCAGGCGGATCTTCTAAAGTGCTGAGAATCCCTTTTTCAGAGGGAGAGCAGCTATCCCCAACCTGTGCTTTCTGGATGTCTCCAACTACAGTTCACATCAGTCACTAGGGCTGGCCAACGTATCAGTATATCTTCCAAAACCAGTTTGAAGTCCATATTGTGAGATCAGTTTCATAATTTTTGACCTGGCAACAGAATGTGAATAATCACCCACACACTATGCAAAAATCACAATGTGGGGAAGAACGTGAAGCCAGCGAATGCCTCTACATAGCTTCACCTTATTTCAGATATTGTGATATATTGGTATATTACGATGTTGGAAACCAGATATCGTGCAGTCCTTTCAGCCATGCTGGCTGGGCTGATTGGAGTTGTAGTATGAGACCTCCAGAGGACACCAGGTTGTTGCAGAAGGTCCCAGGATCATACCTAAACACCTCGGGGAGAGATTGGAGAAGATCTTGGCCTGAGCAGCTGGAGGATTGCTGTTGGATTTTGGGATAGACGATACTGTTTTACATGGGGTGTTGGTCTGCATAGTAGAAGACAACTTGTGCCTAGCTTGTACAAGAAGAAGGGGCATAGATCAGGACTAGAGAATCTGCCTTGTAGGCAGAAGGTCTCAGGTTCAACTCCCAGTAGGGTTGGGAGAGACTCCTACCTGAAATCCTGGAGAGCTGCTGCCAGTCAGTGTAGACAGTACAGAGATAGGTGGACCCATGTTCTGGCACAATACAAAGCAGCTTCCTGTGTTGTAGATCTGCCTGCAATTAAAAGTCCTAAGGTGGGATTTTCCTTCTTCTTTCTCCAACAAGGCTGAGGCCTGTAAGTCCATCGAGTATGCCATGAAGAAGTGCCCCAACGGGATGTACTCGGAGATCAAGTACGACGGGGAACGCGTCCAGGTGCACAAGAAAGGCGACCACTTCAGCTACTTCAGTCGCAGCTTGAAACCTGTCCTTCCACACAAGGTCAGTGGAACCTTCTGTTACTTTATTATGATTGCATTTCTATCCCACATTTTTCTACAAGGAGCTCAAGGTGGTTTACATGGTCCCTTCCCCCATTTCCTCCTCACAACAACCCTGTGAGGTAGGTTAGGCTGAAAACCAGTGTCTGGCCCAAAATCACTCAATGTGTGTGGGGGGGGATTGAACCTTGATCTCCCAGGTCCTAGTCTGACACTAACTATTGTGCCACACTCTCTTTACACCACTCCAGTGTTTGGAGTAAGCAGCAGCAGAAGGTTAACTTAGTGTAATGAATACTTGCTTGGAGGATACCTTTCATTGGAAGGTATTCAGACTGAGAGTATAGGAAAGAGTGCTGCAGTGCTGACTAACTAATGTGTTGGAGAAGCCAACAAGCCAGGCTTGCCCCTTTGTTCTCAGGAGATGCATCCGAGATGACCTCTCACCTTCAGGCAGCAGAACAGGTTGCAACCTAAGACATACCTTTCTAAACTTCAAAGGATAGAGATAGGTCGGCACAGAGTTTAAAGGTGCGGGAATAGTTTGGGAATCTGGAGGTCCCTTACTCTGTCTGTTTAAACCCCTTTCTGCAATGTGAGTTGTGCCCAAACTTCCAACACTCTTTGGGTCGCTTCCTGTAGAAACAAGTGGCTGGCTGCTTACCAATATCACCCACCTGGCATGTTCCGCTAGTATTGGGGAACTAGGAGCCCCTGTTTTCTCAGGTTCTGCTGCCTGAAGTGATCATCTGACTCCCCCTAACAGGAGGAACGACCCTGGCAAGGAACTCTGATCTCGTGATGTGCTTATGTTTAAACCAGGTGGCCCATTTCAAGGACTTCATCCCCAAGGCTTTCCCAGGGGGACACAGCATGATCCTGGATGCAGAAGTTCTTCTAATAGACAACAAGACAGCCAAGCCCCTTCCCTTTGGAACACTTGGAGTGCACAAGGTGCGTGGTTATAATCTCTCCTTGCCCAGAAATGGACGAAATGACCCAACTCATTGCAAAGCAGGTTGATTTTATTAAAACACAGCAAGTAACAGCAGATGGAATCTGTAGTTGAAAACATCTAGGGGGCACCAGTTTGGGGGATGCTAAGCTTAGGTTGTGGGGCAGACAGTGGCAAGACACGCTGGTGGGTTATAGCATTGGGTATCATATGTAGAAAGACCAGAATTTTCCTTCTCCCCGTTCTCATGCAGCTCATGGGATCGACCACTGAAACTGACAGCTCAGAGATTCAGGAAAGATGGGGAGAACTTCAGAAAGGCAGAATTTAGGGACATCTCGCCTGCAGAGAGGTCAAGATTTACTTCAACTATGGTTCATTAAACCTTGGTTTAATGTTACGTGCAAATTCTGTCCAGTATTTTAACTGTGGTTTGTTTACTGCCAGAAAACCACAATTTGAAGCTGTGTTTTTTACTGGCATCTCAATTTAACATGCAAATCCAGCCTGCTTCCTTAACTGTGGGTTTTCTGACCACCTCATCCCCAGACACTCATCAAGCACTTTGCCAGCAAAGTTTGAAGCAGTGAGCCATGGTTGGTTTGATCATCTGTGGAACAGCTCACTGGGTTGAACAGAGGCACTGTCTTTGGTCTGACAGAGTTCAGTTTCCTAGACGAAACTGATTCCTGCATTGCACAGAGTTGGGCTAGATGACCCTTTGGGTGCCTTCCAACTCTTTGATTCTGTGAAGTTCCGAGAGGGGGGCAGGGAGCAGCCATGGGAGGATCTGAAGCCCTGTCTGTGAGCTGCACAAAGTGGACTCCAACTCCCATCAGCCCCAGCCAGCATGACTAATGGTCAGGGATAAGGGGACCTGCAGTCCAGCAAGGCACAGGGAGAGAGGCTGTGGCCAGTCACAGTGGAGAAAGGCGGGCCGAGGAGGAGAGGCAGCAAGGAGACCCAGGGAAGACTGTGGGCCTTGCCAAATGGAAGAGCTGCTGCCTAGCTCTACAGGATTTTTTTCTCCAACCCCAAATACAATCTGTGTTCTAACACATCACTGTCTCTCTGCAGAAAGCAGCTTTCCAGGACGCCAACGTCTGCCTCTTTGTGTTTGACTGTATCTACTTCAACGACGTCAGTCTGATGGACAGGTGGGTCTCATTCTCTCAGTATAACTCAAGACCATATCTGTTCCTTTTTATCCCCTTTGATCTCCAGAACTGGCCCTGCTACAGCTGCCATATAATACTCATTATGCACTTGTAAGAAATTGGACTTTTTAGTGCGGCGGCATCAGCCACACTTTGGAACTCCCTGCCTATTGACATCAGGGAGGCACCTTTACTGTCCTCTTTTTCACACCTGTGAAAAACACTTTTGATTAGGCAAGCCTACCCAGATATGTAGAATGTTGATCTGTGTTCTAATCTGGTTTTTAGCATATCTTTGGTTTTCATTATTTTTTGAATGTTTAAATAGTTGTTTTTTTACTGTTGTTATTGGCTATTGCACTGTTTTATTCTTTTAATGTCTACATTTCATGAAATAAATAAAAATTAAATAAAGTTAGGCCCATTTCGTCCTGAAACCTGTTTTTCTCATCATCGTTCTCCATCTCTGCCCTGTTTTCTCCAGGCCGCTCCGTGAGCGCCGCAAGTTTCTCTACGATAACATGGTGGAAATCCCCAACCGAATCCTCTTCTCGGAGATGAAGCACGTCACGGTGGGTGCCATTCCAGACTGTGAGCTGGAAACGCTTGGAAATGTCCCCGCGGGGAATATTGAAGACTCTCAAATTGCCACCAACAAAAATGAGCTCAGTATTCTGAGGAGCCTACCAGCATTAGCCTAATAATGTCCACAGTGTTCTGGAATCCAGACAGTTCTTTTCTGTTTTGTCCATATTTGACTGAAGTAGAAAATCAACACAACCTAGGTAGGATGGGGACAGAGTGACTTCCTTACATTCCATTCTTGATGGAAAGAGTTTTACAGTTCTGCATTTTGTTCCTTCTGATTATTATTGTTGTTGTTGTTGTTGTTCCTGCAAGAAACTAACACAGCCAATCACTCCCCCTCTGGTAATCCTTTTTAACTTGGCTATTTCTCTTTCAGAAAGCTTCGGACCTTGCTGATATGATCAACCGGGTCATCCGTGAGGGGCTGGAGGGTTTGGTGCTGAAAGATGTGAAGGCATGTATCCTTGTGTTTTTGATGCACACACCAGACAATTTATTTTACTTGGTTCATCAGCTTGATTTCTTTTTAAAAAATTAATAAGTGGTTTACATAAAATGGTACAAAATATTCATTAAAATTGGCAATAAAACCCGTAAACATAATAAAATGATCATAGATAAAAGAAACAAACATAAAATTACCTGTCGAGATAGGCTTGGCTAAGCAAAAAGGTTTTAATAGGCATCAAACTGCACAATGTAAGTGCCTGCCTAATATCAAGAGGCAGGAAGTTCCAGAGACTAGGGGCATCACACTAAACTATCAGTTTCTCTCGAGTGTGCAACAGACATTATGCTGCACTTGTAAAAGTGACAGCTCCACAGATTGAAGCAGTCAAACGGGGCACATTTTGATTACTTTTTAGACAGGAAAGTGAGGTGCTAATGTTGGTTAAACTGAAGATCTCCATCTAGAAATCGTCTCTCTCTTCCCTCTGCCTCTTCCAACTTCACAGCTATCTGCTGGCATTGTTCTAGAGCTTCAATGCCTATTTTTGCAAGCATAAGGACTAGGAGGTTGCTTTTTGTTTTTAAACATGCCCTGGATGTGATACGCTTTAGAGAGCTCTGGCCAACCGCCTCTTCTTTCTTGCTTTGGCCTGTGCAGAGCCTCTATGAGCCAGGAAAACGCCACTGGCTCAAGGTGAAGAAGGACTACCTGAACGAGGGGGCAATGGCTGACACGGCAGACCTGGTGGTCTTGGGTGCCTTCTACGGCCAAGGGAGCAAAGGTGGGTGTCTTAGAAACCAGCCTCAGAGGACCACTTGAGAAGCCTGGGAAATTTCCTCCCCCCACCCCCACCCCATCACTGCAACCAATCTAGTTGGTGGCGATCCATGGGACATAAAGTCTGCTTTTCCAGTTGAGCTGCTCTAAAGCAGGGACCGCGTTTCCCTCCCTCTCTCTGCCGCAGGGGGGATGATGTCCATCTTCCTCATGGGCTGCTACGATCCCGACAGCCAGAAGTGGTGCACGGTGACCAAATGCGCCGGCGGCCATGATGACGCCACGCTGGCCCGGCTGCAAAAGGAGCTGGACATGGTGAAGATCAGCAAGGTTTGCAGCCCGGAGATGTCACAGCCCTCGAGTGTCGGTTGCGGGGATTCTCAAAGAGCTTCTGCCAAGTCGGCATACATAAAAACAGGTCCAATGGCCCATCTAGGCCAGCATCCTGTTCTCACAGTGGCCAACCAGGTGTCTCAGCAGGAAACCCACAAGCCAGGACCTGAGCACAAGAGTGCTCTCCCCTTCCTGCAGTTTTACAGCAACTGGCCTTCAGAAGCATCACTGCCTCTGACCATGGAGGCAGAGCATAGCCGTCATGACCAGTAGTAGCCATCAATAGCCGTCTCCTCCACAAATTTGTCCAATCGTCTGTTAAAGCCATCCATCTGGTGGCCCTCATTGCTTCTTGCAGGAACTATGCACTGCATGAATAAGTCCTTTCTTTTACCCCTTCTGAATTTTCCAACATTCAGCTTCATTGGATGCCCACAAGTTCTAGTGTTTCTCCATGCCCTGCATAATGTTTTTAACTTCTCTCATGTCACGTCTTGCTTGCCTTTTCTCTAAGCTCAGAAGTCCCAGACACTGCTGTTTTTCCTCAGAGGGGTGTCACTCCATCCCCTTGATCATTTTGACAACTCTGAACTAGATGGATTAATGACATGACTTAGCCTATGGCTGCTTCCAACGGTCCTTTCAGCGCTGTTGCACTCCAGTCTTGTTTTGTGGGCTTCCCAGAACAGTTATCTGTGATTGGCTACTGTGAGAAGAGCATGCTGGGCATGCTGGACCTCCATGGGCCAGGCTCTTCTTCAAAGATCTTCCAAGGTGTGCAGCTGGTAGACTCAAGGAATGGGATTATTTTGAAGGTGACTTCCTGTGTCTTTTTCTCTCCTTCCTAGGATCCCAGTAAGATTCCAAGCTGGCTGAAAATAAATAAGAATTATTACCCAGACTTCATTGTTCCAGATCCAAAGGTAAAACAGCCTGAGAGGGAGGGGCAGGAGCTGCAGGGGGAGAGGAATAGGATTGTCCCTGTGCAAAAGTAACAATGGGCTCTGATTTTCAATGTGGACCTTTTTTTAGAGGTTGTGGGCAGGGGGCGTTCTGTAAATGAATTGTTAGTGTCTGGTGTGGCTAGATAGGTGAAGCTAAGCAGATATGAACCCAGTTACCGTATTTTTTGCTCTATAAGACTCACTTTTTCCCTGCTAAAAAGTAAGGGGAAATGTGTGTGTGTCTTATGGAGTGAATGCAGGCTGCGCAGCTATCGCTGAAGCCAGAACAGCAAGAGGGATTGCTGCTTTCACTGCACAGCGATCCCTCTTGCTGTTCTGGCTTCTGAGATTCAGAATATTTTTTTTCTTGTTTTCCTCCTCCAAAAACTAGGTGCGTCTTATAGTGTGAAAAATACAGTAGATCCTTGGTCGAGAAACCACTGTTCTATATGAGAGCTTTGTGTGTTTGGGGGGGGGGGGGTAGTTCAGTTTTTAAAAATCCACATACAGTCTTACATTGGTTCTCAAACAGAATGCATTCCGGGAGTCCGTTTGACTCCCAGAACTGTTCGAAAACCAAGGTGTAGCTTCCAATTGGCTGCAGGAGCGTCCTGCAGCCAATCAGAAGCCACGCCGGATGTTCGGCTTCCGAAAATCGTTGAAAACCTGGAACACTCACTTCCGGGTTTCGATCATTTGGGAGCCGATTTGTTCAGGAGCCAAGGCGTCTGAGATCCAAGGTAGACTGTATACAAAAAATTACACATTCCTAAACCCTTGGATCTGCCCCATGGCTAGTGGGTAGGGGAGAGCAAGAGAATCCCCTGTACTTCCGGTGCCTATGTGCCAAGTGGGCCTTGTCCAGCAATCAAAGTGGAGAACTTAAAAGCTCTTTTTGTAACAGATAACCCCAAGCAGACCCGGCTCAAAAAGAGGTCTGCCTTGCTTGGATTTAACTTGCACAATTTGAACCATCCTGTCTTCAGCCAAGTATGGTTGAACTCACATGAATTAAATGAGCACAGGATGCCATCAGCTTGTATTTGTGTTGTGTGTTAAAAGTCCCTTTTAATCATATCTGTTCATTTGGCGCCCTACCTCTTCACTGGATCAAAGACCCAAAGTGGGTTTTCCTATGAACTCAGAGCACACACCATGTTGCCTCAACCACTTCTCTCAGATCTCCTGACCATGTTGAAAAAAGAATCTCGTTCAAGTATATTGGGAGCAGATGAATGTTTCTCAGACTTCTTGAAAACAAGGAAGAGGGAGCATAATCCAGGCTGTGTATATGTGTGTGATTAATACACTACAATTCTGCACCCAGTACTCCCAAGACTGCCTCTCTGGCCATGGGGGCTAGTAGTTTCCTTTAGAATTTTCAGAACCCAAGCTGAGATTCTTGGGGTGCTGAATTCTGTTCCAGTCTTGTCCAGAACTCGCACAGAATTCTGGCTGTTCTCCAGCAGAGTTCTCCCTCACAAACTGCTATCCTTTAATGGTGAACTGCATTGAGCAGCAGAGAGAGGATTGGCCAAGTAAGGTTGGGTCAGCTCATTCTGCGGTTGTTGCCCTCTGCCTTAGGAAGCACCAGTCTGGGAGATCACGGGGGCTGAGTTCTCCAAAGCAGAGGCCCACACCGCTGATGGGATCTCCATCCGCTTTCCACGCTGCACGCGGATCCGAGACGACAAAGACTGGGCCACGGCCACCTCCCTACCGCAACTCCGGGTGAGTCACCCACTTCTGCTGCTCATCTGCCCTTCCTTTAGAACCAGGAGTGGAACTTCACTTGATTCTTAGGGGAAGCAGCTGTAGCTCAGTGGTGGAGCATCTGTTCTGCATGCAGAAGATCCCAGGTTCAGTCCCCAATGACGTCACCAGGTTAGATTGGGAAGGTTTCTCCTGCCTGGAATCTAGGAAAGCCGCTGCCGGTCAGTGTGGACAGTACTGAGCTAGGTGAACCTGTGGTCTGACTCAGTATGAGGCAGCTTCCTCTGATTCATAGAATCATAGAATTGTAGAGTTGGAAGGGACCTCAAGGGTAATCTAGTCTAACCCCCAACCCTATAGTCAGAACCAAGAGGTCTAGAATCATGCTTAGGTGTGGCTGGCAAATCCTGAAGGGTATGTCTGAAATCCTGGAGAGCCGCTGTCAGTCTAGGCAGTTCTGAGTGAGATGGACCAAGGGTCTGGCTCAGCTTTATTTGTACAGTGGTGCCCCGCAGACGAAAAGAATCCGTTCCGCGAGTCTCTTCGTCTTGCGGATTTTTTCGTCTTGCAAAGCAAGCCCATTAGAGGTTTAGCGCTTAGCGCTACAGTATTAGCTGATAAGCGGCTTAGTATCAGCTGTTAAGCGGCTTAAAGATCAGCTGATAAGCGGCTTAGCATCAGCTGTTAAGCGGCTAACAGATCAGCTGTTAAGCGGCTTAGCCATCAGCTGATAAGCGGTTTAGCAGCTTGGGAAAAAGGGGGGGGAGGGAAAAAACCCTGCAGGAACTCGCAAGACATTTTCGTCTTGCGAAGCAAGCACATAGGAAATTCGTTTTGCGAAGCACCTCCAAAACGGAAAACCCTTTCGTCTAGCGGGTTTTCCGTCTTGCGAGGCATTCGTCTTGCGGGGCACCACTGTACATGTGTGTTTGTAAATAGATAGATAGATCTTTTAAAATTATAATCTCTTGTTTCAAGGGAAAGGGCTGCAGCTCATTGGTGGAGTGTCTGTTCTGCATGCAGGATATCCGAGGTTCAGTCCCCAACGGTATCCCCAGGTTGGGTTGGCAAGGCTTTTCCTGGCTGAAACCCAGGGGAGCTGCTGCCAGTCGGTGTAGACAATACTGAGCTAGATGGACTGGAGGCACCTTCCTTTGTTCCTTGGCTGAGGGTTTCTTTCCTGTTTTCTAATGGCAAATCCCTATACTCTGGCGGGCGGCAGGAGCTATACCAGTTGTCCAAGGAGAAGTCTGACTTCACTGTGGTCGCCATGGAGGAGGAGAACTCCACAGCTGGCAGCAGCGGAGAGACAGAAGGGCAGTCGAGGTCTTCCACTCCCCGCAAGGCTCCGAAGCAGCCCTCCAGCAAGTCCCCAGCAAAAGCTAAGAAGCCTGAAGGTGTGGGGGCTGGGATGTTTGTTGCTGTGGGAGGGGGGCTGGGGAGGGCTGTTGAAAGTTCCCTTGGGCATCAAACCCTGCCCCAAATACAGACACACCCAGCTGGGTTCTTGCTTTCTCTTTTGACAACACATGGTGAGAGGTGCATCTGTAGAAGCAGGGCCTTTATGGTCATGGCCCCAGGGCAGCCCAAAGCCACAGTTCTTAACTCTATTTTTAAGGGACTGCAAGGTGCACCTTTTTTTCTTATGGGGATTGGGGTCAGAGATGGAGGGAAGCTTCTGGCCCTCCAGATGTTGCTGGACTATAACTCCCAAGGACTATAAGTCCCAGCATCCGCCTTGGCCATTGGCAGGTGCTGATGGGAGTTGGACATCTAGCAAACCACAGGTTCCTCCATCCCTGCAGAGGGCATTGTGCACTGATCAGTCTCTCAGTTCATCAGTGATGCTGTTCCATTTTTGTAATTCATGCTTTAGGTTTCTCCGTGTCACTAATTATAATAGTTACTTATTTTTTGTTCTGGAAGCTGCTCTGAGCTTTGGACAAGCAGCATAAAATTGCTTCTGGATAACATCTCATGGAGGGGCAACACCCAAAGCTTGTTCGGTGCCAATCTCTGCCACATGCTTTCCAGAACACTCTCAGGGCCACCCTAAAGCCCATCCAAACCCTAGTGTAAAGACAGGCTGTTGCAATCAAGTTGCCTGTCAGTAGCCAGGAATAGGGTGATGATCAGTCACTGTAAGAAGGGGAGAGACTGTATTTCAGTTGGTGGAGCACTCGCTTGGCACCCAGAAGGTCCCAGATTCAGTCCCCAAGTGGGAGACACTCCTGCATGAAATGCTGGAGAGCTGCTGCCAGTCAGTGTAGACAGTACTGAGCTAAATGGACCAATAATCTCACTGGACTAGATTGGCCTATTCTAGCAGGCTGTTCTTCTGTGGCTTTAACTGATGCAGATAATTGTTTTAAGTGATCAGTTTCCCACTCCACAGTTTATGGGGTAAGGTGGGCTAGAAGACCAGTGCACACCGCCACAATATGCCCACCTTTGACCCTTCTACACTGCCCTCTCCCTTCTGGCAAGGCACCCTAACTCACTGATGTAAATGTTTTGTTGTCTTTTTTCTTTTTAGCCAGCAAACCTGTAGAAAAGTCCCCGCTGAAGAAGGCCACGGAGAAGCGAGGAGAGAAGAGGAAAGCCTCTGAGCTGGAAGGAGAGAAGGGGAAGGTAAGAGGACCTGACCTCCTCATCCCTCTTGTGGGATATGGATATCAGTGGCTACTAGCCAGGATGGCTATAATCTGCCTGCACTGTTGGAGACAGCTTGCCTCTGAATAGCAGCTCCTGGGGGGAGTGTACTCACCCCCTGCTTGCGGACTTCCCAGAGGTAGGTGGCTAACAGGTGTGAAAAGGCGTTCCTTTGGCCTAATCGAGCTGTGCTCTTCTTACTTTCTTGTAAGTGAAGGAAGCATTCTGAATAACAATCTGCATACTTTGGAAAGAGAAAATGTTTCATAGAATTGTAGGAAGAGACCCAAAGGGTCATCTAGTCCAACCCCTTGCGATGCATTTAATTCCAAAGGAAGCCTTCCAGTGATGGAAATGCTTTGTCGGGGGCTTTTCAGGCATTGCCAATGAGTGCCTGCAAAGCCCCTTTTGTCCAAGCACTTCCCCATCTTCGGTGATGTCAGATAGGCGTGGCTCAGTTGAAGCAACCTCGTGGGCCAAGTGGAGAAGTCCTGTGGGCCGCCAGTTCCCAACCCACCATATAGCAAGCTGAGTCCCTCCTCACTCACCAACCAGTTGTGTTTCTTCCCATTTCTCTATCCGCAGATGCTGCTGGATATCTTCACTGGGGTGAAGCTGTACCTGCCTCCTTCCGTGGAAGGCTTCAGCAAAATTAGGCGGTATTTTGTCGCCTACGACGGAGACCTAGTCCGCGAATTCGACACCTCCTCAGCGACACACGTTATGGGGGACGTGGAAGAGAATCCATCTGCCAAGCACATCTCCCCGGACTGGATCTGGGAGTGCATACGGAAAAGGAGGCTGGTAGCCCCTTGCTAAGCTGGTCTTTGGCCCATGCCAGGGCCGCAGCAGCCACAGGGACAGGTGAGGGGAGCAAGGTGGCTTTTAAGGATGCCTTGGCTACATTTTTAAAGAAAAGGTTTAACACCTTTTGGGATGAAATTTTCAGCTCTGATAAACTGACATTATGGAAATCAAATTAAATATCACCTCATGGGTCTGTTCTTATTTCTAAGAATAAAGGGGTATAGTTGTCGTCCTGTCCCGTCCCCCGCAAAATGAAAAGGTGGTATTTAAGTCTAAGGGAGTAAGTCTCCTACTACAGGGTAAAGACCCACAAGTGCAGCAGAGCTGTCACTGCCATGCAAACTCCTCAGCCAAGTCTGAAGGTTTCTGCCTTTTACTCCCCTTTCTTAGAAGAGAATCTTCTCCTACCTCCTCCCCATGTCCCAGTGGGAACATGTTGCCTGGCTTGGGAAGAGGCTGTCATTCAAATTTCCATGGCTTCAAACTTGACCATTAGCCTGACCACTGTAGTTCATGTGTTGTGAAGTGACCAGACTGCTGATGGGAGCTTTAACACATGACACCCGTGTTAAAACAGCTGCACTGGCCACCCATCTGTTACCGAGCCAGGTTCAAGGTCCCTGTATTAATTCACAAAGGCCTGAACAACTTTGGTCCTAAGTATCTCAGGAACTACCTGAACCCTTATATCCCAGTTCAGTCACAGAGATCATCTGCAGGAGTGTTGTTGGTCATTCCCCAAGTAGGTGAGGCTCATTTGACAACAGCAAGGAATCAAGCCTTTAGTGTCATCAGTCCAGTCCTGTGGAACACACTGCCACTAGATTCAGCAGGCACCTTCTGTGCCAACTATTAAACGTCTGCCAAGAGCTTTTCTGTTCTACCAAGCCTATGAAGGCAATTAAGAATACAGCCTTCCTCAGTGGTTAATTGATGTCTGTTTTTAACTTTGTTGCTGTAAACTCCTTTGATATGTTTCTAATGACACAGCAGTATACAAATATTAAGAGAGGTGACAAGGCATTGCTGGTGACAAGGGAATGCAGTCAGGGAGGAATGGTGGGCTTTTTTTCAGGGGCAACTCACAGGAACTCAGTTCTGGCACCTCTCTGCTGAGTGCCATTGAAGAAGAAGAAGAAGAGGAGGAGGAGGAGGAGTTTGGATTTGATATCCCATTTTATCACTACCCTAAGGAGTCTCATAGCGGCTAACATTCTCCTTTCCCTTCCTCCCCCACAACAAACACTCTGTGAGGTGAGTGGGGCTGAGAGACTTCAGAGAAGTGTGACTAGCCCAAGGTCACCCAGCAGCTGCATGTGGAGGAGCAGGGAATCGAACCCGGTTCCCCAGATTATGAATCTACTGCTCTTAACCACTACACCACCCTGGCTTGCCATTCTAAGAGAATAAGGGAAGTGTTTGTGGTGAGTTCTAGTACCTCTTTTTCTAGAAATGTAGCGCTGACTCCAGGTGCCACTAGTTCTAGAGAGCAAGCCTGACAATGCACACTTTACTTGGGTAACAGAATGGATTTCCACTGGTTGAATACCAGCCTCAAATGATGCACGTTTTCTAAGAGCGTCAGAGCACATTGCTACCGAAAACCTACTTGGAGCAGGGAGGCAAAGGAGTGTATCTGCTGTTGAAAAGATGACAGAAGTCACTTTTTTATAAGGCATTTCCATTTTATTATAAAATTATAAGGCAGGATTCAGCTCCACCATCTGTAAGAAACTGTGTGTGGTTCAACAGGCCTCAATTAATAGACTTAACTTTCACGGTCAAACAAAGCATACATTTGCTGTATTAAAAAAACCCAAAAAACTTTTCAGACAAATTTTATTTTCCACAGCTTTAGGGCAGCAGCTTCCTGCCAAGTCACAAACCAGCATCACTTTCACCAGATCACAGCCCAGGAAGCATAGCCAGCTTTGCAGCAAAGGAAGGAGGAGCGATCAGTTAAGACCAGCTTGTGCACTTTGTTACCGAGACAAACATAAGCAAGTTGAATGGGTGGGGAAATTCCCATCTCCAACCACACACTCTTCCTGTATCTAGCTCTGCTTTCCAGAGTTAACTGCTAGACACAAATAGTTCCCTGTTAAATCTAATAATGCACTTAATTTACCCATGTGTGTAGACCAATGTATTTTCCTCATTTAATGAGCTGCCTCTTTCCTGCCTCCCCATCTATCCCAAATATATTCCTTTACTGATAGCTCTTCCTTATGAATGATTAAAATTCATCCCCTTGATCTTTTTTAAATCATTCCTCAAAACTGCAACCACATAAGAACTTCACCAAAGTTTGAGGGTGGGAGCAGGAAGAATTGTGCATACAAAGTAGTATCATTCTCAGATACTGGCTTTCCTGCAACATTAACCCCATATAAACGCCATCCCCACAGCTTGTCAGCCTACCTAGAGCTTGGAGAGTGAAGTTAGGATCAGAAAAATTGGCGAAGGCTTTTCCTACAAAGGGAAAAGAAATTTGGAAGATCAAAGGGAAAATGGCTCACATAGGGTTTCCACTGCTAGCTGTGAAAATTGGAAATAACGGAATGCTCAGGCTTTACTCCACATCTGTAGTCTGTTGGTGTGCTGTTTTGGTACAGCTCCATTGCTGAGGCAAGTAAACAAGCAAGATTAGCTCTTCTCCCCCTAGGCACAGGTGTGTGAGTTATAAAAATCTTCCAGTCCTTGAGTAAATAAAGCAGCAGCCAATTAAAGTTGTTCTTTGGTTTAATCGCTCCCAAGCAGAACTTATCCCCCCTTTCGCTGTCCGTACTGGCTAAGCTGGCAGCAAAAGTTATAGAGGCATATGCAGACAGCACATCTGTCCAGCAGCAGGTTCTACCCAGGAGCAAGGGGTGAGGGTCCCATCACTTTGCAGGCCCACAATTCAGGTACAAACGGTCCAGTTCAGAAGCCAGATCTTTGGAAAGAATGGGGCATCATAGTGCATATCAAACATGGTGCATGCACATGTTTTTTTCTGGAAAGACTGGTGCCTCAGAAAGCTATGCTGCCATGAAGATTAAAGCATTCAGGGAGGGGAGAGAGAGTGAGCCTTGCTGCCACAAGGAAGGATGTAGCCTGCCTTTTTCCACAATGGACATGTCTACCCGCAGGCAAGCAAAGACCAGCAGCAATACACTGTCTACAGCCCCACTCAACCACTCTACATACACATTTTACGCCCAACACTTTTCCCACAAGCCCCTTTCTGTAACTGCGCAAGACTCAAGAAGTTTAAGGCAAGTTTATATTATTCAGCCCCCACCCCGCAACCCTTCATCTCTGCGAGGCACTTAAAATACGTGGAGTTTGGTCCAGAAAGGCCACTGGGTCCACTTGAGAGTTAAGACACTGCTGAGGGAAAGAACAAGCAGAAGAAAAAGTACCATTGTTGTTTAAGGCTTTCGAACCACAGGGGAGAGAAAGGCAGAGAATGTGTGTAAACAGAGCTGCTGCTCCCTGGATATTTCCAAACCCATGTCTGAGAGTTACTGATGAGAGGCTCCACCGTTAACAGTAAGAAGATGGGCTCTCCTTAAGACGGGGATATTGTTCTGTCTCCTCCAGGCAACTGCTTTAATTTTTAAAAAAGTCCATGTTCAGGGGAATTGACAAACCAGAGGCTGCCGTCTGGGTGATGTATGAAGCGGCACTCGAGAGCTGATTTCAGGGTAAAAGGGCAGGGGCCCTTACCTGCAGGAATCTCCCCTGCCATTGGCAAAGTCCTCTCTTCCAAATTGAGCCAGCTCTCCAGCAGATGGCTAATGGGCTTGCCTTCTCAAAACAGGCAACTGAGATGCCATGGTTTGGCATCCATAAGGCAAAACAAGCATTTAAAAAAATAAAAAGCCAACTAGCACGCAGTCTTCAGCCTCCTAAAGTAAGCTGATGAGAAATTTGTCCATTCCAGTTTCATAGCGGAGTCGCCAGAGACCCAACAAAATAATCTCAAAACTGTCTACTCACACTAATATCATGATTTATCAGCGCACAAGGGCCTTGGGGGAGTTCAGAGACACATCAGAAAGAGGTGACTGGTTTTACCACTCCCCAAAATGAAACTGCTCTGGCCAAGGTCCATTCCAAAGGGTATGGGCCCTCCTTTCCTACACAGAACAGAAGACATAACTAATTCTACAAGTAAACCCAGGGCTCTGCAAAGACCACTGCGCTTGCTCACAGGAAGGAGGCGGTAAACATAAAATTATGAAAAGCAAGGAAGTAGCCCCAAAGACACTTATGTGCCAAGAAACTGGACTGAAATGTCTCCTTCACAGTTGCAAATCCGCTCCCAGTCCCACCTTGCATGAACGGGAGGGACGTTCCTCACCATGGCCACCAGGAAGCCACGCATTTGCTTGGATTATGCATCCAAGGCAGCATTTAGCCTGACCTGCAAGGCTAGCGAACAAACCGAAGAGGTCCTTGTGTTTTGTTTCACCCAAAAAATGTAAAAACGCTTTGAAAAGAGGAACAAGTCCCAGAAATGAAAATGCTGATGTCCCGGTAAATGGCCTCTTTAGAGAAAAGAGGAGAGAACTGAGAGCAGCGAGTTATTTCTTCCTCTTTAGACCACCTTGTTTTATTCACTCCAGAGGGGAAGGGCCTCAACGTCTGGGGGAAAGCCACGCCTTTTGTTGATGCCCTGTCGCAAGCAAACAGAGAGAGGGAGGAACGGCGCATCCCTTTCGAGATCTGCTGAGGATTTCCAGCTCTCCAGGCACTGCGGTATAATGTACAGTATCGTACGTGTGTGGGGAGGGGGGAGCCCAGCCTATCACAGCTCTTGAGTCTTTTTGCAGTTCCTCCATCCCTTGCCTCACCAATCGCCTGTAAGGGGGCGCCTTAGGAATGGATGGGAAGAAGGGGCTGGATAGCTGGGACCCATCAGCTCTCCATCACAGTGGGGTGAGTCTTCTAAGACGATATTCCGCCCTGCATCGGACAAAGCCCTTAAGACCTGAAGACATGGACAGCTCTGATCACGTACTGCCGGCAGATGGGGCACTCGTTCATGCGCTTCCCACACTTGGTGCAGGTGACCATGTGGCCGCACTCCAGGAGGACGCAATCAATGACGGAGTCCATGCAGATCTTGCAGAGGTTGTCCTCCGAGCCAGGGAGAGTGGCGTTGCCAGATGGAGCTGGAACGGCAAAGGGGGGACTTGATTATAAGAAAAAGAAAGCCTCAAAGCAGCTTACAAACAGGAAGAAAAAGAAACTATCAATGAAAAGTTATTTAAAACGTTCAGAAAAATAATTCAAATCAACAATAAGCTAAACACAGATTAAGACTCTCGTCGAACATTCTACATGTCTGGATATATAGTTGTTTTAAACTGCTTTTAATATGCTGTACAGTCGTACCTTGGATCCCGAACACCCTGGAACTCGGACGTTTTGGCTCCCAAATGCCACAAACCCGGAAGTGAGTGTTCCTGTTTGCGAATATTCTTTTGGAACCCAAACATCTGACAGGGCTTCCACAGCTTCTGAATGGCTACAGGAGCTTCCTGCAGCCAATCAGAAGCCACAATCTGGTTTTCGAACATTTTGGAAGTCAAACGGACTTCCGGAACAGATTCCGTTTGACTTCCAACTGTACTAGTGTTTTAACATTAATGTTGTTTTTTCTTTGTTGTAACCCACTCTGGGAGCTTAGAGTGAAGGGTTGGTAAATAAATTAAATAAATAAATAAATGGCTTGCCTAAACAAGAATGTTTTTAGCAAACATCAAAAAAGTAGTACAGTGAAGGTGCTTTCCTGATGTCAATAGGCAGGAAGTTCCACAGAGTGGGTTCTGCCACACTGAAAGTTTCTTCTTCACTAAAAGTTCTTACAAATGTGGAATGAGTGTCCTGTGGCACCTTTTAACGGTTTGGATCAGTCGAGTGGGCACATATGAGGTAAGGTGATCTTGCAGGTAAACTGGTCCCAAGTTGTTAAGGCCTTTACATACTAATAGTAACACCTTGAACTTAGCCGGACAGCAAATCAGCAACTAGTGGAGATTCCTGAGCAGAGGCATTCTCTGCTGATGGGCAATCATGCTACAACTTCCAAATCTGGAACAAGGGAAGCCCCACATGGAGCACACTGGGGGGGTGGATGGGGCCCATGTCTGAGCGAGAGCCACTTTCCAAAACTTCCCAGCATCAACTCTGGGCTTTGCCATTTTAAGATTCTTATCCTATCATCAAGGTGTATACACATTCATATATGATTGCTTGCTGTCCATCAATGAGAGAGACAAAGTCCCACCCCCACACAAAATAAATGCTTGTCCTTCCCAGTGAACAACTATTTTGAAAGGGAGAAACAAGGGCTGCTTACCAGCTTGATCATCCGTATCAGAAACTGAAAACAGAAAAAGAAGTTTGATGAAATCCTATTGCAACAGTGCTCAATATAAATAAACAAGATGTGTCGTTCCCTTGCTACTGCCTTCTGGGAAGAAGGGAGTGGGGACTGGAAAAATTACTTAGGAGAAAAAGGAACAAAGCTCTGGGAATGGGAGATCCTATGGTGGGCCAGAGGCTCTTACACTTTTTATGCCAATTTCATGAGACCCTGTGGTGCATCAGGCCAATGGATCATCTAGTCCAGAATCCTGTTCTCACCGTTGCCAACCAGATGCTTGTTAGGGGACCCAAGTGCAAGAACCCCTTCCTTTTCTTTGGTTTCCAGCAACTGGTATTCAGAAACATTGCTGCCTCCAACTGTGGAGGCAGAGCAGAACCCTCATGGCCATCGATAACTTTCTCTTTCATGAATTTGTCTAATCCTTGAAAGCCGTCCAACTTGGCTCCTCCTAAGGGTGTGAGTTCCATAGATTAACCATGTGCTGTATGAAGAGGGACTTTCCCTTATCCTAAATCTCCCAACATTCAACTTCATGGGAAGTGAATGGGTTCTAGTGCTGGGAGAGGGAGAAAAACCTTTATCCACTTTCTCCATGCTGCGCAGCATTTCACAAACTTGTGGGATGCCGCCTCTTACTCAACTTTTCTCTAAACTAAAAATGCCCTCTCATTCCCACAGATATACAAAGATATGTGCATATGAAATACATATACCATGGGTATGTAAACTAAGGCCCGGGGGCCGGATCCAGCCCAATCTCCTCCTAAATCCGGCCCGCAGACGGTCCAGAAATCAGCGTGTTTTTACATGAGTAGAATGTGTGCTTTTGTTTTAAATGCATCTCTGGGTTATTTGTGGGGCATAGGAATTTGTTCATCCCCCCCCCACCCCCGCCAAAAATAATATAGTCCAGCCCCCCACAAGGTCTGAGGGACAGTGGTCAGCCCCCTGATGAAAAAGTTTGTGGACCTTGATATATACCGTACTTTTCCGTGTATAAGACTATTTTAAGTTAAAAGGGGGGGTAGTCTTATACACGGGGGCAATCTCCCCATTTTCTTAATTTTGAGTCCCCAAAAATATGGGGCCTCTTATACACGGGGACATGTTATACACTGAAAAATACGGTGTGGGTGTGCATTTTCCACCCCCCCCCCAAAAAAAGAATCCTTACCCAGCTGCTGAAGGTCCTTCTCTTTGTACAGGCGGGTCACTCTCTCCATCAGCTCCCATTTCTCACAACAGCCCTTGTAGTTGACAAAGTTCCGAGCGAGGATCTCCTTCAGCTGCCTTACAGAGAGGGCATCAATGTCTCTCACACTTGTCAGGTCAGAGAGAGATGCCCTCCGCCCCGGAACTAGGTTATCCTCAGAGTCGGTGGACTGAAATACAAAGCAGTTTGCGGGTAAGGCTGCGAGGCTTCAGCCTGGCTCTGCTGCAGCAAAAAGGGGGGCCCTCTCTATCTGCTAGCCAGCCAAAATCAGCTGTCTCTCCAACACATGCCAGGGTTTAGGCATGAAGGCACAGACTTTACAAGACGGGTCTTCAGGTGCAGTCCCTGCTCTGCTATGTGGAAGTCACACACATAAATGTTTCACCAAGCATATGGGAGTGTAAGGATATCTGGGCACCCGGTGCTAGAAACCAGATTTCTTTGCCTACAATGCCTTTCTAACCTGGACCCATGAACTGGGGGCAATATTTATCAGGGTGCATCAGGGTGAAGATAGTGGCACGAATGTGTTTAGCTTTAATAAAAACACACGGGTGATAGAAACCGAAAGACTTCTCAAACCGACTGCCTTCCAGATATTTTGGACTGTAAGTCCCATCAGCCCCAGCTAGCATGGCCAATGCTCAGGGATGGTGGGAGGCATCCTCCAAAACTTGCACAGGGCACCAGGCTGGGCTATGGCAATAAGAGCTGGAAACCAGAGGGCTGGGAGATAGAGGGGCTACAACAGCAAGCTTCAGTCATCTCACCTCCTTGATACTAAGAAAGGACCAATCAGTGTACTTCCTCTAAGTGTAACTCCATCCCATCCCATTTCTTCATTAATTTGTAATTTTTTAAAAGAAAAGAAAAACCATATTCAAATACAAATTCAATGCATTTCTCAATAATACTTTTATCCTAATCCATTTGCATGCTTTGCAGTACGTTTTTCTGAGCCAAGAACTGGAATTACAAAATTCAGAGAAGCGCAAAACCGAAAGGCCTATCATATTTCTGATCTATCTATTTGCCTGGGAGTGGCAAACTAGGTCAGTTTGTTTAAAAAATGTGGACTAAACAAATTCCTATCCTGACATCTCACACACAACACAAAATCCCCTAATATTCTATCATGATTGGCTGTGGCTCACTTTTGGAGCCAATACTGGCGAAGACGTAGGGCATAAATAATATACCGCACAGATAGAGATATACACATCTCTTATACAAACAGATTTACTATATTTTGGAAAGCATTCAGACACCTTTTACACTATCGGCACCCAATTTTGCATGATGGTTCCTGAGACTGAGGAGCAGGTTTTCATCTATGTTTAGATACAACTGGATGCCTTTTTGAACCTAGAGGGCAGACTGAACCTTTCAGAACCGCACAGATTTTAGCCACCAATTTCAAAACCGCATTCGCTTTTTTGCCTTCCTTGAATGTGTGTGTGTACACACACCCTTTGGCATTTCGGAACCAGAGGAACGCAAAACAGGTTTCAAGCTCCATACAATCAGCTGGTGGGTAGCAGAGGACAGGGACCAGTCCACCAGCGAGGGGACACCATACTGTGAAATTCAAGCTGTGGGACTGCAGAAGCAGAGGTAAGTGGACGAAGATTCCATAGGGCCACACGTAAATGATTTTATGGGTAAAAATGGGGCTTGAACCTACCTTGAAATCCATCCGCTACACCACCAAGGATCCCCATAATCTTTTTCGGTATCCAGAGCACTCATTGCAACCCCTGGCCCACCCCCACACGGCCTCCCCGTTCTGGCTGCATCATCGGCCCTCGCCTACCTGCGTCTCCTCCTCGGTCAGTGCTTCCACTGCATTCTCGACTTCCGCCATGTCGCCCTGGTTCGGTAAGACATGCCCATTTGCCTAGGAGGAAAACAGATGCTGCTGAAAGACTGAACTCCCTAGAAAACCCACCGTGGAGAGACAGAAGAGTCTAGAAAAGATGCTGGGCCATCTCTGGAGGACCCTGAACCCACCCAAAGCTGATTTACAGCTGCTGGCCTGACGCAAGGTGGGATGGAGTGCAGAGGGAGGGACAAAGAGGAAGAAAAATTCTTGGTTCAATGTGAAGAGTTTCTGGACTAGGGAGGAGGTTACGGTTTTGGTGGGAGCATTGCTTTGTTTACTATTTGCATATGGTGGTTATTATTATTAGTAGTAGTAGTAGTAGAAGTAGTAGTGGTGGTGGTAGTGGTGGTATTAATACTACTACTACTACTACTACTACTACCACTACCAATGCACTTGCTATTGTTTAAAGAGATGCTATGTTGTTTTTCCGTAAGTTGTATATTATTATATGAAATGATAATGTGTTATATGATTCCCTCCCCTCTTTTCCCTATGTTATTGCATATGTGCATCTACTTTTCCTTTAATATCAGTCGCTTAGAGACTTTGGGTAATAGTAAGTTTAAATATATAAGCAATCAATTAATAATAAACAGAAACTCTCCTTTGTCCTTTTGAACTCTAGAAGGATGCACAAGGAATCACAAGAGGAAGAAGCTAAATGCAGGCCTGTTTGCAATCTGGCTCTCACAACTCTAGGACTTAATGGCCAAACTGACAACTCCTGTCCAAGTGAGTCAAACAGGCAAGAAAATCACTACTTTTCCATCAGCCTGGCATAATTTTATTCCATATGCAGCATCAATGGAACATGGTTATAGGTTTCTGAGAATGGAATGATACCATTGTATAAAAATTGAAATCAGTAGATTTCAGTCACTGGGTAGCTCAGTCGGCCAGAGCATGGTGCTGACAACACCAAGGTTGTAGGTTTGACAGCTGCATATTCCTGCATTGCACTCTATGATTCTATGACTTGAAATGCAATTAAATAGGCATGTGGTGCTTCTGTGCGGTGCTGATACGTAAGAACAAAAAAATCACCTGTGCATGAATCACTCTTTACAATATATATATATTGCAAATAAAGAAAAACAAAAATAATGGGGTGGGGGGAACCAAGAGGAAACTCGGGCGATCCCAAACACACCCAAGCTGGATGATGAAATTGCTCCCAGCTGGGAAACGACGTCTGCTGGGCCCCTTTACCTTAATGTTGACTAAGCCCCGTTAAGACCGCCTAGGCTTGAGTAGGGAAACCCTAGGGTGGTGTCCCCAAGGCCTGGGTCAGTCATGATTGAGCTGCAGAGAGGCACCAGGAGCCCATGCTGGGAAGGCCTGGCTCTGCCCTGCTGCCTTCCATTGTGATGCGGGACTGACATCACGGAGAATGCAAGGCAGCCTGGCTCTTTGTGACACAGCGCTGCAGGGCCAAGGGCACTCCAATCTCTGCAGGGCGGCTGGGTGCTCCCCAACCCATGTCTTGTGGAGGGGTGGGTGGGCCAAAAGGGCTCTATGGTCTCCTCCGGCTAGCCTGTGGGCTAAAGGGTTGAGCCATGGCAGCACGCAGCAGAACAGTGAGAGGCTGCCAGGGAGCTGCATGAGGTTGGTAAAGATCAGTGGTCACCCAAGGGCTTAGTGGTGCTCTTAAGAGCCCGCCCGTGCCTGCCCATGCTCAATGACCCCTCGGTGATGAGGGGCATTTCCTTTTCCTCCCTTGAAAAAGACACAAAGCTGTAAGAGGAGGCAGGGAAGAGTGCCACTCTTTCCCACTTCCTCTTCCAGCTCTATGTGTTTTCCAAGGCTCAGGTTAATTCTACTGGAGTTTATTTTTACCTGGAACACTTCAAAAAGTAAAGGTGGGTGGGTGAACACCCTATCTCTTTATTAATGCATGTGGGAGGGAGAAGAGGCAGAAGGGAAGGCACCCACAGCATTCAACTCAAAACTAGGGAAGAGGCTTTGTTGGTAGCGGCACCCCCCAAGTTACACAATGCTCTCATCAGAAAGGCTCACTTAGCACCTACATCAGGATTTTCTCAGGACCTATATCTTGGAAAGGGCCATAGTGCAGTGCAAGAGCATCTGCTCTGCATGCAGGAGGTGCTGGGTTCAAATTCAGGCATCTGCAGGTAGGGCATGGACTGTCTGAAGCCCCAAAGAGCCGCTTCCAGACATTTGTAGCCACTTCTAAGCTAGACGGAACAAAAAGGCAGTTTCCTATATTCTTATATTCTTTCAGGCCTTTCCTGGAGTTTTCGCATTATTTTTATAGCACTGATGATGCTTTGTAATGCTTTCAGGCTGGTTTTACACCAACCTCAGAGGCGGATTTAGAGAAGCGCAAATGCTTCCACCGCACTGGGCACAGAGTCTTGGAGTCACTGCAGGGTGTTGCAACTATGACGTAGTTGTAAATTGGGCAGAACGGAAGGGGAGAGGCGCCAAATCTTGGCCTCACACAGGGCACCGCTGAAATTGGAAAGACCAAAATCCAGCCCTGCCCACCTTAGCACTGGGGCACACACAGGACATGGTAGGCTGGGCAATATAGAAATGCCAAGACTGATAAATAAAGTCTACGTATGCAGCTATGAACCCTTGAAAAGCAAGCCAAGAACCTTACGAAGCCGCCCAAGAGTGAGGGCAATGACCACACAGGTGTTTCGACAGGAGATTAACACTCGGCCGGGCGGTACCTGTGGCTGCTCCTCAGTCTGCAAGGCAGGGTCTGTCGCAGCCCACTCAGGAGGGCAGTCCGGTGAGGTAGGTGCAGGGGCCTCTTGCTCCTGGACAGGGGAGACGATTGTCACCGGAGGAACCCGGGCAGTCCTGTCTCCCTGGGGACCCACAGCGGGCTGCTGGCCGATGATCAGACACACCAGCTCATCCTTCTCGCGGCACATTTCGGTGGAGATCTCCCGCAGCTCCAGGTAGTCCCGCAGGTCTTTCACCTTCATTTTGATTAGCTCCTCCCGCTGGAAGGCTGTGGCCCGGAATCGCTCACAGAGGTGGCAGAGGCAGGGGCCGCTCTCCGGCTGGTGTGAGCAGGCCAGGCAGAAGGTCTTTTTGCAGTCCAGGCAGGTGTGCTGTCCAGAAAAGGGAAGAGAGGAATGTCAGGCGGAGGCAAGCAGGGCAGAGGAAGACACAGGCCAGTGCTTCCCAAGGTGGTCAGTGGTGCCCCCTGGGTGGGGTTAAATGACTATCGGATGAGTATCACTGGACCAAGTTCATCAGTTCTGTTGAATTAATAAAACTAAACAGTTTTAATTGCATTTTTAATAAATGTGCAATTAACTGTCACTGTTTTGAATGTTATCATGCTCTTATCTTCCTTAGAGAATCATGGAAACAACTAATCAGAATAATGCTTTTTAAAGGGTAAGGCGGCACTGGAGATGTGTTTGTTGAACCAGGGTGGGACAGTGGCTCAAAAATGTTTGGGAGCCTCTGAGATAAGACAGACCTCTGTATTTTGGGCTGGCCCTCAAAAAAAAGAAACAAGAGCTTCTGGGCACTGTAGGATCCTGGATAACAAGTCACCGTTCATATGATTGTTTTGTACTGGTTTGGTTTTCAAGGCATTTCATGTCTTTGTTGTACCTGTGTATATTTTACGAGAGTTTTATACACATAAGGAAATTGATGGCTTGTTAACCAAGAAAATTAGAAGTTGCTGATGGATTTAAATAAAAATGAGTTGGTAGCCCAGCCAAGGTGGGGAAAAGAATGGTGTTTTGCTATCCCAGATTCAAGACTGCTTAGGATTCGGAATTCAAGGAAAGAATCTTCACTCATAGCATAAAAATCTCAACATAAGCCATTGTTGCAAAGGTACTTAATGCCTGCTTCTGCTTAGGATCAATACAACGGATAGAGAAAGGCCTTTGCTGAGGTGCTCCGTAGCAAATGATCAAGTACCAAAATGATCAAGGAGTTGGAGCAACTCTCCTATGAGGAATGACTGCAACGTTTGGGACTTTTTAGTTTAGAGAAAAAGAGAGTGTGACATGATAGTCAAGTTTATAAAATTATGCATGGCATGAAGAAAGTAGGTAGAGAAAAGTTTTCCTCCGTCTCTCATAACACTAGAACTGTTGGACATCCCACAAGGCTGAATACGAGAAGATTCGGGACTCGTAACAGAAATTCCTTCTTCACACAACTATGAAACTCCCTCCCACAGGAGGCAGTGATGGCCACCAACTTGAGTGGTTTTAAAAGAGGATTAGACACATTCATGGAGAGGGCTATCAGTAACTACTAGCCACGACGGCTATTGCTCAGCCTCCACGGCTGGAAGCAGCAGTTGCTGGAAAGCAAAGGAGGGGAGAGGGCTGCTCTTGTGCTGGGGTCCTGCTTGAGGGTTTCCCACAGGCTTCTGGTTGGCCCCTGCAAGAGCAGCATGCTAGACTACATGGGCCACTGGCCTGATCCAGGAGTCTGTACTTAAATGCTCACCTTACACATATGTGATGGTATGTCTGATTCAGTATAAGGCACTGCCCAAAATTTTTAGCCATTGTTTTTTTAAATCACATTTTTACAGTGGAGAGGGTGGGGAGAGGAGAAATTACAGGTGCGCCTCGTGTCATGGAGATAATTCAGTATAAACTGCTGAGATGCTCAGTGAGCATCCTGCTCTCCATGATCATATGATGCTCCCTCCATTTACTGACAGCAGCAAAATGAATGCTTGCATGCATGATGCAGAATGCTGCTCCCTTGCCTTGAGTCTGAATGGAGTCTTGTTCTGTGGTGACCTTTGGCTGTAAACAAACCAACCTGGCTGACTTAAAAAGTGTTCAGTAGATGCAAAACTGGAATGGTGAGGATCTTGGGACACTCAGCCACCAAAGCAGTTCCAGAGAGCTTCCAAGCAGGCTCTCATTTCTTAGGAGAAGGCCAGCAGTCCCTTGTGTTGTGCTGGGGTAGTATTTGTGGTAGCTGGCATTTTAGCCTTGGATTCAAATCCCAGCCCAGCAGTGAAATTCACCTGATCAACCTCCTCAGACTTCCCACATCCCAGAAGTCCTGTCTGTCCCAAGTCAGCTCTGCGTCTAGTACCCCAACCCAGGAAGAGTTTACATGTAGGGGAGGAGCCGTAGCTCACGAGGGGACCAGGGCAGTCACCGCCTCTCAGCCTGGTCTACCTCACAGGGTTGTGGTGGGGATGAAATGAGGAGGGTGGAACCATGTATATTTTCCTACGACATCACAGACTCAGCCGGATCTACCTCGCAGGGTTATTCAAAAAGTAAAAGCTGGGGCAGGAGTGGGGGGAACTGGGTATTCTGCTCTTCTAAGACTAAGCAGAGGATTAAAATTAAACTAAATGCCATTAAAAAGAAGAAATAGCAAGATATAAGAAAAAAGGTCCTATATTAGAAGGTGTGGCCAGTGTGTTTATAAAAGTTCAAGCAATTAACTTTCAGGGAAATAAATCCAAAGTCAAAAGTCGGGCAATATTATTCATTGGGGCCAAAGAAAAATATCACAAAAGCATGGCAAGGTCTTTGGGGAGCAAGGGGGGCATTGCTATGATGGCAGTTAGGCAAAGCAAGGGTTAACCCTGGTGAGCTGTTGGAAACTAACCCAGGATGGTTGGGAAGCTCTCTGTGTAAAGGAGCTGTGCGTGTGTACACAAGCACATAAGTGCACACACATTCCATACAAAGGCTCCACATCCGCCTCCCTTTCCCTTGCCATTTTTCCATCCAAGAACGTGCAGGAGGTCAGATGCTTTCCGAGACTCTGAAAGGCTGGCCTCCTGCCACCCGAACGGAAGACTTCCCAGGAGAAGAAAACCCCTCCTCATTTAAATGGACTTCTCCGAGTGAGAAAATGCCTTTCCTCCTCCGTACCCGCCCCCAGGGTGACTCAAGCGTGCCAGAACTTAAGCCTGCAATACAAGGAAAAACCAGACTGTGCAGAGAAACATACGCTTCCACCGCAGGCATTTCTGTGCGACACAAATGTGCACGTTTGGAACAAAATGTGCAAGTTTGGAACAAGTTCGGGGACAGGAGAGAATAAGGGGGCTCTTGAACCTGCTGTTTTAAAACAGCCTCCCCTAACCTGGTATGCAAATGGCTATAGCCAGCCCTGGGCTGACCCTGAATCAGCCCCACAGTGACTTCGAAGAAAATTATGCCTATGAGAGCCACCTGTTGGGATCCTTCTAGAACCCCAGTTTTCTAGACTAGCCAGCTGGTGACTTTCATTGAAGTCCGCTGGCAGGCCCCTGCTGCTGCTCTCCAGTATTCAGAGGTACAGTGCCCTTAAATGTGGAGGCTCCACTTTCCTAGTGGGGCTAAACCTCTTTCCTGAATTTGTCCAATCCCTCCTGCACCCAACCTTTTAAAAAGCCGTCTCAGCAGGCAGGAGTCACCACCTCAGCTTGTCACAGTAAGCTGTTGCTGCTGTTGTTATTTGAATTTATATACAGCCCTATACCTGCAGGGGTTAGGGCAGTTCACAGGATAAAATCAGAATACAAAACCATAAAATACATATAAAAATAAAAACGACAACCTAATAACCCAAGATTCACAAGTTAAGCTCTGTTGGAAGTAGATGTGTGCGCTCTCTCACTCTCTCTCCTAAGTGTCCATTCAACTTCTCATCAATATTATTATTATTAATAAAAATAATTACTTTCCCTTCATCCCAAGGTCCCAGGTTGGGTTATAACCATGTAAAATATGCAATACAAAACATTTTTTAAAAAAACTTACAATTACCAAAAATGCAATCAATCTCAAGAAATTATATATACAGGCAACTCCCCATATGCAAGGGGGTTGTGTTCCAGCTCACTGCGCACCTAAGTCCACTCTGCCCTCTAAGCGCAGCATTGTGAGCCGACGTGGTCGCTCGTCCTCATCACAAATAATATTTATATACCGCTTAATATGCAAAACCCCGACACAATTCCCATGAAACACAGTAAGATAACTAGAGCAGGTTCCCACCATGGGCTCCCAATGTGGAGCATGACACCCCACTCACCTTAAGGGAGGCGTTGCTGAAACGGGCCCCGCAGCCTTTGCAGCCCTGCTCAGGGCCGGTGGGCGAAGGGAAGGAGCTGTAGCCGGCGTTGGCGTAGGCTTGCGCGCGGGTCCCCTGCTGCGGGCGGTGTTGGATGTCCTCGGGCTGCCCGTTCAGGCAAAACCAGTTGCAGCATGTCGCCCACATGATAAATGGTTAGAACTGGAGAGGGGGTGGGTGGGAAACGAAAGCCAAGATCAGTCAACTGAGTTAAGAAAGACGGTTTCTTCAAACAAAAAAAGCCTGGGGAGTAGGAAGGAAGGCACCACAATGCACATTTCAGAGGGCAGCCAATCCTTTTTTGCTTTGCAGGGAGATAAGAATGCCCTTGCTCTCACAAAAGCAGGAGAGGTGAGCCCATTTCTGGATGGGACCAGTTCAGATTGCAAGGCGGAGGAAGGCTTACGAGACAGAATGTTACTTCATTGCACAGACAGATGGAAACACACATGCAGAGCATGCCGGGAAAACCCCTTGCCTCCAACATGCTAATTTTCTACATGCGAGGAATCTTGATTTGTTTTTTGTCAGGATTTATCCAAAGAGAAACAGCAGCATCTCCCAGCTGACATCTGTTCTGCAACAGCAGAACACTTTTTAAAGTGTTCCTTCTATGGCAGCAAAAGCTGGGCAGTGCTCTTGCACTTAGGTTCTGCTTGTGGGTTTGCCCCAGGAATCTGGTTGGCTGCTGTGTGAACAAGCTGCTGGCCTAGACAGACCATCGGTCATTGGTCTGATTCTTCTTATCTTCTTAAGTACAGTGGTACCTCTGGTTACAAGCTTAATTCATTCCAGAGGTCCGTTCTTAACCTGAGGTACCACTTTAGCTAATGGGGTCTCCCGCTGCTGCTGCTGCTGCTGCTGCTGCTGCCACCACCGCGCAATTTCTGTTCTCATCCTGAGGTAAAGTTCTTAACCTGAGGTACTACTTCTGAGTTAGCGGAGTCTGTAACCCAAGGTGTTTGTAACCCAAGATACCACTGTACTCCAATGTCATAGCTGAATATACTAAAGAGCTTTTGACGTGGATGTTAGCTGCAGTTGGATTTAAATAACCCTTGAAAAATCTACATTTGCCTTTGCAGTTTAAGAACTCAGGGGACTTTGGCTGTTGCATAAAAAAAGTCACACTGAACTGCATGTTCCAAGGGGATATAAAATAATAATAATAATAATAATAATAATAATAATAATAATAATACCACCCTATATAAAACCAGAAAATACATAATCAAAATAAAAACAACAACAACCAAAGAGCCACCGCCCCCCCCAACACATTTTAAAAGGGCATAGGATATCAATCAAATCAACCAAAAGCCTGGTTAAAGAGGAACGTTATTGCCTGGCGCTTAAAGGTGTATAATGAAGGCGCCAGGCGAACCTCCCTGGGGAGAGCATTCCACAGACGGGGAGCCACTGCAGAAAAGGAATGGAGGATGCTATTATGTCATCTGGTGGGATTTTATTTCCTATGGTTCAGACTTAGATGTTCCACATTCACCAGCCACACAGCTCAGTTAATATGGATGCCTCAATTTGTGTGTCCCCATTTATTGCTCTTATGATTTATTGCTTGCTTGCTTTGTATATGGTATGACATAATTCCCTGACACTGCACTTTTGGATTGCTAGTAAAGCTAAACAAAATCAGAAGAAGAAAAAGTGCTCCAACTGGTCGTTCGGGGAATGATTTGGCAAAGTCCCTCTTTCATTCGGGCTCAGGAAAAGCAAGGAAACTCCCGCCAGCCACAGAGAAACCTGCCCGCCCCCCTCAGACACTGCCATTCCTTCAGCAACAGTTCTAATAAGAAGCATCAAGCGCTTGGGAAGCTGCCCAAAACCGTTTGCTAATGACGGATAAGCTGGCAAGACACGATGACAGGTCTGGCAGGCGCCACTGCCCAAAAAAAGTGACGGTTACTTCCGAACTGATGGCTGAACCAAAGTTAACAGAGCTCAGTAAATCCCACTAGGAGGACTCAAAGAAGTGGAAAGCTTCAGCAGCTATACTACTCACACAATTGGTGGGCAGATGTTCAGAACTGCAAAACTGGTCAGTGTCAGGGGTGCTCACAATCGACACTAGGATGTTCCAGGGTGCAGAGCAAGCTTGTTTTCTGCTGCTCCAGAGGGTAGGAACCAAACTCATAGCTTCAAATGACAAGGAAGGAGATTCTGACTAAACATTAGGAAGAACCTTCTGATGGTTATAGCTGTTTGACAGTGGAACTGACTCCCTTGGAAGGTGGTAGGCTCTCATACACTGGAGTTTTTTGAACAGAGTTAGGGTGGCCATCTGTCAGGGATTCTTTAACCACGACTCCTGCATTGCAGGGAGTTAGACTGAATGCCCCTTAGGGTCCCTTCCAACTCTACAATTCTATTATTCTAAGCTGCTATAAAGGCCTTTGCCAACCTATGCCAACCTATGCGCCTTCCAGATGTTTGGGGGGTACATCTCCGGTCACCTCCATCCATCACAGCCATGATCCCAGCAGATTCAGCATCACTGAGTGATGCTGACTGGGGACAATGGGAACTGTATCCCCAAAATATCTGGAGGGCACCTAGGCTGGGCAGAAGCTGGTGTAAACAAAGTGTTTAATGACAATACATATAATTAAAGGGCTGTCCCAAAATTCTTAAATTGCCACCGGAGAGATGAAAAAGAAAAAAGACACCCAGAATGAGGGAGAGAATTTCTCTGGGGAATAATCTGTTGCTTTTTCGGCAGGAAAAGGGATGTATTTTAAGATCTAGTCTGATTACACTGTGTTGTATTTGCATTGCTTATGAGCTGCCTTGGGGTGTCTTCTGTGCCTCAAAGGTGGCATACAAACATTAACATTAACCACTTTAGAAGACAGCAGAAATTAAAACCTAGCAACCTCTCTCTCTCTCTCTCTGTGTGTGTGTGTGTGTGTGTGTGTGTGTGTGTGTGTTTTGTCTCACTCGCTGGATCATCCCCTTGTCAGGGTGAGTGGGCTTGCACGTTCCTATGACCCTTGTGGCCATGACCCTTGTGACCGAAGCCATCGGGAGTCTCGTACTCCCAGCAGATGATCCAAGGCGGTAAGGTCAAAGTGGAGGAGCTAACCATGAATGATCCAAGAAGTCCTCAACGGCAGAACAGGAAGAAGATAACAAGTGGCATGTTACAACGGCTGTGAAGGCGGGTGTGATGGGATGATGAGCTGCTTGTGCGTAAAATAGTATTCCCTCAGAGTTTGTTCAAGTCCACAAACCTCTGTCTGTGACGGAGCCCCTCAGACATGGCTCCTCTAGTCACTAGCAGATTCCGACAGTGGTTGCTTTCGGAATCGCTTCCAACATAAAAGCTCCTTAACGGAAACACGTCTTCTGGACTCTCTGCGTGACAGTTTCCGGCGAGGAGTGGGTGTTCCTACAGGAGGTCCTGAAACCTCCCCACTGTTTTCGCTGGAAGTGTCTCTGAGCCATCCCTCCAGCTCACTTTCCCTCAGCTCAGCTCCTCTCCCCTACTGGTTCCCTCTTCAGCTGCTGAGTCTCTCCCAACCTGTGTGAGCCCTTTCACCTCCCTTCCTTCCGATGGCAGTTCCCTGACATCCACCTCCCCCTCCAGGGCCCCTTTCACCCCCTCTCGCCCCCTCCTCTACGGGCGGTGAGGAGGCAAACCCCGGAATGAACTTCCTTCATCTTCCGATGTCTCGAACACTTCTCTCCACCTGTTGCGGTTCCTGGTCTCGAAGTACTCCTCCTCCTCAGAGTCCATCTCCCCTTCCCCTTCCGAGTCCGGGAATCCTTCCAACTCCTCCTCCTCATCAGTGGTCCCAAAGTATTCCCTCCGGAACCTCTCCACAGGCTGAGGTTTCCTTGGGAACCTTTGATTGAACGTTTCTATCAATATCTCGTCATTGATATCTTCGGCCATTACCCAAGTGTTTTCTGACTCCGGTTCTCCTTCCCACGCTACCAAATACTCCACCTGATCCCCCTTCCACCTGGCGTCGAGGATTTCTGCCACATGGCTGCTGCATTCTCTTTCTTCTATGACCGGTCCCCGAGTGGCCATCCCTTCTCGTCCCCCTTCGTACGGTGACAGTAACGACCTGTGAAATACTGGGTGCAGTTTCATGTGGTTGGGTAACCGGAGCCTGAAAGCCACTGGGTTGACCTGTTGAATGACCTCAAAGGGACCCAACCTCCTGGGTCTTAATTTCTTACAACCTCCTTTGAACGGCAACCCTTGGGTTGACAGCCACACCCTATCTCCCACCCTTATGGTTTCACCTTCCCTTCGGTTCTTGTCTGCCTGCCTCTTGTATTCTTCCTTCGCCCTTTCTAAGTTGAGTTGGAGCTGACGATGGATTGCTTCCATTTCTTCCACAAAATGCTCGGCTGCCGGGACGCTCCATCTCTCCCCATCTCCCCTGGGAAAGCCCTGGGATGACACCCATAATTAGCCAAGAAGGGGCTCATCCCTGTGGACACATTCTCGGCATTGTTGTAGGCAAATTCCGCCAGCGCCAACTTTTCTACCCAGTCATTCTCTCTGTCATTGACATAACACCTCAGGTATTGCTGGAGGACACCGTTTGCTCTTTCCGCCTGCCCGTTGGTTTCAGGGTGCCGGGCAGTCGAAAAATTGACCTCCACCTGCAGTAAGCTCATGAGCTTCCTCCAGAACCTGGAAGTAAATTGTTTTCCTCGGTCTGAGACCACCCTCAATGGCACCCCGTGCAACCTAAAAATGTGTTCTACAAATAACTTCGCTGTCTCTTCCGCCGTGACTGCATGCGAGCAAGCTACAAAGTGGCACATCTTTGTTAGTAGGTCTACCACCACCATGATGGCTGTTTTCCCTTTGGACTTCGGCAGATCAGTCATAAAATCTATCGACACTGCCTCCCAAGGTCATTCTGGGGTTGGTAAGGGTTCTAATAGCCCCGCCGGCGCCCGCCTTTCCCCTTTGGCTCGCTGGCATTGCTCGCACCCTCTTACATACTCACGTACATCTTCCCTCACCTTAGGCCACCAAAATTCCCTGGTGACCAACCACATGGTTTTGTGTTGTCCAAAATGCCCCGCCGTAGGGCTGTCGTGCAACTGCTTGAGTACCCTCCCCTTAAGTCTCCTTCAGGGATATACAGTGCCCCTTTGTAATACAAAGCTCCATTTCTTTCCTCGAAACCCCTGGTTCCTCTCCCTCACCCCTAAGACCTCTGAGCTTATTCTGGGCGTATTCATCATTCTCTGTTTCCTCTACCAGTTCTCTTTGTCCCACCAATGCCGCCCCACACACCCAGCGGTCCTCTGGAATGACATGTCTCTCTTCGGGTGCTCCCTCCCCTCCAAATATTCAGGTTTGCGTGAGAGAGCGTCCGCCCTAATGTTCTCTGGGCCTGGCACGTAACCAATCTCAAAGTTAAATTTGGAGAACTCCTGGGCCCATCTCACTTGCCGTTGGTTGAGCACTCGTGCCGTCCTCCAATACTCTAGGTTCTTGTGGTCAGTGCACACTTGCACCTTATGTTGTGCGCCAATTAGCAGGTGCCTCCATCTCCGGAACGCCTCATGAATGGCTAGTAGTTCTCGGTCATACACCGTGTAGTTCCTCTCGGATTTGTTCAGCTTTCGCGAAAAAAGCACACGGTCTCCACTCTGACTCCTCCTTCCCTGGCTGCAGAAGCACCGCCCCAATCGCTCTGTCTGATGCGTCAGTTTCCACTCTCATCGGTTTTTGTAAATCCACATGCAGGAGTTGTTGTTCCGAGGCGAAGGCCCTTTTAGTTCCTCAAATGCTCGCTCCGCCTCCTCAGTCCAAACGAACTTCTTCTTACTGCTGAGACAGTCCGTAATGGGCGCCGTCAGGTGGGCAAAGTTTCGGATGAACTTACGATAGAAGTTCCCAAATCCTAGGAACCTCTGCACATCCTTCCTTGTTTTGGGTGTTTTCCATTCCAGCACCGCCTGGACCTTGCCGGGATCCATGGCCAATCCCTTGTCTGACAGGCGATACCCCAGGAATTCCACCTCCTTGGTATGAAACTGACACTTCTCCAGTTTCACCCACAGCTGGTTGGCTTGCAGCCTGCTCAACACTTCTCTGACGTCTCTCACATGCTGCTCCTCATTCTCAGAATACACCAACACGTCGTCTAAAAAGGCCACACAATTCTTGTAAAGCAAAGGCCCCAGGACGTGGTTCATAACGATTGAAAGCATGCGGAGCCTGCTTGTAGGCCGAAGGGCATAACCAAATATTCAAATGCCCCTAAAGGGGTGAACATGGTGGTTTTCCATTCATCCCCCTTCCTTATTCGTATCAGGTTGTACGCCCCCCTTAGGTCCAGCTTTGTGAAAATCTTTCCCTTCCGCACCCTTGTCAAAATGTCGTCAATCCTGGGCATAGGGAAGGCCACTGGTTCTGACACTGCATTTAAGGCCCTGAAGTCACACACCAGCCTCGGCTTGTTCGTGTTTTTTTATCCACAAAAACACTGGGCTGCCCCCACCGCCCTGGACTCTCTGATGAACCCTCTCTTCAGGTTCTTGTCAATGAACTCTCTTAGCTCCTGCATCTCTCTGTCTGACATGGCGTACAGCTTGCCTACAGGGAGCTGTGCCCCAGGGAGTAAATTGATTTGACAGTCAAAGGGTCTATGCGGGGGTAGTTGGTCAGCTCCCTTTCGCTGAAGACGTCGCGGAGATCTGCGTATTGTCGTGGTACCTTCACGTTCTCCGTTACTTCCGTCCCTGCTAGGGTGGCTTGGGCCCCTGCCAAACCCTTTCCCTCTTTGCAGTGTTCTAAGCAATGTGCTGAACCAAAAGAAACCACTCTCTGATGCCAGCCCACCAGCGGATCATGTAACGCTAGCCAGCTCATCCCCAATATAATGGGAGCTCCTCCCAAGGTGGCCACATTAAACGCTATCAGTTCGGTGTGCCTTGCCACCTTCATTATCATTGGGACGGTCTGCAAGCTGACTTCTCCTCCCAACAGCTCCCTGCCATCGATCGTGGTCACCTGCAGGGGGTTGCTTAAAGGGATCGTCTGTATCTGGTGTTCAGCTGCAAACTCTTTGCTCATGAAATTGCAGGAGCTGCCTGAGTCCAACAGCGCCTTTATCTTTAGAGGGTGTCCGTTTGGCAGCTCTAGCGCCACTTCTATCACTAGGGCGGGTTTAGGAGGTTCTGGCATGGGCACTCTCACTGCTCTTTGGCCTGGCTGCTGTGCCCCGACGGTGGCAGCCAGGCGTTGGCTTTTACTTGCTCCGGTATTTCTTCCTCTCTTCCCTCCACAGCTCCTACCATCCCTTGCCATTCCTTCCTCTGGGGGCAGACTCTGGCAAAGTGACCTGGCTGTTGGCAGAGATAGCATTTCCGGGCGCGTTTTCCCTCCTTCTTTCCCCCTCACTGGGCTTTGAAACTGCGCGCGCGCGCTGTTCCGATTTCCATCGGCTCTGCCGGCGGGAAAGTTGGCTCTGGAATGTCTGGAATGCGGAACTCCTTCCAACGTTCCCCCCCTTCCCTTCCCGCCTCTCCAATGCTCTCGCCTCCTGGCGCGCTCCTATGGTCAGCGCGGATTTGGTCAGCTGGTCCATAGACTCCGCCCTGGGCGCCCGGGAAAGTTCGTCTTTCACAGCCGAAGAAAGCCCTTCTTCAAAGAGCATTTGAATGGGTTCCGCCGATAAGTCCCACCCCAATCTGTGAACCAGCATGGTGAACTCAGTCCAGTACTCACGGACAGATCGGCTCCCCTGTTTGCAAGCCATTAACTGTCTGCGCACCACTCCCTGTTCAATATCGCTGGAAAACATCAGATCCATGGCGCGAAAGAACTTCATCGTGTCCTTTAGGACGTCACTATTCGCTGCCATCAGGGGTCTAACCCAGTCTCTCGCCCCCTTTTCAAGATGCCCAATCACGAAAGCCACTCGTGATTCCTCGTCAGGGAATTCATCAAACTGCAGATTGAGGGCATATTGCATCTCTGTCCGAAAGCCATGATAGTCTTTGGGCTCCCCCCCAAACTTCTGCACCAATCCTGGTACCTTTCTGGCGAGCTGGGTGGCTTCCCCTTTTTGTCTGCATCCTGAGCCCTCCTCTCCTCAAGCCTCGCCGTCTGCAGCGCTAGCTGGACCTCCAACACCCGGTACCTTTCTTCCAGGCTTGGACCCGCTCCAGCTCCTGCTTCTCCGGTTCCGGCTGGGTTGCTCATGATGCCTTCTCCTGCACAAGCTGCTTTCAAGGACTGTCGGAATGCTGTGATGGGATGATGAGCTGCTTGTGCGTAAAATAGTATTCCCTCAGAGTTTGTTCAAGTCCACAAACCTCTGTCTGTGACGGAGCCCCTCAGACATGGCTCCTCTAGTCACTAGCAGATTCCGACAGTGGTTGCTTTCGGAATCGCTTCCAACATAAAAGCTCCTTAACGGAAACACGTCTTCTGGACTCTCTGCGTGACAGTTTCCGGCGAGGAGTGGGTGTTCCTACAGGAGGTCCTGAAACCTCCCCACTGTTTTCGCTGGAAGTGTCTCTGAGCCATCCCTCCAGCTCACTTTCCCTCAGCTCAGCTCCTCTCCCCCTACTGGTTCCCTCTTCAGCTGCTGAGTCTCTCCCAACCTGTGTGAGCCCTTTCACCTCCCTTCCTTCCGATGGCAGTTCCCTGACAGCGGGTGAAGGCTGCAGCAGATAAGAATCTACCAGTCATTGTGAGACCCATGCCATCAAAATAAGAGCCTTACTGCAAAGATTCTGCATTGGTCAGTGTGCACTGATCTACACACATAAAACAAATTCACACACAGGCCTCTTCCAAAATCTCTTCCCAAACCCAAAAGTCCCATGGCGATCAGCAAATAGTAACAGGGGCAGGAACGTGAAATATGGAAGCCCCTAGTCATGAACCCCTGGAAAGGGGGAGGGGCTAGAAAAGGTGCCCTAAACATACTCTGCCTCCCTTTTCCCCTAATTCAGGCATAGGTAAACTCAGCCCTCCAGATGTTTTGGGATTACAACTCCCATCACCCCTAGCTAACAGGACCAGCGGTCAGGGATGATGGGAATTGTAGTCCCAAAACAGCTGGAGGGCAGAGTTGGCCTATGCCTGCCCTAACTGAATTACCGCACCCACTGGGGTCACTATCCAGCAGTCGTAAAATACAATTGAACTTTGGAACGTGGAACATATGGACTTTGTTGGATAACACTGATAATGAGCGTCCCAAACGCAGAACTGCCATCATTGCAAGAGAGCTGTGACGTTTTAACATTGATACTGCAGCGCTTAAAGAAACTCAAAAAACAGGAGAGGAACAACTGAAGGAAGAAAAAGGAGGCTACACGTTCTACTGGAAAAGTTTTTTTTTTTAACAAGAACTTGAATACATGGGAGTAGGCTTCGCTATCAAAAACGATCTTGCGAAGCTCTTGTTAGAAGTCCCTACCAACATTAATGAGCGACTTTCAACCCTTCACATAAAACTCACCAAAAACCAAAAGGCTACTATTCTAAGCGCTTATGCATCACCACTGGATGCCCACGTAGAAGTGACTGACACTTTCCAACGTTACGCCATTGAGTTGGATTTGTGGTGCTGCAGAGGGGTTGTTTTGTGCTTGTTGGTGCAGCACAATGTCATGGACTTTGAAGATGCTCAACTCAGGACGAAAGGGAGAAACGAAGACGAAAGCATGTTTGGTAACCCCTCACAGTGATCAACTTCTGCCCGGAAACCTATGTTCCTACTGTGGAAGGATGTGTAGATCCAGAATTGGCCTCCACAGTCACTTACAGACTCACTACTTAGACCATGTTCATGAAAGACAATCTTACTCTGCTACGAGTGATCGACAAAGAAGTAGTGTGTGTGTTTTGTACCTTGTACCAAGTTTGTTTTCTGCCAGCAGACAGCCACACTCTCCCAACTTAATATTCATTTCCTGAAACTTGGAAAAATCCTGGCAGGGTTATTTAGAGAAACTCTTCTTTCAAAGTTAGGGGTTTTTGCTTTTTTTTAAAGGGATAATGTTCCACAGTGGTCCAGTTCTCAAAGCATTGAGTCAGTAGTGAAAGTTACAGCAAGGAAATAGTTTTTTCTTTTCTTTTTTTTGTCGGGGAAGACCAAATATACAAAAGGTCAGATGACTCACCCAGCACAGAACAGGAAGCTAAGAATTTGGGCGAGAAACGGTAACAGGACCCAGAGTCCAAGGCTTAAGGAGTTCAGAAATAAACCTATCCACAGCCTGGACCAGCCTTCTCCAATCTAGCACAACTCCCATCAGATGGACAGACGATGCTGAGAACCCAGGCCAAGCTGGCTGGGGTTGATGGGAGTTGTAGTCCAAAACACCTGGAGAGCACCTGGTTGGGAAAGGTTGGCCTAGACTACTCCGCTGAGGTCTCCCTCCCCAGTTCTCTGAGAACAGCCTTTTGTTCCCCTGCTCAGCCCGCATGACCTACTACCCTTTAAATGCATAAAGCATTTTTTTCTGGGCAGCTTTTGCACCATTGGAAGTGCTGTTGAGGCAAGGTCAGGAAGAAAAAGTGCAGATAAACGAATAGAACCCATGTTGCTGCTAGTGCGATAGGAATTTTGAGGTCTTAGATATATGTTAAATGTTCATAAGTGTACCAATCAAGTGGAACACAAGTGAACAACACAAGCAACGCTGACACCAAACTCTACATACATTAAACATAATAGAAACACCGCCACCCGACCCCACCCCCATCCATCTTCCCTCTCTCCACCCCCCCTTTCTTTTTTCTTTTTTTTTCTTCTCCCCCTAATGCCTCAACAAATGAAACGGATTTGTAAAAATGTTACATGGGGGGAAAAAAAATACGAGGCACTACACTTCTGTAAAACAAGAAAATCCTTAATAAAATATTTAAAAACAAAACAAAACAAAAAAAACAAAAAAAAAAAGTGTACCAATCAAGCACATACATAGATCAGCACAGGAATACCAACCTGGAACCATTTTGATTCCTAAACTGAGTAAATGTTTTCTCTACAAGGTCAAAGTGGGAAACCTCCCCATTGCCTCTTTCCTCACAATTCCTGTCTTAAGGGCACATTTAAGATATGAATAGGGTGTGAGCCCGTGACCTGGCCCAGGAACTAAGTATTTATCACTACAAAAGAATGGCCAGGCTCCCCAGGCAATCCAATCAAGTAACCTGCCAGACAGGAGATAAACAACGACAGGAGAAAAACAACATTCAAATTTCTGTTTTAAGACCGCCTTTTCTGTGATGTAGGTATGATGTATCTGGGGGGTGGTCTTAGGTTACACCCCTTCTGTGATGTATGTATGATGTTTCTGTGGGTGGTCTTGATCTACAGGGTGGCAATTTCAAAAGTCTTTATAAGGCCTTGCGTGACATTTTTCTGGGTTCCTCCTCCTCTCTTGCGGGTGAGGGGAGCACCCTGTTGCAACAGTTCAATAAAGATCAAGCTTACTAGCTGCTTTGCTTCTCGATATTCTCTGGTTGGCCTCTGTTATCTTCTCCTACCAATAGGGAACCTATGTAAGGACTCTATATGGGCAAATTTTTATTTACAACACTAGTTAGCATTCACCAGCAGAATTATATCACCAGCAAAGAGATAAACATTGTTTGGAATTGCTGCTTCCTCATCTACTGCGTCTGCCTGGACCCAAGATTGCTATGCTTTCCTCACTCTGTTCATGAGCATTTGTTGTATCCACGTGGAGTTTGATCATAAGCAGGTTTTCCGCACTGGAATTAGAGTGACTCAGCATCGCAGGGACAGTGTGAGTTACAAATTAACAAGGAAAAGGTATCTCTTAACCAGGTCAGAGGAAGCCCGACCTCCTTAATTCTCACACACACACACCCCACGGGAAAGCCCCTTTCAACACATCCTCCAAATAAAACGAAACTTCTATTTTTTTAGAATATGAATCACTCTGCCGCTTAAAAATATTCCCATCCGGCACAGTCCTTTTGCAGGCTGGTCGCTACAAATACTTTTTATATACACAAAAATAGACTCACACCTGGGATGCCTTGGGAATTCTGTGTGCAGTTCCAGTCACCTCACCTCAAAAAGGTTATTGTAGAGTTGGGAAAGGTTCATAAAAGAGCAAGGATCAGGCAAGCTCATGGTGCAGAGGGCTATCAAAGGCTACTAGCCACAATGGCTATGCTTTGCCTCCACAGTTGGAGGCAGCAATTCTTCTGTTGCTGGAAGCTACAGGAGGGGAGTCTGCTCTTGTGTTCAAATCCTCATTTGCTTGGCCACTGTGAGAGCAAGATGCTGGGCTAGATGGGCCACTGGCCTGATCCAGCAAGCTCTCCTTAAACATTCTAAGAAGCCCAAAGCTCAGTGCAGCTCTGAAATCAGCGCTTGAACACAAGTGGTTTTGAAAGTTCACCGTCTTAATTCAAAATAGTGTCCAGTCGTATCCAAACACAGAGGAAAACCTGCTCCTTAATGTCAGGCGCCACTGACAATGTCAGGGTTACGATATCTTAAGCAGTGTCCAAAGGCACAGCGAACCAACAACCCTGTGAGGTAGGACAGCACTAGCCACATATTTTGTGCCGTGGAAATCCTGCATCCCTTTCCCTATGTGACACCTACACAGGTGGTGGGAAGGCAGAGAGGGGAAGAGGGGAGGAATGGGATGTCTGTTGCTACTGAGCAACCCCACAGGGTTAAGTTTAGCACCTGAGAATGCTCTGTAAATAGGGTATCAAGCAGAAGCCTAGATGGTGAGTGGGCTGGTTGTAGATAAAGCTTAAGGCTGTCCAGAATTTTTTTGCAACTAATTGCTGGTTGGGGATTAGTTGCGTTATCTGTGTGGTTGGTGGGAATGCTGGAGAGCGAGGTTTGTATGCGGAAGACTGTTGAGGATGCATTCGTGAGAGGTTTCCCACAGGCATCTGGCTGGCCACTGTGAGAACAGGGTACTGGACTGGGTGGGCCGTTGGCCTGATTCAGCAAGCTCTTAAGTTCTTCTGCAAGAGCAGCAAGCCAGAGAAGATTGCAAGTTAAATGGAGCACAACTCAGCACAGATCAACTCTGTAGAACACCATGCTTACTGTTCCCATAAATGCAGATCTGCTTATTATCCGCACACATAAATGCCTGCATCTGCTCCTTGTATGCTTTCCTCCACCAAAGCAGACTCTTTATGAGAATTCTTTGCCAACCAGAACATATTGTCCTGAGACAAAGGTCCCGGTTTACGCAAGTGGGCATGAAACAACCCAGGAGAACAGAAGGACGGACGGCCATAAAAGGGAGCATTCGGGGTGGGGGAGAATATTATGCTTCACTGCTTATTTTATACAAATGGTTGAGACTCAGGTCTGCTAATTCCCACACACCAACCTCTTCCCAATGAAAAGAGGTGTTCATCCAGGCTAAACCATATATAATACATAGACAGATGATAGATAGATAGATAGATAGATAGATAGATAGATAGATAGATAGAAAGAATACTTCCTGTAAGAGCAAGCATACATAAAAAGTAAGGAAAACCATGAAAAGTTTCCAAAGAATAATAAAAATCATAAACTAAGATTACAAAGCACAATGATCCTTTGTTGTAGATTTTATGAGCTGCAACCTGTGCACTTGTTTATGTTAAAAATAATTTTAATGAACATGCAGCTCGCAATGCCAAGGCCAAGCTAGACGCAGAAGCAGAAGTAGCCTGTCAAAACTAGGGAGCCCCCAACTGCCTATGAAGGCTGGGGCAGCAGGGAGGAGAATGCTGAACCCTTGTCTCCCTGCTCCATGCAGATTTCTCCCCAATGATTTTTTATTTTCCCCTGCTTGTCAGCCACTAACAACAGTATAGTAGGAGTAACACATAAGAGCCTGAAAAGAGCCTCCTGGATCAAGCCAATGGCCCATCTAGTCCAGCAACCTGTTCTCACAGAGACCAACCAGATGGCCCAATGGGAAACCCACAAGCAGGATCCAAGCACAAGAGCCCTCTCCCCTCCTGTGGCTTCCAACAAATGGGATTCAGAAGAACTGCTGCCTCCAAGTGTGGAAGCTGAGCCCTTTGAAATTTCAGACTCCAAAGCAAGAGTCAGCAAACTTTTTCAGCAGGGGACCTGTCCACTGTCCCTCACACCTTGGGGGGGCAGACTATATTTTGAAGGACAAAATGAACGAATTCCTATGCCCCACAAGTAACCCAGAGATGCATTTTAAATAAAAGGGCACATTCTAATGTAAAAACACACTGATTCCCAGACTGTATGCAGGCTGGATTTAGAAGGCGACTGGGCCGGATCCGGCCCCCAGGCCTTAGTTTGCCTACCCATGCTCCAAAGCATCCTCAACCATTGCCCATGCTGGCTGGAGCTGAGGGAAGTTGGAGTCCGACAACATTAAGAAGGCATTAGGTTGAGCAAAGCTGAGATCGGCCTTTGGTCTGATCCAGCTAGGATTAATTAGATAATTTGCAGGACACATGCTTATCAGCAGCTATTAAGCACAAGGACCAAGGAAAGGAGCCTTCAAATTCTGAGGCAGTTGATCTCACTATTGGACTCTGAGGATATACAGATGAGGGTTACCTTCATGCTTTAATGGCAGGCTTCCCAGAAGTGTCTGGTGGGCAATCACAAAAAGCACATTGCTGAACTAGGGGGTCCATCTGCCTGATACACTAAGGCTCTCCAATGTAAAATACACATTATATTTATTGGATTTGCCCAGGGCAGTTAAAAAAAAAAAAACCCACCAACAATTTTTAAACAAAGTAGAAACAAACAGGATCTCCTCACAACTGACAGCATTCATCTTTCAGCCTCCAGATGCCAAAAGGAAACATTTTTCATCATGTGCTCCGTTCTGGGTACACCCATTAAAAAACTCACTTGCACACCTCAGACTTGCTAAACTGCAAAACAGTCCCACTGGCACACCCAGGTTTATCCAGCGTGAAAAGTGGTGATGGGATCCAAGCATTTTGCAAACAACCCTAGGCCACCCTCACTTCCCACAAAACCTCAGCACTGGTCAGTTTTGAAAGCCACGACAATTCAAAAACGTCATACTGGCAAACTGTCTGCAGACAGTTTGTGCCTTTTGCCTTAAGATAAACAGTCCCGTTGGCTTGAGTGGTCATAGAGGGCTCCTTTCAGAATCTCCCACAACTGGGAACAGCTGGAACACAGGCAAGGAACCCTCCAGGCACGCATGCACAGCCAGCCACCCGCTGCTTTCTTATCTACCAAAACAAGCTCTCATGAAAAGACTCTCTGCAGCCAAGCAGCATTTTGGTCATCACACCCACCCTACAAATTAAGAAGAGTCGACTTTATCAACCACTCTTGGGGTTTCAGGCGCTCCTCGTTCTCAAAGCTAGAAACCTGCTGAGGTGCATCTTATGCAATACAGTGACAGCCGAACGACTTTGCACAGAAATAGGGCCATAGCTCAGGGACAGAGCGTCCCTGGCTTTGCAGGCAAAAGGACCCAAATTCAATCCCTGGAAACTCCAGAGAGGCCAGACATGTGGGGGACCTTTTCTTCAGTCCATCTCCCACCTTCCCTGAAGTAGCATGGTCAGAGAGGGTAAAAGCCAGCAGTGTGAAGGTAGGAGGCAGCATCCCTCTGAATATCAAATTGCTATGAATTGCAAGTGCTGTTGCAAACTGCTCTTCCTTGCAGGCTTCCCAGAGACATCGCTGGCCATCGTGAGAAAAGCTTGCTGGGCGAGGGCCAAAGCCCAAGGAATAGATCAGTGGTTCCAAAAGTGGGCAGTACTCATGGGCATAGCCAGGATTTTTGTTACGGAGGCAGGGCTTGGTTGAGGGGGGCAGGACTTTTGTTGGGTGGGCAGAACCGACGTGACTGGTCAGTTGGTTAAGTATTTCTATTGTTTTATTTGACCTAGGGGAGGCAGCTGCCTCCCCTTGGCTACGCCCATGGCAGTACCATCTCCTGGGGAGGGTGCTAAGGAGCAAGAGGGCACCAGGGGGCGCCAGAGGTGTAAATGGCTATAAGGTCTTGAATAGCTGATATCATTGGATCAAGTTCATAAATTTTGTTGAATTAAAAAAAAATTCAAATAGATACAAAACAAATAATAAACGTCTATCCATATTTCAATTCTTATTCTTTTCTAATTGACTTCCATTGTCCTCAATGCAGGTCTAATTTCATATTTGGTAAACTGTTTCTTTCTCATTTCCTTTTTCCTACTTTTCTCTATATTTTATACGTTTACACCATATTTTGTTTTGCAAAAATTACTCAAAGCAAGTCCAGGTATTGATTGTAGGACACTGTTTTTTTAGATAATATCTGTATTTTCCCCATTCTTTTTGGAATGTTTGTTTAGATTGTCCCCTAATTGTATCCTTCATTTTGGCCAATTCAAGGTAATCAAATAATTTAGCTTGCCACTCTTTTTTGTTGGTACTATCTCTTTTTTCCAATTTTTTGCAATTAAGATTCTCGCTGCTGATGTTGCATACAGGAATATTCTCTTATTTTCACTTGCCATGTCGGAGTCTAATATGCTCAGCAGAAATATGCTGTGCAACCCAGGATTTTAACATAGATGCAACTGGGTTTGCCTGGCATCAGAAGCAGTTAACACTACCCACAACCACCTCTCCCACTCTAGGAATTGAAATGCTCAGCAGGTTGCCCAAGACACAGAAATGAAGAAGAAAAGGGCTCAAGGTGAGTGATATGCATGATACAAGACCCAACCTGGGAACAGGGCTGGAGGGGACGGGGAGGGGGACAAGCAAGAATCAGCAGTTAATGAGGGCAACTCTGTATAGGGAATGCTGATGAGTGATTGCTTCTAGGGGGCTGTGGCTCAGCAACAAGGACACAAATTCGGATCCAGCACACTCATGCTTTGCACACAGAAACAGACTAGGGTTTAATCTCTGGCTGCACTTGTGGAAAATTATGTCAGGTAGCAAGACTGGATTCTAATTCTCAGTGTGGAGTAGCTATTAGAGCATGGATAGGCAAACTAAGGCCCGGGGGCCAGATCCAGCCCAATCGCCTTCTAAATCCGGCCCACGGATGGTCTTGGAATCAGCGTGTTTTTATATGAGTGGAATGTGCCCTTTTATTTAAAATGCATCTCTGGGTTATTTGTGGGGTCTGCCTGGTGTTTTTACAGGAGTAGAATGTGTGCTTTCATTTAAAATGCATCTCTGGGTTATTTGTGGGGCATAGGAATTTGTTCTTTTTTCTCCCCCCCCCCAATATAGTCCAGCCCCACACAAGGTGTGAGGGACGGTGGACTGGCCCCCTGCTGAAAAAGTTTGCTGACCCCTGTATTAGAGTGTCAGACTAGGACCTGGGAGATCAGGGTTCAAATCCTCACTTGAAGCTCACTAGGTGCCCCTTGGGCCAGTAGCTGCCTCTCAGCCTAACCTACCTCATATGTTATTGTGGGGTGAAAGCCTAGGTATATTCAGTTAAATGATGACAAGGATTGAAAGACATCTCTTTCTCTTTCTCGGGGAAGGACTATAGCTCAGTGGTAGTGTGTCTGCCTTGCATGCCCAGGTTCAATCCCCACCAGCATCTCCAGCTAGGAAGATTCCTGTCTGAAACTGAGGAGCCACTGCTGGTCAGTGTAGAGGCTATACTGAACTGCAGACAATATACTGACCTAGATGGAGCAATGGTCTGACTTTGGATAAGGAAGCTTCCTGTGTTCCTTTGTTCTCTCTCTCTGCCCACAGGCCTCGGAGAGCCATCTTGGGCTATCTTGTCAAAATGAATGCACTAATGACTTCCAACTTGGAGGGCTTTAGAAGGGGATTAGGCTAATTAATGAGAGATAAGGCCAGCAACAGCTACTGAATCAGGGCTTATTTGGAATAAAGCAGCTTGATGTGTTCAAAGCAACATGATACTCATCTTAAGTATGAGATAATCTTAAAATATTGTTGCATGCCACCCCAATCTCCAAGCCATGTGAGATTCCAGAAGTTCCAGGTGCTTAGCCATGGTTTGTGTTTCTTTCAGAAATTAGGCACAGAGGGATTTTGGTGTCTTTACGATATATGGGGTTTTTTACACATATATACAACCTCAGTCCAGATGGAGCAATTGTAGAGCACTAACATCCTATTAGGGTCTTAAAGACAGCACTGGATTCAACAGACAGCAAAAAGCCATCCTCTGTGGCTCTTAGTTCCAGCATGTCATGCCCAGCTCACATAGAGTTCTGTCCCTCCCTCTCCTTCTTACTGCTAAGGACCCCCCCCCCAGCCTACTAGCACCCAGCAAAGGAGCCCCTCTCCCCTTGCCTGACAGTCTTGTCCTCTGATGGTTTCCTGGATGGGCCATCAGCGGCTTTTGTCCCCTGCTAATGGCCCATCAGCTAGCTCTGCAGAGCTGACTTGCATACTGTAACTAAATCTAGGGGGTTTCAGTGCTTGGTAAAGTTTAATCAGATCTGACTCTTACTAAATCCAGGAATTATGGGGAGGATCTGGCATCCAGCAATTTAGGGGGGATCTGCCCCCCCAAAAAACCCATAACAATATCTAAATTATGATACAAGCATGTGCATGTAAAAACAATTGGAAAATACACAACTGGATGGGATGGCAGGTTCAGAGACAAGCATCAAGACCTGCTCTTTGATTCCAGTGCAATTCAGATGGGGCTAGCAAGGTTCAGATCAGCAAAGGATGTCACACTTGAAAGTGACCGTATCATCAGATTCGACTCCAGGAAAATGACCTCTTGCTGTTTCATAAGCAGGGCACATCACAGATTCTTTCCAGACATGCCAAAGCTAAGATTCCAATGCTTCTGCGTACTGAAACAACAGGTGCCAAGATTTGGTGCTAAAAATGAGAGCCAGTGTGGTGTTAGGGTGTTGGACTATGACCTGGGAAGCCAGAGTTTGAATCATCACTCAGCCACAAAGCTCACTGGGTGACCTTGGCAAGTCATCCTCTCTCAGCCTCACAGGGTTTTGGGGAGGAGGAAATGGTGGGGCAGGGGGACCATGTACACCACCTTGAGCTCCTTGGAAGAAAATGTTGTATAAAAACGTAATAACTAAATAATTGTGGGGATGGGGCAGGTTATAAAATGTGGTAAACATGGACGACTCTACACTGTGGACTCTACACCTCCACATTAATGCTTCTGAATTCCAGTTGCTGGAAACCACAGGAGGGGAGAGGGCTCTTGTGCTCAAATCCTGCCTGCCTATTTCCCACAGCATCTGGTTGGCCACAATGAGAACAGGATGCATTGACCTGATCCAGCAGCCTCATTTTATGATCATCTGAGATGCGATCCTACACCCATTAGAAGAGTCAAGTCCACTCCAAGAAAACACACTTAGGAATGTTAATCCTCTCAAGCCCCCTACCCTGCTTTAGTTTCAACTCATTTCAGTCTGATTCCCCACCCATTTTAAAAAAAACTTTTAAACAAGTCAGAGCTTATAATAATTAAGGAGCTCCCATGAGCCCCAGGTAAATTGACCATGTACACAAAGCTCTCCACCCCAAGACATTACCACAAGGGCATGACACTTTAAAGCAAGGATCTGCCCAGTTTATAGCTCAGGTGAGTGAGGTCAGTCAGGCAGATGGAAGTGGCAGAACGGGTGAGATGAAATCAGAAGCGGAGGACCCTAATTTTGGAGGTTTTCTAAATTTCTTCCACTTCCCATAAATTCCTTGTTCACTCTTCCATTTGCTTGTTGAGACCATATGCTTTGAGCAAGTACCCCATTTCAAAAAGGGCACAGGAGAAGCTGCTGCTACATCTACTTTAGTATCACTCACACTGACTGGCAGCAGCTCTCCAGGGTTTCCCAGCCCTACCTAAAGAGAGTCAGTGGTGGTGTGATGGTTAGAGTGTTGGGCTAGGACTTGGGAAACCAGGGTTCAAAGCCACCACCTGGTCATGAAGCTCACTGGGCAACTTTGGGGGTCAGTCACTGCCTCTCAGCCTAACCTACCTCTCAGGGTTGTTGAGGAGATTAAATGAGGTGGCAAGGAGAACTATGTATGCCACCTCAAGCTCCTTGGGAGGAAAGGTGGGGTATGAAATCAATAAAAAGTGGTGCCAGGAATCAAACCTTTCTCCTTCTGCATTCACAGCAGGTGCTCTGTCCCTGAACTACCGGTCTGTCCCAAAATAAATTGCCTGGGTAAATAAAATTGTATGTGTGTGGAGAGCACACATGCAATACCTAAAAGGTTGGCATCACATAGATCTGATTCAATGCAAGCTGTAAGCAACTGTTACCACATCTATGTTCTTTAAAATGCCTTGTCATGTGCCTGGCTATACACACAGCTAACAGTAGCAGAAGTATCTGGTCATCCACCCCCCAAAAAAATATTTAGTACTCCGCTCTTCAGCCAAAAAGGCTCCCAGAGCGGTTTATATACAATCAAAACAAGACAGTCCCTACCCACAGGCTTACAATCTAAAAATAAACATGACACACAAGGGGAAAAGGTGAGGGAGGGAAGAGGAAAATAAAAATCACAACTCGGGCACCAATTTCTAAACAAGGAGGTGCCAAATGGAGCTGGGCCTCCAGCAAAGCTCTGAGATGGAGAGAATGAACGGCAGCCATCCATAATAAGGAAGCTATTTAAGTTTTAGAGAAGACCCATCAACAACAAGCAGCAACAAGAAAAGAGGAAGTGTACAGCCTGCTCCCTGCTGCCGCAAGCCCCTTTACCTTTCAGAAACCCATTAAATTGTATGGGATTGCCATGTTCCAGCCCCAGAGGTAGCAAACACGTACGCAGCACAGCAATTACAGACACAACAAGGCTTCTGAGCCTGTTTCTCCAGAGCAATTAAGTCATTATTCACTGTCAGTGCTACATCAGCCCACATAGCCATTATGTTCCCATTGTTATCACGAGGAGGGTCCAAGCCATGTTGATTCCTGTGCTTCCTGCTCTTCCTTTTGCCCCACCGAAGCTATGTAGGAAGCTGTCTTATACAGAGTCAGGCTGTTTTTGTCTACACCGACTGGCAGCAGCTCTCCAGGGTTTCAGGCAAGGGAGAATCTCAGCCCTACCTGAAGATGCTACTAGGGACTGAACCTGGGACTGTCTACATGTACAGTGGATGCTCTTCCCTTTAGGATCCCCTGCTTTACCCATTAAAATGAACAAGCAAGACTGAACCAGAGGCTGAATGCTGACCTTAGCTGGAGCCTGGCAACATGCCACCGTCTTCTGGGCGGTTGAAGATAACTTCCAAGTAAACAAACACCGTATTTTTCAATCCAAAGCCCAGCAAGAGAGACTGCTGAAACCCAAACGCCATTTCCTCTTGTTCCTTATTTATGTTCGGCAGGAACAGGAGAAAGGACAAAGGCGCAGTGTGTGCATTAAATGGTCCCGAGGGCAAAGCCCACGCCAAAACACCACCAGCAGCATGCACTTCTACATGTAAACATGTTCAGTTTCACAGCGAATTACAGATGTGAGCTTGGTTCCCGATAAAAAGCTGCTGCACACCAGCTTAACGGTGGAGAACTTGCCTCAATGCTGCTTCAACAGATGGGCAAGTACACCATAAGGAATAAAGTGCGCAGCAACTTATAGCAGGGCAGTGAACAAATTCAACCATGAGGTTTTGATAATGGCAGGAGAGATAAAGCCATTTCACACCTGACTCACAGGTTAGCAAGCAATTTTTTAAAATTCTTTTTTTCAAGAGTCAGCCCCATTGCCCAAAGTCCCTCCAAACATTTCCTCTTCACAGCCTGCGACAGCAGGCAACTGAACAGAGTGAGGAAGGTCTACGCCTTGATTTACACCATGATGAACAGAAGCAAGACTTTGATACAATTTATATACTGCTTGATTGTGAAAAAAAAGAAAAAAGCTCAAAGCAGTATACAAAAAAAAAGAGTAAAACAATAAAATTATCAGGGAAACACAACTACCTATAACTTTAAAAATAAATAAAATTGATGCTAAAACAGATTAAAATTTCAATATTCTACATATCTAGGCAGGCTTGTTTTTAGGAGGTCCCAAATAGTGAAGATGCCTGCCTGGTGTCAAGAGGCAAGGAGTTCCAAAGCATGCCTGCTTATATGGGATCTCACAGAAGTTCCCATTGATCATCAAAGAACAGTGTAAATTCCCTTCCACAGAACTTACCCAACTCACATGGATATCCTTTATTTCCAACATACGCCTTCCATATGTTTTGAGACTACAACTCTTATCAGCCCCAGACAGCAGCCTACATTTCCAGCCTACATTGCCACACACTGAGTTCCAGCACTCACAGCAAACAATATTTACCACTCTGTGCTGACTCATAGGGCACACACTTCTCTGAGCTGCCACTGCGCATTACTACTAAAAATTGAAAGTAGAGCACGCATTTTCGTTCTCAATCTGCTCCCAAAACGGAAAGTGCAATTTCCTCTGAAGAAGTGTGCAACGAAAGGTGTTGGCACCAACTCAACTTAAGATGCGTTCACACCCGGACTTTATTTCAGCTGCCTTGGCTCCTGTACTTAAGCACTGCCCAAAAAACAGGACATTTTGCCACAAGCGTCTGAGGACAAGATGGAGGGCCGTCAACCAAATGCAGGCAAAGGGGAAGTCTCATCCAGGGCACCCAAGGGGAGCAACTTAGGATGGGGAAGGTGTACAACAGGCCTGTGGCACACCCAGCTTTGATTTCCAACAAAGAAGAATGGGCAGAGGTTCAGGTGGAATGGCAGCAGCCCCTCTCCAGTATCCGCCGCCTGAGGCAATTGCCTCAGTCAGTCTAATGATAGTGCCGGCCCTGAGAGTTAATGGAACAGGTAATGAGGACAGTACAGAAGAACATTATGGTGGCAGGAGAGGACATTTACACTGATGATGTTTGTAGGATCATGTGATTTCATCTTGCATTAATAGCCAGAGTAAGGATTTCCCATAACATACCAAATCCTATCCATGGCCTGTTTTTAAGAAGAGTTGGCCAATACTACAGCAAAGCACTGGACAAACCCACAAGAGGAATTGGGGTGTGATTACATTCATGGTCATCTGTACTTCTACAATCAGTTTTCCCTGCTCTGCCACCCGGACAAAACACTCTCAAAACCATCCACAATCCAGCCCCAGTGTTAAGTGACCCCCAACAAAATATTCCCAACCAAACCCATTCAAATTCTTAAACAGAGACTGGATGGCTGTCAAGGATTCCTTAGCTGTGATTCCTGTATTATAGGGATTGAACTAGATGACCCTTGGGGTCCCTTTCAACTCTACAATTCTATGATTATACCAAGGTGAATAGCTCAGTTGGTAGAGCATGATCCTCTTTATCAAGGGCCAAACCCCACATCAGGCAGAAGATTCCTGCATTGCAGGGCGTTGGTCTAGATGACCCTCACAGTCCCATCCAACTTTACAATTCTATGAGTCTATGACTCTCCTTCACTACAGGATTTTAAAAAGAGTTTAGATAGTCATCCGTCAGGGATTCTTAAGCTGTGGTTCCAGCACTGCAGGGAGTTGCACTAGATCAGAGTTCAAGGAAGCATTCCAGACAGGGGAAAACACTGGAGGAGGGTGCAAGGCAGGGCTAGTGAGGGGTGGGGCCTGGGAAGAGGGGGCAGAGCTTTGGGAGAGTTCCAAGGACCAGACAGCAAGGCCCAGAGAGTCCTATGCATGAGACTCTCCATCCCTCTCCTATAGCTGCAACTCTGCCCCAAAGATTCTCCACGGCCACCTGCCAACCTAAAAAAAAATCACCTCTCTAACGAAGCAACAGCCACCTCCCTTCAACTTCTTGCTGCTGCTCCAATTAACCTCCCTGCCCTACTAACAACCTCCTCATTGCCGCTCCCAAAATCCCAGCCCTACAAATTCTGCTCTCTTCCCCAACTGCCCCCAAACCATGGTATCTCCAAAGTGGAAATATTATTATTATCCCCAGTTTTTTATCATTTATATCTTACCTGTCCTCCAGGCAGCACATGGCTCTTCCTGCTCCCCATTTTATCCTCACAACGCTCCTGTGGGGTAGGTTTGCCTATAGGAGACATCACCCAGCCCCAAGGGACCCAGTGAGCTTTGTGACAGATAGGGGGGGATATGAACCCAGTTCCTAGGAAGGGATATAACTCAGTAGCAGAGCATCTGCTCTGCATGCAGAAGGACCCCATGTTCAATGCCCAGTGGCATCTCCAGGTAGCACTGAGATTCCCCTCTGCCTGAAAACCTGGAGAGCTGCTGCCAGTCAGTGTCAACAATACTAAGTGAGATAGACAAAAGGGTCTGACTTGGAATAAGGTCACTGAAGATCAGAGGAAGATGCTGTCTACACTGACTGACAGGCAGGATTCTTTCCCCAGCCCTACCTGAAGATGCCAACGGAGACTGAACCTGGGACCTTCTGCATGCAAAGCAGGTGTTCTACCACTGAGATACTGCCCTTCCCCTACCCTGAGCAGGATGCTGGACTAGACTGTACTCCTCTATCAGTTAAGTGCTTCCTACTGTCATCCCATGCACAGGCACCCAGCCCTGTGAACTCTGATCCCCCCCCCCAAACAAACCTTCGCAGCAAAATACAGTGGTACCTCAGGTTACAGATGCTTCAGGTTACAGACTCCACTAACCCAGAAATAGTACTTTGGGTTAAGAACTTTGCTTCAGGATGAGAACAGAAATCGTGCGGTGGCAGCGTGAGGCCCCATTAGCTAAAGTGGTGCTTCAGGTTAAGTACAGTTTCAGGTTGAGAACGGACCTCCAAAACGAAGTACTTAACCCGAGGTACCACTGTACTCAACTGCCTCCCCACAACCCAAACCTCCAGTTAAGAAACCGCCTCCCCTCTGCTTTCCCCGCTCCATGAACACCCAGACCCTCTTTCAAAACAAGAGCCAGTGCTCAACAACAAACACACACCCAGCCCTCTCATGCTCTACCTCCTGAGCTATCTACTTTGCAACCCCATCGATTCCACACTTCCTCTCACCAAACTGGATCTCTCTTTAAAAAGAAGTATGGTGTAATGGTTAGAGTGCTGGACTAGAACTACCCGGAGGCCAGGCTTCAAATCCTCCCACTTGGCCATGAGGCTCACTGGGTCAGTATCTCTTAGTCTAAGCTACCTCACAGGGTTGTTGTGACGATAAAATGCGGAGAGGGAGAACTATGTCCACCACCTTCAAGTGCCTTGGAAGAAAATATGGTATATAAATGTATTGATAATGATGATGATGATAGTAGCATTAGTAGTAATAACAAGCATCTCTCACCTCAGGAGTCTCTGCCCCCCAACCAACTTAACTTGCTCTCATTAAGAAGCAGGGGCCCCACCCCCTATATTATTACCCTATAAAGTCCACATTTCATCACCACCACCAGTACTGGGTGTCATTAAGGAAAAGGCTCTCCCCATTAAGCTTCTGCCACTAACAGACCCCCACAAAAGAAGCCACACCCCCTTATTTCTTCCCACACTTCAGCCCCATAGCTGCCCCCCAATACAATCTCTCTCTCTCATAGCCCAGCGGGCACCGCCTCCTCCCCCCGCCACGCTTTCCGTTGCCCCCCTCCTTCTACCTTCGGGCCAAGGGAGGAGCCCCTGCTTACCTCCGCGGCGCTTCCTCCTTCGCCGAAGGCCGGGCTGCGACTGACTGAGCCAGATGGAGAAGTGGGCGGGCCGCCGGCACGGCTCCGCCCCCTCCGGCCGCCGCCTGGCCTCCCTGGGCAGCGCCGCTCGCTCCCATGGCAACGGGTGGGGAGAGAGGGAGGCGGGGCAGCGTTGGGGAAGAGCGGAAAGCCCCGTCGGGCTTCCGCCTCCGCGCGCCCCCTCTCTATGGTTGGGATGAGAGAAGGCGGCCAAGCAGTGAGCCATAGAGACGAGGGCTGTCTGGGGGCTAGAGGGACCGCCAAGCGGACGCCTGCGTGCACCTCGCCGCTCCCTAGCGGAGCGGAGGCCGAAAGTCGCCACGAAACGAAGACAAACCACGTTTTCGAATCTCGCTTTGGGCGGTGGGATGGGATGGTTTTCAGAATTTATTTTTTTTAATGGTTGCTAACAATTTTTCATTAAAAAAAATTTTTTAAATGCTAACTATCACTTGTCCACCTCTCTTATTTTCCTCTGTAAGTATCCACTAAAAATTAACCAAAGGGTGTTAGTTTTTGAGATCATTCCCCCACCCCACACAAACACTTTTAATGTCGTGTATTACATTTTGTACTAAATAAATATCATGTTTTATTTTAAGAATACGTGTCTATATGTTTTGCGCTTTGACATGAATGTTTTAATTTTATTAATTTAATTTTATTATTCCTTATTGCTAATTTTACTAATTGCAAACCGTAGTGATATATTTTTTCTATGTGAGTTTATGTACATCCTACTATGTGGCTTAAGTTTCGTTATCCTGTTCTGTGCTGCTACAGCCTAGTGCAACAAAAGTGATTCCAGCTTTAAAAAGCTATTCGAACATTGTTTTTATACAAACTTAATGCACTATACATGAACACACATGACTATCTAAAGAGGAGGTCAGAGGAACCTAAACACACTGATCAAAAACAAGATTTCAGAATAGTGTGATGAGTATTGCAGGCGTCTGGTCTAGATGATGCCCCTGGTCCCCTACAAAACCTGCAATACCTGTATCTGTGAGGATAGACTGTGGAAGAATGAATCTGATGAACCAGTCAGACTAGTTCATTTCTTATGGTGATTGCCTCAGATGACCATTTAAGTACTGCTATTAACATGGCCGAACAGTGAACTCTGTTGCCACAGTGAGAAATGGGTGGGCCTTTTCTCACCTGACATGATTGGAAGCCACTTCATCCTAAGATGGCGAACAATAATGGGGTGAGCAGCGGGGGGGCGGGACATGGATGGTGGTGCTGGAAGCCAGAGAGACACATGTTCTGTCTTGAGTTCAGTGGCTCAGAAATACACGTGACCCTGAGAACTAATTAATATATGAAGAAAATAGGATCACAGAATTGTAGATTTGGAAGGGACTCCAAGGGTCATCTAGTCAAACTCCCTGCAATGCAGGAATCTCAAAATGCAGTTCCCCATCCAATTTGATACCATACCAGACCCTGCTTAGCTTTGGAAATGTGCTACCAGCTTAATCACTGCACCACAAAGGCTGTGACTTGGGGCTTCCCTGGAAACCTAATGGGGGGGGGAGGAGAGATATGTTGGGGTATTAATGCTGTGAGCCCCTCCATCCTATGCTCAGGTTATATATTATGTGTAAATAAAACTATGTATTCTAAAGACACCACAGTCTCCACTGACCTTAATTCTAAGGAAACCAAACTCTGGTCCCTCACCACTCGGAGACTGGGGCCCACGCAACAATATCACAGCAAAACAAAGAATAAGAACACAGAGGCTCATTTCCTGGAAGTAACAACATTGGTCATCCTATTTCTTTTTTCTTTTTATTCCTCTCAAACCAGAAATTTATCCACATTAAGTTACAGCCAAGTGGAACCATAGCATGGCAATGTAGCCACCTACTGCTATTCCACGAGTAATCAGGACAATGTCGGTACATAGGAAAACAAGGAAGGACATCTCCTGAAGCTGCTCTCTCCACCTCTGGGGTCCTCATCCTGCAAGGGAGCTAGCTGTGCTGAAGAGGCAGGGCCCCCTCTGTTAGCATCTTCCATCAGGGTCCCTCTCCAGTTGACATCATGCTGCACCTTCCGTCAGATCCCAGTTCCCCAGATCCAGATCTACCCGAATCCCAACAGGCTGCAAAAGACAAAGGACAGAATATAAGGATCAGTCTCTTATTTTATGCAGAGCTGAAGAATGTGCTAATGAAGGACTGCAAGGTTCCTGGAGCGGAAGCTGCAGGGCTGGCTTCCTCCTAAATCCCATCAGGTCTGCTGAAAAGGCAGATCTATCAGGCTGTGCCTCCTGCCCCTGAACTACTTCCATTCCAGCTATTCTTTTAGAACTGGCACCCAAGTTTCCTTTTTTCCTCCTCCTTCCAGACTGTCTTTCGGATAGTCAGCCTGCAGGCAGGAATTGCCTTATTTTCAATTGTTTGTATGTAAGCCACTCTGGGAGCTTCTTTTTGGCTGAAAATCCAGATACAGATGCTCTAAAACGCCCTTTAAAAGCCCAGACCACTCTCAAGAACAGTGCTAGGTCATCTACAATTGCAATTGCTAGATCATATGAAATTGCCTACCCCATGATTCCACATTACCTTAATCTAGGGATACAGGGGCATGCATGTCCTCCCCAAGTTCTCACCTGCCGAGGACATTTTGTCAAGGACGCAATTCGGGCGGTGCCAGTTCCCCCGCAAGATTCCTTGCTGTCCTCCAACAGCACCCGGGTGCTGGGCACGAAACTCCACGAGCGACCCAGTGCTGGTTTGAGATGGCCATTGCCACTGTCTCTGGTCACGTGATTTGTCAGCTGAAAACAGAGTGGCAGGTTTTAGTCCTCTTTCATTTCCCTTTCGGAGTAATTAGCTGCACAAACCCTTTTTGGGTCTGCTGTACAAGGCCCCCCCCCCCCCCCCATTCTAGAATGATGAAAAATTCCCACTCAACCACAAACCTGAATTATTTGGGGGCATAATGGGGACCTGCCAAAGCTAGATGGCTTTCAGGCAAAATTTCTACGATCTCTGCTTCAGGTTCCCAACTGTGTCCCCAACTCCATACTTCTGTTAGAAGCTGGTGAATGCCCAATGTCAACTAAAACGTGGTGGGCTGCCCTAAAACATTGGCTCAGGATTTCAGTGTTTGATCTAGGGAAGGGTTTGTACCAATACCTGACCAATGAGGAATTTGTCAGCAAATGGCAGAAAACCATGGCTAAAAAGCCACCTCTATTGGTCTGTCACCCCCCCAACTGTATTACCTGGGTTATGAAGGCGCCCTAAAGACGTTAAAGCAAAGATTATGGGATAATGCACACAGTGACTTGCGATCTCGATCACACACAATCTGTAGTCTGCTGGCAGTAGGAGTACAATATGGGCATGTTCCTTTCCGCAGGGTCCTTCTGCCCGCTGGGGTTTCGCCTCCTGGATTCCTCTGACGCGGAATCAGACTGCTCTTGCCCCTCCTGCGGGCTTTGGGACCTGGCCCCTCCTCCGGGCTCCCTGTACTTCCGCGCGCCTCTACCTTTGAACTTGCGCGCGCGCCCAGCCTCTAACCTTCCTTTCAACAGCTACACTACTCCCTTCACTGCTCCCTCCCCTTCCGGGAGGATGGCTTGCTCCGACCTCTCCTCCTTTCTCTGCTGCCGGAGCCGCTTCCCTGACACACTGAAACCTCCACCCCTTCGCTGCACTCTGGCGGGGAGGCTGGCCCTGACACCCAGCTGCCACTTTGGGATGCCCAGCTGGCCCCCTGCTCCTGACACGTCCCCCTGGGGCTCCCCTGGGCTTGACCACCGGCGCCCCTGCTGGGAATCCTCTGATTCGCTGGAAAGACTCATGGAATCTCTTGAGTCATTGTCATCCTCTTCCTCGCTGTCCTGGGATTCATCCCCATCGCTCTCCATCTCCTGCCTACCCTGTGCCTCTGTCCCTGAACCCCTGACAGCATGTCTTTAAGTTAACATCTTACATTAAAAACCTGACAGTACCAAATTATCGAAGGCTTTTCACCAAAGCCAGACTAAACGTCTTTCCTTCTGCAGTGTTGGATGGCAGGTTGAGAGGAGTTCCCTACCAGGACAGACTTTGCTCATGTGCTCAAGACATCGATTCCATAAAACATATTTTGTTGCACTGTGCAAAATATGAGCAAGCCAGGGCTGCACTGATATTACCCTTGCTGGTACCTTTCCTGGGAAAATCAGAGGCTCACTATGTCAGGTTCCTATTGGAAGACTGGACAAATGCTAGAACATTAGCAGTGGCCAAGTTATTATCGGTGGTTGCAAGAACCAATGATCCTTATATTTTGAACGAAATGCTTGTTTAACCTGGAGGTAGGCTGTATGAATTATGTATTGCTTTGTAACGATTTGTTGGGTCTTTGGACCGTAATAAAGGTTGATGATGATTTGGGGGCAGGGCTTCCTGCTTGTGTCAGAATTTGAAGCCCAGCCTTCCAGGTCCTAGTCTGACACTCTAACTATACAACCCTGGCTAGGGGGCACTGGGGATGAGTTTAAGGGGAACCAAGGAGGTGGTGGCCCAGAAAGGTTAGGGAACCACTGATGTACAGCCCCTTCTTCTCCTATGCAATCAGCAGGGGCAAAGTTTTTAAAAAGAGGAGTGTCTAGTGGCTGCTCTCAACCACTTACCACGACAGCCATTCCAAGCTCTCTGGCAAGCGTTTTCACCTCCCACGCCAAATGCATCATGAGGGCCATGCCTGCAGGAAAGACACAAAACGTGGTCCTCCCAAGTTTGCCATTAACTGCTGTTTCTCCGTGGGAGCAAGGGGTTTTTCAGCCAATCAGGAGAAATGTGCTCACCAGCTTTTGGAGCTTCTCCCCACCCCCAACGCACCCCCACCACACGCAGCCGTGGCAGGAATATTTCAGGCCACAATCACACCATACGTTTAAAGCGCTACAATACTGTAAAACAGTCACAGCTTCCCCCAAAGAATTCTGGGAACTGAGTTTATCAAAGGTGCTGAGAGTTTTTAGGAGACCCCTTATTCCCCTCACAGGGGTACAGCTCCCAGAGTTCCCTGGGAAGAGGGATTGATTGTGAAACCTCTCAAGAATAGCTGGAGTGCCACAGGTTCCCCATCTCTGGTATATAAGACAAACCCAACAGCAAGATTTGGGGGGGCTGTCCTCTGCGGAACCCCTTAACTTGGAACAGGCGAGTGCCTGCTGAGAGACAGGGGTGGGCTTGCTGCTTACCGTCAGGCTGCCGACTTCCCAAAAGAGGGTAAACGACAGCGGAGATGGAATCAATCACCAGAACTTTCACTGGCCCAGATGCACTGACAACCTGAGGGAGAATGTGCAGAGAATAATAATAATAATAATAATAATAATAATAATAATAATTTATTTGTATCCTGCCCTCCGCAGCTGAGGCACCAACGATGAAGCAGGGCAAATTAACAGTAGGCCACAGTTGTAGAATCAGAGAATTGCAGGGCCCGAAGAAACCTCAATGTCATCTAGTCCAACCACACACACACACACACGCAATCCAGGAAATCCAGCTAATGAATCCCTGACAGACAGACATCCCACTTTGGTTTAAAACCTCCAATAAAGAGAGTCCACCACCCTCCAAGGTAATCTGTTCCACTGCTGAACAGCTCTTCCTGCCAGAAAATTCTTCCTGAAGTTTGGTTGGAATCTGCTTTCTTACCATCTGAATCTATTGGTTGAGGTCCTCCCCTCTGGAGCAGCAGAAAACAAGCTTGCTCCATCTTCCATGCAACATCCCTTCAGATATTTGAAGATGGCTATCATATTACCACTCAGTCTTCTCTTGTCCAGGCTAAATATGCCCAACTCTCTCAACTGTTCCTCACAAGGCTTGGTTTCCAGACCCTTCATCATCTTGGTTGCCTTCCTCTGCGCACATCCCACAAGGGATTTACCTTGGCTCCCCACCAAGGAAATCCAGGACTTCTGCCCCCCAGAAAATCTCAGAGCTCAGAAAACTGCAGGGAAATCATTTGTTTTCTGGCACAAAAATTAATTTTGCATTCAGCAAGTTAGCCACTGCAATAGTCCTGGAAAGCAGAACCCAAAGGACAGGAGAAAAGAGGTGGTAACAAGATCTGGGGGTGGTGCACAGCTTAAATTAAGATTGACGACTCCGCTCTGCAATGTGTGCTCTCTGTGCCAGGACTTCCCCCACCCCCCAAAGATGCAAGTTGAGAACAGGGAAGGGTATAGCTGACCATGTGCAGAAAGCCACTCATTCACACACGCAAGTTGAGAACAGGGAAGGGTATAGCTGACCATGTGCAGAAAGCCACTCATTCACACACACTCCAACACGTTGGGGATTTCCAGGGTAATATGATGCAACAGCTTGAGCTCTAGAGATGGAAAGCAATGAAGCGTCTTGCAAGCAGGGGAGCACTGGAGAAATCTCACCTGGTGGGCTGCACTGCTGCGGAACTCTTGCAACGCGTCCAGCATTTTATAGGCATTAAAGACACGGATGACCTGGACCCTCTGCAAAGCCTCTGCCTATGGGTGCAGGGAGGAAAAGCTGTTAAGGCAGACACAGCCAAGAATGTGTCTCATTCTCTGCATTATTTGTAACATATTTATAAATACCACTAGATTGGGAGAGGAATCATAAACTCAAAGCGGTTTACAAGAAAACATACAGGGCTGTACCCAACATTAGTCCTGCTCAGAGTTGTTGGCAGCTGTCTGTCTTGTGACACCATGGAGGAGTGTGTTTTGGGGGGTGAAGTCAAACCATTGGATGGTTGCAGCGACTGCTGTGGCTGTAGAGACCAAGAGGGAGAGACATGTTTTGTTGTAGCTGGGGCAGAGGAGGGAGTCCGGTTGGGCTGCTGCAGATGCACCACAGCGTTCCTTCTCTCTGTGCTCCCCCAGTGGTCATTCCTCCTCTGGATGCATGACCCAACTGTATGTCTCCAGGCATTGTGGTGGTTTGCAAGGGATTCCCACACAGCAAGGTTGATGTTGCCAGCCTTCATGCCACATTTGCAGACATCTTTGTAACGCAGAGTTGGTCTGCCAACAGGCCTGGTGCCTGAAGCCAGTTTGCCATACATCACATCTTTGGGGATTATGCCCTCTTCAAAGCTGTGGACATGTCCAAGCCAGCGCAGACGTCGCTGAGACAGGAGTGCCAATGTGCTGCAGATGTGGGCTTGAGAGAGCACATCTTGGTTTTGAGAGTAGCCCCACTGAAATGAATGAATATGGCTGAGATCTATTAATTTCAGTGGGTCTATATAAAACTTAGATGGATGCCAACCCCTAGTTTTGTTTCTATCTAATTTTTATTACGTTAAGAGGAATTTAAAAAACAAAATATAACTAAATGCAATAATATAAAGAGGCCACAAGATCCCCTTTGTCCTCTTTGGCTCACGCTGACCTGCTCCTGCTCATCCTCAGTCCTCAGTTGAAGGAGCTGCAGCAAACGGGTGGCTGTGAAGCCCCCTGTGGAGTCAATGTACAGAAGGTTCTGCTTGAGGCTGTGGGACACATTTGCAGCTATGTTGAGACACACCTAGAAATAGGGAGAGAAAGAGAGAGCACAGAAGCTGAGTTGGGCTAGAGGACCTTTTGAGATGCCTCCCCATGTGATGATTCTACGAAGCACAATCACCACAAATGTCATTTCCAAAACTGGAAAAGCTCCAGGTGTGAGCTGAACTCCATCTCCCATCATCCCCAGCCAACATCATTCATCATCATGGAAATCCCTGCCTATTGATATTACACTTTCTAAACACATTTTTGTTTAGGCAAGCTTAGCCTATTGCTATTTCAACTTTTCGAAGGTCTACCATGATTGTTGACCATTCTTCTCTTTGATCATTTTATTCTTTTAAACAGCTGTGAGAGCTCTTTTCATCCAGAACAGCCACAGTGACTCTGGTGACCTCAGTTGCTGGATTCCCCCCACTCACCTGAGTTTTGCCAGCTCCAGGAGCCCCCACAAGCTCGGTCACCTCCCCAGTGTACAAGCCAGAGTCCAGGAGCTTGTCCAAGCTTGAACAGTGATGGGAAAGGAAAAAGAAAAAATAATCAGAACAGGGAAATAGAATTGCAGAAGCATAGAGTTGGAAGGCAGAACAAGGATCATCCAGTCCAGGCCCTGTCAGGTGGCCACCCAGTTTCTGTTTAACGAAAGAGAGCCTGCCACCTTCTCAGTTAGTCTGTTCCACTGTCAAACAGCTCTTGCCCTCAGAAAGTTCTTCCCAATGTTTAGTCAGAATCTCCTTAATAGTAAAACCTTGAACTTGGCCCCATTGCAAATCAACTCACTCATGGGCCAGGAATCACAGGCCCATGGGCCATGAACATCCCACCAGGCCTCACTATCTGGCCCTCAGGAAGAGAAATGAAGGCCTTGGCATGCCTCTCTCACAGACAAGACAGAAGAGGAAGGGAGTCCCAGAGAGGTGGTCCAGAAAACAAGAGCAGATCACCATCTCCCAAGGTCCGCAGGAATTTAGGCCTGGGCCCCCATGGCACAGGTAAAGGTAAAGAACCCCTGGACAGTTAAGTCCAGTCAAAGGTGATTATGGGATTGTGGAGCTCATCTCGCTTTTCAGGCCAAGGAAGCTGGTGTTTGTCCACAGACAGCTTTCCGGGTCATGTGGCCAGCATGACTAAACCGCTTCTGGTGCAACGGGATACCATTGATGGAAGCCAGAGCAAACGGAAATGCCGTTTACCTTCCTGCCGCAATGGTACCTATTTATCTACTTGCACTGGTGCGCTTTCAAACTGCTAGGTTGGCAGAAGCTGGGACAGAGCAATGGGAGCTCACCCCGTTGCAGGGATTCGAACTGCCCAAGAGGCTCAGTGGTTTAGACCACAGCGTCCCCATGCCACAGAGGCTCACATGAAGCCTCAAATCCTGATGCATGTTTGGAAAAAGGAAAACTACCATAAGGCACAATTCTCAGCATATGTAGAGTTGCCCCACTCTATCCCTTGACATCTCTGTGGTGAAAGCCCTGTCTATTTTACTATTGGACATTAGAGGGAAAGATCCAGTAAAGGAGTTGATGGGGTCTGCTCTTGCCTTTTGCTCCCGGTAGACAAGATGGCGGTGGTGTTTTTGAGCTCTTCGTAGAGGTCTGCCCCATTGACAGGGAATGAGGCAAACTGGGCCAGCAAGATACGCCTTACTGCAGCTAAGGCCTGAGGAGAAAGCAGAATAAGTCAAGGCCAAGTCTGGAAACTAACCCTCCAACACCATCATTTATTTATATTTATTTACTCTATTTACTGTTTTTATACCCCGTGGCAAACCATGCCTGACAGTGGAGGTACAGCATAACCATTGTGGCAAGTAGTCATTGGTAGCCTTAATTTGTCCGACCCTCTTCTAGTTGCAATCCCTGTCTCATGTGGGAGGGAGTTCTGTAGTGTAACTATGCACTTCACGGAGAAGGACTTTATCTGCCCTGAATCTTCCAACATTCAGCTACATTGAATGTCCAAGAGTTTCAGTGTTATGAGAGAGGGAGGAAAAAACTTTTCGCTATTTACTTTCCCCTACATAAGCCACCTGAAAAGCAGCACAAAAAAAGGTGTGGTGGTGATAATAAACAATGGTAATAATGATAATATGAATAAGAATATCTCTAGCCTTTGCAGAGAGATCTTCGTTCAACCCTTGCTTTGTTGGGAAGCAAGAGAAAAATTGCTACCTGTTTTGTGTGTACTGAGCAATAAAACATTGTCAAAACCATCTGAAAAGACCTGGTGAAGGGTTATAGATAAGTGATATAGCACCTGCCTTTCATGCAGAAAGTTGCAGGTTCAATCCCCAGTAGCATCACCAGGTGGGGTTAGGAGAGACTTCCTGCCTGAAATCCTGGGAGAGCCATTGCTGCCAGTCAGTGTAGACCGTACTGAGCTAGATGGACCCAAGGGTAGGAATCACTTCAAGGCAGCTTCCGATGTTCTTTTTCAACTGAGCCCTTGACTTGGAACCATGAAGACTAGACTCTTAACTCAGTGACAGAACACCTGCTTTGCATGCAGAAGGTCCCAGACTCGGACCCCAGCATCTCCAGGTAGGGCTGGGGGTGTCCCCTGAAATCTTGGAAATCTGCCGCCAGTCAATGCCAGCAGTATAGAGTGAGGTGGAGCAATGGCCTGATTCAGGATAAGGCAGCTTCTTATGTACTCACCTTGTATGACAACGAACACTTCTGGGCAATTTCCTCCAGATCTGATGAAACAAGATCCTCCACTGCAAAATGTTTGGGGTGGGGGGCAGGACACAGAAATAGTCAGCAGCTGGAAACCAGACCGTAAGAATCCCAAACAAGAAATGTAGTGCAAACACTTTAGGCCACATTTGCACTGTATATTTAAAGTGCTACGACACCACTTTAAACAGCCATGGCTTCCCTCAAAGGATTCTGGGAACTGTAGTTTCTTACAGGTACTGAGACTTCATCAGAGTGGTTTAACAGTGTCTCTTCACAGGGAGCTCTGAGAATTTGGCACTCTTTGAGGAGGAACACTCTTTGTGGAGAGTTGTCTTTTAACAACTCTCAGAGCCCTCAGCAAAAGACAGCTCCAATGATTCATTGAGGGAAGCCATGTTTGCTTAAAGTGGTATAATAGCACTTTATGGTGCTATTTATGATTTGAATAAGAGGAGCCAGTAGCGTTCCAGGGGCTGCCATGCCCCACCCCAAAACAGTGTGTGTTGTACTTAGGCCACATTCACCCCATACTTTTAAAGCACTGTGATACCACTTTTAACAGTCATGGCTTTTCCCTGGAGGATCCTGGGAGCTGTAGTTCGTGAAGGGTGCTAAAAGGGTTGTCATGAAACCAGTATTCCTAGAGAAACAATTTCCCAAAGAACCCCATGAAGAGGGATGGATTGTGAAACCACTCTGGGGATTGTATACTATTACTTTCGAGAAACAAACCCCGGGAGATGGCTATTGCCACCATAACCATAACATGCTCATGGGCTTCCTAGAGGATCCAGCTGGGAATTGGGTCTTTGGTCCAATTTATCAGGATTCCTCTTATGTCCTTCTCCTTTTCCAACCCCCGCCCTTCACCCACTGCACTGTAATTTATTTATTTTTTTAAAAAATATCATATTGGAAGCTTTTTCAGGCAGGGAGCTATCAGATTTAGTCACTGGGCTTTCTTCAAAAGCCGCACTCTTTGCTGAATGAATCAGAAACAGGGAACCTGTGGCCCTCCTGATGTCATTGGACACCCAACTCCCATCACAGGTTCCTGGCCATACTGGCTGATGGGAGTTGGAGTCCAACAACATCTCTGCAAAGACAAGACACAAATCATGGTAATAACTGCCCAGAAGCTTCAAAGGCCTCCTCCATCCCCACCCCCAAGATATGGAAAAGAGACCCTTCTCATTCCCACGCACCCACCCCGAAACCAGCTAAAGGAAGTCTAGTCTTGACCTGTTTTGATGCCGCTGGTCTTCAGATGCTGGAGCATCTCAGGCGTGAGCCCAGGACACAGCCCCACACGGAGGATCATGGCTGTTGTGAAAACCTAGGTGGGGGAACAGCAAGAGGCCTGAGTATCTGGAGAGAAAGCTCAGTCAGTAGAACATGAGACTCTTCATTTCAGGGTCATGGGTTCAAATCCCACATTGGGCAAAAAGATTCCTGCACTGCAGGGGGTTGGACTAGATGATCCTCGTGGTTCCTTCCACCTCTATGTTTCTATGATTCTTCTATGAACTAGGCAGAGGGCCTTCTTGGTAGTGGCGCCCGTCTTGTGGAACGCTGTCCCATCAGATGTCAAGGAAAAATAACTATCTGACTTTTAGAAGACATCTGAAAGCAGCCCTGTTTAGTGAAGCTTTTAATGTTTGATCTTTTATCGTGTTTTTAATGTTCTGTTGGGAGCTGCCCAGAGTGGCTGGGGAAACCCAGCCAGATGGGCAGGGTATAAATTATTATTATCATTATTATTATTATTATTCTGGAGCCACAAGCAAGGACAAATCCTCAGCAACCTACTACGAGAAGCTGCTTTATAGAGAATAAGACCACTGCTTTTTTCCTGCAGATGTTGACTTGTGCCTTACGCTGATGTTGTGTTTGTGTGTGTTATTTATTGCCCACCTTTCATCTTAAAGTCCCAGAGTGGGTTGTAGCATTAAAAGCAATTTAAAACAACTTGCAGCATTAAAAACTTGGCAGCATTACTGTATCTCTACTACTTTAGCACATAGGCTTAACACATGCCCTGGTGTGTTTTAAATCGTGCTTTTGCGAAGGTTGCAGGTTCAATCGCCAGCACAAAGCTGTGTGAGAACCGCTACCTGAATTACCTGGGAGATGCTGCCAGTCAGTGTAGACAATGCTGAGCTAGATGGACCAATGGCCTGACATGGTATAAGGTAGCTTTCCATGCTCCTATTTAAATCAGCCCTTGACTTGGAACAATGAGGACTGGTCTCTTAACTCAGTAGCAAGGCATTTGACTTGGGAAGGTCGCAGGTTCAAGTCCCCAGCATCCCAGGTAGGGCTGGGAGAGACCCCTGCCTGAAAATTTTTGAAAGTTGCTGGCATGCAGCTGGCAGGATGACGTGCAAAGCTGCAACTGCCTGTAAAACCGGAGCCCCAGAAAAAGACCTTCCCTTCCTGCATCTCCAAAAACTTCGGCTCTCACTTACCCCATGCATGCAAACTGAGCGCCTTCTTGCAGCTCTATTTCCTGCTTTATTCCTAGAGCGGCCAGTTCTTTCTCCTTCAAGACCACCAAGTATTGCGCTTTAGCCCCACCTGCCGGCTTGTCGTGGAAGTGACAGCACAATGCTTTCTTGCCTATTTATAGTTACAGGTAAGTAGTATGCAGATGACACAACCTTGATGGCAGAAAGTGAGGAGGAATTAAAGAACCTTTTAATGAGGGTGAAAGAGGAGAGTGCAAAATATGGTCTGAAGCTCAACATCAAAAAAACGAAGATCATGGCCACTGATCCCATCGCCTCCTGGCAAATAGAAGGGGAAGAAAGGGAGGCAGTGAGAGATTTTACTTTCTTGGGCTCCATGATCATTGCAGATGGTGACAGCAGCCACAAAATTAAAAGACACCTGCTTCTTGGGAGAAGAACAATGACAAACCTAGACAGCATCATAAAAAGCAGAGACCTTGCCAACAAAGGTCCATATAGTTAAAGCTATGGTTTTCCCAGTAGTGATGTATGGAAGTGAGAGCTGGACCATAACGAAGGCTGATCACCAAAGAATTGATGCTTTTGAATTATGGTGCTGGAGGAGACTTGAGAGTCCCATGGACTGCAAGAAGATCAAACCTCTCCATTCTTAAGGAAATCAGCCCTGAGTGCTCACTGGAAGGACAGATCCTGAAGCTGAGGCTCCAATACTTTGGCCACCTCATGAGAAGAGAAGACTCCCTGGAAAAGACCCTGATGTTGGGAAAGATGGAGGGCACAAGGAGAAGGGGACGACAGAGGACGAGATGGTTGGACAGTGTTCTCGAAGCTACCAGCATGAGTTTGACCAAACTGCGGGAGGCAGTGGAAGACAGGAGTGCCTGGCATGCTCTGGTCCATGGGGTCAGGAAGAGTCAGACACGACTAAACGACTAAACAACAACAAGGTGCTACTGGAAGGATTTTTTAAATTTTGTTTTGCCTATTTATATTAGACTCTTAATAAGCTGCCGGGGAATGAGCCCAGCGGAACTACTTTGGAAGGTGCTGGACTGTCCTTTGCTGGGGGTTTTCAAACAGAGGTTGGGTGGCCGTATGTCAGGGATTATTTAGCGGCGATTCCTGCATTGGGGATCCCTTCCAACTCTAGGATTTTATGAATTAAATGGGACCTACAATATAGGATTTCTTTCTTGAGTTTTCTTTCTTTTTTCCCCTTTCCTTGTTGCATATAAAAGGTCCTCTCAGTCAGGCAATGGCATCAAGCATTTCAAAGATTTCTGAATAAAAGAAAAGAAAAGAAAATAGGACATCCAGCCCAGCCTCAGCCCCATAACAATAGGTTTACACCTGGGGAAGGACCAGTAGAAGCAGTATTTTGTTCATGTGATCTCTAACTGGGTAGATGAGCAGAGGAAAAGGAGAACAAGACTCCGATGGCTGAACACAGGAGAGAATTTTGGCCTGTGCATGTTCTCCCATCACATCATGACAAGCTGCACCCAGCAAAGTCCACCCATCCACCCACCTATTAAAGGTAAAACAAAGCCTTCTCCTTTGCTTTCAGTAGCCTTAAAGCAGGAGCATCCGAGGTGGTGCCTTTGAGATGTTGTTGGACTCCAACTCCAACTCCCAGCAGCCAGCATGGCCAGTGGTCAGGGGTGTTAGGGGGTACCATTGCTGGCTACACCTGCCTTCAATCTACTGTATAGTCAAGAAGCCAGCTCCACTTCTAAGAGAAGCAGTAAAACATAATTGAGACATGACTTTAGAGTCGCCTCCAGCTGTTTTGAACTACTGTATACAACTCCCATTAGCCTCAGCCATGATGGGAGTGGTAGAACAAAACAGCTAGAGGGCACCTGGTTGGGGAAGACTGCTGCAGAGTTTCAGATATCCAACAGTTTCAGTTTTCAGCATTAACTCTGAAATCATTGTAGCTCATCCACCCTTTAGCCACCAATCAATTCTGTCATTCTGCAGGAATTTATTTGGTTCTCCCAATTTCATTTGTTGCTTTTTTACAAACAAAACACTAAACATATTAAACAATCAATATTTGATCATAATGTTTTAAAACACAATTATATGGCTGCATGTACAGAATCCATAAAGAATGTCCTGTTTACAATTAATCAGCCCAGTCAATTCTTTTGCTTTTTGGCCAGTGTATCTGGAGTTTTCACCAAGCTATTTCCATTGTTTGGAATTTCTCCAAACCCTTAGAGAAGGAACGTAATTTCTGAATGTAATCTCCACCGGCGGTGGGGTGGGGGCAGTTCTCGAAGGTACTGGAGGCATCCCGCAAGTTGCAGCTGCTCCTGAAACTCTTCTAGGACTCTGGAGTAAAAGCCATTTGTCCCAGAGTTTCAAATGTCTGACACTTCCTTAAATAGAATGGGAAGGAGCAGAGCACATTTCATGGGGTGGGGTGGGGGGAATCCAGGGGGGCTATTTGCATTTCTTTTTCGCTATTTAAAAGGCCCTCCTTCAGTCTTGCCCAAGATTGGTGCACATTTTGGACACACATTTCAGCAAATTGTTCAGACCCGTCCATTGTGCTCAGTTTAAAGCCAATCATTGTTTCAGGAAGTTAGACCTTCACCCCTGAGGTCTTTCGCACTGTGCTACAGTCCTGGATCTGTGACCATTTCATTGAGCTATATATATATACCTATCTATCTGAAGCCCAGGCAGGCATATCAGTCTACTTACACAAAGAGAGAAGTGCTTGCAGTTCATTGATCAAAGGGAAAACAGCCAATATTGGTGAGTAATCTCAGAGTTTGGAAACTGCAGAAGGTATGGAAATCTGGGTAGTAAGCGGGTAGGAACTGAAATCAAATAGCAGATTGATGCTGGTGGTTGTGTTGAAAATCAACCTTGGGTTTTGTTTTTGTTGGGGATGGAATGTGAGATTGTGTCAGGCGATAGTGACATATCCCAGAGGCATATTGTGGCTGGCCAAATATAGCTGCTTACGGGAGAGTCTGCTGTGGGAAAGGCGATGGAAGAATTTCGGAGCCACCTGAAAAAGGAGCAAGCAAATTTTCTTGGCAACAGCTTTCAGAGACTTAAAGCCCACACATACACATAATACACACAAACACACGTACACATATATATTGATTGGTTGATTAATTAATTGATTGATTGGCTTTTGAGACTGTAGGTGTAAAAAGTCAAGCAAAAGAAATATTACAAATCAAGCAAAATAATGATCAAGCAAAATAATCAAGCAAAAGAAAATTTTAAAAACCATACCTGTAATCATCATAACTTTGACTGAGTGATGTACATCAGCCACATGCGATGCCTCAGCTTAGAGGGGAAAGGCAAGGAAGAAGGGGCTCAACAGAAGTATATAAAATTATGCAGTGTGGGGAGAAAGTGGAGGATGGCCCAAATGGTCAAGGGGGTGGAATGACTTTCCAGTGAGGAAAGGCTGCAATGTTTGAGATGTTTTAGTTTAGTGAAAAGCTGAGAAAGAAGTGACATGATGGATTACAAAATTACGAAATTATGAAAGTGGATATAGAAATGTTTTTCTCCCTTTCTCACCTCTGCATAGATAGATGATCAGGAGCAGTGGTGTGTGGGTGGGTGGGGGTTTGTGTGTTGGAATTAGCCTATTGCACAAAGGTTAAATTCTCTCCTGTTGCTCCTCCCACTTTTGCCTCTGGCTCCGCCCACCCAGGAGTTTGCCCAGAAAGGAATGCACCCTCCTGTTGATGGAGAAGGCCAGGCAGAGAGGTCTCGAGGGCCTATCCCTGTCCTAGACAGATCGTGTTGGTTTCTTTTCCTAGATGGATAACGCTTCGCAGCTGAAAGAGGAGGGAAATAAGTATTTCCAAGGCAATGATTATGAGAATGCTATCAAAAGCTACACCAAAGCCCTCAAGGTCGCCAAAGATAAATCGCTTCAGGCGGTGTTGTTCCGAAACCGGGCAGCTTGTTTCCTGAAAAAGGTAAAGCCAATGAGATTAGATGCCGGATAGCTTAACGTGTAGAGCATGAGACTCTTAATCTCAAGGTCATGGGTTCAAGCCCCACATTGGGCAAAAGATTCCTGCATTGCAGGGGGTTGGAGTTGATGACCATGTGGTCCCATCCAACTCTACTGTTCTAGGATTCTTGATAAGGAAATTCCCCATAAAATGGGAATCAATTAGGATAGGCATTCAAATCTAATACAATAGAGATATTGTTATGCATCAGTGCAGTAGTCCAACTATTGTTGAACTTCAGATGTCAATGGGAAGTCGTTTTATGAAGTCATGAGTGAGTTGTGTAGATACTGATTATTGAACAAGTTGACTTGCTTTTGCAGTAGTCAACCTTGCAAAGGTTGTTGCGGCAGGGGGTGGGGAAGAGAATTTGCCTGAAATCAAAGCCAGCCATCTCAGTCACTGATTCCAGCCATTTTTCTTCCCAAATTCTTAGGAGAACTATGCCCAGGCGGCGTCAGACGCATCCAGAGGTAAGTCAAACAGTGGCTCTGCCATTTCAGATTAACCTCCACAAACCCAAACCTTTTTAAAAAAGTACACAGATGGGACAGTCCCTGTTCGCATACTTGCAATCTGAATGACATGGCATAAAAGGAAAAAGGGATGAGAAAGAGAAAAAACAAGCAAACCTCAGCAGCCAAAAGGAGCTGGTCTTTCAGCAGAGCCACATGGAGTGGCTACCAAATGCTTCAGCCAGATGGAATAGCTGCTGCAAGGTGACAGCTCTCATTTGCTAATTCCCCACTAGCTATCGACATCAATGCTTCAGATATTAAGGCCTTATACCGACGTAGCCAAGCTCTGGAGAAGCTGGGCAAGCTGGATCAGGCCTTCAAAGATATCCAGAGGTGTGCCACTATTGAGCCCCGGAATAAAAACTTCCAAGAGACCCTCCGTCGTCTAGGAGCCTCTATCCAGGAGAAGGTAAGCACAGAGTAAGGCACACTGGTCAATTGACTGGTCAGAGACTGTCACCCAACTGCCTGTTTTTTGACCATGGTCAGCTAATGTCAAATGTTCCAAGAATGCCACTATATGGATGGCAGCTAACTTTTTTAAGAAGAAGAAAAAGTCATGTGGAGTGTCATTTGCAATCTTGTGCAGATACAAGAAGAGAACAGCTTCATTCTTTTTCCACCTTGAGTTTTTGATGCTGCTCGTCAGTGAAAACTGTGACCACATTCACACCATACATATAAAGCACCATAATAGCACTTTGCACAGTCACGGCCTCCCCCAAAGAATTCTGGGAACTGTAGTTTGTTAAGGGGTGCTAGAGAGTTGTTATTCCTCTCCCAGAGCTACAACTCCCAGAGTGCTTTAAGAGTCAATCCTGCTTCATGGGTAACTCTGGGAACTGTAGCTCTGGGAGGGGAACAGGCAGTCTGTTAACAGCTCTCAGCACCCTTAATGAACTACATTTCCCATGTTGCTATGGGGGAAGCCATGTCTGTTTAAAGTAGAATGATGCCACATTAACTATATAGTTCAGATGGGGCTTCAGTTCAGTTCTGCAGAATCAAGTTGCTCACTTAGAGCTCTCCATGGTCCTGAATTCCTGATCTGCCATATTTTGTGGGTGCTGAAGTGTCCTCTCCCACAGCTACAATTTCCAGAGTTCCCTGTAAAGAGGGATAGATTGTTAACTTCTCTGGGAACTATAGGACTGGGAGGGGGACTAGGGAGGTTTCCTAGCAACTCACAGCACCCTTAACATACTACAGTTCCCAGGATACTTTGGGGGAGAAGCCATGACTCCCCCAAGTGGTATCATAGCGTTTTCAATGAATGGTGTGAATGTGGCCTGTGACAGTGGATATGGGGGTATGGCTAGGGAGGGTGGGGAGTCCCAAGGGCCAAAGAAAGAAGGCCAGAAGGCCACATTTCACCCTTGGGCCTGAGGTTGCTCACTACTTGTTCTAGTCTAACTCATATCTTGTTTCCCAACTGACCTGGTGTAGCTGCGTGTCCAGTTCTCTACCGATGCCAGGGTCCAGCAAATGTTTGAGATCCTGCTAGATGAGAAGAGTGAGAAAGAGAAGCGAGAGAAGGTGAGGATTGATTGATTGATTGATTGATTAACAACCCAAAAGTGTGGCAGCAGGGTATTGCATCGTACCATATAAAAAGCAAACAAACAGTAGACAACAAGAGAAAGAAATGGTGACACGCCAATATAAAAAGCAAGACATCCATACTTCCCAAGCGGGCATGAATGATGAATGTTGAGCATCTATGTCTAAAGCAAAGGAAATAAAAATCCCACCAGTGTTCCGGATCCTCCACACCCTGGAAACATGCAGCTTATGTGTGACTTCCCCGCCTCCTTGCAATAGCCAAAGTCCATAAATTCCTTTATAATAAATAAGATTTCTGTCCTGGCTTCCAGTTATTGAAGAACAAGAACTCAGAAGAGGATTCTTCCCAAAGGCTTTCATGCTTAAATCAGTGTGATACATATGCAGAAACACTGGTCAAACCTATTATTTATTTCATAAAATTTATACACTGCTTCATTGCAAAAAAGAAAGAAAGAAAGAAGAAGCCCTCAAAGCAGTTTTTTAAAAAGATAAAACAATAAAATTATCAATAGGAAGAATTAGCAACAATAATTTAAGATCTTCAAAAAGTTAAATTAACGATAAACTAAAAGCAGATTAAAACCCGCATCAATTTTCTAAATATCTGGGTAGGTTTTCCTAAACAAATATATATATATTGGAGTTTATCTAGCCATTCAATTATATCAATTGCCATTTCTTTTTAAAAACCAGGCTGCAAACAATCTCATTGTCCTCGGCCGGGAAGAAGCGGGTGCAGAGAGGATATTCCAGAACAATGGCCTGAACCTGCTATTGAGGCTGATAGACACAAAAAACCCAGAGCTAGTCCTTGCAGCGATAAGGACCCTTTCAGGAATGTGCACAGACCATAAGGCAAGGGTAAGTGTTATCTGAGGTTGCCTGGTTCACAGATCACCCTCTGCTCTACACCCTCCCCCCTGGTCCCAGACCCACTGGTGACCAAATCTTAACTTTACTTTATGTTGTTTGTATCATGCCTTTCTCTCAGCACAGGCATAAATTAAGGCAGATACAACTAAAGTACACAATACATATATGCGTGTGTGTGTATAGTTTTAAGCAATTAAATAAGTAACCATATTAAAACAGCATAGAGAACACTTAAAAACATTTAAAAGGACAAATAGAAAAGTACAACACTCAGAAGACACTACCAGAACATTCAGTGAGTGGCCAATGCGCTGTTGGAAGGGGGGGGGGATCATAAAGGGGTCCAGGCAAGCCTCCCATGGAAGAGAGCTCCACAATCTGGGAGCAGCCACAGGAAAGGCCTTCTCCTTCCCCACCCTCCCAAGGGACATGGGTGGCGCTGTGGTCTAAACCACTGAGCCTCTTGGGCTTGCCGATCAGAAGATTGATGGTTCGAATTCCCGCAACGGGGTGAGCTCTCGTTGTTCTGTCCCGGCACTTGCCAACCCAGCAGTTTGAAAGCACACCAGTGCAAGTAGATAAATAGGTACCGCTGTGGCGGGAAGGTAAGCAGCGTTTCCCTGTGCTCTGGTTTCTGTCATGGTGTTCCGCTGCACCAGAAGTGGTTTAGTCATGCTGGCCACATGACCTGGAAAGCTGTCTATGGACAAACGCCGGCTCCCTCAGCCTGAAAGCGAGATGAGCACTGCAACTCCATAGTCGCCGTTGACTGGACTTAACTGTCCAGAGGTCCTTTACCTTTACCCTTCCCCACTCTCCCACAGGATGGACCAACGGTCTGTCTTGATGCAAGGCATCTTCCTGAGGCCCCGTGTTCCTGTGAATTTCTCCAGTCCTCTTTTTAAGCCACCCAAGTTAGTGGCTGCCACTACCTCCTGTGGGAACAAGTTTCATTGTTTTAGCGCCGCATCAGCATGAGAAAACACGGGCAGGTAAATCAGACAAAATCAATCTCTCTTTCGCTGGACAGGCAACAGCCATCCTTCACATGCTGGGAATTGGCAATATCTGCCTGTGGATGTCCACCAACCATGAAGAGATCTCGCTGGCCGTCTCCAACCTCCTGCAGGCCATCATTGACTCGCTAACTGGGGAAGGCAAGAAGGAAGAACATGGAAAAGAGGATGCCTTAGTGCTGGGTAATTATTGGCAACTTTGCTAACAGGTGCCTTGATAAGTGCTGATCTGAGCGTTAAAGATTTTGGCGGGAAACCATGCTCTGAGTTCGAGTTCTTCATCCATCTGGAGGGCATCAGGAAGGCTGATATGAATGAAAGTTAGTCCCTGTGCATATTATTTATTTACAAAAATATTTATGTCATTAAAATAATCAAGGAGGTTTACAGCCCTGAGGTTACCAACAAATGGACTACAGTGGCCAGGCTGTCCCTGTTCAGAAATGGATGGATATGAACAGCTACACCAATCACTTTGACCTTGCTTTGCCCAACTTTCTTTTTTTTTGCACAGACACAAAGAAGGACCTGAAGGCAGTCACAATGCGCCTCCTGGACATGCTCCCCAATAAAAAGGTGTCTGGACAAGGCCGAGACCGTGCTCTCAATTTGCTCAATAAGAACATACCAAGGAAGGACCTGAGAATCCATGACAACAGCAGGACCCTGTTTGTCATTGACAACGGTAAGCCCAGCACCAATATCCTCTTTTCCTGCTGGTCCAGATCTGACAACAGGTAGAGAGAGGCAGTGTAGCACAATAGTTAGAGTGTTGGACTATGACCTGGGAGACCAGGGTTTGAATCTCCACTCAACCAGGAAGCTCCCTGGGGACCCTAGGGCCGGTCACTCACTGTCTCTCACTCCTTATCCCACAGAGTTGTTGTGGGGATTAAATAAGAAGAAGGAGAACCACAGACACCACCTTGAGCTCCTTGGAAGAAAGGAGGCCTTGGCCCAATATACCTGAAGGGGTGTCTCCACCCCCATTGTTCAGCCCAGACACTGAGGTCCAGCGCCGAGGGACTTCTGGCAGTTCCCTCACTGTGAGAAGTGAGGTTACAGGGAACCTGGCAGAGGGCCTTCTCGGTAGTGGCGCCCACACTGTGGAATGCCCTCCAGCCAGATGTCAAGGAAATAAACAACCCTCTGACTTTTAGAAGACACCTCAAGGCAGCCCTGTTTAGGGAAGTTTTTGGTGTTTGATGTTTTATTGTGTTTTTAATATTCTGTTGGGAGCTGCCCAGAGTGGCTGGGGAAACCCTGCCAGATGGGCGGGGTATAAATAATAAATTGTTGTTGTTGTTGTTGTTTAGAACTAGAAGCTACAGAGCTATATCTGATTCCCATAAGGGGACTCTCTTAGATGCCAACTCCACAGGAAGATACGAAGCTGCCTTATAGAGAGCCAGACCATTGCTCCCTCTAGCCCAGTGTTGTCTACACAGGCTGGCAGAAGCTCCTCAGGGGTTCAGGCAGGGGAATTCTCAGCTCTACTTGGAGATGTTATTGTGGATAGAACCTAGGGCCTTCTGTATGTGGAGCACGTGCTCAATTGCTGAGCCCTGTCCAAGGTTGCATCTCTGCATTTGCGTCTAAACTGACCCTGGGTTCTCTCCCTGCCCCCTGCTCTGCTCCCAGGTCTCAAGAAGATCCTGAAAGTTGCTGGCCAGATCCCTGACATGCCAAACTGCCTCCCTTTGACCGAGAACACCCAGCTGACAGCTTCAGTGCTCCTGAACAAGCTGTATGACGATTTACGGTGTGACCCAGAGAGGGATAACTTCAGGCTGCTCTGTGAAGAGTACATCCAGTGAGTAAGGGGGCTGTGTGTCCTGCCTTACAAATGACAGGACTTCTCTACTTGAAGGCATTTGAAGAGCTGCCCATTTCAAGTCTGGTTTAAAGATAACTCCAAGAAGGGAGGGCAGTTCAGCTGGGGAGGAGGGAGGCTTGAAGTCGACCAACCACAGTGAGCACCTACACAGACCCACCTGGTCACAGGAAGAATGTAAGAACATAAGAAGGGCCTGCTGGATCAGGCCAATGGCCCATCTAGTCCAGCATCTTGTTCTCAGAGTGGCCAACGAAAGGGAAACCCACAAGCAGGACCTGAGAATAAGAGCACTCTTTCCTCTTGTAGTCTCCAGGGACTGGTATTCAGAAGCATTGCTGCCTCCAACTGTGGGGGCAGAGCATAGCCATTGTGGCTAATAGCCATTGATGGCCCTCTCCTCCACAAGTTTGCCCAATCCCCTTTTAAAACCATCCAGGTTGGTGTCCATTCTTGTCTCCTGTGGCAGGGAGTTCCATAGTTTAACTATGCACTGTGTGGAGAAGTCATTCATTTTACCTGTCCCCCAAAATCCCAACATTCAGCTTCATTGGATGACCGTGAGGTCTACCATTAAGAGAGGGAGAATAACTTCTCCATGCCACATGCCATTTTATAGTCTCCCTCCACCAGGGTGAGATGCAGGGCTTTTTTCAGCCAGAGCTCACTGGAGCTCAGCTCCAGCCCCTCTCAGGCAGGTGGGTGCCCTTGCCATTCTAAGAGAACAAGGGAAGTGTTTGTGGTGAGCTCTGGCACCTCTTTTTCTAGAAAAAAATAGTACTGGTGAAATGGATTGTATTTCTAATTAAATCATGGGTGGATATCCTGAGTTTCCCCAAACCCCAATGGGCCATTTTGATGGGTAGATAAGGACACCATGCCTTCTACTTCCTTCCTTCCTCTGCTCTTCCATGTTTCTAGGAGCAAAATTGACCCCCAGGACATGGACAAGACTCTGCACGCCATCCAGACGGTGTCTGGGGTCCTGCAGGGGCCTTTTGATTTGGGGAACAAACTTCTGGGCATGAAAGGGGTCATGGAGATGATGGTGGCTCTCTGTGGCTCCGAGCGAGAGATCGATCAGCTGGTGGCCGTGGAAGCCCTGATCCACGCTTCGACCAAGTTGAGCCGGGCCACCTTCATCATCACCAACGGGATCAGCCTGCTGAAGGAAATCTACAAGAAGACCCAGAATGAGAAGATCAAGATCAGAGCTCTGGTGGTCAGTTCTCCTGGCTCAGGGGTGGATGGGGAACCATGGGGAACCCTGCTCCCCATAGTCACTGGGGCAACCTTACCTCCCCTGCAAACACGTGAGATGGTTGATTATCCTCAATGCAGGAAGGCTTTTCCTATGGCAAGGTTTAATGTTCTCCCTTCTAATGTTATTAGATGACAGATACAACAAAACCCCAATGAACAGCAGTTGGTGCCCTTGTAGCAATACTGAGGTGAAGTCCATCATGCATATCCTTCCCTGATGCAGTTTCAATCAAGGGACTAGGAAAGACTTAATACACCCCATTATGCAGCCCCTCCCTGGCCGCTCTTATGATCACTTTGCTATTGGTTCCCATAAACCAATCACAGAGCAAATGGCAACATTTTTTAATATGGCCTTCGTAGAATTGTAGAGCTGGAAGGGACCATGAGAGTCATCTGGTCCAACTTCCTGCAATGTAGAAATCCTTTTGCCCAACATAGGGCTCAAACCCACGATCCTAAGATTAAGATTCTCATGCTCTACCAACTGAACTATCCTAGTACCACTTGTGAGTTAGACCACATGATTTCTGTCTGTTTATGTTGCAAACCACCCTGTGATCTTTGGACATTAACAAATAAATATCTCATTTAGATTATATCCTGTGTTTTGCTGTATTAAGGTGTGCTAATGTTGTTGCAATACTGAGCCCACCAATACCTCCTTGATTCTCTTCCCAGGGCCTTTGCAAGCTGGGCTCCGCCGGGGGCACAGACTATGGCCTGCGACAGTTTGCTGAAGGGTCAACAGAGAAGCTGGCTAGGCAGTGCCGGAAGTAAGTGGCAGAAGACCGACTTTGGGGACGAGGGGTGGAGGAGTTGGGAGAGCAGATTCCACAACAGATGCTGCCTCTCTCGGTCTCTAAAGTTTGCATGCCAGCCTAATTGCTAGCTCCTCCCAGTCACTTTCTGGAAGCATATTCTTCAAACATCCCAGCAAGACGCTTAGGTCCATGTGGTGTTTAATATCCTAGCATTTCTGCAACAAAATCACGTCTTCCATTCTCTGGTAACTTCCAGATTGGATTGCTGCAGTGCGTTCCACATGGGGCTGCCCTTGAAGATTATTCGGAAACTTCACTCGGTCCAAAATACAGCTGCCACATTACTGTCTGGGGTTCCATTTAAATATAATATAAACCCTGTTTTGAAACAGTTGCAATGGTATTGTTGTTTAAAGTCCTAAATGACTCAGGCCCCAAATATCTGAAAGACCACATTCTTTCCTACAGACCCTCTCAGGTGCTGAGATCAGCAAAGTAGGCCCTCTTGGTAGTTCCTCCACCCTTAGAGAGCTGTGGGGGCTGGCCTGGGAGAGAGCCTTCTCTGTGGTGGCCCCTAAGCTATGGAACTCCCTCCTCACAGAGATGCATTTGGCACCTTCATTGCACAGCTTCTGGAGAATGCTGAATGTGCACCTCTTTACCCTGGCCTTTGGCACTGAGGTGTATGGTTTTAGGACCCACCTTATTTTAATGATCGCAGGTTGTTTTAAATTGTTTTTAATATTGTATTTTAATGCTGTAACCCGCCCTAGGATGAAAGAGAGAGAGAGAGGAGAGAGAGAGAGAATGACAATAATACTCTTTTGCAAATAATCTGGATATTTAAAGAGTCCAAGGACATCAGCTTAAAATCTGTTCTTCTCCAATATCTTCTCCAACATTTGCCTTACTGAGCCTCATCTTCCTTACCTCGTTCCTTCAGATGGCTGTGCAACCCCGCCATTGACACCCGCACAAGGAAGTGGGCTATAGAAGGTCTTGCTTACTTGACCCTGGATGCCGACGTGAAGGATGACTTTGTGGAGGATGAGCCAGCCATGCAAGCCATGTTTGAATTAGCCAAGGTAGGCTGTATCACACATGCACTTGCGTGAATGCCACATACATGCAGATTGTTGTGGCCCTAATTGCCCACTGCTGTAGTTTTTCACCATTATTTTCACAAAATAATGTCCCAGGTGGCTCAACTGAACAAATATAAATCATAAGCATAATGGAAATAGACATAATCACAATTCTTTGATATGCAGAACTGGCACTGTTAATAGGTGCCACATAAACCCTTTCCACATTTGTAAAAACTCAATCTTTTAGATATGCAACCCTTGGACTAGACAAAGGTCTCCCTTGCTTTCAAAGTCTCTCTCACTTTAAATACCTGATTTTATCTTCTTTTTTAAAAAAAAAAACTTTGATTTTGCGTTTTACAGACAAGCGACAAAACCATTTTGTACTCAGTGGCCACCGTCTTGGTGAACTGCACCAACAGCTACGATGTCAAGGAAATTATCCCGGAACTCGTGCAATTGGCCAAGTTTTCCAAGCAGCATGTTCCTGAGGAACACCCAAAGGTAGCCGGCCGGTCATCCTTGCAAACACCAAATGCTGTTAATAACTAGCAGGAAAGAACTCTGCCCTAGCAATGGGAGAGAATTTTTATTTGGTTTGCACTGGAAAAGCAAACCTACCTATTTTGCACTTTACAAAACAGTACCAGAACTGAAGCAAAGCTGTGCTCCAAAATTCTCACCACCTTTTTCCATTGCTGTTCTCCAATAAAGTATTATATACAAAAAGGCAGTTAACATATAATTTAAAACAGTTGAAAGCACAAAAACATTAAAAACCTATTAGTGAAAATAACATACAAAATGAATGTATGTAATTTCATTCTTTTTTACCCCATTATAAACATCTGGCTAATGTGTTCTCTGTGCTTCTTACCTGGGTTCTTTAATGCTGTTCACTGACCATAATAATAAATATTGAACCTGGTTTGGAAAAGCATTATATTAGGGGGAAAGCTTTGCAAAAATGTGTGCATTATGGATATAGATATTAGGCAAAAGTGCAGACAAATGTGTATATCCAGGAGAAACTCGCATTAAAATCCTGATTAATTTTCATGAGGGCTTGTTAAAAAAAAATCGCAACCTGATGTAGAAATATCAGGAACTGAAGAGTGGGAAAATGGGAAACTGAAATATATTTATTTATTACATTTATATACCACTCAGGGAAGTGTACGTGGTTTTTCTCCTCACTATTTTATCCCCACAACAACCCTGTGAGGTAAGTTGGGCTGAGAGACGACTCGCCTTTAAGGTCATACCCAGTGTGAGTGAGGATTTGAACCCTGGTTCTCCCAAGGCTCTAGTCCAACACGCTAACCATGATACCACACCAGAAACTGACAGATCCACCCATCCCTACTCCTCCACAGAGTGGCAGGGACCAAGATTAAAGTTGGGCTTCACCACAACTCCTTACTCTCCCACAGGACAAGAAGGATTTTGTCTCAAAGCGGGTCAAACGGTTGGTCGCTGCCGGAGTCACCTCCTCCCTGGTCTGCATGGTGAAAGCGGACAGCGCCATTTTGACCGATCAGACCAAAGAGCTCTTAGCCAGGTAAGCTGCCTCGCTTCTGCCTTTTCAGAATTCTCAGGCGATAGCAGGATGCAACAGGAAAGTCATTTTAGGAAAGCCTGAAATGCCAGTGCAGGATACAAGGGTGAGCAGAGTGCCCTCACAGACTCTAGATTCCAGAGAAGCGTCCAACAAAGTCTTGTGTCTGTTTCTGCCCTGAATGATGTTCCCATGCTGAATCGGTACTTCAGGGTGAAAGCTGAAGATGTTCCTGTTAATAGCGAGGGTTGGAGGGGGGTGCCATTCATTATATGGCCAAAATGGCACCACCCAGGAATCCCCAGGAATGTTTCAGACAAACAATCAGCCCCTGCCAGCACAGAGACAGACCATTGCTTTTGGGACGTAATCAACAACAACAGGGGACACTTATCCCAAACGTATGTTTCTCTTCCAACAGAGTTTTTCTTGCTTTGTGTGAAGATGCCAAGGACCGTGGTACCATCGTTGCTCAAGGGGGTGGAAAGGTAATTCTTTCAGCTTCCTATTTCAGATGCTCCTATTTAGGAATACTTTGTGCAATTAATCTGGGGATGTGTGTGTGTGTGTGTGTGTGTGTGTGTGTGTGTTGTTGTTGTTGTTGTTGTTGTTGTGGCTTCTTCTTTTTTTTTTGCATAATGTGCAAATAAGAATTTAGGGTAGAACGCTCAGCCAACAGGGACATTCAACTGTGAGCCTACCTGGTGTCATCACCTAATTTGTTGTTCTTAGGCCCTGATCCCATTGGCTTTGGAAGGCACAGAAGTTGGCAAAATCAAAGCATCACACGCCCTGGCCAAGATCGCAGCCATCTCCAATCCAGACATTGCGTTCCCTGGGGAGAGGGTGAGTCAATCCATGGCATATTTGGAACATGGTTATGTTTGTGTGAACAGAGCAGAGTCCAGCAACTGGAGAGCACCAGGAGCACATTTATTACTTTAAAACAAGGAAGGGGCAATTTTTATCAGCCCAAAAGCAACATTCCCTTTCTGGACAACCTTCTAGGGTCCGAATGCCAGTGGTGGTTGGGGGCTGGAGGCAAAAGTGAGCAGAGAAAGGACTGCACATTTTCCCTTTGTACAGGAGGCCTTTTGTTCAGAAAGGCGTCTGCTCTGTTGTTGGGTGTGGCAGGGTCTGAATGACCACAGGGCTCCAGGGTGCCCCAGGGTGACATCCATTTGCCTGCCTCTCCCACAGGTGTATGAAGTCGTGCGTCCTCTGGTCAGTTTGCTGAACACCGAGCGGGATGGGCTACAGAACTACGAGGCTCTTCTGGGTCTCACCAACTTTTCAGGGAGGAGCGACAAGCTCAGGTGATTTACAGCAGCCATTTTGTTCCCCTGGGCGATTCATGGCCTCCTGCTCTTGATAGACAGCCTGATGTGGCCAAGATAGGGATCTATGTTTCTCATGTAAGAAAGGACTTATTCACACCGTGCATTGTTAAACTATGAAACTCACTCCCATGGGAGGCATGCCCATCAAATGCCCCAGAAAAAACAGGACATCCCATTTTTTCTCATGAGACAGCAGCCAAAATGCTCGTCACAATCTCACACTGCACTTTTGGTGGGCATGGTGCCCCAAACACGCTTTTTTAGCGCTGTGCCCCCCCCGGCACGCTTTTTAGGGGGCTGCAATCTCGCACAGGTCACATGACTCGTGTGGGAGTTTGGCTCTGCAAGATGGCGCCTTGGTTTTGGGCCTCTTCATATTGGAAGGTATGAGGAGTCATGTGGGCAGAAGCGATGTTGCAGGTCAGCTGGAATCAAATGTCACAAAGAAGCCAATGGGATTCCTCCTGGTGCTTCATTAGCTGCAGGCCACAACCAGGCCTGAGAGTGGCCTGCCTGTTAGGTGGAGACCAGGGATGCTAACTTGAATAAGATATTGTGGGGGCCCAGGTAAGTCCTGCCCCACATAACTGATCACATGATGCATTGCACACACACCACTTGAATGGGAATGCCCATCAACTTTGTGGGGGCCCAGCCCCCTCAAATACTTTATTGTGGGGGCCGTAACCCCCATTGCCCCTTGGAGTTGGCTCCTAAATTGGAGACCAAATTTCACCCAGACTCCCTGCCCCAAGGTTGCCTGCAGGATTCCACCCTGAGGGGTGCAGAATTTTACTACATCTTGCAATTCACATGCTAGTGTGTGCTCTGCAATTTCACACGCACACGTTGCTTCTTTCAGACAAAAGATCATCAAAGAGAAAGCCCTGCCTGACATTGAGAACTACATGTTTGAAAACCACGATCAGCTTCGGCAGGCGGCCACAGAGTGCATGTGCAACCTCGTGGTGAACAAAGAGGTAAAATAGCCCTTGTTATTCAACGGAGGGCAACCTGTAGCCCGATTTGGCCTGCCATGGGTTCCAATTTGGCCCACAAGGCTATAGGTCCCCCAATACTGTCCCTTTTGTTGTGGTTAAAAGGTAAAGGTAAAGGGACCCCGGACCATTAGGTCCAGTCGTGACCGACTCTGGGGTTGCAGCGCTCATCTCGCTTTATTGGCCAAGGGAGCCGGCATACAGCTTCCGGATCATGTGGCCAGCATGAGTAAGCCGCTTCTGGCGAACCAGAGCAGCGCACAGAAACGCCGTTTACCTTCCCGCCGGATTTATCTACTTGCACTTTGATGTGCTTTCAAACTGCTAGGTTGGCAGGAGCAGGGACCGAGCAACGGGAGCTCACCCCGTTGCGGGGATTCGAACCACCGACCTTCTGATCGGCAAGTCCTAGGCTGTGTGGTTTAACCCACAGCGCCACCCGCATCCCTTTTTTGTGGTGGTGGTGGTTAGGGGATGAATTAATCCAGATCTCTCTCATTTCCCCCCACCTCTGCCCCCTGCACCAGGTTCAAGAGAGATTCATAGCAGATGGGAATGACCGACTGAAACTGCTTGTGTTGCTGTGTGGTGAGGACGACGACAAAGTCCAGAACGCCGCAGCAGGAGCCCTAGCTATGCTCACGGCTGCCCACAAGAGACTCTGCCATAAGCTGACCGAAGTGGTAAGGGTCTCATTGCCCTTGAGCATAAAGTGTGTGTTGAAAGTTGCATCTGTATGAGGAAAGTTTGCAGTGCTGGGTACCTTGTAATATAGAGAAGAGGCGAGTAAGAGGTAACATGATATAAGTTTATAAAACAATTCATGGCATGGAGAAATTAGATAGAGAAATTTTTTTCTCCCTCTCTTATAACACTAGAACTCATGTGCTACCAATGAAGCTGATTATGGGAAGATTCAGGACAGAGAAAAGAAAGTTTGTCATGCATTGGAGAAACTATGGAACTCCCTCCTGCAGGAGGCAGTGATGGCCACCAACTTGGATGGCTTTAAAAGAGGACTGGACAAATTCATGGAGGAGAGGGCTATCGATGGCTCAGCTCTGTCGCAACAGTCAGAGGCACCAATGCTTCAGAATGCCAGTTGCTGGAAACTGCAAGAGAACAGGATGCTCAACTAGATGGGCCACTGGCCTGATCCAGCAGGCTCTTGGTTTTATATGATGGCTAAAATAGAATCTTGAGGTTGTTTGGAGCTTCTGTGCTTTTAATTGAAGCTTCCTCTTGGTAGCTTCTATCTCTAATTCTGTCCCCTTCAGTGTCTATAAATTGTTGCTTCATTAACAGTTGATGTTCACCACTGCTGGGGTTTTGAGGAGCTTTCCTCAGCAGTTTTCTCATTTTCTTTTCTTCCTTTTCTATTCTGTGATTTTTAAAAAATAATAATAATATGAAGAAATTAGTAACGAAAACCCTCTTGTCGTGCCGGAAATGCCTGAGCTAATTCAGAAATAATTCACCACTAATTTAGCCCTGAAAAGGAAGCAATTAGAGAAAAAAACTTGGTGCCTCATAACAACTCTCAGCAGCCTTAACAAACTACAATACCCAAGATACTTGGGAGGAAGTAATGCTTGTTAAAGTGGTATAAGGGTCTTTTACTTGTATGGTGTGGACTAGCACCTTGAACAGTTCTGTGCAGTTACACATTTCAAAGATGTGCAAGTAACCTAGCAAATCTTATTCCTGCAGACAACCCAGTGGCTGGAGATTCTGCAGAGGCTCTGCCTCCACGACAAGCTCAACGTACAGCACCGTGGGCTCGTGATTGTTTACAACTTAATCCAGGCAGACCAAGAGCTGGCTAAGAAACTAGTGGAAAGTGAGATGCTGGAAATCCTGACCATTGTTGGGAAGCAGGCTGATGACCCCCAGAGGCAGCATGTCCTAAAGGTGGCTCGGGAATGCCTTGTGAAGTTCATGGACTATGGAATGATCAAACCTATGTCTCCATCGTAAGGGCAGAGGAAATCTAAGATCTAAAAAGAATGAGGACTAGAGGAGTGGCATGGAAGTGATTCGACATGTAAAGAACTTACATTGGAAAACTGAAGCATTATTTCCAAAGCTCTGACACAATGCAAATGTTTTTGCCCACAGAAATAGCCCTCAGATTTGTTTCTTCAAGGGGAATCACAATTTGTTTCTGGCTAGCAAACCTCCTTTCCAAAGCAACTTCCTGTTAAAGATTTGGAGCGTCAGAAAACAACCTGCAATGTTTGAAATAACAAAAAAACAACAACACCCTTTTCTTTTAGAGGTTCCTGATGTAGTTTTTATAATTATATTATGCTCACTGTCTTTTGAACAATTTGACTTGTTGGAAACTCTAACAACTTTTAACATAGACTCCTTGCTAGAGAAATTCATGCGATGGTTCTTGTGGTGATTCACTAATAAAATGGTTGGTGCAGAAAAATTGCACATTGTGCAGCTTCCTTAAAATGACAAATAGCATAATAGTGAATGGTTTGGGTAATATTGTGACATGCCACCCCAATCTCCAAATTGTTAAGAGTTTCCAGGCCCTTACTCACCTTTTTGTGTCCTTGGAATACCGTATTGGCCCAAATAAAATTCAAGGCTTATTTGCGGGTGTGGCCTGCCTCCTGGCACTACCACTCTGAATGGGGAAAAGGAGCGGCTGGTGCCAGCTTGGGGAGGTAGTGCCAGGAGTGCCAGGAAGCAGTAGTACCGGGAGGCAAGCGCGCAGTGTTTGGTTCCGAATATAAGTTGTGGATACAGAGTAAACATTTCACGGGGCCTCTTTTAAAAGACTCACCCTGTATATGTGTGTGTAAATAAACCATCTATCATAAAGACACCATAGTCTCTGCTGTACCTTGTTTTGAAGGAAACACGAACCCTGGGTACCCCTGGAATCTCTCATCACTCAAGAGATTAGGGTGGCATGCAACAGTATGGTTCTTACAAACCACTGGGGGGTGGTAAACAGCAGTACAGGCAACGACCATTTTAGGCACGTCCAATTGATGTGCGATTGCCTGTGGTGATGTCACCCCCCTCAGGGATGACACCCGGAGCGAACCGCCCCCACCACACACCCCTTTCTCCGCCAGTGAGCAGTGGTTAGCCAAGTGTAGGAATGGAAGGAGCCCTGCATTTCAGTTCACACTCAGTTTCTCCAATCTGAAATTCAGTTTTCCACGTTTCTGTGGCCATCTGCAATTACATATATATATATATATATATATATACATATACACACACACACACACACACACACACAAGAAACACATTTTTTTGTATGCAGTTTTGACTAAAACACACATTTTTTCAGGCAAATAACTCACTTTTGTTATTTTTACTGATATATTAATGTTGATGCACATTTTCCCTTAGTATCTTCATTTTTGTAAGCATTATTTGGTTGGAGAAGTACATTGCAAAATTCAGAGAAATGCAAATTCCAAAGGATGGTTGTGTTTTGTATTGGCTAGATTTGCCTTTAAATGTGAACTGAATCCCATTTTACACTCATCCCAGTGGAGAGACTTTCTTTGGTCTCTTTGGAACCCACTGCCAATCTACTCTGGTGGACTCCTTCAAATTCAGGTATTCTGAGAGGGAACAATTTCTGTGATATTATGATGTAATGAGTCGGATGGCCAATCAGATCTTCCGTTGCAGAAAGATAAATGACACCAGGTCAGCCATTGTTTCAGAGGATGCAGGTTGGAGAATTACTTTCAGAGAGCAAAGGGGCTCTTAGACAAGAAGGTAAATACGATTTTTTATGGTACAAAAATAGTTCACATGAGTCTGTTAGAGAGTTGAGATTTTCTTGGTCCATTGATGCTTCTCATCCGGGTTAATTGTCAAGGCTTTTTCTCAAAGAATTTTAGGAGTTCTGGTCAGGTGACGTTGCTGATCATACTGTCATTCATAGACAGAGAACTACAGTTCCTAAGTAATTGAAACAGAGGTTATCCTGGGGCAGGGGAGATTCTCCTCCTTCAAACCCTCCCATAAGATTGAAAACCTAACTACAGCCTGCATAGATCTATGGTTTAATATGGTTTAATGCTACTGTACAAAATCCTGTAGATCATCAGAAATGAGCAGGTAGGCCAACAGGTAAATTAAGGCATAGTTTTGCAGTTTAAAGCAATTAAAACAATTGTTTGTTTTAAATAAAGTCGGAGTTATTTGACAATGGGACAGAGTGTCGTAGGAAGTTTAGACTTCTTGGCTGGTCTTTAAAGCAGAACCTGCATCACTATCTGCCAGAGATTCTGTAACTGACTCCTGCATTACATACAGATCCTATACTGAACAGATCCAACCCCAAGATTGGATGAACTTCTTCCTAACCCACCACAATTTCTGCTCAAAGTGATGTGTGCCTTTAACTCTTGACCATATGCAGATTGTAGGGTTAGTTCAGTTGAATGCCCCATCTTTGCTAAGTTTCTTTGCTAAGTTAACAGTCCTTGCCCAGTCCATTAAGCATCCTTTTTGCACATCTAAATAATTGGTCAAGTACAGATGTGTTGCCATAGAAACAGCTAGCTAGTGATACCTCCAGAAGTGGGAATAGGCCCCTCACCTCACCTGGCTGGCAGTTTTCCTAGAAGTAGGGGATAGCTTTTTTCTTAGTCTGGTCTGGAACTGGGAAGCTTGACTTGCTCTCTTCTGTTGGAACCAAAGCTATAACTTTGAAGGCCTTCCTAGAAACCTTAATGGGGTAGCAAAATCTGCCATGGTGCCGATGACAAGAGCACCTCCATCGTATCCTCTTGTTGTATACATGTGTAAATGAATAAAATCATATATCCTAAGGACATCACAACCAAACATTGGGAAAGTGCAGGCATCCTTGGAGTCTCTCACCACTCAGAACCTGGGGTGTGCATAACAGGATAATAGTAGGTCTCTAAAGATGCTGGTTTATCTCCAATATTTTTCTTCTTCAGCCTCTAGCCACACAGAATGGCTTCTACAGGCACAGCTAAGAAGACAGAGGGAGAACAGCCATCAAAGTAAGTGTAAAAAGTGTTATGATCCAGTTGGATTAACTGAAATGATCTGTTGGCTTTAGAATACCAGGGTTGGATCAAAGCTATAATTAAGAGGTCATGGCATTCATCTTGCTGTTTCCTTAGACGTTACTTGTTTTTGTGCCATAGCTATGAACTCATGCCCATCTACTCTGCATTGATAGAGAAACTGCCATTCGTGTCCCCAACCCCCACCTTCAGAAGATGAAAGAGGACGTCCTGTATCATTTAGCTCTTGGAACTGGGACCCACAATTTACCTGCCTTGTTTGGAGACGTGAAGGTAAGAAAATAAACGCTGTGTCAGAACACTGAATCATTAAACTCTGTCTCTGATGATTGAAAATTGGATTTGGGAGAGGTACTTTCCTTAACAGGTGTTCCTTAACACCTGATTACCTAAGGATGGAACTACATTGTTTGGCTGGAGAGCTACATTGCAAATTCTGGATTAGTGTGAATTTTAATAGCGAGCTGTGTTTCACTTCTATTGTTTCAGAAGGTGTGAATTTGGTAGATTCATCTTTCAGTGTGAACTGAATTGATTTCTCCCATCTAATATATAATACCAGTAACATTTTACAGAATAGCTAGATCTATCTACATTTAGCAGACTGAGTAATATTATAAAAAATCTTCCTTTTTCTTTCTTTGAAACATCATTGGGTCTAGTTTGTATGCACTGGTGGAAGCCCTTTGCGGATGAAAGCTTTCATCACATCTATTGCTAAGGAGATGGCCATTGGGAGCCCGGCCTGCGACTTGCCCAACATCTGTGCTGCGACGGATCGGTATGCCATGTACAAAGCTGGCCCTGTGCTAGCACTTAGCGTAAGTACACAAGCCATTATCTTACTTATTTACTGCATTGAGTTTAACTCTCACCTTTCCTCTGAGGATCTCAGGGTGGTGTACACACTCCCAGTCACATCCTCACAACAACCCCATGAGGTAGGCTAGGCTGAAAGATGCTGACTGGCCCCGAAGTTCTGCTACTCTTTAGCTTTCATTTCCATTCTGCCATTGACGTTGCTGTACTTCATGAATGGCAGATCTGCTTCGAAAAACTTTTTTGAAGGGAAGGATGGAAATAAAGAAATATTAAAGAGTCCAGCCAGGTCTGTTTATTATATTTACCATATTTTTCTGTGTATAAGACTAGGTTTTTTTTCCTTTTAAAAAGTGTCAAAAATTGGGGGGCATGTTTTTTTTTTTTCCTCGCCCCTGAGGCGGGGATGAGGCTGGCGAGCTGGAACATCAACGGGCTCCGGGCTGGGTTGGGACCCGCGGGGTTGAGGCCGCTCCTGGACTCCCTGGGGGCGGATGTCGTCTGCCTGCAAGAGACCAAGGTCACCCGTGGGAAAGGCAGTGCCAAGTACAGACGAGAGGCAAACATGGGGACCTGCTGGAGGAGCCACTGGCAATAGTGTACGGCTATAACTCTTATTTCAGCTTCAGTCGCACCCGCAATGGCTATTCAGGTGTTGCAACGTTCTGCAAGGTCAGTGCCACCCCAGAGGCAGCTGAAGAAGGCCTGTCTGGGCTGTTTGCTAAGCACGATGGCGCAGTTGGTTCTTATGGAGAGACAGAGGGCTTCACAACTGAGGAGCTACAGGCATTGGACAGTGAGGGCCGGGCTGTGATCACACGTCACCGTATTCGCACTTCAGAACAGCAGGAGACCACGCTGACAGTCATCAATGTGTACTGCCCTCGTGCGGACCCTGAAAAGCCAGAGCGTGGGGACTTCAAGCTGCGTTTCTATCATCTCTTGCAAGCTCGGGCCGAGGCACTTCTCAGAGCTGGAGGCCATGTGGTCATCCTGGGGGACATCAACACAGCACACAAGCCTATTGACCACTGTGACCCGGGAGATCTGGAATCCTTTCAGGAGCATCCCGGGCGCCGCTGGCTGGACAGTTTCCTGTGGGAGCCAGACAAGGATTCCCAGGATGGGAAATGCTTTGTTGACACGTTCCGTTTTCTGCACCCTGGTCAGACTGATGCCTACACCTGCTGGTGCAACGTAACCGGGTCCCGGCAGCTCAACTACGGCACCCGCATTGACTATATCCTGGCTGATCGTGCGCTAGCATTGTCAGATCTGCAGGATGCCCAGCTCATGCCAGACGTCTTTGGCTCCGACCACTGCCCTGTGCGGGTGGCGCTTAGGAGCGTCTGCCTGGGGGCGCCCCGCTGCCCACCTCTCTGCACCCGCTTCCTGCCTGAGTTTGCTGGCACCCAGCAGAAGCTCAGCCGCTTCCTCGTGAAAGTGGAGCGGACCAGCCTGCCAGAGGAGAGGGGGCAAAAAAGGGGCGGGAGGGAACCAAATGTTGCGGGGCTTCCAAGAAGAGACGGGTGGGTCCACCACAGAAGGGCAAGGAGATTTGCGAAGCTTCTTCACAGCTGGAAACGGCAGGCCTAGGGCCACCACCGACAGTGCCAACTATCAGTCGGTAATGAAAACGAGGACAGCAGAAGATTCTGGGGTGGAACTTCCTCTTGACGCTTCTGGAAGGATCACTGTTGAGCATGGGGTGGAGGAAGTTGCTGGTGGGACCCAGCCATGCACTGGGAGTTTGAGAGAGGAGCCCACTCTGGGCCTGGCCAACGGAGAAGCTCTGGATTGTGGGAAAGGCTCGGTCCCCTCTAGTTCAAACCAGTCCGCTGCCCTGTGGAAGTCCCTGCTGCCAGGCCCTGCTCGCCCGCCTCACTGCAAGGCCCATGGAGAGCCCTGTGTCCTGCGGACAGTGAAGAAGCCGGGACCAAACTCTGGGCGGCGCTTTTACGTCTGCGCCCGGCCTCTGGGGAAGCCGTCAGATCCCCGCTCCCGCTGTGACTTCTTCCTGTGGGCCAGTCGGGGGAATCCTTGAATTGAGAGGACAACTGAAATGAGAGGACGTTAGACGCGCAGTGACCCCTAAGTGGAAAAGAAGGGGTTGGTTTCTAATGGAAAGTATCCTGGATGTCTCGCTGCCTAAGAAGAGAGGGGAAGGCAGCCTCTGTGGCAGAGAGAGGCCTAGGCTTATTGCCAGGGGGTCAAAGAGGTCAGGCCCAAAGTTTCCATGGGATCTTTTTGGGCTGTGCCAGTAGAAACTTAACTTTTGTACCAGAGCACGTTGGGAGTTTTGAGGTCTTTGATGCCAGACCCTGCAGATAGGAACGTTGTTTAAAGAGGAAGAAATAATTGGTTTTATTATTAAATCAACAGTTTTACATGCTAGGACTAACACAAGCTTTGGGAATGCGCACACAGACTACCCTGACTTGTGATGAGAATTTTCTGGATTCATGCACATCAAACCTGCAGTTAGGCTCTCTCTAACATTGGGTGGAGAAGTGCTCTTAAATGGTGCTCTTGCAGCAAGTTGCTCTTTCCCCTTAACTGCCCTCCCCTCAAACCCCTGTAATAACAGTGATGCAATTGCTGGGAGGTGACTAATCCTTATTTGGGGCAGGGGGGGATCTTATTTTTTTTACTTTTGATAAAATAAAGATGTTGAAAAAAAAATTAAAAAAAAATTGGGGGGCATCTTATACATGTATACATCTCCCCCCCCCCAATTTTCTTAAATCGGAGTCCCCCAAAATAGAGAGTGTCTTATACACGGGGGCGTGTTATAGACGGAAAAATACGGTCTCCAAGGAGCTCAAGGTGGTGTCCATAGGTCTCCTCTTCCTCATTTCATCCTCACAACCACCATGTGAGGGAGGTCAGGTTGAGAGTGAGGGACTGACCCAAGATCACTGTGAGCTTTGTAGCTGGGTGGGGATTCGAACCCTGGCCTCTCCCAGGTTTTAATTCCACACTCTGACCGCTACATCATGCTAGCTTTCTTGGGAGCACAGATACTTTAAAAGCAATTATATCTCTGTTCCTGATGTGGGGGGGGGGGGAGACCCGAGCTATTTGGTATATTTATCTTCAGTGGGAAACTCTTCTGATGATGATAGAAGGGGGCGTTTGTTTGTTGTTCCTTTTCAGCATGGGATAGGGATGTCTTCCATTGCAACTATGTTGCATGAGCTCATCAAACTTCTGCATCATGCTAAATGCTCCAACGTCATCATTATTCGCATTGGCACATCTGGCGGAATAGGTATTTCCACTTAGTCTTTCCCCCTCCCCCTTCTAAATAAGTGTTTTTGCGGTTGATGGCTGTGGTGCTTAGATCGAACCAGGCTCTCTAAAATCACTATGGGAACTGGATCTATACTGTGAAGTTGATAATACAGACTGGTGAAAACTGGGGGGGGGGTCCCTTTTAAGTCGGTGCCAGCTAAAATGAAAGGAAGTAGTTTAATAAGTGGCAATATGCACCCGTGGACTTGGAAGGCTTTAAAAAAGAGCATTAGAGAAATACATGGATGAAAAGGCATTTCCAGAAATTGAAGGCTCAGTTTTGTTTTCAGATCAGATGCTTCTCGGTATAATTAAAAAAAGGAGACCCAATATAAATACCAATAATGTCTATGTTATATTACTAATAAAAGATCAACAACATGAATACGTTTACAAAATCCCAAAATGCAATGAATCCTATCAGACACCAATCTCAGATGACTGGTAAAAAGGTTGTTTCATCCATGAATCTAAATTTTGTGCTCTTTTGCATGAAGTGGATATCCATCAAATGGAAAATGTCACAGAGAGAGAGAGAGAGAGAGAGAGGGAGAGAATGCATACAGTATATACATATACTGTATATACAGTGGTACCTTGGGTTAAGAACTTAATTGGTTCTGGAGGTCCGTTCCTAACCTGAAACTGTTCTTAACCTGAAGCACCACTTTAGCTAATGGGGTCTCCCGCTGCCACCATGCTGTTGGAGCACAATCTCTGTTCTCATCCTGAAGCTAAGTTCTTAACCCGAGGTACTATTTCTGGGTTAGTGGAGTCTGTAACCTGAAGCGTCTGTAACCCGAGGTACCTCTCTCTCTCTCTCTCTCTCTCTTTATATATATATATATGTACACACATACAGGTTTGGAGCCAGGATCTGTGGTGATCACCAAACAGGCTGTCAATGCCTCTTTCAAGCCTCAATTAGAACAGATGGTCCTAGGGAAGTCTGTACTTCGCAACACAGACCTCGATGAGAAGTTGGCTGAGGAACTGCTGGAATGTGGCAAGGAACTGCATCAGTTCAACACGGTCATTGGGAACACAATGTGCACCTTGGATTTCTATGAAGGTAAGACTTCTGCAATGCAGCCCCATTGGTCTGAATACTGTGTCTCAGGCAGAAATGGGGGAGAAATGTGATTCAGTTTGAAGTTGCTCAGTCCTATGACCCTGTTCTGTCTCATTCACGCATTGCTAGCATTGCTTAAAAGGTAAAATAAAACATACAGACATGGGCTTAGCCAGGATTTTTGTTAAGGAGGCAGGCCTTTTGTTGGGGGGGCAGAACCTCAATTAGCTATGTATTTTTATTGATCTTTATTGTTGGGGGGCAGCTGTCCCTCCACCCCCCCCCGGCTATGTTCATTTACACAGAGGTCCCATTAGTAATGAAGAAAAGGTTCTTATCTTAGTTACTTCCTATTCCAAGGATGACTTTGGATTCTACATTACATGAGTGTAGCATCCTTGTGCAACAGAGACAGACCCTCCAACATTTCTTAAGTGAAAATAGGGACATTCTATTTTACATCCGTGTGCTCCCCCCCACAATGCCTTCTCTTCTGAGGCTGGAGCAGGAACACAGACACAGTGACCGAACAAAGCAAGCTGGAGCCAAGCGACTGTAATGTTGCCTGCTGTGTCCTGTTGGGGAAGAGGCAAAGGACCGCCTTTATATCCACTCAGCTGGCCACCATTTGCTTTTATGACATCACAGAGCATCCTCAGCCAATGGCAACAGCTGGGGCAGCATCATCATAACCTCTTCAGGCCTCACAATTGTGGGTGCAGCTCAGCAGAGATTGATCTGTTCCCAGGGCTTTTTTTCAGGGGGAACTCACTGGAACTCAGTTCTGGCACCTCTCAGGGGGGTGCCATTGCCATTGCCATTCTAAGAGAACGAGGGAGGTGTTCATGGTGAGTTCCAGCACCTCTTTTTCCAGAAAAAATAGCACTGTATGTTCCCTTGGTTATTGTTAAAACTATTTATAGGTGAGAGGAAGAGCTGGGAGGAGAAGAAGGAGGTAGAGGAGGAGCAGCGGCTCCAGCTAAGCCCCGTCTGAGGCGAGACTCCATGGCTCTTCCACTCTTTCAGTCCCTGCCTGCCTTTCTCTCTCACTTGCTTTTGCCACCTCTTCTTGCTCCCAAGATGTGGGAGCTGGTGGCCAAAGTCAGCAAGAAGGAGCTCAACTCCACAATGGGGCTGATGAGATCTCAGACAAAGAGCAGCAGGAAGCAATTGCACATGCTTGTTTACAAAGCTATGGTACTATCAACCTTACTGTGTGCTTGTGAAACATGGACCACTTATAAACGCCATCTCCAACTCCTCAAATGATTCCATCAATGGTGTTTCCTAAAAATTTTACACATCACCTGGGAAGACAGGCAAACTAATGCCAGTGTACTGGAAGAAGCAAAGATCACCAGTGTCAACATCAACTTTGTTGGATTGGTCATGTTGTGCTGATACCTGATTATTGTCTTACAAAGCAACTACAGTGGTACCTCGGTTTACGAACTTAATCCGTTCCGGAAGTCCGTTTTTAAACTGAAACTGGTCTTAAACTGAGGCGCTCTTTCCCTAATGAGGCCTCCCACCACTAGTGTCCTTCCACCGTTTGGATTCCGTTCTTAGACCGAGGTAAAGTTCACAAACTGGGACACTACTACCAGCTTTGCAGAGTTCGTAAACCAAATCTTTCATAAACAGGGCTGTTCTTAAACCGAGGTACCACTGAACTCTATTCCGAAATTAAAAATGGAAAGCGTAATGTTGGTGGTCAACAAAAGAGGTTCAAAGACCCTCTCAAGGCAAATCTTTTAAAATGTAGTATAAACACCCACAACTGGGAAACACTGGCCTGCGAGCACTCCAATTTGAGAACAGCCTTTACCAAAGGTGTCATGGACTTTGAAGACGCTCGAACTCAGGATGAAAGGGAGAAGTGAGCTAAGCGGAAGGCACACTTGGCAAACCCTCACCATGATCAATTCCCACCCGAAAACCTATGTCCCAACTGTGGAATGATGTGTGGATCCAGAATTGGCCTCTACAGTCACAGACTCACTTTTAAGACCATATTTATGGAAAACAATCTTACTCGGCTACAAGTGATCACCAAAGAAGAAGAAGAAGAAAGATTGATGACGTACAGAATAAAATAGACAGACTGAATGAACAAGCCAGTGAGGAAATTTTGAAAGTAGAACAGAAGTACAACAAACTCTGCCAACCATTCTTGCCAAACTCTACCAAACTCTGAGCACAGGTGTTGATGCTGGCAAGGCCACACTCCTGTCAGCAATTCTGCTGCAGCATCCTGCACTAACTGCAGCTTCCATATCAAGCATGAGGAAAGCCCCACACAGAGCACATTGCAGTATCCATCCAGTCTTGAAGTAACCAGCACACAAACTACTGTGGCCAGGCTTTCCCAGTCCAGGAACTGCTGGATCCAGGAATAGTTGCAGCTGGTAAAAGGCACTTCTGTTTGATGTGGGATTGTCTTTTCTTTTAAAATTGATCTGTAAGCTGCTCTGGGAGCCTTTGGTGTAAAACACCAGTGAAGCAAAAAATATTTAAATAAAGAAATTGACATTCCTAAAAGCTTAGGTAGGAATAAGGGAGAAGAGAGAGCACAAGGAAGTGGTGGAGCTTAGGGGTTTAGTGGGAAACCACAACAGGTATATTCCCCTGACAAAGGCTAGATATTCTACAAGGTCCCTTCCAACAGTTCAATGATTCTGTGATTCTAAGTCTGGAAAGTGGAAGTGAAGGCAAATGCCTTAACCAGGGTGGTCAGAAATCCACTGAAATCTACTGAATATGGAAACAGTCATGTTTTCCCCCATAGAACTCTGGGGATTGTAGTTTGTTAAGGGTGCTAAGAATTGATAGGAAGCCACTATCCCCTTCCCAGAGCTACAGTTCCCAGAGTTCACTCCTTTAAGATGCAAAAGGCTAAGCAATTAAGGTCATAACCTTGACAAAGGAACTGGCCTGACTGGTTGAGCGAGCTTCCTGGTTTCCTATACATAGGATTAAAGATTAGGAAACGAACCACAGGTGTCATCTAGACTGACCCCCCCCATCCCATAACTATCAAAATATGAGGTTGAGGCATTGTTAAATGTGATTTTTCTCTGTGTGCAAGGTGTGTCAATAATATATGATGTGATATTTTTAGGTCAAGCTCGCCTTGATGGTGCTATCTGTTCCTACACGGAAGAAGACAAAATGAAATATTTAAAGGCAGCTCACGAGGCTGGAGTAAGAAATATCGAGATGGAATCTGCCATTGTTGCAGCAATGTGCAATCTTAGTGGTATCAAAGGTAACTCATGCAGCCAGTCTTGATGCATCTGCTGTAGAAATGGTCAAACTTTGACCTATGAATTTCAGCCTCTCAGGTAGCTGCTAGCTAATGCTCAATTCCTATTAAGGTGATACTTTGATCTGGCAAACCAAAATTTCTCAAAATAGTGTGCATGCTTTTGAGTTCTCCATAGTTCATCATCAGGGTTGCTGGTGGACAAAATTTGTTGATGGTGATACCAAGAGTGTATCAGATATATCTGGCAAGTTTTAAAGGAGAATGTGGGAGGATACATTCAAATTAGACTCTTTACATGCAGGTATCAGATTGCATCAAATCATCCTGGGAAGAGGACGGTGGCCTACTTTACACATAGTGCTAAACTGTGGTTTGCTTTAAGCCAGGGACGGTTAGCCACTTTTGTCCAGCAGGCCAGAACAAAAAGTAGTCACCCTTTCTTGGGCCACTTTTGATAGGTGGGCAGCTTTGATGTCATATGATGTCAGGTGGTTCTGAGCCCTCCAGAAAGCAGTGGACCTTGCATTAGGTGCCAAATCTAAAGTGTTGAATGTAAGCTGTCTTGGAAGGGAACAGCCCCCTTCCTAAATTTGCATTGAAGCTTTTTCTATCATCCCACCTCTTACTTGCTTTTTCTCTAAACTAAAAAGTCTCAAACATTGCAGCCTTTCCTTATAGGGGATTTGCTCCACCCGTTGATCATTTCGGTTGCCCTTTTCTGAACCTTTTCCAATTGTACAATATCCTTTTTGAAGTCAATGACCAGAACTGGTATGGATACCAATTATATTACTACTTCTACTACTAATAATCTTGGCTAGCATGAAAACAGAATTTGGCCTTTTGCATATCTTCAAGACTTGAATGCTTTTAAATGTGTAGTGGGTAGGAGTGGGCTTATTGATTTATTCTTGTTCTTGCTTTTATTATGTATCTTGTGGTTTTTTATCTTGTATTTTTATGCTGTGAACTGCTGTGAGATATATGGATGAAGGGCACTATACAATTTTAAATAATAATAATAATAGGGAAAAGGGGGGAGTGTTAAATGACTATCACAGCAGCATTAGGCAGGCAAGAGAAGTTGGCTTCTGGCTTCTTCATTCTCTTGTGTTCCCTTGAAAGCCACATTTTGGGTCCTCTCCTGTTTTCTTTCACTGACCTCTAGGTGCTGTGGTCTGTGTCACACTCCTGAATCGACTTCAAGGGGACCAGATCACCAGCTCTCATGAAGCCCTGGTTGAATACGAAGAGAGACCCCAGAAGTTGGTGGGGCAGTTTCTTAAGAAGCGTCTTGGGGGGAAGTGACATGTCTTCTTCTTTAAACTTCTCATTTTCATTAAAATCCCGTGTTCCTTCACAAACTCATTTATGCCATTTCTTCCACACCTAATTGCACTACAGTTCATGCTTCATATTATTCACATTCCTCATTCACATTATCCTTATAATTGGAAACGAGAGCAAAGCATGATGAACAAACAATAAACCTTGGGTCTGGTTTGGAAGATTCAGCTGGTGCAGAATGCGGTGGCTAGACTGCTGGTAGAGGCATCTAGCAGACATGTGACACCATTGTTAAATAGCCTTACTGGCTGCCCATCTACCATGGAAGTCCTTGTATTAATTTACCATGTCCTGAACTACTTAGCTCCATGGTACCTCAGGGACCAGCCAAGCCCTTATTTCCCAGCTTGACGACTGAGGTCATCTGTTGTTGGTTGTTTCCTGAACTGGTGAGGCTCATCTGAGGTCAACATGAAACTGAGCCTTCAGTGTTATAGGTCCAGTTTTGCAGAATGCTCTTCCAATAGAGATGTAACAGGCATTTTCTGTTTTAACTCTTAAACACCTGCTGCAAACTTTTCTATTCCGCCAGGCCTATGCAGGCAATTAAGAGTGCATCTTTCTGTGTTTTTATCTGTAAGTTGCCTTGAGTCCCAGCAGGGAAAAAGACATATAATAATATTTATAATAAAAGTAGCTCCCTCTGATGAAGGTTTCTCCCCCGCCTTTTTACGATTTTTTAAGGTTTGTACGTATTGGTCTCTACCACCCTTCATTCAAAGTTCCAGGGTGCTTCACAACAATTGGCAATAAATATTGCAGCATGGGTTTTGTCAGGTGCCCTAAAATGCCAAGTCCTGGTGCCAGTCCTGAAGAGGGCCTATAACCTTTATTGCAAGAGCCTCTTTGCTGCACATTTGCTCAGAAGAAGGTCCAGCTGTGTTCCACACCTCAAAATTACACCTTTGAAATTTTGGAGGATCTGTTTCAGTTGGCATTTGGTTGGGGCACCTTGCAGTGCCAATGGCTTTATTGCAGAGGCAGGAATTTTGCTTCCTCTCAAATTCAGGATTTTTGTACTTGCAACATTTTTTTAAGCTTTTTAAAAAGTCTCTTAAAGGAAAAGATTATCGTTTCTTGTGGAGAAGTTAGCTCGCTCATCTTCAGATAAATTGCTTATAGCAAGCTGCCTTAGACAGTGTCAGAACATCAGTCCATCCATTGTCTACACTGATTGGTAGCAGCTCACCAGCATTTCGGATTGGTGACATTCGCAGGCCTATCAGGAGATGTTGCTCAGGATTAGTTGTTGTGTTGTTATTATTTATAATCTGCATGCAAAGCAGATTGTCTAATCACTGACAGAGTAAGGGGGTTATGGCCCACTCCGGGTGTCATCCCGGGGGGGGGGTGACATCGCCACCGCCCCTGATGCTCGCTGCAGGTGGCAGCGCCCCCGTGCTTGCCGTGCTGCCCCTGTGGGTGGCTTGCCCACCCGTGGTGCACAGCATGTGCGCTGTTCTGGGTGCCAAAACAGCATTCTGCGTGTGATCCTTTCTTCATCCCCAGACTTGGGATTTTTCTACTGCATTTAAAAGGAACACTACAGAACAAAAATGCGCCTGGCTAAGAGTGGTAATCATTGAGCGATTGGCAAAGCCCTTATAGGTATATTCTGCCTATGTGACCCCTCTTGTTGCAGTTGTGCCACAGCTGTATTTCCAGTGCCAGAAACTTGGAGAAAGCAAAAGAGTAGGGACTGGATCCCTCACACCCCTATGCCCGTGGTCTTTGCCCCCAATTCTGCAGTCTCTGATGAGGAGAAGCCCTCATCTCATCTCTTCTAGGCTCAGGCGACTGAGAAATTTTATGAACATCAAGAGGAGCAACAAAGTGGCCCTGTTCCAGCACCAGGAGCAACCTGTAGCACCAGATGAGCAAGTACCCCGCCGCCGCCGCCATTTTTTGGAAGGGAAGGGCAGGAATAGGCTTGGGTGGCAGCTCAGGGTACAGGGATTTGTCGGGGAGGGGAAGCTAGTAAAAAAATCAAAAGAGCCAGACTGCTGTTTCCGACCCAAGGCTCATCTGGTCCAGCACCTGGAAACCTACCCCAGTGGCCAGCCAGTTTTGTGGGGTCTGATGAAAATGCTATTGGCTGAGAAAGGAGAAAAGGCATTTCTGGAGGAAGCAGGTGGCAGAGGCAGCTGATAGGATAGGGCTGGGTGACAGTTGTCAGTTAGAGGGCCACATTCTCTTGTGAGCCACATTCTGGGAGCTGCAGGCCAAGATTGGCCCCTAAGGCCTGGGCTGTGCCACCCCTGTAGTAGGACTTTGGTAAATGTAGAAGCAGGGAAATCAAAGAGAAGTCTCTTGGAATAATCTTGGAAGCTGCTAAGGGATGAACTAACTTGTCCCCATGTCCTTCTCTTGTTGCAGTTGTGCCACAGCTCTTCAAGGCTTTTCCGGAGCCTGAGATTAGCACTGGGGAAAACAAAAGAGTAGGGACTGGATCCCTCAGACCCTCTGCCCACTGACTGTAGTCTTTGCCCCCAATTCTGCAGTCTCTGAAGCGGAAAATCCCTCACCTCAAAATAAACTGACAGCCTGACTTTTGCCATTTCAGCCATTGGACCTTGAAAAGCTGTTCTTGGTGCAGCTTATCGGGACTTGTATGGAGGCCACATAGAGGGGCTTCCCAAAGCATTGAGCTCCCCAAACATCTGGCTGCTGAAGGAATTTTAGTGAGTGCGTAAGTTATCTGTTATGCATTAGGTTTAACACATTTTATGTTACAAGGCGCATTCTAACCAATCATATAAGCGTTGATGGACGAACGTTCTAATGGCAAGTAAGCGCATGCACTTTCAACTGTCAACTGTCAACTTTCAACAGTCAGTTCATGCTCGGTTTATTATTATGTTGTCCAGTCAGTTTGGTTCTTGTGTTCCTATGAGTGAGCTGTTGTCACTGACAAATGTTGAATAAACTTAGCTGAGGAACTTATACTATCTTGGGCTTCTGACTTTTTCTGAACATTTAACATTGGCGACGAGGATGGGATCAATGAGCTCCCAGCGGCTGCCAGAGGCCCAAGACCGCACCGCAGCACTACCGCCTGCCGCCTTGCAGTAAGCGCAACCTCAGCGCCACACTGGACTCAGCAAATTGTCCTGGAAATGAGACCGTGCCTGCCGCGTCTTCACAACCACCCACAATTGCACAAGCGACTGCTCCAGGTCCAAGGATGGCTACCAGTCATAGTCGACTGCCACTGGACTTCGATATGAGCCATCCTGCAGACTGGCTGTAGTGGCTCCGCCGAATAAGGAGCTACGTCCGACTACAAGGCTTCACTACGGAGGCAAGGTGGATGTGCTACTAACAGTGCTGGGAAGTTCCGCCATCACTCTACTGGAAGGTCTGGTGCCACCCAGGGACATAGAGGTATGCACTTTTGATGAGCTGACACATATAACATAAAATATGTTAAACCCAATACATAACATTACCCTTGCAGTGGGAGGGCCGGGGATGGGATTTGGGGGACGTGTTGTGTGTCTGCCTGAGAGGAGATCCCATGCAGGCATAGGGCATGGAGTTTTCCTTTCCTGCGGAAAGCAAAGCACGGAGTTTCGGGTTGGAGCCATCCTTCAGATGCCCACAGGGGGACCTAAGTTTTCTCCCTTGCTCGCTTTCAGGACATTCGCACCATCATCCATTCAACTTTTCAGGCGATCATGGAAGAAGAGAGCGAGGAAGACAAGGAGGTATGTCAACAACATACAACATACAACAACAACAACTAATCCTGGGCAACATCACCCCAAATTAACCATCAAATCACATAGCATGTCCATGGCTACAGCCTGCACCAAAAAAATCACGCACCTACTGTTGCCTGGGGCTGCAATGGTGCAAAAACGTGGTTACAAAGGAGGATGAGATACAAACTCCCCCAGACTGGATAAAAATGTTATGCAGCAGTTATGGTGGAGGGACTATATTTGTTTGATTGTTGATTGTGATGTTATGTTTTTATTAGCTGGTTTTGTAACTGTTGTTTTTTAAACTGTTTTATATATTATTATTTTAAATGATTTTAATTGGTTTTGAAACAAATAGAAAAACAAGAACCATTAGACATTTATCCAGCAGTACATTGATGGTGCTCTGTCCATTGACTTTAGATATAAGCCTACACATTCAGTGCTGTGGAACCAACTGCCATCATTAATAGTCATCAACAGTTGTAAGGTTGCAGCAACCTCTGTTTCAGAGAATCTGAAGAAGTGTGTATATACACGAAAGCTCATACCTAGAAAGCTTATACTTAGTTGGTCCTTAAGGTGCTACTGGAATTATTAAAAAAATTTTTTTTTGAAAGATTCTTTTAAAGACTGTCTTAAGACGAAAAGACTTGATTCTCTTAAGGGAGTTCTTTTTTGGATCATCTTTTAATAATAATTTTTTTAAAAAAATATTCCATCTTGTTATTTATTATGACATTCAGTGCTTGTCATCGAAAGTCTTGGCTTATACAGGCCCCGCTCCATCCATCAAGTCTCTAATTCTACATAAGCCATTTTCCCTTCACCTCTGATATTGTTGCATATTTATCTCCAATCCTGGAAGCAGGATGATCAAGAAAAAGGTAGTAAAGGGGTGCAACAGACACCCTCACTGAAGGCCGATGTTGAGTAACGTGACTGATTTTATAGCTGTGTTAATAGATAATAGACAAATTGTGTCTCTATAGCCACAGCAGGCGCTGTAACCTTCCAGCAGTTTGACTTCACCTCCAAAGACTCACTTCTCCTTTGTCTCCCAAAATAGACAGATGCTACCCACTAATAGATTAAATTCTCCGTTATTAACCCAGGAGAGGCCTAGAAAATGCTTTGTGGAACTGCTTATGTTTAATCTGCAGCAAGGTATTAAGTTTCCATGAAGGCTGCCCAGTGACTACTCACTCCATATCCAGAGGTTTGAAGTCTGAGGAAACACTTCTAGACCAAAATTAAATGTTTAACTACACTTTTGGGGGGATTTAAAGCCGTGGTTCCCAAATTGGGTGGTACTGCTCCCTGGGAGGCAGTGAATATTCCCCATCTAAGAGCCAAGGTGGTGGCAGGGGGGTGCTGGAGGTGTGAATGGCTATGAGACTTTTAAAAGCATCACTGAATCAAGTTCATCCATGTTGTCGATGTAACTATGTAAAACATAGTTTTAACTGGATTTTAAATAAATGTCCCATTAATTGTTCCTGTTTTGAATTTTTAAAAATTGCTTTATTGAATATAAAAAAGAAAAAAACAGTCAACAAAGGAAAAAAATCAAAGGATGATACGAATTCCAAAAAATTAAATTAACTTCTTACAATACAACTTCTGTTATGACTTCCAGTCACCCCATCAAGATTCCTAGGTTTCTTTTGAGTAGCACTTTTCATTCTCACTCCAATCTTCTCCCACATTTTTGTTTTAATAAGGTTTTCTATGTTCATATGGGAGTCATTCTATTTTTGAAATTTTTATTAGATATTTCAACACAATAATTTTAACAAAAATACATCATCCATTACATTATCAATTTTTATCCATCCATTATCCGTCCTTAATCTTGTATTTTATTCAGATGTTTTATCCTATGCTTGTTTCTTTGTCCTTATCTGCTCCAACATTTATCAGTTAAAAAAAATCCTAACTGCTATTTTATTTATATTTTTTTTGTTTTTTGTTTTTATCCTGGTCTGTGACCGTAATAAAGTTCATTCATTCATACATACATCATCCACATTGTTCCCCCTCCATTTTTTCCCCTCCCCCCCAAACAGAAAAGCCAAACCCCACCCCCCCCCCGACTTCCCTCAGCTCCTTTCTCTGGTTTCTCAACACATCTTCCTGTCTGCCTGTCTTCCTGTAAAATTGTAAAGATCCTCAAATTATCTATCAATGTATTACAATAAAGAGTTTGTGAATGTTTATTCAAAACCTGCCAAAGAGTCCAATTCATTTTGTTGCTTCTTTAAGTATTTTGTAAAAAGTTCCCATTCATTTTTAAAATCAGTTATCCTTGTCACGTAGTTTGTGTCAGTTTTGCCAATTCCGCATAGTCCATCAGTTTTTCTTGCCACGGTTCTTTCGTCGGGATTTCCTCATTCTTCCATCCTTGTGCTATTAAGACTCTTGCCGCCGTTGTCACGTACATAAACATATTTTTAAATTTCTTTGGCAGGTCTTTTCCCACAATCCTATTATGGGTGTCATTCTAGGCCAGCCAGAGAATTCATATTTTTACAACACTCTTTAAGATATTTTAAATATCCCACTCTAGTGAACAATTGGTCTGTATTATCTCTCATTCTTCCTGTCACCCTTGCTAATTCTGTGTATTCTAATAATTTTGTCTGCCCCTGTTTTGAATTTTATTGTGTCATAGTCTTCCTTAGTGGGTTGTGGAAACCTCTATTCTGAAAAATGCTTTTTGTAGGGTAGTAGGCACTGGAGATGAGTTTATGGGATCAAAGGGACAGTGGCACGAAAAAGTTTGGGAACCACTAGAGTAAAACGTGAGGCAGAAGACCTGGTTCCAGGCACACACTCTTTACAGAGGATTTTAAACAGCACTAAATTCCAAAGCTCTGCTCAGGTAGATTTTTCCCACCTAGAACAGCCATCAGTGTTCCTAAACAGGAACCTCCACTCAGTCCCTTCTAGAATTTTACTTTCCCTCAGGGAATCAAAACTGAGTTGCCCTGCCAGATAGTCCAAGCCCCAACTGCCCACACTGACAGTTAATCCTTGTCAACTCCTGATCTGGCAGTTAAACTGCCAGTTTCAAATTTAAACTGCCCTCTCTCTCTCCCCAGATTGGCTGATAGCCCAAGCAACTCTCATTGGCTGTCAGGTCACCAGGAGGCAGGCCCAGGGCTTGTCCGTCACAAAATCCTGTTGGGAAGAGCTCTCCTTCCTTTTTCTCTTTTTTCTCTAAAGCTTTTTGTTTATAGTAAAAACTCAGAGAGAAACATGAACCACTAGGGGAGATACATGAAGGAGAGGATACACACACTCTGAGGAGATGGGGCTGCACTTTCCCAGGGTTTGGTTTCCTTGTAATGAAGGTCATCGGAGACTGTGGTGCCTTTAGGGTATGCAGTTTTATTTCCGCATATGTACAGCCTGAGGATAGGCTGGAGGGGCTCAAGGCATTAACAGATCTTGTTTCCCCAATAGGGTTCCAGGGATGCTCCAAGTCACAGCTTTGGGTTCAGCAAAGTGAGACATGTCAACAACACCTCAATCCTTTCCATATGTACCACTGTGATAGGAATTTTGAGGTCTTAGATATATGGTAATGTTCATAAGTTACCAACCAAGCACATACATAGATCAGCACAGGAAGACCGAACTGGAACCATTTTGATTCCTAAACTGACCAAATGTTTTCCCTGCAAGGAGGGGGAGGTCAGGGAGCCTTCCCATTGTCTCAGGAATTGAGTAATCAGCATTTTAATGGGTGACAGACTATCAGGAAAGGCAATCAGATAACCTGGCAAACAGGAAAAACAACATTCAAAGTTCTGTTTTAGACCGCCTTTTCTGTGATGTAGGTATGATGTTTCTGGGGGTGGTCTTGATCTACAGTGTGGCAATTTCAAAAGTCTTTATAAGGCCTTGCACGCCATTTTTCTGGGTTCCTCCTCTCTCCTGTGGGTGAGGGGAGCACCCTGTTGCAACAGATCAATAAAGATCAAGCTTACTAGCTGCTTTGCTTCTCAATATTCTCTGGTTGGCCTCTGTTATCTTCTCCTGCCAACAGGGAACCTATGTAAGGACTCTATATGGGCTCTTGGATACCCCATAAGGGAAAAGGGCAATTTTTGTTTACAACACCACGTTAGGAAGAGTTTGGGCATCACATGACAGGACAGAGTTTCAGACAAAGATGACGACTGGGGCTTCTGGTTAAGATGGCGACAGGCCAAGCAGCCAGCTCTAGAGCTCCACAGATTTTAATTTATTTTTAACTTGTTTTAAACCAAGTATTTTATTTACTATCAACTGTTCTTTTAACCTGGAAGTTGGAGAGCAGAAGAATTAGGAGCTGTGAGATAAGCAATAATTAACAAACTTGGAGCTTATCTGTTCTGTCAGCATCCCGTTTATCAAGTGGAAGTGTGGAAGGTGGCTGAATTCGACACTGTAACTATTGAGATTTTAACATGCTGGCTTGATCATGTCCACAGAATGGAAGATGGCAGGATCTCCAAGGACATGCTCTATGGGGAACTGGCTTCAGGCACTGAGCCCGGTGGCAGACCAGCTCCTTGTTACAAAGATGTCTGCACGTGCAACAGGAAGGTTGGCAACATCAACCTCAACATATGGAAATCCCTTGCAGATGTCCGCACTGCCTGGAGACAGGCAGTAAAGTTGTGTATCCATAGCAGTGACCACTGGTGAGAAGAGACGCTGTGGTGCATCTGCAGCAGCACAACCGGACGCCTTCGTCTGCCCCAGCTGCAACAAAACATGTCTCTCCCATATTGGTCCCTACAGCTACACCCTGCGCTGTAGTTCCAGGTGCCAGCAACAATAGCAACCTAGCTCACTCTTCTAGTTTCAGATGAGAGCGCTTAACAGCCTAGCTAAGACCATTATCTTACAAAGAAACTTGCCTCATCAGGTCAGCAGCCTCTTCTACTAACTCTCCTGGATACAGGTTCACAGGCCTGGAAGGGACCGCCAGATATCATCCAGACTGACCCCCTTCAAATCTATAACAATATAAAATGTTACAGAAATGATGGGGGGGGGTGCCACATCTTTAAAGTAGTTACAATGTTACAAATATTATGCCTGAATGTATCCTTTCAACTTGACAGCTCAGGGAAGATACCTAGCTTTATAAATGCATATAAAATCAGTAGTTTGACTGATTCTCTTCATTCCAACGCCATTTTGGCCTTAGAGAAAAGGACTCCTTCACCTTTCTCTCCTGCCATAATCCCTCAATCCCCCACCCAGGGAAGTGCCCAGGGGAGACAATTGCTGAGCAATTAGTTTCCAAAAGCCCATCACCGTACTTGCCCCCAGGGTATGGATGTGGAAAAGGGAGCTCTAGTGTCCTTTGATGATGGGTACCAACATGAGTTTGACCAAACTGCAGGAGGCAGTGGAAGACAGGAGTGCCTGGCATGCTCTGGTCCATGGAGTCACTAAGAGTCAGACACATTTAAACGACTAAACAACAACAACAACTTGAGAGGTGCCTGGACATGTTCTGCCTATGCTAATCTTGTTAAACCATGTCTACCCCTCCCCTCTGCCAACCTAGCAGTTCAAAAGCACGTCAAAGTGCAAGTAGATAAATAGGTACCACTCCAGTGGGAAGGTAAACGGCATTTCCGTGTGTTGCTCTCGTTCGCCAGAAGCGGCTTAGTCATGCTGGCCACATGACCCGGAAGCTGTCTGCAGGCAAACGCCAGCTCCCTCGGCCTATAGAGCGAGATGAGCACTGCAACCCCGGAGTCGGTCACGACTAGACCTAATGGTCAGGGGTCCCTTTACTTTTACCTTTTACCCCTCCCCTTTTATGACATGTCAGTGATGTAAGGATGATGTATCAGTGATGCTGTACAAACTGTATTCTGGGACATGGTGGTGGTATTCTGGGACATAGAGAAATCTGAGGGCTCCCTTAGACCAAAAATAAGGACACCAGCCAGGAATCCCAGAGCAAAACAGCAGCCAGTAGGCTTGGTCTTTATTGAAGACTGTCACGACAGGACTCCCACCTGCCACCAGGTGAAACAAGATGGAAGCCCTGTACAAAAGAGAACCCAAACTTTTATTAGCTGCTAATCCCCATGTTAAAAGCGACGCGGGTGGCGCTGTGGGTTAAATCACAGAGCCTAGGACTTGCCAATCAGAAGGTCGGCGATTCGAATCCCCGCGATGGGGTGAGCTCCCATTGCTCGGTCCCTGCTCCTGCCAACCTAGCAGTTCGAAAGCACGTCAAAGTGCAAGTAGATAAATAAGTACCGCTCCGGCAGGAAGGTAAACGGCGTTTCCATGTGCTGCTTCTGGTTCGCCAGAAGCGGCTTAATCATGCTGGCCACATGACCCGGAAGCTGTACGCCTGCTCCCTCAGCCAATAAAGCAAGATGAGTTCCACAACCCCAGAGTCAGACAGTGGTCAGGGGTCCCTTTACCTTTACCTAATCCCCATGTTACACCCCCCCCCCAACTACATCACTAATACATCATGGTTACATTGTGAAAGGGGAGGTCTGGTGGCAGTAATCTGAGCATCCTGGACCCTGCCCCATGCCTCCCCTTGCCCTCCACCAAACACCCATCAAGTGAAACAAAAGAGATATTTACATTTCCCTGTTTCCCAGTCAAGTTTAATCACACCCTTTTGTCTTCATCTGGGTTTGTTATTTCTGGAATGGCTACCTGTCTGGCACTCAGGTATCAGGATGCCAGGGATTATCACTTAGGCAGAGGAGCTGCTGAGTAGCTGAGCTCACATGTCTATATGAATTTCTGAAGTTTTCCCAGTGAGCCAGTACATAGATACATTTATCAGTGAATTGTTACATTTGGTAATGTGCAGCAGAGGCCCTTTGAATAGATAGGAAGAAACTGTGATGAAGTGTTTTGTGGGGACAAATCACAAAAGTCACAAAAGTGATTGTGCTGATTTCGGTATTGGGGTGCATGTGCATGATATTGTTGTAAGAGGGTCAGGGTCAGAGAGGGGAATAAAGGAAAATGACCCTACCAATATCAAAAGTATAGAATTCTGCCTTAAAAACCCTACAGGAAATAAACTGTGCCTTGGAGAATGCTTCATTTGAGAATGTATCATTTTTGCAGTCTCATGTATCATTTTACTCATTTTGCTGTGTCTTTTTCATTCACTTTAAGAATGTGTGTCTTTTCCATTGACTTAAAAAAAATGTATCTAAATGTATCCTTACTGAAATGTAATTTTCCATGAATGTATCTTTACTGAAATGTATTTTTCCTCAATATGCTGTACTATGCTATACTTTCTGAATGTATCCAAATGTATTTTTGAAGAATGTTCCTTAAATGTAACGATCACTTGTTTCAAATGTATTTGACTCAAATGTATTCGAAAGCTGCTAAAAACACTCCCCACACCACACTGCCATCTACTGGGTCTGCAAATAATACCATGAATACACACAAATACCAGCTCAAAAATAAAGTAGTTTTATTTTCCAATAAGTATGCAAACATGAGACTATCACACCCGAATTGATAGCAATGCAGAACAGGATCTCATATTTACATTGAAGCCATTTCCTGAACATCCAGCCTCACGATCTGCATACTGATTATCAGCAGCTATGGAGGTTTTTCCTGTAGATAAAGGAAAAAAGCCATTAACCAGATCCAGGATAAATGAGAAGAAGCTCAACACATATTATTCCAGCCCTCCAGCAAAATTGACACCTCCCAAGATCTTACAACATCCTCCTTAAAGGTAAAGGTAAAGGGACCCCTGACCATTAGGTCCAGTCGTGGCCGACTCCATCTCGCTTTATTGGCCGAGGGAGCCGGCGTACAGCTTCCGGTCAAAAGGTATAAGAGTCAAGCCAGCTCTTTTGTTCGGTTGTTCTCACTCCGTTCTTGTTACGTGAGGGAGGACCCTGTTGCAACAGTTTTTGTTTTTCCTGTTCTTTCAATAAAGATCAGACTTTGCTTTTCGCCAATCCTGGTGTGGTCTCTGTCATTTCCCGATCTGTACAGAGCCTCTACAACCACGCTCCTTCCGAGGTCCCGGTCCTCTTTACGAGGCAAGGACTCCCTTGGGGAAGCAATTATTTATTTATTTCATTTTCTGCTGGAGGGGCAACCCTCCCGCAACCTATACATAAATTCCTGCAACAGTGGGAAGTTTTAAAAGTCAGTGTCGCCCCATGCTCGCGGTTCTTATTGCTGTTCTTACTACCTATTGCGCAACAAATAAAAGATCTAAGTCTACTGATTGCTGTTTTGCTCCAAATTACTTGGCTGGAACTTCCTTCTTTTACTGACTGCATTGACCCACGGGGGACTTGGACCCCGGCGAGCTGGGCTGTTGAGTAGTCTCTGACCCCAGAATTTTTCCTTATCAAAAACAACAAGTGAATGGGTGGTAGGTTAAAAAACAAAAAAGGTAGAAGAGTATAAATCCCAAGAACCAAAAAGACATGAAGAGCCCAGGCCCAGAGAGAGAGTCCAAGAGGTCCAGCATTATTAAGATTTTACAAGTATTTCCAAAAAATACCATAAATCAACCGGAAGAATGGCTCTCAGGTGTTGCTTATTTATGTGTATAATAAAAGTCCACCAGGTGGCGGCAAAGTCCATCTAAGTTCCTTAAGAGGATGTGTGAGTTTTGGACGCTGCTTTTTTATTTTTTGGTACCATTTATTTAATGTAAGGACTGTGACGTTTTTCCATCCCTGAGTAGTGACCAGTCTAGCAGCATCCAGGAGAAAACCAGTAGGGGTTTACAAAGAGAAGGGGATCAATGTAACTCTCTGTGAAAATGGAGAGGAGGCAGAGTTTAGGGCCTAAGTTCAAAGGACGATCCAAGATGATCCTAATCTCTGTCAAAACCTGCCAGCAGGAAGCATTAATGTGGGTGAAAGAGCACCATAGGGTGGCAGTAGGTGCCAACAGCCCCACAAGCCTTTTGTTTTTGTGCCAGGTACGTAGGATTTATTGAATGGATTTATGTCCCACCTTTCTCCCAAGTTGGGATTTGAGGTGGCTTCTAAAATTTAAAAACATTAGAAAATGCAAAGTAATTAAAAACAAAACTGGTTAAAAACAATAGTTAAAATACACCAGAAAATGTTTAGAACCAGCAATTAAAAATCCATTTTGCCCTGTGGCCAGCATCGCCTGCACTTAATTTCCAAAGGCCTGTCTGAACAGGAAGATCTTAGCCTGCCGGCAGAAAGAAAATAGAGAGGGAGCCAGTCTGACCTCTCTCAGGCAGGAATTCCACAATAAGGAATTTTTAAACCATCCAGAATTTGAAAATATAGTGGTGGAGGTTGTGAGGGCACTTTAGGAGTGTTCCATCTCATGGAAAAGCTTTAAGGTGCCTTGCCTGGAATGAGTAAGGCCACAGGCTTAGGAATGACTGAATGCACCCCCTTCACCTGGGTCCAGACGGTGTGTCACACACTGCTTGGCTAGTCTACTGCCACACCTCATTCTTTAAATAGCCTCCTACGGGAGCAGTCTTAATCTCTCGAGATTTTTGTACTTAAATATGATAAAGATCCAGGAATGTGTTTTCATTCTTTCTTGCCATTGGGTGGGGGCTGAAAAACAAGCAAACAGAGAAAACGCAAAGAACTTGGTTAGTCTGCAAAAAAGGGTGGACGCAGGTGGCGCTGTGGGTTAAACCACAGAGCCTAGGACTTGCTGATCAGAAGGTCGGCGGTTTGAATCCCTGCAATGGGGTGAGCTCCTGTTGCTCGGTCCCTGCTCCTGCCAACCTAACAGTTCGAAAGCACGTCAAAGTGCAAGTAGATAAATAGGTACCACTCTGGCGGGAAGGTAAACGGTGTTTCCGTGCACTGCTCTGGTTCACCAGAAGCGACTTAGTCATGCTGCCCACATGGACAAATGCTGGCTCCCTCGGCCAATAAAGCGAGATGAGCGCCGCAACCCCAGAGTCGTTCACAACTGGACCTAATGGTCAGGGGTCCCTTTACCTTTACCTAAAGGGCCCCTGACAGTTAAGTCCAGTCACAGATGACTCTGGGGTTGCGGTGCTCATCTCGCTTTACAGGCCAAGGGAGCCTGCGTTTGTCCGCAGATTGTAAATTAATGGGTTGCAGTTTTACTCAGAGTAAAAGTTAAAGGAGATGATTAAGCCGAGTCTATTAATTTCAACAGGGTTTATTCTGCTCAGAACTTAGCTGAAGACAACCATTTTAAAAATCAGTCAGTTTCTGTTTGTCGTGTCCATTCATTTCCATGGATCTTGAGTATCAGTAACCCTCGATTCAGCCCACTGGATGGTTGTGAAGATTATAGTTCAATAAGGTGCATAAAGAACTTTGAACACCTGGAAATGCTAAATATTGTTAAATAAATTGTTAACTTCTCAATGACTGCAAAAAACACATAACCATTCCAACCTTTGATTTTAGACCCCGATACCTTATATATGCTTATATGAGCCTCTTTTACAGGCTCAACACCCCCAACTCCTTCTTCTTCTTGCTGCTGCTGTTGCTACTGCTGCAGCAGCAGCACACAACTGACTGATGTTAAGCTTGTGGTCTGTTATGACCCCTAGGTCCTTTTCACTGCTGTCAAGCCATACAGTTAGTTCCCTACCGTTACCTATGTGGAATGTGGCCAACTGCCGTCCAAACACATGTTCTTAAGTGGAATAACAGTTGGCTCTCCTTACTTCCTAGAAACATCTCGCAACAACACAGATGCATTGGGAGCAGGACTTACTGTTGTTTCCAAAGGAATTCCTGCTCGGAGATTCTGCCAGGACGGTTTTGACATCAACAGGGGTTGTTGGCAGTCATGTAACCAGAGCAAACAAACAACAATCTGGATGGTTTCACACCTGCAAAACCGAAGTGGCATGGATTGCTGTTCCACAAGACTTTCTCTTTTGTGGTGTAATTATTATTATTATTATTTTAAACACCTTAAAAAAGTAAAAAAAGGGCATATTCAAATTACCCATCCAATGACATTTATTATTATTATTATTATTATTATTATTTACACTATTCTTCATTTCAATTCAAATAAGATACTGAAGACGTCAAAAGAAACAAAAAGGATCGAAATATTTCAATGGCTACTAGCCACAATGGTTCTTCTCTGCCTCCACAGCTGGAGGAAGCAATGCTTCAGAATACCAGTTGCTGGAAACTATATAAATGTACTTGAAATTGCCTTTGGAACTCCCTGCCCTTACATATCCGAAAGGTGCTGTCTCTATGGGCTCCCTCTGGAGGTTGTGGACTCTCCTTCCTTGGAGGTTTTAAGCAGAGGCCGGATGGCCACCTGTCAGGGATGCTGCATTGCAGCGGGTTGGACTAGACGACCCTTCAAACTCTACAATCCTATGATTCCATTGTCTTTTGACTCCTACAGAAGACTTTCCTTTTTCAACAAGCCTTTTAAGGGGACTTTTGTGAAATTTCACTCTGCATCTGTATGGGGTTGTGTGTGTGTGTATGAAAAATAGTTTTGTTGTGTTATGTGAAATCATTTATACGCGCGCACAGTATACCGTAGACATGAAATGGCTTAATATTTATTAATATGTTAATATTACCGTTAATCATTAATATATATTAGAGCGAGAAAGAGAAAATATATGTTAATATCGTTTTGATCGTTGTCCTTTTTTTATCGCTAGCACACTTCGAGGTGTTTCATTAGAATCACAACGCACGGGCGTTGGCTACCCCTGTTGGATTTCTGCCTGCCGCGCAAAAAGGCGCCGAGTGGGGAAGGGGAGTGGCCCCTTCAAGCTGTCCAGCCTAAGGAAAAGGGGAAAGCCTCGCCGAGGTTGCGTTTCTGTGTGTCTGCGCGAGGGCAGGAGCTGCTCAGCCCGCCAGCTGCCTGCCTGCTTGCCTGCCTTCCTGCCGTCTCCTCTGGGCGTGCTCAGCCGGCGCCGCCGGATGGGAGGGAGAGAAGGAGGCTGAGCGGAGCTCCGGAGAGCAGCTCTCATCCGGCTGGGCGATGGCCGCAGCCCCGATCCTGGGTCTCCTGCTTCTGTCGCGGCTCTACTCCCGAGGAGACAGCGCGGGGCTCGGCCGGGCAGGGGCTGAGAGCCAGCAGCAGGCGGAGGTGAGGCTCCCAAGAGCAGGGAAGGGAGGGGTGAATGCCCAGATTTCTTCCCAAGAAAGAGGTGCTCATGAACTCTTCTGGCTAACTGGATGCAAAGAAGTTTCTGTTTTTAAAACCCGGGCTTACTCAATTTTGTCTGTGTGTGTGTGTGTGTGTGTGAGAGAGAGAGAGAGAGAGAGAGAGCCCTCTCCAACTTTCAGAAACACCAGAATGCGGAGAAATATTGCCTTCCTGGGCACCTTCAGACTGGTGGGTTTTTATTTTATTTTAATGTGGGTGTTTCCTGCAATAATTATGGCACAACAGCAGGGCATCATTGGTAGGTTTGTTCTGATTTAGCTTGTGCCAAGATGCGTCCCCAATGCTATCATGCTATTGCTGTCTGGAACATAAATCAGAGGAATAAATGTGTGGCAGAAAGTTACAAGACTCCAGCAGGGAGCGATGAGTTATGCCCTGATGGGAAAGGAAGCTGAGTGACAGCTCCCAAAATCTGCAGACACGAACAGCAGAGAAGGCACCATAGCTCAGTGGTCAGAGCACTTGTCTTGCATTCAGAAGGTCCCAAATTCAATTCCTGGCATCTCCAGGTAGGGCTGAGAGAGAGCCCTGCCTGAAATCTTGGGGAGCTGCTGCCAGTCAGTATAGGGAATACAGTGGTACCTCGAGTTAAGAACTCAATTTGTTCTGGAGGTCCGTTCTTAACCTGAAACTGTTCTTAACCTGAAGCATCACTTTAGCCAGTGGGGCTTCCTGCTGCCGCCGCGCCACCGGAGCCCGATTTCTGTTCTCATCCTGAAGCAAAGTTCTTAACCTGAAGCACTATTTCTGGGTTAACGGAGTCTGTAACCTGAAGCATATGTAACCCCAGGTACCATTGTACTGAGCCAGATGGACCCAATTTCTGTTCTCATCCTGAAGCAAAGTTCTTAACCTGAAGCACTATTTCTGGGTTAACGGAGTCTGTAACCTGAAGCATATGTAACCCCAGGTACCATTGTACTGAGCCAGATGGACCCAATGGTCTAACTCAGTTTGAAGCAACTGCCCATGTTCCTATTTAATTGTGCCATTTATCCAGAGGCATGAGGACTGGATTCTTTCTTTATTTTTAGGTGAAGGTCGGTAGCTCAGTGCTAGAACACCTGCCTTGCTTGCAGAAGGCCCCAAATTCAATCCCTGGCATTTCCAGGTAGGGCTGGAAGAGACCCCCAGCCTAAAATCCCACAGAGCCTCTGCCACTCAATATAGACAGTACTGAGCTAGATGAATCAATGATCTGACTCGGTCTCCTATGTTCCTAGAATTCAAAGGGATGTGTGTCTGTTCTTAATTACCTGCCCTTTTCCCTAATGTTCCGGGGCAACAAATTAAAACACAATTTTTTTTTTTAAAAAAAAACTGTTTAAAGCAATTTACAATTACAGTGGTACCTCGGGTTACATACGCTTCAGGTTACAGACTCTGCTAACCCAGAAATAGTGCTTCAGGTTAAGAACTTTGCTTCAGGATGAGAACAGAAATCGTGCTCCAGCGGCGCAGCAGCAGCGGGAGGCCCCATTAGCTAAAGTGGTGCTTCAGGTTAAGAACAGTTTCAGGTTAAGAATAGAGCTCCAGAACGAATTAAGTACTTAACCCGAGGTACCACTGTACAGAAATAAGCAGGGCTCTAAAAATATACCCCTCAAGTATCAAAAGACAGGGTAAAAAGGCGTTTATTCAGCATTCTCCAGAAGCTGTACCATGAAGGGGCCTGGCCGGGTGCATCTCTCCTGTGGGAGCGAGTTCTATAGTTTCACAACTGTGTGAAGAAGTCCTTCCTTTTATCTGTTCCGAAACTCCCAACTTCATTGGATGCCCATGAGTTCTGGTGTTACGAGAGGGAGGAAATTTTTTCTCTGTCCACTTTCTCCATGCCCACATATCATTTTATAAACTTCTTTTGTGCCATCTCTTACTCATCTATTCTCTAGACTAAGAAGTCCCAAACCTTTCACCATAGGGGAGTCACTCCACCCTCCTTCATCAGCAACATCATTTTTGAGGTGAGACGACCAGTGTCCAAATGCAGTCTCACCATAGATTTGTATAACGGTATTATGATACAGTGGTACCTTGGGTTAAGAACTTAATTCGTTCCGGAGGTCTGTTCTTAACCTGAAACTGTTCTTAACCTGAGGTACCATTTTAGCTAATGGGGCCTCCCACTGCCGCCATGTGATTTCTGTTCTCATCCTGAAGCAAAGTTCTTAACCCAAGGTACTATTTCTGGGTTAGCGGAGTCTGTAACCTGAAGTGTCTGTAACCTGAAGCGTCTGTAACCCGAGATACCACTGTATTGGCAGTTTTATTTTGACCCTTGTGGCCCCTTCCAGCTCTACAGTCCTATGTTTTTCATTTCATTTCCTAATGATCCCTTGCATGGAGTTTGCCTTTTTCGTGGCAACCACACACTGCATTGACATCTCCATTGAGCTATCCACTACAATCCCAAGGTCTCGTTCCTGGTCCATCACCTCCAGTTCACACCCTGTGAGTCTATATGTGAAATTAAGATTGCTTACTCCCAAACAATTTAGCATCATCAGCAAACATGGCCACTTCACTGCTCACTCCTAACTCTACAGAAGATCCCTTATAAACATGCTAAAAAGCACACAATACATCTGCGCTCAATGCATCTCTTTCTTTACATGCCTTCCTGGCCTGTGGCTTTCTGAGCACAGCCTCTGGCCCACACCATCTGGAGAGCTTTCTTTTGTCTGTATTCAACCCATCCTCCATTATGCTAAACAAGGATCTGAGAGGCAGAGGGCTATGGAAAGGTCTCCTGTTTGTTTCCTGCCTTATGGAATATTCTATAGAAAAGAGCATTTCCTCCTTTGCAGGCTTGGAGGGAGAACAGGGTGGGGGAAGAGAGGCTGCTTGGAGTCTTAAGAGAGGCTGTTTGCTATGGCCTCAGGATCAAGGGCAGAGCCTTGAAAGCTGTCATCTATCTGATCTATCAATTTTAATATATCTATCTCTAAGCTGGATGCCTTCATCTAATCAGTTAAGGTTGCGCTGCTGTTATCTGGAGAGCTTGTAACCAGAATTAGGCTCTGCCTGGGGGAAGAGGAGGAGGTGAACAAATGTCTTCTATCTCAGCACTGGTGTGCAAAAAGGAAAAGGAAAACCTACATCATAGTGTCACTGTGAGAACAAAATGGGGGCAGAGGGACAGTGCATACCACTTTGTGTTTATTTTATGCTTCCTTTTCTTAGCATACTGAATGTATTTCCCCCCAGTGTCCCCCAAATTTCATGATCGCTGAAGTACATCCCACCTGACCCCTGAATTAAAATTGGGGGCACAACTTCACTGTCACACCTGAAACAAGCTGTATGCTTTTAGCATGCAAAGATAGAAATCTCACGTTCCTTTTCAAGCACTTTAATGACAAACATCACTGCGGTCCACCGGTTATGCTTTTCATCATCATCATCATCATCATGTCACCTCCAGCTATTTTGGGAGAAGATTTTCCTGACCTGCTTAGCTTAGGAGCTCATACAGAGTGCCCTGCTGTGATTAGACAGGCTGCTTCCAGGTTTTGCCATTTTGGGGTGGGATTCAGTTGCGCTGCACGGCATTTATATCCCATATTTTCTCCAAGGAGCTCAAGGTGGCGCACATATTTCTCCTCTCTTCACATTCCATAGCTTAATGTGCTTCTTCACATTAAGCTATGGAACTCACTCCTGCGGCAGCCAGTGATGTCCACCCACTTGGATTGCTTTAATGGAGAATTAGGCAAATTCATGGAGGAGAAGACTATGTTCCGCCTCCACAGTTGGAGGCAGCAATACTCCTGAATACCAGCTGCTAGCAACCACAAAAGGTGGTGGGCTTCCCATAGGGACCTGGTGGCCACTGTGAGAACAAGATGCTAGACTTGATCCAGCAGGATCGCCTTAAGTTCTTACATGCAAAAACTTGCCATTTGCGAGGGGCCCAAGGTTGATTTGGCGATTTTGCAAACAAAAAGAGGAAAATAAGCACCACGTAGAGTCTAACAAAGAGGAGAGTACTTCGGTTTCATCAATGTCCCTAGCACTGCTGAAACAGGGGAAAGGCATGTCAGTCTCACCTTTGTCTCTTTGGTGGGTTTAAATCAGCCTCCCCTAGCCAGCACCTTCCAGAGGTTTTGGACTACAACTCCCACCAGCCCCAGCTGGGGTTGATGGGATTTGTAGTCCATAACAGCTAGAGGGTTGGGCCCCTGGCTAGGAAAGGCTCGTTTAAGTATTTCTGAGTGGTCCAGCATTAGTGAAATTGACACATACCCTCCAACATGCCTGGGAGGAAAACAGGGAAATGAGTCTTTTGGGGCCGCGCTCCCAGGCGAATCATGTGACTTGCATGAGAGCACGGCACCCAAAAGCATGCATCTTTCAGGGCCACGATCTCACAGGAGCCAAGCAGGACATTCCAGGAGCCCATCAGAAGCTGAGATGGCTTCTGTAATTTCCAGGATGTCCCTCTTATGTATGTTGGTAAGGTTTCTCCCCAATGTTGACTGTTTCACAAAAGGTGAAAACTGGAGGGTGGGGCAGTGGGAAGACCTGATGTCTTGGAGATATTCTCTGCTGTGGAATGGGAGGGAAAATCTTACCATACACTCCTATACAGGAAGAGAGAGAGAAGACTGATCCACACAATATGATTAAAGCTTCTACACACATTTGAATCATATGACATCCTAAAGAATCCTGGGAACTGTAGTTGTTAAGGGTGCTGGGGATTGTAATTCTGTTGCAGGGAAACTACCATTCCCAGGATTCCTTGAGGAGATGTTCTTTAAATGTGCATTTCCTTCACCAGGGAATTTAAAGATACAGTTACTTAGGATTTTGTTATGTCATCTCCACTTTACCTGATGAAGGACCTGATAGGGCTGAAATGTGCAGGATTATAAACTTTTGGATATTAAACCGTTTCTCTCTCTATTAATCTCTTTTTAGAAGCTAGCCTTGAAGATTTCTAATGCAGAAAGACTGGAAATCTAAGTCTAATGTTAAACAATCGTATGAAATTTTGTTACTTTTTATTAGATTTTTTGTGATTGTATTTTTTGTAATTGTAAGCTTTTAAAATTGTTTTTAATATTGTGTCTTAGATTGTAACCCATCCTGGCACTTTAGGGTGAAGGGCAGGTAATAAATTAAAACAACAACAACAATTCCCGCCCTCTCATTTTGCCTGGATTTCCCTTTTGCTGCAAGGACAGAGGAACAGCAGCAAAAAAATGAAAATAAAACAAAGACCCTCCTGTCTCCTCTCCATCCCCCTCGCCCCAGGTCTGCTGTCCCAGGTATGTGGCATCTCACATCTAGCAGGCCTTGGGGCGGAGGGTCTCTGATGACTGCCTGGCTCTCCAGAGAAATGGAAAAATTTATGGCCTCTGCTTTTTTGTTCCATGGGGTGGTGTTTATGTCCGGAATCTGGGCTGATAAGGTGAAGGGAGAACAGAGCCAGCACACAAACTCACTCTGGAATGAAGAGGCTAGGCTCAGCCGGACTGAATGGACTGTGAACAAAAGCTCGGGGGTTTTTGCAGTTCGGAAGGGGAGCTGCTTCCTGGCAGGAGTAAAAGGTGCACAAAGAGAAATTGAAGTGACATCAAGATCCACCACCATGCCTCCGAAAAGTGCTTGGAAGCTTTAGCTGTTCCAGAATACTGCGTCCAGGCTGCTGACTGGGTCCGGTTACAGGGAGCATGTTACTCCCCTGTGAAAACCAGCTTGTTGCTGGTTTAATTTTTCTGAATGTTTTAATTTGTTTTTTTCTAAAAATGTCCTTGTTTTCTTCTATTTGTAAATCACTTTGAGGTTTCTTACAATCAAGCAGTGTATGAATATATAATAATATAATATAATATAATATAATATAATATAATATAATAATATAATAATATAATAATCAAATCATAATACAGGCTTCCTCAACCTTAGCCCTCCAGATATTTTGAGACTACAGTTCCCATCATCCCTGACCACTGGTCCTGCTAGCTAGGGATTATGGGAGTTGTAGGCCAAAAACATCTAGAGGGCTGAGGTTGAGGAAGCCTGCTAATATAATATAATATAATATAATATAATATAATATAATATAATGGTATCTCGGTTTTCGAACGTCTCCATTGACAAACGTTTCAGTTTTTGAACATGCCTTAGAAGTCGACCATACCATGCGGCTTCTGTGTTGAGTTTTCTGTACAGTATTGAGCTTTCCAGTCTGAGGCTTCCATTTTGAGTTTTCAGTTTTTGAACATTTCGGAACTCAAATGGTCTTCCAGAATGGATTACGTTCGAAAACTGAGGTACCACTGTAATATAATATAATATAATATAATATAATATAATATAATATAATATAAACATTTACTGCATAATCTCTGGGCAGTAGGATCCTCTGTGCATAAAATCAACATTTTCTGACAATCTTGATCTAATTTTTAATCCCCCTCTCCTTTTGATTTTAGAAGTTCCTTAGAAAATATGGCTACTTTGGGTCCATGCACCGAGGGTTGGATCCAGCTGAATTCTCAGAGGCCATTAGGTAAGTGTGGTGGTTGTCCTGTGGCTGCCACCAAACTTGTCCCAAGTTTGTCAATGTGGGATGGAGCATCCAGAGACAGACCCTTCCTCCTTCTTCCATTTTATTTACCTATATGTCCAGGGCTAGCCAACGAGGTGCCCACCAAAAGTTGTGGACTACAAGGCCCATTGTCCCTGGCCATTGACCATGCTGACTGGGGCTGATGGGAGTCGAACAACATTAGGAGGCCTACAGGTTCCTGCACTGTCGCACCCAATGATGTTGCAAGGTCTGAGGGCACGAGGGCACCACCTCGCCCATGAGTTCTAGTGTTATGCGAGAGAGGAGCTTTTCCCCATGAGCATTCTGGAGTTTTATACTTGTCTAGCTATTGGGATGCGTTAGCATTCATGTGTCATCAGTGGGGGAGCATTGCTGAACGACCAATAAAGCAGAATAAACCCACCGCTAGGGCACTGTTATTGCATCAAGGCCTTGTTGCAGAACACGCCCACAATAAAACGCCTGTCTGGAGGGGTCCATAAATTAACACGTGCACATTTTATTAAAGCGTCGTCTCCCTGCTTGCTCTCTCTTAAGATGCGGAGTGAGTGGGCTGCCTCGGGAGGACAGCGCCAGGCAGATTCTGAAGGCCTGCATGTTAATATTACTTCAATTGCTTTAAGACATTCTGCTTTAAGACGGCTGCGTTGGAATCGTGGCTCCTCCAACTCTCAAGCCTGGCTCGTAAAACCCATCCCGTTCTGCTCAGCCTTGCTGCTCTTTCTCTCACTCAAAGCACAGAATGAGGCCTCTGCTCTGTCGTTTTCCCTTGTATGGGCCTAGCCTCCTGTGGAGGACAAGATCTGTACAAACGTTGCAATTTGGGCCCGGCTGGAAGATTCCAGAAATGCCATTGCTGCATTCTGGACTCCAGCCATCTTCAAACACTCCTTCTGAGAATTTATTATTATTATTATTATTTAAATTTTCTCCCTCCGCCCTTATCCCACTGTCGCCGCCAAAGCCCACTATTGAAAGTACTTCCCTGTTCAAAAAACAAAGTTACACTGAGTGTTTCAATCATATGACGCCACTGCTTTATGGCAGGGTGAAGGGGACAGTGAGGTGTAGTGGTTAGAGCACTGGACTAGGGTCGGGGGGGGGCAGACCAGGGTTCCAGTCCTGGTTCAGCCATGCAGCTCAGCTGGGTGACCCTGGGGGCCAGGCCCTGCCTCTCAGCCTAACCTACCTCACAGGGTTGTTGTGAGTGTGAATTGGGGAAAGGGAGAAACATGTGCACACCACCTTGAGCTGCTTGGAAGAAAAGGTGTGATATAAATGTAATAAATAAATTTTTCACCCGGGCTGCCAAGCAGCCAAGAACCTGGGACCTTTTGCATTCAGAGGGTCGCCTCTGTTGCTACAACTCTTCCCCAGAAAATTAGGCAAGATTCTGGTCCTCATGGATCTGGATAAAGGGCTAGTTTAAATGGGAACATGGGAAGCTGTCTTATCCAGAGTCAGACCACAGGTCCATCCAGCTCAGGATTGTCCACGCTGACTGGCCAGCTGCCCACCAGGAGTTCAGACACAAGTCCCTCCCGGCCCTCCCTGAAGATGTCATTGGGGATTGAACCCAGCACCGTCTGCATGCAAAGGAGATGCTCTACTGCTGAGCTAGGGCCCATCCTTCAAGGTACAGCCCTCAGTTGAACTTGTGGCCTCTTGCATCCCAGGTGAGAATCAGACATAGGCCACACACAACCCATACATTTAAAGCACATAGCTTCTTACCCCAAAGAATCTTGGGAACTGTAGTTTGTGATGACTGCTGGGGTTGTAGTTTGGTGAGGAGAAAGCTACTGTGCCCAGGACTCTCCTGGGGAAGCCATGTGCTTTAAGTATATGATGCGGATCTCAACCTAGAGACCTAAACCAACGAGCATCATCCGCCAACCAAGTCCTCCTCTCTTGCAGGGAATTCCAGTGGGTGTACCACCTGCCCCTCAGCGGTGCCCTCGACGCCTCCACCATCCGCCACATGAGCCTCCCCCGCTGCGGCGTGAATGACCTAGACAGCCGATCCGCATGGAAGGACCGGGTGGATTCGATGCTTTCGGGAAGGACGGTCAGGAGGAGGCGCCGGAAACGGTTCTCTCATCAGAGTAAGTATTTCTGGGGCTTTCCTCTGAGCACTTTCTCCCTCTCAGTGCCCCTCTTTTCTCGCTCCCGTGCCACAGCCTCTGGTGTGGTGCAGCCTGCCTTCTCTTTTGCTCCCCTACCCCACCCCAACTTCATGCAAATCCAGGATTGGGATGCAGCACTACAAATCCTCCAATGATGGGGCCGCGTGATGACAGCCTTATGTTCATATGTACATAGGAAGATAGATAGTGAAAATGTCCCACCAGTGGCCAATGTCACTGGACTTCACTGTCCCTCCTATGAGACCAGGAGTATTCAGTGGCTGAGTGTGCTTGACTGTGTTAGGCTGCAGAATCAGAGCCATTGCAGCCCTCTGGGGAAGGGCTGTGACTCAGTGAAGGGCAGAAGGTTCAGTCCCAGACAGCATCTCCAAGCAGGGCTGGGATTATTTTGTGTGTGAGAAACCTGGTGAGCTGCTGCCAGTCAGTGCAGACAACGCTGAGCTGGATGGACCAATGGTCTGATTCACTCTAAGGCAGTGGTTCCCAACCTTTTTTTGGCCATGCCTCACCTAAGCATCTTTAAAATCCTGATGCCCCCATCCCTGTGACAAATAATTCTTATTATTCAAAAAGTGAACTCCTATTCACATGATAAAAGGTAAAGGTAAAGGTCCCCTGACAGTTAACTTCAGTCATGAATGACTCTGGGGTTGCGGCACTCATCTCACTTTACTGGCCGAGGGAGCCGACGTTTGTCCGCAGACAGTTTTTCTGGGTCATGTGGCCAGCATGACTGAGCCGCTTCTGGCGAAACCAGAGCAGCTCATGGAAACACCATTTACCTTCCTGCCAGAGCAGTACCTATTTATCTATTTGCACTTTGACATGCTTTCGAACTGCTAGGTTGGCAGGAGCTGGGACTGAGCAACGGGAGCTCACCCCGTCGTGGGGATTCAAACCGCCGACCTTCCAATTGGCAAGCCCTAGGCTCAGTGGTTTAGAAAGCCTAAAAAGCCATTGACTGGTCTAAACAAGCTTCCAAATTGCCCCCCTTAAAAATCAAATTGCCCCACGTTGGGAACCACGGCTCTAAGGCAACTTGCTGTGGTCTCTACAGACTCTCAGTTAGAGTAGCTGCTTACCCACTGCTAAAAACTAAGAACTGCATCACTCCCAGAAAGAAGTCAACCAAGTCTGTATCACATATTGCTAGATTTTTAAATAGTACTTACAGATGCAGAATTAGAAGTGATGGCTATCATTTAAATAGAAATACATCTCATAGCAGTGGAAGATAGTGACCAGGAAAGTTGTGTGTCTGCACAGTTTGCTGTGCAGGCACTGTTGATGGGTGACTTCAAGGCCCTGGATACTCTCCCTAGGTCACTCCTGGAGTTTCTGGCCCTCCAGCTAAACTGGAGCCTCCCTGCCCTTCCTGCTCGTGTGAGCCAGAATGGTGTGGGGGCTTGCTCAGCTGGAGTGCTGGGCAATGTCTCTCGCCTAAGGTGGGAAGAAAGAAGTAGCCAAGATACATTCCAGACATCGTGATATATCAATATATCGTGATATTTAGCTGCTGATATATCACGTTGTTGAAAAGCAGATATCACCCAGCCCTGCTGTCAAGCAGGATATCTTGCCATGCTAATACTTGCTAAGCTTCGCAGGTGGGAAAGAATGGCCTGGGGAGACCATCTTAAAGACCAGGCAGGTTCGTCAGTCTTCTGGGCGTTCTGGTTCTTCTGAACCATTTATGATGTCATAGTTCACAGCCAGCACTTTGCACCATGAAAGCCGCAGGCAGGGTCTTGTTTTTAGGAGCAGTTAAAGTAAGCTCTGAACAATATTCTTGTGCATTGGGAAAATCCAGGTGCTGGGACTGGACTTTCCCTGTTGACCAGATCCCCTGCCTGGAGATCTTTCCTAGACAGCCGAATGAGCAGCTGTGCTTTAGGCCAGCCGTGGGAAATGTAAAATGGGGAGATTAGGCAATTGCTCTAGGAGGCCTCAAACTGTGCCTGACAAGGCAGCATCTGTTCCCAACGGCGGGGGAAGAAAAAGCCAGGACTCTGCGGCCCAATTTGCCTCAGTGTTGTTTTCACATGTCTGTCCTTTCTGACATGAAGCAGACCACTCTGTTGGCATGACTCCCGCATTCTCACGCCCTTCGGCAATTAAGCCTAACTATATGTCGGCTGGATAGCGCTGTATAATGTAGTAACAACTTGGGTGACTGGCAGCTTAGCACTTAATGCAAAAGAATGTAAGAAGACCCCTGCAGTTGGATCAAGACCAAAAGCCCAGCACCCTGGTCTCCCGGTGGTCAACCAGGTGCCCAGAAAAACATCTTGGATCCTCACCTAGAAATCACAGGACAAACAGAAGTTTTGCAGCAGAAGGACCCTCTGGACGAAACCCATCTTAGCTCCATCTTAACTGCTTCTCCACTGCCCTCCAACTCACTCCGGCAAAGAAACACACCTGGGATTGGATTGGCATTTAGAAATATGTATATCTTCCCTCTGGGAACATGACTACAGCTTGAATCCATTCCAGGGATCCTCGAGGGCAGCGCTCAGATGTTTGAGTCATGTTTCAAGAACGGAATTTAATCACTGCAATTGCCTTGGGGGGAGTTAAAACAGGTTTGCACCACGCCCAAGGTTAGGTGTGACTTTTCAGCCCTGCTGCAGGTTGCAATGGGAGATGGGAGATTGGGGGGGGCACACAGAAAGTCAGGAGGCCACAACAATTGTTTGCTTGCCTGCATTAGTCATTTGAGGCTGGGGGGGCGGGGAGGACCAGTTTATGTTTACCATTTTATAAGTCTTCCAGTCCAGTCACCTAGAGACATCTTTTAATCGCTGCAGGAGAGTGCCTGATTACATGTCTTGACAAGAATCTGGCTCTGACAGACTGTGTCCAAGGGAATATTCTGAAAATCTTGATATTAAGTTTCTCAGCATGGAGTGTTTATTCCTTCCCAGAAAGTAAAATTCTATGATTCTATGATTCTCAGTAAGAAGAGAGAGTTATTTGTTTACTGGTTCTGTTAAAAAGACAAGCAATCTTTGCATATTATGTGTAACCAGCACATAAACAGATAAATGATAATGATAATATTATTTAATTCCCTCCCAGCCCCAATCGGAGGTATTCTAGGCTCCCTTGACATCTGCCTCAATAGTTCTTGTGAGCTCATTGTTTATCCTGTGTCCTAGCAGGAAGCCAGCCCTCCCCCCAACAGAGAGGAAACATTTTGTAAGAGGTTTTCAAGCTAAAAGAAAATTTTCTTGTCTCTTTGTCTGGAGTTAGGAGGGGAGAGAAGTCTTGTTCAGTTCATGTTTAAAAGGGAACCTACCTGATTTTACCATTTCCAAAACAACACGCAAACTGAAACACAGCCATGCACACTCCTCCGAATTTTGCAGTGCAGTTCTGCAGCTGAGTAATGGGTAGGGGGAAATGCAGATCTTAGGGTACAAGGTGCATAAAAATGCAGATATTAGTGAAAAGAATGCTCAAAAATTCATTAGATCAGGCAAAATTGCCTTGCAGAAATGTGTGTGTTAGGATACATTGAATACAAACTTGCGTATATTAGGAGGAATTGGCACTAAAATGCTGGTGGATTTTCACGAGGACTTCAAATGAGCCTTAGGAAGAACTTTGTGACAGTAAGAGCTGTTTGACAGTGGAGTGGATTCCCTTGGAAGGCACTGAACTCTCCTTCGTAGGAGATTTTAAAGCAGAGCTTGGATGGCCACGTGTCAGGTACAGTGGTACCTCGGGTTAAGTACTTAATTTGTTCCGGAGGTCCGTTCTTAACCTGAAACTGTTCTTAACCTGATGCACCACTTTAGCTAATGGGGCCTCCTGCCTCCGCCGCGCTGCCGGAGCACGATTTCTGTTCTCATCCTGAAGCAAAGTTCTTAACCTGAGGTGCTATTTCTGGGTTAGCGGAGTCTGTAACCTGAAGTGTCTGTAACCTGAAGCGTATGTAACCCGAGGTACCACTGTATTCTTGAGCTGTGATTCCTGCATTGCAGGAGGATGGGCGAGATGACCCTTTGAGTACCTTCCGACTCCTCCGATCTATGATTCTGTCTCTTCCTTTTCATAGGTGGCAAATGGTACAAGCGACACCTGACTTACCGGGTAGTGAACTGGCCCCGGTACTTACCTGAGCATCAGGTGCGCCAGGCAGTGAAAGCAGCCTTTGAGCTCTGGAGCAATGTCTCCTCTTTGGTTTTCTGGGAGGCTGCGGGGGATCCTGCCGACATCCGCCTGACCTTCTTCCACGGGGACCACAACGATGGTGTGGACAATGCCTTTGATGGACCAGGTACTCCTGTCCTCCCTTTGTAAGCCCTTGGAAGAGGGATGGCAAAGCCCTGACTTGCCAGATGTTGCCGGGCTCCTAACGTCCATAAACCTTTGTTGCTGGCCAGGCTGGCTGATGCTGGTAGGAGTTGGGAGTCCCACAACACCCAGAGGGCTGCAAGTCTCCCACCCATGCCTTGTGGGAGGGCAATGGCCCAATAGTGGAATAGTCCCAGGTTCAATCCCTGATAGCATCTCCAGGTACAGTCGGACCTTGCAAGTCGAACAGCTTAGTTTCCAAACGTTTTGGCTCCCGAACATCGCAAACCCGGAAGTGACTGTTCCGGTTTGTGAACTATTTTTGGAAGTTGAACAGGGCTTCTGCGACTTCCGATTGGCTGCAGGAGCTTCCTGCAGCCAATCAGAAGCTGCGTTCTGGTTTTGGAAGGCGAATGGACTTCCAGAACGGATTCCATTTGACGTCCAAGGCACGACTGTATTACCAAGTGCTTTGCCGTTCCTCAACGGGAAGATTTGGTTTGGGGCTTTGGTGAAATGGGTATTTTACAGTGTCTACAACAGTTAACCAGATTTCCAAATATGCCTCTGGACCCCCCAAAAAAGGTTAGGGACTCCTGATCATTTCTTTTACAGTTGTGCTGATTGAGTGTTCAAAAATAAACACTGCACAAACAAGACAACAAAGAAATGAACTGTGCACGAATAAAAGAAACAGAAAGCTCAATTCACTTTTACAGGGATCATAATAAAATAGACTCTTATAAGGGATGTTTTGGATGTAAGATTCACAGGTTGATAAAGTAGCCTCGCCACAGAGAGGCATGTGAAGTGCAGTGTGCTAGTTTTATTTACAAAGCATATTGACAGAGATCATACAACATCAACATGGTCTTGTTTTGAAATCTGTTAGAACCCTCTGTGGTGGACTCCCCTTCACTGGAAGTTTTTGAGCAGAGGTTGTATGGCCGTACATTGGGGATACTTCAGCTGTGATTACCGCATTGCAGGGGTTGGACTAGATGACCCTTGGGGACCCTTCTGATCCTAAAATCCTTTGATCCCATTAAATGCTTAGGCAAGGCAATCCCCCACACCCTCCCAAGCCACCCATGCCTAGAGGGACCCAATGCAAACTTCCTGCGTTTAGCAATTTTGAGCCTGACTGCAGCTTCTTGTGAGGAATGGCAGGATTTGAGTCGATTTCATTGGCCAGGAGAACTACCACAGGGTCCGGGGTTCGAGATTGCTTCCAGTCCAGCTTCCACGCTGGTCATGGGACCGAGACGGCTCTGGCTGCCCTAACAGATGATCTTCGTAGACAGCTGGATCGAGGTGGGTCGGGGCTGCTGATTCTTCTAGATCTGTCAGCAGCTTTCGACATGGTCGATCACGAACTTCTGGACCACCGCCTTGCTGACGTGGGGATCCAGGGCACAGTCCTTCAATGGCTGCGCTTGTTTCTCTCTGGTCGGAGACAGAGGGTGGCACTTGGAGGGGAATTGTCATCGCGCCACTCCTTGGTGTGTGGAGTGCCCCAGGGTGCGATACTCTCCCCGATGCTTTTTAACATCTTTATGCGCCCCCTCACCCAGCTTGTCTGGAGTTTTGGGCTGGGCTGCCATCAGTATGCCGATGACACCAAACTCTATCTGTTGATGGATGGCCATCCTGACTCAGCCCCAGACACACTGACCAGATGTTTGGAAGCTGTGGCTGGATGGTTACGTGGGAGCCGGTTGAAGCTAAATCCTTCGAAGACAGAGGTCCTGTGGCTGGGACGGGACGATATGGGATTGGGGGGGCAACTCCCATCTCTTGTGGGGGCGCAATTAGTGCCAGCACCGTCCGTTAAGAGTTTGGGTGTAATCTTCGACACCTCCCTTTCCATGGAGGCGCAGATTGCAGCTACAACAAAGGCAGCATTTTTCCATCTCCGACAAGCTAAGCAGTTGGCTCCTTACCTCTCTCGGCCTGACCTAGCCACTGTGATCCACGCGACGGTCACCTCCAGACTGGATTATTGTAACTCGCTCTATGTGGGGCTGCCCTTGAGACTGACCCAGAAACTCCAGCGGGTGCAGAATGCTGCAGCGAGACTCCTACGGGGTCTTCGCTGCGAGATCACATTCACCCGGTGCTATACCAGCTGCACTGGCTCCCGGTGGAGTACAGGATCAGGTTTAAGGTGCTGGTTTTAACCTTTAAAGCCCTATATGGCCTAGGACCCTCGTACCTACGGGACCGCCTCTCCTGGTATGCCCCACAGAGAAACTTACGGTCTTCAAATAAAAACATCTTGAAGGTCCCAGGCCACAGAGAAGTTAGGCTGGCCTCAACTAGAGCCAGGGCTTTTTTCGGCCGTGGCTCCGATCTGGTGGAACACTCTGTCACAAGAGACCAGGGCCCTGCGGGACTTGACATCTTTCCGCAGTGCCTGCAAGACAGAGCTGTTCCACCAGGCCTTTGGCCAGGGCACAGCCTGACTCCCTCCCTCGGCAATCTTCGCGGAGCTCTGGCCCAATGGTTGCTAGTGGCTTGAATTAATTAATTTTATAATGAATTATTTTAGAGTGTTGTTTGTGCTGTACTTTTGTACTGTTTTATTGTTGTTAGCTGCCCTGAGCCCGGCTTCGGCTGGGGAGGGCGGGACATAAATATAATATTATTATTATTATTATTATTATTATTATTATTATTATTATTAAACATGATTTTTTGGTATGATTAGCTTAATCCGTGCCTTGCATTGTCCCTGTGGAAAATGAAGGGTGGTTTACGAGTATTTTTAATAAAGAGAAGGAATCATTTGGCCTCCACGAAGATGAGTCCCAGAAAAGAGGACTCCTGCCTTTTAATGTGTGGATGAGACTGCTGCGCTTGGGAGGTCTAATGGCGTCTCCTCTCTCACCCCCAGGGGGCGCCCTGGCACATGCCTTCTTCCCCCGCCGGGGCGAGGCTCACTTTGACAACGACGAGAGGTGGTCGCTGGACAGCGGGAAGGGCCGCAACCTCTTTGTGGTGGTGGCGCATGAGATCGGCCACACTCTGGGCCTGGAGCACTCCCCTGTGCGCAGTGCCCTCATGTCCCCTTACTACAAGAAACTGGGCAAGGACTTTGTCCTTAACTGGGATGACATCCTGTCCGTCCAGAACTTATACGGTAAATGTGGCTCGCTTGTGATTTATTGTTATTTTATTGTCTTTGAATCTCACCTCTTCATCCAAGGAGGATCAAGGTGGCGTACATAATTCTCTCGCCTCATTTAATCCCCACAACAAGCCTGAGAGGTCGACCAGGTCACAGCCAGTGAACTTCGTGGTCAAGTGGGGGATCGGAACCCTGGTCTCTTCCAGGTCCTCGTCTCACACACTAACCACTATACCCCACTGGCTCTCACCACTACCACATCCTGTGCCTGTTTTCTTAAGGAGGAGGAACACAGATCCATGGTTTCTCAAGTGGGATGATGCTGAACTGCTGTAAACTAGGGATTGTTTGACAGTCGCACCAATTGCCCTAGACGGTGGTGGGTTCTCAGCACAAAACTGTATGGATATACGTATATCATTTTCCACACCTTTGTTAGGGGGTTTTAAGCAGAGGCTGGATGATCACCTAGCAGGGAAATTGCGGCAAATAGATTTCAGGTGGTTGGAAAGGATGAGCTTTGAGGTCCCTTTCAACTGTGTGAATCATATGAATGGGGATGGGAACTAGGGATGCTTGAATCTGGAAGTTTTTGTCTCTCTCAGGCCACCTTTGTCCCATACATTTAAAGCACCATGAAACCACTTCAAACAGTCATGGCTTCTCCTAAAGAATTCTGGGAGCTGTAGTTTCTTCAGGGTGTTGAGAGTTGTTAGGGGGCTCCATTATTCCCCTCCCAAAGCTACAATTCCCAGAGTAAAAGGTAAAGGTAAAGAGACCCCTGACCATTAGGTCCAGTTGTGACCGACTCGGGTTGTACTCTGTGAAAAATTAAACCACTCTGGGAGTTGTAGCTGTGTGAGGGGAAAGGGGGCAGCCAAATAACTCTCAGCACCCTTAGCAAACTTCTCATGATTCTTTGGGAAAACCCATGTGATACTGTGGTGCTGTAAACGTACGGTGGGGGGGGGTGTCCTCAGTTTCTAATTTTTCCATTCTTATGTTCATTTCCACAACATTTTGCAGGTTTTCTTTTAAAGTCCTCATGAAAAAGCACCAGCATTTTAGTGCAAAATTTCTGCTAACACTCACATTCTTGTATGCAATTTTGCCTAATACAGTGGTACCTCGGGATGCGAATGGGATCTGTTCCGGAGCCCCATTCGCATCCTGAATAGAACACAAGACACGATGGCGCACCTGCGCAAGTTGTGTTTTGCCGCTTCCGCGCATGCGTGTGATGTCATTTTGAGCGTCTGCGCATGCGCAAGCAGCGAAACCCGGAAGTAACGCACTCCGTTACTTCTGGGTTGCCATGGAGCGCAACCCGAAAGCACTCAACCTGAAGCACATTCAACCTGCGGTATGACTGTATAGTGCATTTTTATGTTGCTTTCACCAATATATACATTTTTGTATACATTACTAAGAATCATAGAATCAATGAATTCGAAGGGACCCCAAGGGTCGTCTATCTCAAACCCCTGCAATGCAGGAATCACAGCAGCTTAGCTGAGAAACTGCATTGCAGAATTCAGAAGAGTGTGGATTATGAAGGATGACTGTGTTTCTTATGCAACTTTGCCTGATATATACACAAATTGTGCCCTTCGCCCTTTGCTTCAACCCTGGCCCACCCTGAGCCTTAAGTCCGGGACTGGTTGTACAGCTAAATACCACATATTTGCATGGACCCAGATTTTTAAATTTTATTTCTAGCCTGATGGTACACCTCTTCTGAACATGGAAGTTTGACATAGGCAGTGTCCATGAGCACTTTCTAAGAATAGACACTCAAGCCCAGTGGCTCTTTTGATGGGACCTTGTGATTTCTTTTTGGCAGGCAAGCCTCCCCGGGGGTCTGTGGTCCAGCTCCCAGGAAAATTATTTGCTCACTTCCAGGACTGGAGCCAGGATCTTGAAGGCACTAAGCACCAGGGCGGTGACCACAGTTCTCATTACTGCTGGTCATTCTTTGATGCCATAACCATGGGTAAGAAGAGATAGTGCATCAGCTGGAGAATGGGTGCAGGGTGGTGGCTAAAGGGCCAAACTTGGACAGTAAAATTCCCTGTGCAGACTGTCCTATTGCATTAGGCACAGCCTTTCAGAGTTGTTTTGATTGGATTAAATACTTTGATTTTTCATTTCTTTTCACCTATGGTAGAATGACCTTTCTGGAGTTTGTGTGTCATCATCATCATCATCATTTTATTATTTATAGCCTGCCCATCTGGCTGGATTTTCCCAGCCACTCTGGGTGTCTTATTTTGTACCCCACCCTGCTGTCTAAGAAAGATGGTCTTTAAATGCTTAGATTAAAAAGTGTAAATGAATAAAGCTCCTTAACAGGTTCTTCAGCAGACCGTGATACTAACCCCACTTACCAGGGAGTAAGCCCCATATGTTCAATAGGGCATATTTCTGGGTAAACATGGTTAGGACTGTGCACAGACTGCTTTCTGGGGCATTTTCCTAAGGGAAGCCAAATTCCAATGGATCTCGGGCTACACAAATTATCCCTAACCAGAGTTGTGTGTATGTTGTGTCAGGAGAAGTGCACTTTCATTTTTGTTTCCCTGCATCAGTTTTTCTGTGGAAAACTGCATGGGAAGTGTGTAGGTTTTTTTACGCAGTATTTTCCATTGGTTGGGATGAAAACATTCCCCAAACAGAGGACTCTGCTGGGAATTTCTGGGGGATAATTTATGCCCTGTTCTGTTTTTAGAAAGAGAACACTATAACCACTTCAGTCTTCTTCCCAGGATCCATTTGTGTTGGAGTTTCTTCCACACGTTTCATAATCTTTTTCTACCTAGAAAACAACAAACCCAACCTATAATGGATAACAGGCATATTTGCTGCCATGCAGGGGGCAATATCCAGGAAGGATTATGTTTACTTCTGGGTAAAATCTGCAATTGAAAGTGCACTTGGGTAAATTCTACTCTCACGACATGATATACTGGGGCAGATTCTGGGGGTGGGGTGGAGGTATTTTCAGAATTCCAGACAGCTCCCTGCCCCCCCCCCCCCCGTCAGCCCAAGTAAATTCCTCCATCCCCTATCAGAGTTGTGTAGTTCTGGTTACCTCATCTCAAAAAGGATATTTAAAGGTTCAGAAAAGGGCAACCGAACTGATCAAGGGAATGTCACGACTCCCATGTGAAGAAAGGTTACAGCATTTGGAATTTTTTAGTTTAGAGAAAATGTGAGCAAGAGAACAATAGAAGTTCATACAATTGTGAGAAGGTGGACAGAGAAAAGTTTTCCTCCCTCTGTCCAAGTACGAAAAGTTGTGGACACACCACGAAGCTGAATGTTGGAAGATTCAGGACAGATAAAAGGAAGTCCTTCTTCATAATTAAACTATGGAACTCACTCCCTCAGAGGGGCAGTGATGGTTTTAAAAAGACGATTGAACAAAGTCATGGAGGATAAATCTATGGGCAGCTATTAGCCAAGATGCCTATGCTCTTGACTCCACAGCCGGAGGCAGCAGTGCTTCTGAATACCAGTTGTTGGAAACCACAGGAGGGGAGAGGACTCTTGGGCTCAGGTCCTGCTTGTCGGCTTCCCACAACCATCTGGTTGGCGACTGTAAGAAGAAGATGCTGGACTAGATGGGCCAATGGCCTGATCCAGCTGGCTCTTCTTATGTTGATATATTCCTGCATGAACCCTAAGTACCTGGGTTTCTGATCTCTCACTCAGAGACAGAAGACCCTCTCACACACCTTCTCTTTATTTTTGAGCAGATCTGGAAGACAATCTCTATATATTCAAAGGCGGCCATTACTGGATTGTATCCAAAGGAGGTAACGCTACTGGTCCAGACTTGCTCCGAGCCATGTGGCCGGGACTCCCGTCCACCATTGATGCTGCGGCCTTCTCTGAGGAAGATGGGAAGTTCTATTTCTTCAAAGGTAGCTTGACTGGAGTTGTCTGGGAGGTGGGGAGTTGGCAGTACAGATCTTAACATCGTCCTGGCACTTCCCAATGACCTTAGGAAAGCTCCTCTCTTTGTAAGCCCCCATCTTCCCATCTGTGATTTGGACGTAAAAGCAGTGCCCTGCCTTTCGAGAACATGCTAATGATTATCGAGATACCAGAGAAGTTACCAGACAGGCACTCAAGGGGGAGGAGGGGCAAAGTAGGGTTGGTGAAGGTGTGGCCTCTGGAGAATCCTGAGGGCCAGAAAGAAAGACCTAGAGTCACACATTTGGCCTCTGAGCCCAAGGTCCGCTAGTGCTTCCCAGTTAGCTTAGTACTGTGTACTTTTTCAAAAGCCAAGACATGGAGCCCCTACTTTTGACAATTTTGATATCTCTGTGGTTGTTTTTATTATGTGAATGGTACCACAGACCCACTGGGTGAGTTATGTAGACCCCCCCAGGGTCCGCAGACCACAGGTTGGGAACCACAGATCTAGAGAGCTCTCAGCTGAGATTCAAATCAAGGACTATTGTTTCCAAGCTCAAGTCATCTTACCCCACTGGGCTATATGAATTTAAGTTGGGAGCCCTGTTGTTCAGTCTTGGCACCTGCTCCAAGACTCTAGTCATACACCTGCTTACTCAAAATCAAATTCTCTTTGAATGCCCAGAATTGGCTTCCCATTAAATTAAATGTGTTTTAGATTTGCGTTGTTAGTTCATAAGGTAAACCCTGCTGCCATCTGCTGGCTGTTAGCTGAGGTGCAGTCAGGAATTCAAGTATCCAGGACTTAATGAACTTTTATGGGGAGTGCGGCTTAGATAGCCATGTGTATTATGTCATTTGTGAAGCATACAATTAACATCTCCCTCTCTCTCTCTCTCCCTCTCTCTCTCTCTCACACACACACACATTCCGCCTAGACCAAAATCTTTCTTAAAAAACCTCAGTTTGTCAACCTTGGCACACAAAAAAGAAATAAGTCCTCTGAGCATGTGCAGTTTCACATTTTATGTCTACAGGAATAAAAGCAGGCTTTGCTTCATGCTGCCCTGATGGCGTACACACACTTAGAAATGTCCCTTTCTGTTGTGGTTTTTTTAAGGCAAAAGAATAAAAGCAGCACCTGTAACCTTGTACATACCTGGCCAGCCGTTGCTAACTAGGAAATGCTTTTATTGAAATCAGAAAGAAAGTGGGGTGTAGTAAACGGTGTCAGTACTTGCTGGGCTTGATGTTGACACTGGATCAGTTTCCTACTCTCCCCATCACCTGACACAGCGCTTGGAACGAACAAGTTCAGCTGAACAAAGTTCTTCAGAATAGTCCAAAGATCTCTGACCTTCCCTGAATTCAGTTCCCAGAATTGCCAGGTGAACTGATCATGAATTAAGTTCATTTGGGGGCAGAACATTGAATGATTTTTAGTTTATCTTCAAGTTCATTCTCTCTCTCTCTCTCTCTCTCTCTCTCTCTCTCTCTCTCTCTCTCATCTTTAGGTCAGTGGCTCCTAAAGTATGTGGCACTGCCCCTGGCCAATGGTGGGATTCCCCAGAGGGGGCTAAGAGGCAATTGGATTTTGAATAAATGTGCAATCAATGTTTACTCTTTTGAAATTTATTGTGTTATGGTCTTCCTTAGTGGGTCATGTAAAACGCTATTTGGAATAATGCTTTTTATACTGTAGGGTGGGGCACCCGGGGGGGTGAGTTTATGGAACCGAGGGGGCAGTGGCTCAAAAAAGTTTGGGAACCACTGCTCTAGACTCTTTGGACTCTTAAACTTAAAGATCATAAGTCTTGGGGAACATAAATTAAACCTTCCGCACGTGTGTGTGTGTGTGTGTGTGTGCGCGCGCGAGTGTGTGCTTAGACATTTTCTTAGTCTCCAAAAGTATGTCTTTATACTTCAGCCCAACAGCACTGGAGGGATAGCTCAGGTGGTAGAGCATGAGGCTCTTAATCTCAGGGTTGTGGGTTTGAGCCCCACATTGGGCAAAAGATCCCTGCATTGCAGGGGGCTGGACTAGATGACTCCTTCCAACTCCACAATTCTCTGATTCTAGCTTCTTGGACTCCAGCTACCATTGGCCACACTGGCTGTTGGGGCTGATGGGACCTGGAGTCCAGCACCACGTCTGGAGGGCCACAGCTAGAACCCAGTCCTGCCTAATTTAAAAGAACCATGGAATTATAGAGGTGGAAGGGACCCCAAGGGAATTGCAGGAATCGCAGCTAAAGAATCCCTGACAGATGGCCATCCAAGCTGTGCTTGAGAACCTCTCCCATGAAGGATAGGCCACCACCTTCCGTTCCACTGTTGAACTTTTCTTACCGCCAGGAAGTCCTGCCTTGCCTCACCCTGCTCTCTGTCTCCCCCTGCAGGTGGCCGATGCTGGCGCTACAAAGGCTCTTCCCTGGACGCCGGCTTCCCCCATAAGTGCAGCAGCATGGGGGACCTCCCCCGACACCCCGACACAGCGCTCTATTTCCAGCCCCTCCACCATCTGGTTCTTTTCAAAGGTCCCAAATACTACATGGTGAGCGGAGAGTCCCTGCAAGTGGAGCCGTACTACCCCAGGAGCCTGAAAGACTGGGGAGGGGTGCCTGCCATGGCGAACGGCGCTCTCACGCGTCCTGACGGCTTCGTTTACTTCTTCCGAAACGACCAGTTCTGGAAATTCAACCCAGATACGCTGAGGGTGGTGGAAAGTGGGAAATGGGCCTCCCAGCTAGGGTGGCTGGGTTGCCAGGATGCGGCCCTCAACCAGGCGGTGGTCTGAGCTTCTGCAGAAATTTCAACGGCTTTCATAACAAACTTCCCGAAGTCCAGAATTCGGTTCAGCGTTTGAGGGTCAGATGCTTGACGGTGTTGGAAGTTGACCTTTCATTTTGTCGCAAGTGGACTTTTGTTTCTTTTTTAAAGGAGTAAGTGAAGCCTAAGAGAGTACCTCTTGATGCAAAAGAAGAAGAAGAAGAGTTTGGATTTGATATCCCGCTTTATCACTACCCTAAGGAGCCTCAAAGCGGCTCACAATCTCCTTTCCCTTCCTCCCCCACAACAAACACTCTGTGAGGTGTGTGAGGCTGAGAGACTTCAGAGAAGTGTGACTGGCCCAAGGTCACCCAGCAGCTGCATGTGGAGGAGCAGGGAATCGAACCCGGTTCACCAGATTACGAGTCCACCACTCTTAACCACTACACCACACTGGCTCTCAGAATATCAAGTGCCTGACAAATCATGACACGGAGTGGGCGGGCAATACAGCTTCTTGCGCCACGTTGATTGGAAGAGGACGGGTTGGCATTCTAGCCAATCGAGAAGCATTATAGGGGAGGGGAGGGGAGGGGCGGTGGGCACTTCCGTTGCCTCTGGTAACTGGCTAAACCTTATGGCAGAGCTTTCCAAACTGTGTGCCTTGACACGTTAGTGTGTCGGCTGCAGTGTGTAGGTGTGTAGTGTGAACACTCCCCACGCTCCTCCCGGGGCTGGAAAGGGGTTAGTTTAACCTCTGGCTTGCTAGTAATACTGAATTACTGCATCGCGAAATCATGCATGTCTAAAAGGTGTGTCACCAGCATGAAAAGTCTGGAAAGCTCTGCCGTACGGAGGCCAAGCTTCTTTTAAGAGCTGCCCACACCCCATTCAACTTCAAGCCGCCTGTTCTTCTGTCTTCCATCTTTGTCCCAAAGCTGGTTACTGTGGAGTGGACAAAAACAGGGGGAACTTCTCTTAAGAACCTGTCAAGGCTCTGCCAAGGCTTTGGGAAAGCTATTCCTCCCCCAGTTGCAGCAAGAGCAGAGAAAACAAGCTAGAGTTCTTTTTAATGAGTTTTATTCAATCCAATAGTGAGAGACAAATGATCGCAATGAGCCTTAACAATGGCGTTTCTCCAAACTGGACTCCTCCTCCCTCCTCCTTAGCAACAGCACCTTCCCATATGGTGGTCAAATGTCTCTGATTCCGTTGTTCTTGCGCTCTCAACGAACGTCATGTTCTGGCAGAAGGGGGATAAGAAATACTCTCCAGTGACAACATGTCATTTGGCTGCTCCTCTGCAGTCCCCCCCCCCCACTTCTTCCAACACTGCCCAACTCCGTCCATCTCTGAGCTGTGACCTCCCTCAAACTCCTCAAAGCCGTGCTGTAATTCAGTCCTGCCTTCCCCCTCTCCTGCAGTGTCAGGAGAATTGGGGGGGGGTGATCCCCACTACAGTGGTACCTCAGGTTGCATACGCTTCAGGTTACAGACTCCGCTAACCCAGAAATATCACCTCGGGTTAAGAACTTTGCTTCAGGATGAGAACAGAAATTGTGCTCCGGCGGCACAGCGGCAGCAGGAGGCCCCATTAGCCAAAGTGGTGCTTCAGGTTAAGAAAAGTTTCAGGTTAAGAACCGACCTCCGGAACGAATTAAGTACTTAACCTGAGGTACCACTGTACGCCTCCTACTCCATCTCATCCTCGAGTCCAATTCCTGACAGAACCTAAGAAGAGCATCCTGTTATCACATTGGCCAACCAGATGGACCAATGGGAAGCCCACAAGCAGGACCCAATCACAAGAGCACTTTTTAAGGTGAGGCATCCACCTCACAGTCCTCTCCAGAGGTCATTTCTCCTCCACAGCTGAGCCTTTGAGGAGTTAGTGTGGACTGACCATCATTGTAAAGCTTCTCTCGCAGAATCTTGAGCTACTGTGCATCGGCTACTACATCTTCAGGGCGGAACAGGAGCTGTTCATCTGTTACCTCTCCTTGCCTGTTGGCAGTGCCTCTCTTGTGGGTGATCACATCTCCTTGACCTCCCACCTATAGCAGAACCTTGGCATTATTGCCGTTGGCATTGCTGTAATGTGATTCCATGTGCAAAGGAAGTCACATTCCCGCTGCAGTCTTGCAACAAATGGGTGAGGAAAGGGCCCAGCAGAAGCGTCACAGCTGAATGCAGCACTGAATCTGAAGCTTCAGTATGAAAGCTCAACCTTCATTGCCTAGTACCACACTGCCACAAAACTGTTTTCTACCAAGTACCTCATGGGCTTTCTAGCACTTCACTGCCTTTGGCAGTTCCATCACAGCAATACTTCTGCAGGTGCCTCAGTTTTCAACATGTATGCTGAGATTGGCAGAGGGGGCCATCCGGGTGATTCCTGCACCCTCAGAGGCTCTAGGGGGGAAGAGGGCCTTCTCTGTGGTGGCTCCTAAGCTGTGGTGCACTTTATGCCCTCATTATACAGCTTTCCGAGGATGCTGAAGACATAGCTCCTTACTCTGGCTTTTGACACTTGAGATGTCTATTTTTACGACTCATTTTATGGTTGTAAGTTTTTAAAATTGTTTTTAATACTGTGTTTGATTGTTGTAACCTGTCCGGGGACATCAGGGTGAAGGATAGGAAATAAATATACAAATAATACCTTCATCCTGAAACCCAAGTTGGACAGTGGTCTTGGTCTGTGGCTGAAAAGTACACAGAGAGGCCTGTGGCACTTATAAAAAGGGAATGAGAAACATCTGTGGCCTTCCAGATGTTTTGGAGTCTCAACTCCCACTGACTCCAGCCAGCAGCACCAATGGTCAGGGGTGACATACAGCAATTTATGTAGGGCCACAGTTTCCCCTCATCCCTCATTCCCATCTCATTCCCCTCATTCCCCTCATCCCTGCCACAAGCCCTACTCATGAGTAAGTAGAGCATGCAAGCAGGGAGAATGGGGCCACCCCCAAGCAGCAGCTCGGCCCCCACTCCCAGCTACCATCAGCTCCCTGTGAGTTGGGGGGCAGCCATCTGCCGCAGAGAGTCTGCCATATCCATGTAGGGCAGAAATTTGCCCTCCAACTCCCAGAGGGCTGCAATGATAAGCACGGTGTAGTGGTGAATTAAGAATGGCATAGTCCATGATAGTCACAGTCACACCCCCTTCTAAGATGATACAGCCCTCTAAGATTTTGCAATAATCCTATACAGTGGTGCCCCGCAAGACGAATGCCTCGCAAGACGGAAAAACCGCTAGACGAAAGGGTTTTCCGTTTTGAAGTTGCTTCGCAGGACGAATTCCCCTATGGGCTTGCTTCGCAAGACGAAAATATCTTGCGAGTCTTGAGATTTTTTTCCCCGCTTTTCCCCCCCCTTTATCTAATCTGCTAAGCCTTTAATAGCCTTTAATAGCCTTTTAGCAGCTAATCCCCTAAGCCTTTAAGCCTTTAATAGCCGCTAAACCGCTAATAGCGCTAATAGCGCTAATCCGTCAATGGGCTTGCTTCGCAAGACGAAAAAACCGCTAGACGAAGACTCTCGCGGAACGGATTAATTTCGTCTTGCGAGGCACCACTGTAATTCTGCAAAAATAGCAACAATCAATGCAGATCTCCGCATACTGCCTTTTAGCTAGGTCTACTATTTTCTGTGCATGGACCCGGGCAAATGATTTGGGGTGCTCCAATATTGTCTTTCAGAGTGACTTTTCCTTGAAGTTCAATTGTACGTGACATAATTTGCACCCCATTCTCTTGAAACTGAAACACCCCTTGTGTTTTCAGGATTCCTAAATGCTTAGCTTTGGAGCAAACAGAACAACTCCTCAGTGTTTCCCCCTCACACCTTGTCCAGAGTGACCCCAGGAACCCGTCTTCTGTGACTGACACGCCTCCTTCCACCCTGATTGGCTCCCATCAGCACAAAGGATGGGGAAACTTCTTCTCAGTGGCCAAGAAGGTTCCCTTCCTTGCTGATTGGGTGCCTCTGTGATGCTAGAGAAATACTAAAGGATCTTCGGCCCCTGCCAACCCAGATTGCTGCACCTCTGGTGATAGTGGAGAGGACTAGCATGCCCAATCCTTCCTCTCCCCATTTTTGGATTTAATTTATCCATGAACCTAATGCAGGTGTGAGGAGCATCTGTGATCTTCTAGATGTTCCCAAACAGCAGCTCCCACTATCCTTGCTTGCAGGGGCTGATGGGAGATGCAGTTCAGCAGCATCTAGAGAGCTCACGGTTCCCCACACCTGATCTGAGACCTTGCCATTGCTGCATTAATAGTGGTGGCTGCAGCAAGCACCTTCTCCCCTCATCTTAAAAAAGGAAAAGGGACCCCTGACCATTAGGTCCAGTCGTGACCGACTCTGGGGTTGCGCACTCATCTCGCTCTATAGGCCGAGGGAGCCGCCGTTTGTCCGCAGACAGCTTCCGGGTCATGTGGCCAGCATGACTAAGCCGCTTCTGGTGAACCAGAGCAGCGCACGGAAACGCCGTTTACCTTCCCGTCGGAGTGGTACCTATTTATCTACTTGCACTTTGATGTGCTTTCGAACTGCTAGGTTGGCATGAGCAGGGACCGAGAAACGGGAGCTCCCCCCACTGCGGGGATTCGAACCGCCAACCTTCTGATCGGCAAGTCCTAGGCTCTGTGGTTTAACCCACAGCGCCACCCACGTCCCACCCCTCATCTTAGGATGATAATATTTCATGCTCCTGAAGTGGTGGGCTCCAGGGGTTCCCTAACCACCACCACAACCAACCACACAGTGTTCCTGCTGTGCTTTCTGTTTCTCAGCTGAGGCCTGACTTGCAAGGAGCTCTCCTTGCCGTTGCCAGTTCTGCTTCTGCCAAAGAAATGGAAAGGGCTGTTTGCCATCCTTTGTCCTCCATCGTGTTGCAACATGCCAGTTTGTTGACCCTCCTTGACCCCCTATTGACAAGCTGGTCGCTCTGCAGCAACCTGCTTCCTCGGGCCGGAAATTTCTCTGCCAGCCAAGCGCATACCAAGCAGTTTTGCAAGGGGCTCAGAAACCGGTTTCTCCCTGGCCACAACATTTGATTTATGCAGCCGCAGGACTGCTGTGCTGGCCACTACGGCTTACACCTATAGAGCAGGGCGGAGGAACATCAGGCCTGGAGGCTGAATGTGGCCTTCCAGGGACTTCTAGCTAGCCCTCAGGGTGCTTCCCAGGCTGCAACCCTCATCCACCATGCTTTGCACCCTCACTGGGCCAGAATTTGCCTCCATCTGTGATCGCATGGCTAGATGGGAGATGGAGAGCAGTGTGTATGTCGGATCACCACACCCACCACTGGCATTCAGCCCCCAGGAATTTCCCCAGGAAGTAATCTAGCCCCACGGCCTGAAAAAGATTCCTCAGCTCTGCTATCGAGAAAAGGAAGAGGGGGTCATGTTTGGGAAATCTCTAGATTCAAGTGGGGAGTTGGTGGACCGCCCAGTTCATGGCGCATCTCATAGGACAGTGGGGCTCCTATGATTGGTGTCAGAATTGTAGAGTTGGAAGGGATCCCAACGGTCATCGAGTCCAACCCCCTGCAATGCAGGACTCTCAATTAGAGTGCATATAACTTGTCTTGATTATTATCTTCCGGATCTTTCCAGCATCCTGTGTATCCTCCAAAGCTTTGCCTTTACTCTCTCATTCATTTAACAGCAACCCCCTAGAAGCCAAAACAAGCCACTAAGAAGCAGTGATGTTGAAGGATTTAATCCAAAGCATCCAAGATCTCTCCCCCACCTTTTAAAAACACAGCTGTGTTAAAACAACCACCATATGAGGTAGACCACACACACACATACATGCACACAGAGAGAACATTTAGTCAACACCCAGAGTGAGCTTGCACAGACTTCAATCCTGCTGGACTCACCTCTAAGACCAGCAGACTGGTTGGCCAGCATCGCTTGTGGACTACCAAGAAATTAATCCATTTCCCCTTTCACTGCCTCTTTATTTCCTCTTCTGACTCCTCCGGAGCGACAGCCAGGTCTATAGAGTCTGGAAAAAGGAGGACATGCTGTATGACAACCAGCTTGCGACTCAAGTGACCTTGTGTTCTATTTTCATAGGATCAAAGAATAGTAGAGTTGGAAGGGACCCGTAGCATTCTACGAAACAAAAAGCAGCAAGGAACTTTCCCCTTGACCCAGACCTATTTCAGGTTGCAGGGAGTGGAATGAGGGTGATGATGTCCCTGCTCCCTCTAACTCTCACCTCCTATGGCCAGACAATTGCCATCACTTCTGGGGCCCCCAGGTGCTGCTATGATGTCAACCGCTGGGCAACTGAGCTACCCGCTGCAGTGGCCCCATCTGCATTCTAGCCCCCATCAGACTTCCATCCTGGGAGAAGTCTGGAAAGCTGCAGAAAAAGTCTAAAAAGTGAACAGAGTATGTCCCTGCTCCATAGAGAGCTCCCTCGCTCGGGGCCCTGCTAAAGGAAGGTGGGGCATACAGTTGGCCAGAAATATCCTGTTGAAAAAAGGCTCTTGCCCTTCTCCTGCTGCTTTGAGGCAGTCATAGAAATTGGTAAAATGAGAACATTTTCTAGCTCAGACACTACAAGTAGTGCTCCTTTGGTTTGGTCATCTGGGATAGCCTTGTGACCCACCTGGGTGTTCCAACCCACAGGTTGAAGTCCCATGTTTAAGCAGCGGGAACTGAGTCGGTAACATCTCTGAACACAATGATACAGTATTATGAGTCCATTTCATTTCTCACCATTTCCTGATTTTTCCAATCTTAAATTCAGTTGTTTCTGCAGCAATTTGCAATTTTTCTTTAAAAAATACCTCAAAAACCTACAGCATTTCAGTGCACATTTCTTGCGTGACATTACATTTTTGCAAGTAATTTCTGCATTTTGTATGTTATTTTCACCAATATATTCATTATTCTGCACACGTTTCCCTATTTCTTGCATTCTCCTTCGTTTTGGAGGATCATTGCAAAATTTGGATACATGTGGATTTTGAAGGATGGCCGCATTTCACTTCTCGTACGAATTTGAGAGAGTCTGTTTTAAATGTGAACTGAATTGAATTTCTCCCCTGGTTGTGAGAATGTTGTGGGCTGTTATATTTCTACCCATTGCACAGCCATTAAAGACACTGGGCCTCTATCAGGAAAACAGGGTAGCAGCTTTGACCTGGGACCATCACTAATTCACCCGTTGGGAAAGATAGCATTTAGACTCTGCAGCATACTAGTCCTCATTGCGTCTTGCCTGTACTCAGTGCTGGGCTCAAAGCCTCTGGCAGGTTTTCTGTGCTGTGGCCCAGCAGTCCATGTTCAATGAAAGCCCAGCTGTAATGTAACGTCTCGCACTTTTTGCAGAACAGAATCTCACACTCTGGGCACATCTTGCCGGAGGATCTGTTCCTCTCCAGCTGACTGCAGACAGGCTCCTGCAGGGGCTTGTTCCTAAGAGGCAAAGGAAGGTTTGCAATTAAAATAACTCGAAAGGCTCCTTAAAAAGAAAGGCTAGAGCACGCTGGGGCTTTAAAAGGGTGTGCAAATCTGTCATAAAAACTCAAGAGGAGCCCTGCAGCTGGATCAGGCCCATGGCCCATCTAATCCAGCATCCTCTTCTCACAGTGACCAACCAGATGCTCCAATGGAAAGCCTACAAGCAGGATCCAAGCACAAGGGCCCTCTCCTGAGCTTAAAACAGTCAACATCCAAATGAGAAATTTGGGGTGCCTTGACCTTTTAATCTGAGTTCTAACCCCACCCCATTCTGCCCCTGGACCTCCAGTTTGTGAAACATTCCATTTCAACTTTACACACATACAGACTCGGTTTTCCTGTCTCTAAAATGGGGAGAATGCAATGCAACTCTTTCACCACTACGGAGAGGAGATTTTTGCTTTTGAGGAAGGCCTCTGAGCTGCTACCTGTCTCCCAGCCAGGTGAGACCGGAGAGAAGGGGGAAAGAAAACCAGCTCCACAGCCAATTTTCCTGTTTTGGCAGCTGCTCCGTGCTGGGAGTCTGAGGGGAATCCACAAGAGCACTAGAGCTGGATCCTTCTGCATCAAGGTCTGGCACATTATCTTCTGCTTCTGGTTCCTGGTGGCATCTCTCCTCTGATTCGCTCTCTTCCTCTTCTGGTTTGGTTTGGGACATCCAATTTTAAACCTGGATTAAGAGAGAGAGAGAGAGAGAGAGAGAAGAGATAACAGGAAGGGCTGGAGACTTCAGTTATGTTATGCCCATTTCAGATCCCATCTCGCAACTCGACACCAAGCAAGCCTATCTGCAAAATATGAGGACAATCCTGATCTACCTTTCAAGGTCGTCGGAAGGATTTAGACTGTTAGGGTTGCCATATTTCAAACAGTGAGAATTTGAAGTTTTTGAGCTGTTTTTAAGGGAACTCGCCCAAAACTACACCCTTGACATGAGTTGCCATATATCCGGATTTTCCCGGACGTTTCATCAATTTTCACCCGGACATTGCTTCCAACTACAGTATTCCGGATATGTGTGGGAAATTCAGGACATATGGTGACCCTAGAGATGCCTGGAAGTGCTTTGAGCACTCAGGAAGTGCAATCTGGCAGGGGAACCTCAGGATAAATGTGGCCCTCTGGCCTCTTCACCCAGCTCTTGAGACTTGCCTTAGGCCACTCCCACTCTTCCAGGCCACACCCCTCACTGGCACTGCTCTGTGCCCTTGAAAGATTGAAGATAATGGGCCCAGCTAACTTGGGTCCATTCCTTTAAATAGGTCTAGTCTCTTGAGGAAATCTTAGTTGGATGCAACCCCCTTTGCTGGTCTGGAGGGAGGTGCATCCTTATAGAAACCACTGACACGTGCAGTGCTGATGTCACATTTCCCCCCCCACTTTTGCCTCAGGAAGGTTTCCCATAAGCGAAAGGGATGCGGGTGGAACTGTGGTCCAAACCACTGAGCTTCTTGGGCTTGCCAATCAGAAGGTCAGGGGGTCGAATCCCCATGACGGGGTGAGCTCCTGTTGCTCTCTCCCAGCTCCTGCCAACCTAGCATTTCGAAAGCACGCCAGTGCAAGTAGATAAATAGGTACTGCTGCGGTGGGAAGGTAAACGGCGTTTCCGTGTGCTCTGGCACTCGTCACAGTGTCCCATTGCACCTGAAGCGGTTTAGTCATGCTGGCCACATGACCTGGAAAGCTGTCTGTGGACAAACACCGGCTCCTTTGGCCTGAAAGCAAGATGAGTGCCGCAACCCCATAGTCGCCTTTGACTGGACTTAACCGTCCAGGGGTCCTTTACCTTTTTACCTTTTACCTTTTCCACATACAGACACTCACACGCTCCTCTCTGTCCTGACTCCAGGCAAGGAAGATCACAGTTCAAAGATGCAGTCAGGTAAAAGCAGGCAGCGAAACATCATGTGTGGCCAGGAGAGAATTTAAGGGGTGCGGGGTGCAGATCAAGAGCCCAGCAAGGCTGAATTCAGCCTGAGATTCCCCACTCCTGCCTTCAAAGTTAGGATTCTCTTGGGAATGTCTCCAGGCTCAGCTGGGGAGAAAGACGTGTCCCAGCCCTCAGACATTTTTGTCTGACACCTACCGGTGAAAAAGACGAGGGAAGTGGTGAGTTTTACTGAATAATCTGCTGAACCTGTGGCCTGTTGTCTCCCAGACGCCATCCCCTCGAGAGGGCTGTGTCATGGCAAGGTGACCTCAGTCCCTTGTGACATCACATAGCTTCTCCGGGCAAGTTCTAGAGAGGCTGTTCTGTCCGGCAGATACGAAGCTAAGGTTCTTCACTTGCCTGGGGAGTGAGGAAGGTGTGAGAAGCAGTCAATGTTTGCTTACTTGTCCAATGTCCAGAACAGAAATCAATCCAGCGAACAGAATCAATATATGTTGTTATGAGGTTTTTTGCAAGGAGGGCTAGGCTGGGTGCTTGGGTCCCCTTCTAATTCTTGGGATAGCCATGATAGTTTCCTGGAGAGGCGATATCCGAGATAATGGGCTATTAAGGGAACAAAGGAAGTGGCTCTGTGCCAGAGAAAAATGGGTGGGGTCCCTCCTTCAGCTGGCTTTTAGTTAGAAATACAAAAGGGCAGAGTGGAGAGTTGAGTTATGTGAGCTAGAAGTGGAAAAGCAACAGGCTGGGAAGTCAGAGAGGGTGATGTTTGGTTTCTGCTTGAATCCAAGGCTGTGGCTATGGAAGAAGCAAAACCCTTTTGGGATGTTGATGTTGTGAGCCCCTCCATCATAGCCTCAGGTTGTATATATGTGTAAATAAAGACACCACAGTCTCTGCTGTCCCTCATTCCAAAGGAAACACAAACCCTGGGTGAATACCTGGAACCCCTGGAATCTCCCATCACTCTGAGATTGGGGTGGCTTGCAACAATATGCTTATTGGTTTTTGAAAACACAACTATAAAAAGTCAATAGGCTGTACAGATCAATAAAAGGGGGGGGGACAGTAACTGTTTATGACATCTTCAGTATTAAAAAATAAATACAGAGCAATGGGTCAGATTTTCCAGCATAGTGAAACCGTATTGAGGGCCGTTAAAAATGCAATGGATATTCGCTAGTGGTGTAGCTTTCAGTCTGCAAACTTTTTCCTCCATTTGTGCATCCCCTTTGCATTCAAAATTGAGATAATGACATTTGCAGTCATGTAATTTCACCATGTCCGAAGACGAATTGCAGCAGAAAAGATTCAGTGTTGCATGTGGCAATTGCAGGGCTCCAATGGAAAACACTATCCCTACATCCCTACTCTCAGGTAATAGCTGCTGTCTTTCTGAAGGGAAGCGTGTGTCACTCAGACCTCCTCTGTCCCAGAAGCCCCTTGCCTGAGTTTCAGATACACACACAAACACACACACAATATGAAGTTATCCAGCGGCCTTGAATTGCACTTTGCACAAGCCCGGTGGCACACTTTATTACAATAGGCAGTTCCAGGTCTCTCAGGTGAAAGCAGGATCATGGGCCCAAGATACTTTGTCCCTTGGGGCAAAACACAAAATGGTGCCCCCAGTCACAGAAGACAGTGGGGTAGGTTGGCATCACTTCATCTCTGGCAGGTTGCATCGCTGCTTCTTACTGGGAAGTAGAGTGGATGGGACCAAGCGGCAGCAATGTCAAGAGTGCAGTGGAGGCTGGTTCCTTAGGGCAACTGGAGCACTGCCTCACCAACCTTGGTTTGCCCCCAGCCAGCCCTCCCTCCCCCCCGCCATCTTACTGACAACCAGCCCAAGGGGTGACCCTGTCTGTCAGCTTCCTTCTTCTAAGTCTCAGTGTTGCCGCTTGTAGAACTCAGCAGGGAGGAGGTGGGAGACAAAAGTACAGTGGTACCTCAGTTTATGAACAGGCCTGTTTACGAACTATTCAGTTTACGAACTCCGCAAAACCGGAAGTAGTGTCCCGGTTTGTGAACTTTACCTCAGTCTACGGACGGAAGCCGAACGGTGGAAGGCCACCGGCAGCGGGAGGACTCATTAGGGAAAGCGCGCCTCGGTTTAAGAACGGATTTGGTTTAAGAACGGACTTCCGGAACGGATTAAGTTCGTAAACCGAGTTACCACTGTACAATTTGCAGGCTCCTCCTGTCTTTGGCTCTGGCGCCACCTACTGTTGGGCTCCCTGCCTTCTGTCCTACCGGTCCCAAATGCACACCAGCCACCAGTTGGAGCAGTGCACAGGGAGAGCCCATCTGATTCTGGAGGCAGAGCAATAGCCATCATGGCTAGTAGCCATCGATAGTCCTCTTCCTGAATTTGTCCAGTCTTCTTTTAGTCTAGATTGCTGGCCATCACTGCTTCCTGCGGAAGCGAGTTCCACAGTTCAACTATGCACTGAGTGAGAAAGTCCTTTATTTTATCTGTCCTGAATCTCCCAACATTCAACTTCCTTGGATCTCCTTGAATTCCAGTGTTATGAGAGGGAGAGAACCTTTTTGCTGTCGGCTTTCGCCACACTTTGCATAATTTTATAAACTTCTATTACGTCACTTTTGACTATTACACATGGGTGTAGCCAAGGGGGCAGAGAGGGGCAGCTGCCCCCTCAATCAATTAAAAAAATGCATAGCAAACTGAGGTTCTGCCCCCGCTAACAAAAACCCTGGCTACATCTAAGCTCTTGCACCAGCTAACCTGTCCTTTCTCCATGGTTTCCAGTGAGTGGACATCTGTCTTGCCACCCCCCACCTGCCCCCGTCAAGCTTTGTGCTCGCAGTATCTCATTTGCTCGGGTGGATCAGTGTTGCGAAAAGGAGCGAGGGTTGTTTGCTCCAGCCGAGGCAAAGCGACATCCGATCTAGCAGGGCGAGAGGGGAGTGTTTTGTCGAGAGTTGTCTGTCACCAAGGAGAAGAGAACAGGACTTGGAAGAAGGAAGCACAACAGACCAGGGACCCGGCCCTGCCAAAGAGATTCTCCCTCTTTTTACGGATCTTGCACCAGAAGTTCTGCAAATCCCCGAAGGACACGTGTGTGTGAATATGTTCAAGGGCGTAAGATAGGAGGATATCAGATGGTTGTGGTTTAAGGGGAATCCAATAGTTGCCTCGTGGAGCAGTGGTGGACCAACAAGGGACGTTCTGCTCTTGCCAGAAATGAGTTTTGAACCAAGGACAAGCTGATGATGGGCCGCCATTAATGGTGAGGACCATGAAGTCATGAGATGGGAGATCTTAGGAAGTCATTTCAGGAGAAGCTCCCGCCTCACCAACATTTCGACAAGACGATCCAGCCATGCTGATGTAGGGGATCAAATGTATATCTGGTTTCTGTGAGAACTGATGGAGAATGGAGCCAAAGTCTGCCTTGAAAATATAACTTTGAGGTGGATTTGTTTTGATGTCACAGGTGGTTGGGAGTGGTTCAAGGGATGGGTTGATGAATGGCAAGGAGAGAGTTTTTAAGGTTGCTGAGCAGATTTTGTACTGAGTCCCCACCACCACCAGCGCTTGAAGATGTCCGGAATCCAGGAGGCTCGTATGAGGAGCATCCGCCCATACAAGACCGGGGAACAATACCTCTATGCCATGAAAGAGGACTTGGCCGAGTGGCTGAAGGAACTCTATGATGTGGACATCAATGTGGAGTTCTTCTTGGAAGCCCTGGAGACAGGGGTCTTGCTCTGTCACCATGCCAACAGCATCACCCAAGTGGCTTGGGACTTTGAGCAGAGGTACCCAGGTCTGAGCCACAAGCTGCAGCTGCCCACCTGCGAAGTGACTTGCAACGACTTTGCTCAGCCAGGGACCTTCCAAGCCAGGGACAACGTGTCCAACTTCATCCAGTGGTGCCGGAAGGAGATGGGCATTAAAGGTACGTAGCTCAGAACTGGCTGAGGAAGGGTTGCCAAATCTTGGTCCTCCAGTTCTGCCCTCTGGAGTGGCAAAGAACAAGATTGGGAGGGCTCCATCATGCAGAAGATGGACCAGATTTGTTCTCCGTTAGGGCAAAAAGTAGCAGCATATAGTTAAACCGTGGAACTCCCTTCTGCAGGAGGCTGGGATGGCCACCAACCTAGATGGCTTTGAAAGAAGGTTGGACAAATTCATGGAGGAGGAGAGGGCTACTGATGGCCCCTGTGCTCTGCCTCCATAGCTGGAGACAGCAATATTTGTGAATACCAGCTGCTGGAAACCGCAGGAGGGGAGAGGGTTCTTGTGCTCAGGTCCCACCGACATCTGGTTGGCCACTATGAGAACAGGATGCTGGGCTAGATGGGCCAATGGCCTGATCCAGGAAGCTACTTTATGCTCCTGTGGGTGGTCAGCATCAAGCATGTTGTTGGCTATGTCCAACTCCCCACAGGAAAAGAGTCTGTTGGTGGGGAAAGGCATAATCCCCCAAGATGAGAGATGGGATCAGGATGTTTGCCTTGCCTTGGATGAGAGATGGGAGTGAAAACTCTTGATTTTAGGGGACTTCTCCAATGCAATCGCTTTTTGATTGATGGAGAACAGTGAAAACCAAACAAAGGAGAAAAATTCGACACAGCGCTAGCTGATAACCCTGACTTGGTTTCTCTGTGGTATTTCCCCACCAATCGCCCCTCAGTCCACACTGCCTAGCGGTCCCCTACTTTCACCCCACCTGCTTTGTTCCAGAAGTCCTGATGTTTGAGACGGAAGACCTGGTCTTGCGCAAGAATGAGAAGAACTTTGTCCTCTGTCTCCTGGAGGTGGCCCGCCGAGCCGCCCGCTTTGGCATGAGTGCCCCCACCCTCATCCAGATGGAGGAGGAGATCGAGGAGGAGATCCGTGAGGACCTGAACCTGCCGCCGGAAGAGACCCCCCTCCCAAGGGCCCAGAGGAAGCCGGCCAATTTCAAGAACCTCGACCAGATGGTATTTGAGCAGGCAGATTCACGCTCCAGGGCAAACACAGGGTCCCTAAGCTGAACGGGTCAAGGGCTCTCCTTCACTGGAGGTTTTTAAGCAGAGGCTGGGTGGCCATCTACCAGGGATTCTGTAGCTGTGATTCTTGCATTGCACGGGGTTGGACTAGATGACCCTTAGGGATCCCCTCCAGCTCTACACGTCTATGATTCTATGACACATTTGTGTCTGGCAAAAGCAGCAAAGGAAGGGGATAGGGCAGGGCTGGTGAGGGGTGTGGCTTGGGGGCAACTCTGGAGGTCCACATCAAGAATCCTAGAGGGCCACCTGTCATCGTTATCGTCTTCATCCCCCTCATAAAATTTATATACTGCTTGATTGTTAAAAAAAAGAACCTCAAAGCAAAAAAGATAGAACAATAAGATTATCAACAAGGAAAAATTACAATAACTTAAGACTTTCAAAAAGTAAAAATAACAATAGACTACAAAGAATTGGAAACTCACACCAACCTTCTAAATATCTGGGCAGGCTTGTCTAAACAAAAATGTTTTTAGCAGGTGCTGAAAAGCAAACAGCGAAGATGTCAATAGGCAGGGAGTTCCAGTGTGCTATTTATTTATACATCTGCATCTCACATTCACTCCATGAAGCTCATGAATACTGTTCTCCCCAGTTTCATACTCACAATGACCCTGTGAGGTTGGCCAGGCCTACGGGCGATTGGTGGTCGGTCTCACAGTCACCCAGTGAGCATCAGGGCCAAGTGGGGAAGGCAAACCCTGATCTCACAGCTCCTAGTCTAAAACTCTAACCACTACTCCACACTTCCTCTCACTCATATTCAGGTTGTTGTTGCCAAACTCATTACTATTCTTATCCTCCTGCTTTCTGCAAAGGTCCAGTGTCTCGTCAGCCGTTGCACCTGCCCGGTCCAGTTCTCCATGATCAAAGTCTCGGAAGGGAAATACCGCGTGGGCAATTCAAACTTGCTGATCTTCGTCAGGGTGAGTTGGCCTGGTGGTGGGCCAGAGGCAAAAGTGGGCGGAGCAATGGATGTGGATTTTACTTTTGTATAGTAAGCTGGTTTCTGAGCATGCTCACACACTTGGGCTGGAGGAAGCTGTCCATTTCTGTCCTCTCAGTTCCAATATTTTCCATCCTGAAATTCAGCTCTCCACTTTGGGGCCATGTTTTTAAATCCTCTTGAAAAATTCATCAGCGTTTTGCTGCGAATTTTTCCCAATGCACTATTTTTTGTCAGGACTTTTGACTACTAGAATAGCTAATGGCAGCTGGAATTGGGATGATGGCAGTTGGAATGTTGCCATGTTGGGTTTGTTGGTGGAGGGGACACAGGCCCCCCAATCGTAGGGATGGAAGGACCTGTCAATTTCAGTTTTCTCACTTTCCTATTTTCCCCAACATCTCTGCCATTTAAAAATTCTAATGACAATTCTTCAGCATCTTAAGGCAAATCTCTCCCAATGCACAAATTTTTGTATGCAGTTTGGACTAATATGCACATTTTTGCACCTCAGATTTCCCTAATATAATGTGTTTTTGTAAGTTATTTTCACTAACATGCTCGTTTTCATGCACACTCCCTGCTAATATATGGATTTTTGCAAAGACTGATTGGTGGGCGAACTGGATTGCAAAATTCAGATGAGTTCATTTGAAGGATGGCTGTCTCTCTGGTTCTCATACTGTTTTAGAATGTTCAAATTCAATAAGTTCACATTTGAACAGGAACAGATTTCTCCCACATCCTTCACACACACACACACACACACACACACACACACACTCAGAGTCACGATCACGCTCCCTCTTACATCCAGGAAAGCAGGAAGTATGATCAGAGGTCAAAGACATATCTCAGCCAAGCCAAAGCACACAAGGAGGGCAAGAAGCAAGGGGTGTGGCCTGGGGAGAGGGGGGGTGGCCTTGGAAGAGTCGAAAGGGCCAGATAGAGGAGCCTTAGGGCCACATTCCGGCCACGGGCCCAAGGTTTCTCACCTCTTTTCTTCAACAACTGACAGCATATTTCCAGAATGTCAAAGGCGGGTCTCTCCCAGCCCTACCAGGTATAAGGATCCAGCTCATGCCAGAAGCAGGTAGCCTATAGAGAAGAGAGAGTTACCTGTAGGTAGGACATAGTGTAGCAAGGAATATCATGTGCATCTAACACAGTGGTTCCCAAAGTGGGCAGTGCTGCCCCCAGGGGCAGGGGGTGGAATTACCTATGGGAGCAAGAGGCAAGCAGGCGGTGGAGGCATAAAAGACTATGAAGCTGGTTTATGGGATCAAGTCCATGGTTGAATCAATGAAACCAAATAGTTTCAATTGGATTTTGCATAAATGTGCAATTAATCGTTACTGTTTAGAGTTTTATTGTGTTTTTATCTTACCCAGTGGGTTGTGCAAACCACTGTTCTGAATAAGGGAAAGGATCAATGGGGATGAATTTATGGAGCCAAGGGGGCAGGGCCCTCCAAAGTTTTGGGAACCACTGGTCTAACTTTCTGTGTGTGTCTGCCTGTGGCACATAAACAGACTTGTGAAACAATTAGTGTTATTTATCAATCTCTTGGGACGCGGGTGGCACTGTGGGTTAAACCACAGAGCTTAGGACTTGCCAATCAGAAGGTCGGTGGTTCAAATCCCCACGACAGGGTGAGCTCCCGTTGCTCGGTCCCTGCTCCTGCCAACCTAGCAGTTCGAAAGCACGTCAAAGTGCAAGTAGATAAATAGGTACCGCTCTGGCTGGAAGGTAAACGGCGTTTCCGTGTGCTGCTCTGGTTTGCTCCCTCGGCCAGTAAAGCGAGATGAGTGCCGCAACCCCAGAGTCGTCTGCGTCTGGACTTAAGGGTCAGGATGGGGCCCTTTACCTTTATCAATCTTTTAGTCACCTAGCACAGGACTGTCTCCAGGTTTTAAAACGGCATCATTGCCAGGCAGGCGTCACTTGGGACAGCATTCCCCAGGACTGCACGTATTGTTGTGGCTCACGGTCAGGAAAGGGCATGTGGTGCTCACCTGCGCTCCTTTTTGCTCCAGATCCTGCGGAATCACGTGATGGTCCGAGTGGGCGGTGGCTGGGACACCCTAGAGCACTACCTGGACAAGCACGACCCCTGCCGGTGCACCTCCCTCTGTAAGTCCCCTGTGCTCTTGTTGGATGTAAAGAGAAGGCCATCTCTGTGCCCTTCGCTCTAAATCTAAAGTGTTTCATTCCTGTGGTTTTGCTTAATTAGTCCAGCAGATCTCGAAATTGACTGCTGTTGTATGTCAGGGCTTTGACCCAGGCCACATTCAAACCGTATCTTTAAAGTGCTATGATGCTGCTTTAAACACTTGTGGCTTCCTCCAGGGAATTCTGGGGGCTGTAGTTTGTTAAGGGGGCTGAGAGTTGTTAGGAGAGATTCCCAGGGTTCCCTTTGAAGAGGGATTAATATTTGTTGGAAGCCTCCCAAAGTGGCTGGGGCAACCCAGTCAGATGGATGGCACATAAATAAGATTTATTATTATTATTATTATTATTATTATTATTATTATTATACTCCTTCTGCTGAGTTGGGCCCTTCACATCTGTCCTAAAGTCCTGACCTGATGGTACCACAGTACCTGCTAATAACAGGGATGGGGAACCATTTTCTAACCCAAAGTCGGCATTCTCTCATAAGTATCCTTCCAGGAGGTACATGCTGGGGGTGGGCGGGGCCAGAGGCAAAAGTGGGCGGAGCCGCATATATAAATTTTACCTTTGTACAGCAGGCTAGTTTGTACACACGTACATACCTCTCTGTCCTCAGTCCAGGCAACCCAGAGGCATTACCCAGGCAAAACCAGGATGTGAAGCAGGACCAGTAGATGATGCAGCTGGGGAAGGTTGTAGCCTAGGGAGAGTCCCGGGGGCTGGCAGGGCTGCATTCATCTCCTGGGCCTGAGGTTCCTGCCCTCTGTGCTACGAAAGAGAGCAGGGCACCTGCCGCTTGTATAAAAGCCATTGCCATGACGTTTTAGTGACACTGATGTCCACTAGAGGGCAGGCCAGTGCTGCAGATACAGTCCTTAGAACTGAACTTAACCCAAGCAAATCAATGGAACCTCCCAAAATTTGGGAAAGAAAATGTACTTCATGGAATCATAAAATCACAGAATTGTAGCATTGGAAGGGACCCTGAGGGTCATCTAGTCCAACTCCTTGTAATGCAGCAATCTCAACTAAAACATCCATGACCGAGGGCCATCCAACCTGTTTTAAAACTTATTTATTTTTATAAGATTTATATACTGCCCTTCACCATAAGATCTCAGGGTGGTTCACACTTCTAATGAAGGAGAGTCCCCAACCTTCCGACGGAGTCCATTCCACTTTCGAACAGCTCCTGCTGTCAGAAGGTTCTTGCTAATTAATGTTTAGTCGGAATCTCCTTTTATGTTATGTGAGTAATGAATTATTTGGGTGGCAGGGAGCTGATCAGATGAGCAGGAAATGTCCGTGGGATCCAGGATGCAACATATCGCAGAGGATTTTTGGAATATTAACCGTTCTAGACTTCTGGGCTTTCTTTTGCAACACTGGTATAATTTTCCTTGCAGAAGCAACACAGAAGTAGACCTATCCTTTAGTCCTTCTAGGAACCTCAGGCCTGGGGGATGAATGTGCCCAGGAGAGGCCAAGCCAGATCTGTGAGCTACTCAGCTATTCCACATCTCTGACAAAATAAGATTCTGGACCTTGAAAGCATATACTGTGATAACTGTGTTAGAAGCTGAGGTGCTGCAGGATTCTGTCTCGTTGATTTCTCCAACCCTTTTTGCAGCTCACAAACAAGCCTTGAGGGCAGGCAGCCCGCAGAAGATGCAAGCCACACCGGTCCAACACGAAATCACAGCCCGCTTAACGCCCAGGAAAGACAACCCCAAGCCCCAGCCTGCTTTGATTGTCACCCGATCCCAAAGCCCGCTGCCCCCAGTGGAGTGGAGGACCTATACTCCTAACAGCCCTGGGTGGAAGACTCTGCAGCGGTCACCTCCAAGCAATGGTGGCGGCAGCAACAGCAGTAGGAAAACCACAGCTCTGCTTATCTCCCCTGAGGTCTCAGAACATGGGAGAGTCCCTTCCGTCAGGTGATGACAGATAATGTGTGGGGAGATAGGAAGGATTTGTTTTCCGCCAACAGCTCAAAGTTTTCACTTCTGACCATCCTAGATTTATGGCCCAGAGTAACTGGAACAATGTTATGAGCTACAAGCTAGAATATATACATATATATATATATATATATATATATATATATATATATATATCTCCATTGGTCCTACATTGTTCCTACAAGGAATTTGCACTTGGAGGCAACAATGCTTCTGAATTCCAGTTGCTGCCTTCAGATGTCCTCTAAAAGTCAGATAGTTGTTTATTTCCTTGACGTCTGGTGGGAGGGCGTTCCACAGGGTGGGTGCCACTACCGAGAAGGCCCTCTGCCTTCTTGCAGGGAGGGAATCACCAGAAGGCCCTCAGAGCTGGACCTTAGTGTCCGGGCAGAATGATGGGGGTGGAGATGCTCCTTCAGGAATACTGGACTGAGGCCGTTTAGGGCTTTAAAGGTCAGCACCAACACTTTGAATTGTGCTCAGAAACGTACTGGGAGCCAATGCAGGTCTTTCAGGACCGGTGTTATGTTGTCTTGGCAGCCACTCCCAGTCACCAGTCTAGCTGCTGCATTCTGGATTAGTTGTGGTTTCTGGGTCACCTTCAAAGGTAGCCCCACATAGAGTGCATTGCAGTAATCCAAGCAGGAGATAACTAGAGCAAGTGCTGTGCTTATATTATTGTGTTCTCCTCTTTCAGGGCGAGGTCAGTGACTCCAGTCCGGAGGCTGCCGGCCCAGGAAGAGAGACCCGCATCTAAGCCAACTCTCTCTATGCGGAGCAGAAGAGAGGCATGCCCTGTCCTGTCCCAGCTGAACGGAAGCACAGAGAACAACTTGCCCATTCGGAAATCTGTCTCAGAGGCACATCGCGGAAGATCTCCTGCCAGAATCCCAACGCCGACACCTCACAAAGAGAAACCAGAGAGGCCAGCGTCATCCAGAGCTGCTACACCGAGGGCTCCAGTGACCCGGCCTCCAGGAAGGTCCCAGCCTGAAATGAACGGCCCGCAGACCCGCTCTTCCAGTCCAGCCAAGCACTTCCAGCCCCCAATGGAAAGCCCTGCAAGGCTGCAAGGTGGAGTCACCGTACACAGCTGGAGTAAGGACTCGATAGCGTGGCGATCACCCTCCTCAGTAAAACACGCAGGTGTGACTCAGAAAGAAGACAGCAGTGCCAAGACCTCTGGAAGAGTTGCCCCAACATCATACAGGCCGCCAACAATTGGTAGCAGCTACCAAGAGGCGTTCTGTTTCAGAAATGGGGGTAACACCCTGGACAAAAACCAAGCCAACCCACCCAGGAAAGAGGTTTTCAAGGGCAGGGTCCCTCTTCTGAGAGAACAGGGCAAGGCTGTCAGCCTGGAAGCGTCAGCCAGCAGGTTCTCCAACAGCTCAGGGGGTGGAATCGGTCAGAAAATGAAAGATGGTGGGACCTTAGCTGGGCAAGAAAGTGTTCCAGGAAGACCTTGTAAAGATGGCCAGATGAGTCAAGGAGATATCAAGGAACTGGGCAGGGGAACAGAACGTGTTTACACACCACTGCCTATTGACCCGGTGGAAGAACAAGCTCTGTACAGGAGCCTAGAGGATGAGATTTTGGCCAACATCAAGGAGCTGGAGGAAGTCTCTGAAGGCAACCCCATTTCTCGAGGGACTCGGCTAGGAGGGTTTGGAGTGGACTGTTGCCAAGGAAGAGACGCCATGGCCTTGACCTGTAATGGGCCCAGGGTCTCCACACCCACCTGGTCCTCTTTGCCTATCACCCCAAGGACCTCAGTCTCTGAGGGAAGTGTGCCTCGGAGCGGGGTCTATGTGCCTGAGAGGGAGATGAGGTGGCACCCCGCAGGACTACATTATGACAGCGTTATTCAAGAGCTTTCCAAAACACTGCACCGGGAGCACGCAGGGACTGAGGGAAGTTCCCCCCAGTCAAGTCCATCTCTGGTGAATGGAAACCAGGCCGGAAAAACATTCCTAGACAGAGAAAGTGCTGTTTCTGAGGAGAACTGTGTGGCCCCTGAAGCAGAAGGTGGAGAACCATACCACACAGCTCATGTGGAAGTCGACGGAAATGCCAGAGGCTCTCAAGTGATGCCAGGCAGACCTCCTGATTCTCCAGAGCACTCTCCAGCTCCCGAGGACACAAAACTACCTCAGAGTAAGCCGAGGAGGTCTCTGAAGAAACCGGAACGGGTGCCCTCCATTTACAAGCTGAAGCTGCGCCCCAAAATCCGGCCGCGCAGAGACAATAGGCCCGAAAAGAGGCCTTCAAGGATCCCCACTCCAATTGCATACAGGCATGCCCAAAGAGGATCCAGCGTCAAGGCCCAGGCGAAGAAGGCCCAGAGTGTCAAATCCCAAATCTGGAGTGGTCAGGCTGGCGTGAGGCAAAATGGCTCGGGGGACACTGGGTCCAAAGACCAGGCTGCACTTTCTGACTGCACCCCTTCCTCCACACAAGACGGGGGTCCTGGGAGGAAAACAAGTGTGACAGAGGGGGAAACGGAGGCGTCAGGTGTGGAGGAGTCCTGGGTGTGATGTTTCCTTAAAGATGCGATTGCAGTCTCAGAATTGCAATTGCAGTCTTTTCTTGTGCCTAACCCCCATCGCCAAGCTTTGTTTCTGGTGGTCTCAGTTTTGGGCCAGAAAAGTGAATTAATGAGAATTGTACCATATGCATTTATGGTTGTGTGCTAACTATGCAGTATGTTGAACCAGGGGTGGGGTGGGGACCCCTCTCTCCTACTCCCTCAGCTGCCTAAACAGTTAGCAGACACCAAGTGCAGGTCTTAGCTTGTAACCCTGAAAGCTAGAAGCTTGCAGCTGTACCTCTGTGGGTGTGTTGATCCCACAGGGAAACAAAAGGTTGCCAGTGGGGAGTTGTATGCTCTATAGATCATTATCTTTGTTCTTTGACTTTCTGGAAATAAACTTGGATGGATACAGGTGCTGGTGGGGGGCATTTAGTTGAGTATCAACTGTGTCTCTGCAGTTCACAAAACAAAGGTGGAATATAGCTCATATGCTAAGGTCTGATTTCCTGGTTGTGCTATAGATAGTGACAGATTCTGTCATGCACCTGCGCCCAACATCTATCAGGCTTATCCTTGGTTGTCATACAAGCCCAAAGATGAGGAACCTGTGGTTCTCTGGCTGTTTTTGGACTCCCAGTCACCATAGACAATGAGTGATGGGGATGATGGCAGCTGGAGTCCAGCGACACCAGGAGGGCCACCAATTTTCCACCATGAAGAATCAAATCCTGCTCCAGGGTTTAAAATAGCAGGAGCTGATTTTGGATGCATTGTTTGCGTCCATGAGAACTAGAGCCTTGTGACCCTTTCAATAACGGAAGTTCAGACTCTCCGAATTCCGTGTAGGTTGGGGGACAGGGGACAACTAAGAACGTGCAGAATCAGCTCAGAACAGAGAGAACACACAGGCCTCCTGGTATGTTTAATAGGATTGCATTTGATTAAATATTAATGCAATAAAGTCTGATTTGATGAATTTTTTTAAAAAAGAAGGGGGCCATTGCACTTGTCAGTTACCCAAATCCCCTTGCACTTATTCGCCAGGAGAGCATCAGGAGGAGGGAGCATGTTTAATTCTTAATGAGCAATTAGCTGGAGCACTCCCTCTCTGCTTTATCTCCATGCGTAAAAGCGTTAGAAACTTAACTATATATATAAAATTTTAATTCAGAGAGGGACCTGGAATATCTCCAAGGGGGCATTGCTAGGTCCGTGAAATACTTGGGGCCCTAATTTACATTTACATAAAATGTGTATGCACAAATATAGGGCAGCTTTCAGAAGATGAGCAGCCCCGTATTCAATTAGTATTATTATTATTATTTTTAAAAAGTTTAAAAGAAGGAGAAAGAGCAAGAGACCCCATGCATAGTTTAAAGGCACAGGGCTCCCTCCCTCCATAGGGACTCTAACCCCCTGCAGTGCAGGAATCTTTTGCCCAACATGGGGCTTGAACCCACGACTCTGAGTTTAAGAATCTACTGCTCTACTGATGGATCTATCCCAGACCTGTGATTCTACTTGCCTCTGATCTTCTGGGACCCCCAGCAAATAGCTGCAAGTTGCAAAGGTTTGCTTCCATCATTGCATCTGCTTCTTCCTTCAGTGCCATGTTCTACAACTCCAATGCGCTTTATCTCGCAGGAAGAAACGCCTGTGAAATTTGGTGCACACTTCAATACATGGCCATTGGCCATTAAAGAATCTATGGCCTGTTAAAGCTGGGGAGGGGGGGACACTGTTATTATGAGTATTTTATTATTACACTTTTTATTATTATGCTCCATAAAATGTGTTCTTAATGCTGTATACCGCACTGGGATCTTTTGATAAAGGGCAGTATATAAATCGAATAAACAATAAATAATAAGAATACATTTCTCCAGAGGTGGCTGGTAGGGCAGAAGGCAGAACACCCAACAGTAGGTGGCGCTAGAGGCAACTCATTCCAACAGTAAAAGGTAAAGGTAAAGGGACCCCTGACCATTAGGTCCAGTCGTGACCAACTCTGGGGTTGCGGCGCTCATCTTGCTTTATTAGCCGAGGGAGCCGGCGTACAGCTTCCACGTCATGTGGCCAGCATGACTAAGCCGCTTCTTACGAACCAGAGCAGCTCACGGAAACGCCGTTTACCTTCTCGCCAGAGTGGTGCCTATTTATCTACTTGCACTTTGACGTGCTTTCGAACTGCTAGGTTGGCAGGAGCAGGGACCGAGCGACGGGAGCTCACCCCGTCGCGGGGATTCGAACTGCCGACCTTCTGATCGGCAAGTCCTAGGCTCTGTGGTTTAACCTACAGCCCCACCTGCGTCCCTACATTCCAACAGTAGGTGGTGCCAAAGAGACTGAGCAGGCGGAAGCTGATGGGGTGGGGCCACCCCCGGACTGGATGTATGTAAGAAAGAAGCCAGGCGAGGATAGGCTGAAGTTGGCAACGTCCTCCCTCGCTTTGCCTTAGGGACCAGCCTCCATCTGGAATCTAGAGATGCTGGTCATCTCTTTGGCAGAAGTGTGGAGGGCAGTCAGTGGTGCCTCCAAGGTAGGACTCTTGGTCACAGGTCCAGAGTCTCCTTCAGCAGAAGGAGCAGGAGGGGCCCCAAGAGAACCCTGGCTGGTTCACCCTATTTAGAAATAAGTGGAGTTCTCCAGGGTAGACAAGGTGGTGCCCTCCGTAGGTTGCTGGCTTTCGAACTCTCATCATCCCTGGCCGTTGGCCATGCAATGGGTCGATACCCACAGGCTAGCTAGCCCTCTTTTAGGATGGAGTTAGAATCATAGAATTCTAGGGTTGGGAGGGATTCCAAGAGTCATCTAGCCCAACCCCCTGCACCTAAAGGAGTTGGGTTTTGAGGATGGGATTTGAAATCAGGGGAGAGAGAGAACAATGGCTCTTGGGTGGCCTCCCCCAACCTAATGCCCTCCAGACATTTTGGAGTACAGACTCCACCAGTGCCAGCAGGGGCCGATGGGAGTTGGCATCTTGAGAGCACCAGGTTGGGGAAGTCTCATGGGCACAGCTGGGGGTTGGGGGGCAGATCCCCCCCCCCAAATCAAGTAAAGACCTGGATAAGGTTGACAATGATAGGGGAGCATCTCAGTGGGCTGGGCTTACTGAGTGTGCACAGAAAAAAGAATTGCATTGGAAAAGAGGAATTTGAGAAGGAAGTGCTGAAAATGTTTTCAGCAAATCCAAGAAAACTTGTCTCAGTTTAGATTTTCTTAAAATAAGATAAAAAAGGCACGTTCTTTGTAATTTTGCAAAATATACTTGATAACCACATGAAAGGTACTCCCTGATGTTTTTATTTAACTTCCTAATTTCCAAAGGACTGAAGATTTTGACAGATTTTTCTGAGCACTTGGGGTCAAAATGCAATAATTTAAAACAACTGTTGTTGAGACATTTCATTCCGAATCTGCCAGACAGAGTCAGGCAGAGGGTGATGGCATATGCCCCTAGCCTGACATAAATCCTGGCTATGCCCATGGGAAGTCTGTTTTTGGGACAAGGAGCAGCAAAGGGAGAAGGAATACCTTTTTTTTGGTTTTGGTTTTCGGATGCAGGATCTAGAGATTTTCGCTCTGCCTTCAGTTCCAACTGCCTGCTCTGATTGCCTCGTACAGTCTGATTGCCTTGGTACAATCTCTGCCGAAATGCGACTTGATCTTGAAACGGGTAACTTTGAAAGCCGTGGTTCTGATTCTCCTCCGTGAGTCATCGCCACTCATTCTCCTGCCGCAAATCCTGCTCTCTCCTCCTCCAGGAATGATAGTGTAAACCGCTCTCAACAGGGTGGACTTTTTAAGCTACAATTTACTGATTGTTCCCAAGTGCAAAGGGATGGAGCCGCTCTGGGTGATGATGGAAGGAGAAGGAGAAGCGGCTGAGTCAGGCGCAGATGTGAGATTTTAATAGCAGACGTCATCTCAAACTCTCAAGAACAACACAAGACTCAACAGAGGAGCTCTGTTGGGTCAGACCAAAGCAGGGATGGGTTGTTTTTTTTTTCTGCAAATCTGGATGCCAAGTTTATCTGTGTGGATTTGTCATATTTCCCTCTTATTCCTTATCTTGGTGAAGAACGAGTTTCAGCTTAAAACACGAACAGTTCTGGCATATTGTATGTGTTATACATTTTTATACATATAATATAGTATTCATATTATATGCATATACACTCCCGCTTTTCTAAAGCAGCCAGAACATAAGAGCTAAATAAAAGATAAAGGTAAAGGGACCCCTGACTATTAGGTCCAGTCGTGACCGACTCTGGGGTTGTGGCGCTCATCTCGCTTTATTGGCCGAGGGAGCTGGCGTACAGCTTCTGGGTTATGTGGCCAGCATGACTAAGCCGCTTCTGGCGAACCAGAGCAGCGCACGAAAACGCTGTTTACCTTCCCGCTGGAGCGGTACCTATTTATCTACTTGCACTTTGACGTGCTTTCGAACTGCTAGGTTGGCAGGAGCAGGGACCGAGCAACGGGAGCTCACCCCCTCACGGGGATTCAAACCACTGACCTTCTGATCGGCAAGTCCTAGGCTCTGTGGTTTAACCCACAGCGCCACCCGCGTCCCTTCCAAGAGCTGCATAGAAGGATGCATATAATTGGATAAAATACTTATATGTTAGTACAAATAAATTTATCCTGTAGGAATATAGTACTGAGTTGTATATGGTTTTTTGTCTGTTTTGGAAATACTTTTGCATTTAATTTTGCATGTGATTAGCTGGGCTTTTTTAAAAAAGAAAACAGAACATAAAAAGAGTCTCCTGGACCAGGCTAATGAAGTTCAGCATCCTTTTCTCACAGTGGCTAACCAGATGCCTGTGGGAAGCTCAAAGGCAGGACCCCAACACAAGAGCCCTCTCCCCTTCCGTAGCTCCCAGCAATTGGTAATCTGAAACATTTACTGCTTTTGACCATGAAGGCAGGACATAGCCATCCTAGTTAGGAGCCATAGCTAGCCTTCACCTCCTCCATGAATTTGTCCAACCTCCTTTCAAAGCCATCCAAGTTGGTGGCCCTCAGCTACCTCCTGCGGAGGAGAAAGAGCCATTGTTTAGCTATGGAGAAGGACTTCCTTTTATCTGTCCTGAAACCTCCAACAAAAGTCATAGGTCATTAGGCCCACTCCTAAGCAGGTGCTTGCAAGAAGTGGGCCGATGCAGTCACAGAGGTGGCCCAATGGGGAATCTAGTTGGAAACTGTGGGAACAGGGCTAGAAGGGATCTTCAGAGTTGCTGCTCGTCTTCTCTGCCCCTGAAGCACAGAAGACAAGTGGCAACGCCATGCAGAACACCCCAGCTTCCATCCCCACCAACATTTTTTTGATGAAAACAGGGACATCTCCTGCTCAGTTTGGCAAGAGTCAAGGAGTTCGGGGGGGGGGGCAATTCAAAACCGGATGGGCCTCCCCTATTTTAGGACTTCATCTGAATAATTTTTAAAATCCTTTTGTATTTTGTAAGGTGTTTTTTTCCTCCCTTTTAAATCCAAACACACACATAAGTTTCTCCATATAGTTTAGCTTTAAGAATAGGATTGCATGAAATGGAACACTCTGGCTTTCAATTCTTAACCGGCCTGCTTCAATCAATGCCCCTTTTTTGGAAGTTTATAATAACACAGTACCCCTCAAACAAAAAGAGGTGCTGGGGGAACGATCCAGCCACTCTGTAAAAGTGCGCGTGTTTTCTGTATATCCGGTGTTTTGTATGAGCCACTATAACAGTGACCAGGTGAGTGACAAAGGACGTGGCCATTTTCTTAACATGACAGAGGCTATTTTGAATTCCGCCATTCCACCTTAGAACAGGGCTTTCCATGAAAAACAAAATGGCGGCCTTTCTCCCCATACCCTTGCACATGAAATAGCCAGAGCTTGAGCAAAACAGATGATTTTGAGGTCGATGAAACATCTGACAGATTATCCTTGTCAACAATCCCTGAGATTAGAGATTGCAGTTTGCTGTGGTGATATAAAGACCCCTCAGAGACGTTCCTTGCTCAGAGACACTGAGCTGGGCTCTCCAAAAGGGCAGAGAGACGGACGCAGTGGCTGGTCTATAGAACAAAGAGGAAACATACCTGATTTTTCCTTTTAATTTGATCTCCATCTCATAACAAGGGCTGTTTTACAAGTTTTACGGTCACCTGAAAGATCTCCCAGCAAGGAACCCAGAAGGGTGAGGAAGCATCGAGGCCCCAATCCGATACTCGCTTACCTGGAAATAAGCCTCATTGAACTCCATGGGACTTACTTTTCAGAAAACTGTATAGGAATGGCACTATAAATCTTTTAAAAATAAATTAATTAAACCCTGCTTCCAAATCATCAGGTTCTTTGGAAACCGGACAAAAGCATCCTGCCAGGACATACCTTTCCCCAAAATAAATTGCTTGCTCTTGCCCCCATATGTTCCCTGGAAAATGGTCACTGCAGCACAGAGATTCATGTGGACTTTTCCTCTGTTAGGACAAAGACAATTTATAGAATCTACCTGTCTGCAGAAAGCTCTAAAGGAAAACCCTCCAGCTGCCTCCCTGATGTCCCTGTCTGAAAACACAGAAGTCTAATGTCCAAATCAAGAGAAATAATAGTTCCACTCTATTCTTGGTCAGATCCCACCTGGAATACTGTGTCCAGTTCTGGGCACCACAGTTGTAAAAGGGTATTGGAAAGCTGGAAGGTGGACAGAAGAGGGCACCCAAGATGATGAAGGATCTGGAAACCAAACTTTATGAGGGAGTTTGGATGTTTAGCCCAGGGAAGAGAAGGCTGAGAGGTGACTTGATAGCCATCTTCAACTTTCTTCAACGGAGCAAGCTTGTTTTCTGCTTCTGCAGAGGGGTAGAACCCAAATGAGTGGATTCAGATGACAAGGAAGGAGATTCCAGTTAAACATGAGGAAGAAACATTTCTGATGGCGAGAGCTGTTCAAGTGTGGAATGGACTTCCTTAGAAGCTGGTGCGTTCTCCTTCCTCGGAGGTTTTTAAACAGAGGTTGGATGGCCATCTGTCAATGATTCTTTAGCTGTGATTCCTGCATTACAGAGGATTGGACTAGATGGCCCTTGATTCTGTGAATCAGAACCCAGGGTTCTTTGGGGGAAGCCTTGACGTTAAAGTGGAATGATTCTGCTTTAAATGCATAGTGCAGATGGGCCTTAAAAGCACATGACATTAACAGCAGTGATTAATTCCTGTGTAGTATTTAAGGAATTTTTGAAAAAAGCTGAGAAAATAGAAGGGCTGCTTGGACAAGATGGCTTAAAAGATTTGTTGCAAAAACGATTGCAGCCCTTTAACTCAGGGAGGTGAGGAAACATTTTTGGCCGGGTGGCCAAAAATCTTTATTTCTCCGCTTCCAGACAAGCCATATTGACAGCAGGTGATTGACAGGTGGGCTGCCCCACCCACCTGTCAAAGTTGGTCCTCAGAGGGGGGACACACACAAGATCTGGGGCATGCCAGCCAGTTCTGGCACAACCAAACCCAGCAGGATTGAATTCTAATGAGGGTTCAATCCTGCTTTCTGTGGGTTTTTCCCAAAGCAGGATTGCACACCCCATGCATCAGTTGAGAATCTTTTTGGCTTGGGGTAGTGGGCAAGGAGATCGTGCTTAACCTGTTAAATGTCTTCCGATATTTTGTTTTAATTCAAAACTCTCCCCAGCTTATCTTCCACCCACCAGGGAAAGGATGTCAGGAAGAAGGCTTTTAACTGATCCATGAAACAAATTCATCAATGAAGCATTGCAATTCAAGCTGTGGCCCAACCCCACCCCCAGTGTTGCTGGACCCTGGCTCACAGCATCTCCAGTGAACGATCAGAGATGATGGGAATCGGAGTCTAGACACACCTGGAGGGCCACACCTGCCCCATCCTTAAAATACAGCTCATCAGCATGACGGCCACTCTCAGCCTTTCAGAGAAAAAGTGTAATATTGCACAATCATTGATAAATCACATAACCAGAGAATTATAGTCAGCTTGGGGTATGCTCTGGTCTGACCCAATCAGAAGCCTACACCACACAAACAATGCCAACTTTTGCACAGATTTACTTGGGAGTGAGCCCCACTGACCACAGTGGGACTTACACACACACACCCAGTAAAAATGCAGAGACCTGCACTCTGAACTGAAAGATGCTGCATGGATTTATGTCTATTGCATAATTTTGTTTTAAACACATGGAGTGGCTTATAACTGCTGAGCATTACAACCCCCACCCTCTTGAGGCCCCTCCAAACCAGTTCCTAAGTTTTGCAGTGCCCCCCCAAGCTGAGTAACTGATACTCAAACCAGGGGGGGCATAGCTATCACCCAAAAATATGATACCAGATGATTCAAATGACTGGAGAATTCCACTTTAATTAAAAAAAACAAACCCAAAACCTTGCTCATAGAAAGTTAACATGTCAGGGAGAACACTGAGATGGAAGGCACACCAAAGGTAATCCATTCTCACCCTTGGCCAATGCAGAAGATCCACAACGACAGCATACAGAAGGCTGGCCTTCTCCCTGGCACCCTAGTTTTCTATGCATAAGGGGTTCTTAAGCTTAGCGTCCCATTGCACCAACTGAGGACCAGATGTGCTTAGAGAAAGATCCTCATTGACAGTCCTTCAACTCTGGAGTTTTCTCCTCTCCCATGAAGACCCAACAACTCCTGAGCCACTGAAAGAGTCAGGGATGGGCTACCGTTCTCCAGATGTTGCTGGTCTCCAACTCCCTTGCCCCTGAAAAAAAAAACACCTGATGGTCTGAGAAGATTGGAGCTGTAGACCAGCAACACCTGGAGAGGTGTAATTGGCAAAGGTTGCTTTTGCCAGCTAAGGAGGGAGGTGGAGAGGCAGACCTGAAGATGACATAATGTAAAAGTGAAGCTCTTGTCATTAATATAGTATCATTACTCACTCTGAGCCCTTGGGAGAGGGTGAGCTATATGGTAAATAAAAGGAATCCATAACTAGGCAAGTTGGAAAGTGTATGAAAAGATAGGTCATTTCAAAAAAAAAAAAGGTGTCCTTCCAACAGCAAAAATATTCTTGTGGCGAGATTGTAGCTCTGTGGCACAGCACCTGTGTTGCATGCAGAAGGTCCCTGGCGTCTCCAGGTAGGGCTGGGAGAGAACCCTGTCTAAAATCCTGGAGAGCCGCTGCCAAGCAGTGTAGACCAGTGTTTCCAAAACTTGGGTCTCCAGCTACTTTGGGACTATAATTCCCATCATCCCTGACCGCTGCTCTTACTAGCTAGGGATAATGGGAGTTGTAGTCCAAAAACAGCTGGAGACCCAAGTTTGAGAAACACTGGTATAGACAGTACTGAGCGAGGTGGACCAAAGGGTCCGAGCCAGCTAGAAGGCAGCTTCTGATGTTCATTTAAACTATGGGCTCATCCACACTTTCCATGGGAAACTCGCAGTTTAGCGCAGAATCAGAACAAATGGCAATGGCGTTTTATGCAGATTCCCGTTGGTTCCGAGTTAACCCTAAAGAACAGGTTTTCTGGGGGAAAGTGACTGGTCAAAGGCAAAAACGCTCAGACCCATGCCTGGAAAACAAGCAGAAACCCACTCAGACAAGTGGGGCAAGCCCCATATGACTAGTGCTGATCCCTAGCAGGACCAGGATGCACGCGCTGTTATCATAGCCACTCCATTCCTGGTGGTTTTTAGATGTATCCCAAAGATGAATTGTGTGGACCTGAAAATAGAATGTGTGGATGCCTCTGGACATGTTTGTTTACCATACCCCAGGAACTGGCTGTGGTTCCCTGTTGAGCTTGGAGGTCAGTGGCAAACCAAGTCATGGTTGAAACAGCCCACACAGTAAAGGATTCTCTTGCAAATCTCTGTGCTGATGTGACCTGAGATGCCCCCACCTTCCTTGCTTCTGCTTTGCCCCTGTTAGTTAGACCCAACAATTTCCATCCAATGTCACCTTAACTCCCCATTAACCTGTCCCTTGCAGGTACCTCCCTCCCGTGGGGAGATTTTGATCAGGCAGGATTTCCTTTCTTTGCACTGAGAGAACATGCCCTGCTGCCAACACCCTCCCGCTTTCCGTAGAAACATTCACTCAGGAAATCCGGGACCCGAGGAGTCGCACGAGGCAACTGGGAGCCCCCTTAAAGGCTTGGTCTCGGATGACACCCAGCAGCTTCTGTCCCATCTGCCGGGTATTCTCATATTCCGGGTTCGTGATCCGAAGCGAGGGAAAGGCCTCTTGCATTTGAAGGAACCAGGTCTCCTCTGCGAATCCACTGCTCCAGGGGATGCAGCAACAGCAAAAAAAGAAAAACTCCAGCCAAAGCTAGATCACACCCCCAGGGGGTTGCGGGTGGAGAGGCTTCGTTGTAAAACAGAGTTGCTCGAGACCTCCTGCTCCCACCACCCGCTCCAGGTGGAAAGAAGGGCTCCTGTACACATGGCACGAGGGTGAGTGGTGTTGGCAACACCTCTGGAGATGGAGGGCAGCGACGGAAGGGGGTGCCCGTCCTCAAAGGTCTCACATGATGGCGCACCGGTTCCTCCGCAGGGCGCCCTGGAAGCGGATGGTGGTGTGGACATGCTTGCACCGGGCACATCCCACGCTCTTGAGGAGTTCGCTGAAGAGCAGGAGGATGTGCCAGTTGTACTTGGCCGAGCACTCGATGTAGCCACACTTCCAGGTCTTCTTCACCAGGTTGGAGACGTTCCAGCGGGGGATGACCCGCCCTTTCTGGAGGTCCCTCTTGTTCCCCACGATAATGATGGGTGTGTCGGAGGTGCCAATGACCCTGCCGAGAGAGGGAAAGAGAAGCCTAAATGGTTGGAGAATGAGAGAGGCCACGCCCAGAGGCTGCCACACCTAGGGCTGCCATACATCTGGAATTTCCCGGATGTGGCCGGGAAGTGTAGATTTTGTGCCAAAATAGAAAAGAAAAACAGCTCAACAACTTTGGCCGTATGTATTAAGTATAGTCGTAGCTTGGAAGTCGAATGGAATCCGTTCCGGAAGTCCGTTTGACTTCCCAAAATGTTCAAAAACCCAAGCGTGGCTTCTGATTGGCTGCAGGAAACTCCTGCAGCCAATCAGAAGCCACAGAAGCCCCATCGGACATTCGGCTTCCAAAAGAACGTTCAAAAACCGGAACACTCACTTCCGGGTTTCGATCGTTCGGGAGCCAATTTGTTTGGGAGCTAAGGTGTTTGAGATCCAAGGTACAGCTGTATAGTGATTTAATTTACTGAAGTTGGGAATGCTTAAATGCATTGCTGTGTGTTTAATTCTCAAATGTTCCCCTGTAACTCTTGTGTGATTGGTTAGCACTGGTCACATGATAGGTACCTTAATACATTTTCCATTCTTTTTTGTGTGTGAGTGACTTGACGACAATGGCTGCATCTCCATGAACACTGAAGAAGAGACAGTGTTAGATAACTCTCTCTCTAAACACAATAGAGGAGAGGAGTGCTAATATTTCTGTGTGGATGCATGTGGTGGAAAGAAGTACAGAGGTTGATGATCTCTCAGATAAGCAGTAAGGAGAAGTTCTGCTGGAAGGAGAAAAGGGAAACCTCTCTGAAGGAACTGCATGGCCAACTAGGCCATGTACAGACGACTGAATACAAGAGAGAAAGACACAGTTTGTTCGAATGTTTAGTGAAGAAACTGCAATCTTCAAAAAAAAGGGGGAAGCCCATGCTTGGATGAACATGTGAATGTAAATACTTTGCATATATTCTTCTTTGGCTATAGGTTCTGCAAGTAAAAGCTTTTTAAATATTTTAACAAGTACTTGTTTTAATTTAAAGAAAAGAGTCAGTATTGCACATGATTTGGCTTCCTAGCTGCAATTTAGCTACCCTGCCAACAAGTTGCTGAGAACTGCAGTTGGGTACAGTGCTGCTGAGTTCGGGTTCTGCTTGAGGGTTTCCCACATGGGGCATCTGAGAACAGGGTGCTGTACCAGATGGGCCATTGGCCTGATCCAGCACGTTCTTCTTCCCTTCTTACATCTTAGGTTACAGCAGGTCCCTTGCAATAGTGATCCAGCAAAGAACACCTGGTTCTTTGGAGAACTTGAGAACATTTTTTTCTTGTTGGCTCCAACTGCCCTTCTCCTTCTATTCTCTTAAGAAAGTTAAGCGTGTATATGATCGTGTTTGTCATTCTCAGGATTTGAGAAACTCCAAGTGCTAGATCACTTGGGTTCCATGCCATGGGAAATCTAAGACCAGAGTTTGTAAAGGCAGGAATTTGCCCTGTTCTCGGGGAGAAACCTGGGGCAGGAAATCACTCTGTATAAAGTAGAAGGGATTGGCTGGAGGGAAGACGGATGCTGGTCTAGGCTCCCAGGATTTTGCAACTCATTGGATATCCCCAGTTTCTCCTCCCCTTGAGTATGGGATATTCCAAATGTGGCTGCAACCATAGGATTTGCAGAATGGCATTTACAATATTGGCAGTTTTATTTTCAATGATTCCCTAGGACTGAAATGTGCCTTTCTCACAGCTGCCACACACTGGGACAACCCATCATTTTGAGTCTCCCTGAATTAACATCTGGCTCTACGGCCACCACCCCTTTTTTCCAGTCAGATCCCAGGTGAAGTTGAGCAGAGGCATATTTTTACCTTGTTTCCAGGATCTGCTGCCTAATGGTCTTGACATACTCAAAGCTGTCAAAACAACAGATGTCATAGACCAAGATGTAGGCATGAACGCTCCGGAGGCCTCTGCAGCACACGTCCGCCCACTCCTGCAAGACAGAGAGGGAGAGAGGGACGGATCAGGGAACGCACAACACACAGAGAGCCATGGGAGTGACCGCAACACCACCAGCAGTCCCCCCCCCCACAAGCTTAATCCAAGGAGGAAGGGTTCACTCCCAGTCTTCAGCTCAATTGTGGAAGCAGTGCCCAGCTCAGGGACAGCCCAGCTCTCCAATTTCTCTTTAAGTACAGTGGTACCTTGGTTCTCAAACTTAATCTGTTCCGGAATCTGTTCCAAAACTAAGGCGCGCTTTCCTATAGAAAGTAATGCAGAATGGATTAATCCGTTCCAGACTTTTAAAAACAACCCCTAAAACAGCAATTTAACATGAATCTAACTATCTAAGGAGACCATTGATCCATAAAACGAAAGCAAGAAACAATGTACAGTGGTTTACGAACAGTCCTGTTTACAAACTACAGTCATACCTCTTGTTACATTTGCATCAGGTTGCACGTTTTCAGGTTGCATCCCGCGGCGACCTGGGAGTACTGGAAAGGGTTACTTCCGGGTTTCACCACTCGCGCATGCGCAGAAGTGGCGAATCGCGACTCGCGCACGCACAGACGCGCAGACGTTGGTTGCATTTTGCTCATGTTGTGAATGGGGCTCCAGAACGGATCCCGTTCGCAACCAGAGGTACCAGTGTATTCAGTTTATGAACTCCGCAAAACCAGAAGTAGTGTTCTAGTTTGCAAACTTTACCTTGGTCTACGAATGTAAGCCAAACAGTGGAAGGCCACTGGTGGCAGGAGGCCTCATTAGGAAAAACGCACCTCAGTTTAAGAACGGATTTGGTTTAAGAGCAGACTTCAGGAACGGATTAAGTTCATAAACTGAGGTACCACTGTACTGCAGTCAATCAATCAATCAATCAATCAATCAATCAATCAATCAGTAGCTGAACTGGGTTCCACACGGTCACAAAAACAAAAACAAATGAGCCACAAAAACGCAAAATAAATAGCAAAACCAGATAGACCTCAGCGTAGCACTCAAAATGGAAGTTTGGCACTCAAATTGGAAGCGAAACACTCAAAACGGAGCACATTCTGCTGCCAAACAAAGTTCACAAACCGGAACACTTACTTCCAGGTTTGCAGTGTTTGAGAACCAAGGTACCACTGTAGTAAGAAACCTGTGGTGGGAGGGGGGAGGCCGCAAGGGAAGGCCTCTGAAGTGGGTGCAGCCTACTGAGGTGGGTGATGGATGCCAGAACGTGAGTGGAATTGAATTGTCTTAAAGTACTTCGTTCTGGGGAAAATGCTCAACCACCTCCTGCCGCCCACAAAATGAAAGCGCCTTTGTGGGATGTTCTTTAAATATTCTACAGCCACAATTTGGAGAATGGCAGCCATTTTTTTGTTCCCACCACCTCCAACAATGCCCTGGAATGATGCTATGTTCCAGTGTGCTGGACCAGATGGGCCCTTTTTTGTCCTGATCCAGCAGCCAGACTCTCCATATGTTCTTGTCAGGAGAAGCATCCCAGATTGGAAGGGTCAGAGCTGTTTGAGGGTGGAAGAGACTGCCTTCAGATGTGGTGGACTCTCCTTTGCTGGAGTCACTGAGTCACAGGCTGGATGTTGTTGTTGTTTAGTCGTTTAGTCGTGTCCGACTCTTCGTGACCCCATGGACCAGAGCACGCCAGGCACTCCTATTTTCCACTACCTCCCGCAGTTTGGTCAGACTCATGTTTGTAGCTTCAAGAACACTGTCCAACCATCTCATCCTCTGTCGTCCCCTTCTCCTTGTGTCCCCCATCTTTCCCAGCATCAGGGTCTTTTCCAGGGAGTCTTCTCTTCTCATGAGGTGGCCAAAGTATTGGAGCCACAGGCTGGATAGCTCTCTCCTGACTCCACAGCTGCTTTCCCTCTTTGAGTGCTTCCCTCAGTGGCCAACTGTGCCAACTCTAGAAAGCCCCCAATCCCTCCGTCGCAGAGTCACACTGTTCCAGTTTTATAAGCATCCATTTCATTTTCCCTTTGCAGAAAGAACATTTGGGAAACAGCAGAACAGCCTGGATTCCATGTGATACCACTCTCCTCCCTCTCTCTGCCCTTGGCACCAAAAGCCCAGCGAATGAAATTGTGAAAGTCCAGCCCAACGGGATTTTAGGGCTACACCTGGGGCTTGCAGATCCTGCTTCTTCCAGCTCACCCTAGGCCACCACGCTGACCCATCTGTGACATCCGAGAAGCTCAGGCAATGGCAGTGTGAGGTGCTGGAACTCAACATGGTGTCAAAAACGCCTATCACTATGGAACGACTTACTAGCATCTTACAGCAAGCCCAAAGGCAGAATCACTGTACTCTCAGAGCCTCTAGTAGGAGCCCGCGATGCTCTTTCTGGTAGTGAAAGCCTGGGACATTCTGCATGCCAAGCAGATTCTCTACCACTGAGCCACATATTTCCCCATATATTTTAAAGGAAAATGGGAATGGAAACAATTACAGCAAGCTTGCAATTTACGTGGGGGTCATGTTCCGGGGATCATGCCTGAAGCTGAAATCATGTATAGTCAATACCCATTGAGTGCAATGGTGGATGGGATTGCCAAAGTTGTTTTTCCTGGAACTTCACCCCATTTCTATTTATGTTTGCATTTTTTTGCCATGTGCATAAAGCTAAATGTGGGCTTACTGTACATGCACGTATAGTACATCTGTGCCATCAATGAAAAAAGATGCCCTGGAGCCAACCCGCGCTCCTTGCAGGCTCTTTCCAAAAAGCATGAATTCCATTTATTTCCGGGAGATGATCTGTTGTACGGAGGCACCAGCCATTAGCCTGTGTCTGCTGCGTCCATGAGTAGTTCATGGAAAAGCATCAGCCTTTGTTTGCTTTTAGCTGGAGAGACGAGCTTCATTGCTGCTGTCAAAGTAGGCTGAGATAGTCACAGCAACCCCATCCCAACAATCTAAAATGCAGGTCCACTGCTGCTTCAACTTCTTGTGATGACCCCCCCCAAAAAAGAAGAAGAAGTCCTGCAGGGCGTTGGACTAGATGACCCCCGGAGTACCTCCCAACTCTACAATTCTATCATCTATCTCAGGTGGGAGACAATTTTTCAGCCCAAAAGCTACATTGCCTTCTGAGCAACCTCCCAATGCTGGGTGGGGCTAAAGGCAGAAACGAGGTGGAGCAAGGAATGTAAATTTTACCTTTAACTCTAGCTTCTAGACACACACGCTTCTCTGACTGACTGACTGACTGACTGACTGATTGATTCTATTTCTATGCTGCTTTTTATTCAAATACAGTCATACCTCAGGTTAAATATGCTTCGGGTTGAGCATTTTCGGGTTGCACTCCGCAGCGACCCAGAAGTAACAGAACGCGCTACTTCTGGGTTTTGCCGCTCACGCATGCGCAGATGCTCAAAATGACATCATGCGCAGGAGCAGGAGCAGCGAATCGCGACCCACGCAGACGTGGGTTGCATTCGCTTCAGGATGCGAACGGGGCTCCAGAACGGATCCTGTTCGCATGCAGAGGTACCACTGTAAATGCCTGCCCTCCATTCAAGCAAGGAAAATGCATTATTTGAGTTCAAGGGCATATTTTAGTCAGGCAAAGACACTCGGGGTCCGAAGCAGGGCTGGTGAGGGCTGTGGTCTAAGGAGAGGGGTGTGGCCTGGAGAGAGTTCTGAGGGCCGGATAGAGAGGCTTGGAAGGCCGCCGTTTGCCCCCTATGTCAGAAGTCCCATATATTTAGATGAAATGTGTTATTATTTATCATTACATTTCCTTCCCACCTTTCTTCCAAGGAGTTCAAGGTGGTGTACATGGTTCCCACTTTGACATTTTCAACCTCACAACAACCCTGTGAGGTAGGTTAAGCTGAGAGACAGGGACCAGCCCACAGTCACCCAGCAGGCTTCTTGGCTGAGAGGGGAATTTGAACCCAGGTCTCTCTCCCAGACGGTCGTAGTCGGACACTCTAACCACTAAGCCAGTCTTCTAAGCTGTGGTAGGGTCAGTAGGTTCAAAATCTGTGAGTGTGGCTCCACTGTAGTCCAAGGATGTTTTAACACTTATCTCAAATTCCTTTTTGTCACTAAACTCCAAGGGAGGGTCAGCATGCTGTTTTCCTGTGAATTCTGGGTTTTTTAATGGTGGTGATGATAGTGCTTTGTACCCAGGCAATCCAAATCTTGCAAGAAGTAAGGATGATGAGGTTTCCAATTCAGTATTCATTTAAAGCCAAATCTATCCAATTTGTACTTTCTGACGCAGCAGAGGAACCAAAATACAGCAATCTTTTGAAATTCATATGCACCCAAAATTTGCGATGTGTTTCTCCAACCAAACTAGGTTTCCAAAAATGCATTATGAGGGGGGAAATAACATACGCCATATTTGGGGAAATGCTTATAAACATGTATACGTCAGTCAAACCTGCATTAATCAGGAGAAATTTGCAGTAAAACACCAATAATTGCGGATTGCTGCAAAACGTAGAAAATTGAATTTTAGGTTGCAAAAAACAACAACACCCAAGAAACAGAGAGACCAGAAACCTGGAATCCTGAGCCATGTTAAAAATAGTGCAAATCGAAAAGAAAAGTGGAGAGGAGAATGGGGGAGGGGAGACCCCTCTCTCATTTTGCATAATCCATTCTGCTCATGGCAGGAGCTCCGCAGGGTGGGCTTATCGTTCAGCAGCAGAAACCCCTCTCCTGCCTTGCACACAGAAAGAGCTGTGTTCAAACCCTGGTGGCACGATCCACTGAAAGGAAATAGATCAAGTTCCTAAGAAAAACTTTTCTGGGCCTGGAGATCCTGGGGGGCTGCTGCCAATAAGAGTAAAAAATATTAGGTTGGGTGGGCCAATGGGTTAGCCTAGTTAAAGGCAGCTTCCTATTTCATCTTCAAATAATAATAATAATAATAATAATAATAATAATAATAGGATATCTGTTTTCACTCTCTGGATTCTGAAATTTTGGCTGGTATTGTACACAGGCTTTCAAACCAGTCTATATGTTTGAGTACGTTTCAAAGCACAATTCAAAGTGTGCTTCAAAGATCAAGCCCTAAAAGGCCTCGGTCCTGCATACTGAAGGAGTGTCTCCATCCCCATCGTTCTGCCCGGACACTGAGGTCCAGCGCTGAGGGCCTTCTGGTGGTTCCCTCGCTGCGAGCAGCAAAGCTACAGGGAACCAGGCAGAGGGCCTTCTCGGTAGTGGCGCCCGCCCTGTGGAACACCCTCCCACCAGACGTCAAAGAGTAAAACAACTACCAGACTTTTAGAAGACATCTGAAGGCAGCCCTGTTTAGGGAAGCTTTTAATGTTTAACAGACTATTGTATTTTAATATTCTGTTGGAAGCAGCCCAGAGTGGCTGGGGAAACCCAGCCAGATGGGTGGGTTGTTGTTGTTGTTGTTGTTGTTGTTGTTGTTGTTGTTGTTATACGGCCATTTATGGAGGAGAAGGCCATAGAAAGGAGGAGAAAGCCATCGATGGCTACTAGCAGCACACAGTGTAGTTAAACTGGGGAACTACCTCCCACAGGAGGCTAGGATGGTCATCAACCTAGATGCCTTTGGGAAAAGGTTGGGCAAATTCATGGAGGAGGAGAGGGCTGCTACTGCTTGGCCACGATGGCTCTGCTCTGCCTCCACAGGTGGAGGCAGCAATACTTGTGAATACCAGTTGCCAGGAACCACAGGAGGGGAGAGGGCTCTTGTGCTCTGCTCCTGCTCGCAGGCTTCCCAGAAAATAGACATCTAGTTGGCCACTGTGAGAAGAGGATGCTGGAACAAGGCAGGGGGTTGGACTAGATGACCGCCGGGATACCTTCAAATGCCACAATTCTATGTTTCAAGGATTCCATGACCAGGTGGGCCACTGGCCTGATGAAGCAGGCCTCTTCTTTGGTTCTTCTTTGTTTCAAAGCCTGATTCCCAGTGCTACTTTGATCTACAGTCGTACCTTGGTTCTCGAACGGCTTAGTTGTCGAACAAATCAGCTCCCAAACGCCGCAAACCCAGAAGTCAGTGTTCTGGTTTGGGAACGTTTTTTGGAAGCCAAATGTCCAACGCAGCTTCTGATTGAGTGCAGGAAGCTCCTGCAGCCAAGTGGAAGCTGCGCCTTGGTTTTCGAACAGTTTCGGGAGTCGAACAGACTCCCAGAATGGATGAAGTTCGATAACCAAGGTATATGGCCAGGGGAGGGAATAATAATAATAATTTATTATTTATACCCTGCCCATCTGTCTGGGTTTCCCCAGCCACTCTGGGCGGCTTCCAACAAAACACTAAAATACAATAACCTATTAAACATTAAAAGCATCCCCAAACAGGGCTGCCTTCAGATGTCTTCTAAAAGTCTGGTAGTTGTTTTTCTCTTTGACATCTGGTGGGAGGGCGTTCCACAGGGCGGGTGCCACTACCGAGAAGGCCCTCTGCTTATTTTCCTGTAAATTGGCTTCTCGGTGCTGGACCTCAGTGTCCGGGCAGAACGATGGGGGTGGAGACGCTCCTTCAGGTATACTGGGCTGAGGCCATTTAGGCTTTTAAAGGTCAAGACCAAGTACTTTCCAGCCAGAGGGCCACATTCCTTTGTGCTTGAACTCCCAGGGGCCACACGTCAGTGGTGGGCAGGGCCAGAGATGAAAGTGGGTGGAGCTATGGATGCAAATTCCCCCCTTTCCCCCTTTCTCAATGTGGAAGGAAACAAGATTCCTTCCCCTCCTCTCTGACAGGCTGCCTCCTTATGGGTCCTGCCCAACAATGTCACCATCTCCAGCAAAGCTTCTCCTTCCCCCCCCCTTACAAGCCTCCATCTGCTCCTGCATCACACCCACCCACCCCATTTGCATTCCAAGGCATGGGCCCAATCCAGTTTGTCCCCGCCATATGCCTCTGTTGATCATTTATCCTGTGCTATTTCCGATTGCCTCATTCGTTGACCTTTCCTTCTTCCCGCACGCAAATCTTCCTCGTCACCTGCTCCTCCGCACCCCACCCCCCCAGGAAGACGCAGGAGAGGAGAACGAGAGACGTCACCCTGCATCCCGGAAGCTGGCTGGGGGGTCATTGGCATAGCGTGGGTTGTGGCCCCGGGTGCAAATTTCGCAGGGAGGAGCAACTAGGTGCCCCCCCGACAGGCTCCCTCATCGAGGCCAGAGCCACGGGGAGGCAAGCCATGCCCAAGCCAGGCGGGGGAAGCGCCTCCTTCTCCTTGTCGCCATTGAAAAGAGGCCCAAACATGGCCGCCCCTGGGTCAGCTGAGAGGGAGGATGGGGAGGGGGAGGGCGGCGCCAGTGCCCACCGAGGAAGAAGGGAGGAAGAGAAAGGTGGGAAAGCACTGCTGGAGCCATTTGCATTGTCCAGAGCGCCTTGAGGCAAGGACAGGAGGGCGAGTTGACACAGCTTCTTTATACGGGCTCCCAGGGTGGGGTTAGTGTGCAAGGAGATACAACCCTTCATTAGATTCTGGCCAGCAAAGGGACTGACCGCTGATCGGTTCACCAGGGCAGCACAACACTTGCCCCGCCCCGGGCACCAGCCACCCACGCTACGCCACTGCCTGGGGTGAGAGACGCTGCCTCTACAGTGGCAGGTTCCTTGCAGCCACCTGGAGATTCAGGCTGAACCGTTCAATGCCAGCTTACGGCTTCTGTTGCGAACTGCAAATTACAGCTTAACATGTACAGCGGTACCTCGGTTTACAAACAGCCCTGTTAACAAACTATTCGGTTTATGAACTCCACAAAACCGGAAGTAGGTGTTCCGGTTAGCAAACTTTACCTTGGTCTATGAACAGAAGCCGAACAGTGGAAGGGCATCAGCCAACGGCAGGAGGCCTCATGAGGGGAAAACACGCCTCAGTTTAAGAACAGATTTGGTTTAAGAATGGGCTTCTGGAATGGATTAAGTCCGTAAACCGAGGTAGCACTGTACAGTTGTACCTCAGTTTTCGAATGTAATCTGTTCTGGAAGACCATCCGAGTTCCGAAACGTTTGAAAACCAAAAACTCAGTACGGAAGCATCAATACAAAAAGCTCAATACAGAAGCCATGTGGCATGTTGGACTTCCGAGGCAAGTTTGAAAACCAAAGCATTTACTTCCGGGGTTATGGCGTTTGAAAACTGAATTGTTCACCAATGGAGACATTCAAAAACCGAGGTACCACTGTATATTGCTGCAAAACAGCCTTGGCCAAGCTGGCGCCCTCCAGATGTGGTTGGACTGCAGGTCCCATCAGCCCCAGACAGCACTTGCAGGGCCAGAGGCAAAAGGGGTGGAGCATTTATTTCCCCTTTAGCGCACACCCTTCTCTATCATCCATCCATCCAGGCAAGCAAGCAAGAGGCTTCGTCAGAGTTCAAGGACCCATCCCAGCCTGACAAAAGCATGTGGGGTGTGAAGAAGAGGCAGGGAGGGGCGTGGCCTGAGAGAGAGTTCCGAGGGCCACATTTGGCCCCCCGGCATGAGGCTTTCAAATAATAAGAAGATAATGAGAAGAAAATCATCACCATCAGACTTTCTAGATAGTGGCCCATTTGGTGCCTCCTCCCACAAGGCTTGAAGACAATCGTCCTCTCCCACAGTTTACCCATGGGTGGTAGACTGCCTCTGAACATGGAGGTTTCATTCCTAGCCATCAAGATCAACAAAAACCCAAGAGCTCTCCGACAGATCTACCTGGTCCAGTTTCCAGCTCCACTCAGGTGTCACTGAGAAGCCCACTGTCAATGCACGAAGGCAAACTAAGACTTCCTGTTTTAAATAAATAGGTAGGCTTCCGGGGTGGCGCCTCCGAAAAATGGCGGAATTCCCTTCGAACTGAAGGGAACCCGCTGCACGGAGGCTTGGGTCCTGCCGCTACGGCGCAGCGGGGACCCTTAAAACCACAGGCGGAAGAAGCCTGTGGGCGTGGGACTCGGCGGGCACCGAGAGCGCTCTCTCCCTTGTAGCAGGAGCCCGGTAACGGGCTCCGGAGTGGGAGGTGCGTGGTGCTGTGAGTCGTCTGCTTCCTCCGTGCAGCAAAGCCGCACTGCCGTTTTCGGAGAGCGCTGCCTTTTCCTGGACAATTTGGCATCTAAAACATCTATCCGTGAGTACCCGATCCTGGAAGAGCTGAACTACTTTTAAGATTGGTGAATAAATAAATAACATTGGACTTGAACTTGAAATTGAATTTAATTGGGACTCGGAACGGAAAGGTCTAAACAGGAAGTCGCCTTCCGTTCTTTTGTTACGTGAAGAAAGCAAAGACAAATTATACTAAAGCCTGGAAACTAAATTCTGAGAGAACTAAAATTCAACATCTAAGATTTCTGAACCCCCCCTTCGATTGCAGGAGAAGAAGGGGGTTGTTTTGATCTTTTCAACCCTGCGGGAGTGAGTTTAAAATAAAGTAATTTTCCACCGCCCTGAACCAGGAGCGGGCTGTCAGAACTGACGTTTTGAAGCTTATCCAGCTCGACAGATAGTTAAAAGAAGGGTAACATTTTGATTCTACTGTTGCCTCTTGAATTTGAAAGGGGAATTTTGGATAAAGAGTTTCTGGAAAAAGAAAGATTGTTACTGTTGTTTTTCCCCCTCTTAAAAAAAAAAAAAAGGGTTTTCCATCTAGTGGAACTGAGTGAAATTGCAATGCAGAGAGTTTAAAAGAGAAGGATCATTCTCGTGGGAAAGAATTTTTTCTGACCTTGAAGGACAATGCTTGTACAAAGGCTTGAACAAGTGTTCCTGGAAGGTTTTGCAAAATTAAGTGCCCAGCTGGACCAGATGCGTCAGGAGTCGACCTTGATGAGGACGGAAGTTACCAGAGCACAGCAGCAAACAAATGAAATTCAGTTAAAGTCTATACAAGTATATGAACCTGCTGTAGCGACGGAGGCTTCAGAGATGGAGGGACTTATGGATGGGCAAGATCAGCCTTTGAACTTGATAAATGAACTTGGGACAAACCTGATTCGGAAAGATGAAATGTGGTCAGATTTGGAAATGGGGGGATGGATTGACACCCCTCTATATGGTTATTTGGACTTTCCGAGTCTAGTGATGGGCCATCAGAGGAATGGAGTATTCGAAGTCTCCAAGTTTCGTGGAAATTGGAAGTGGTATTATCTGCTGTCTGGCTTGGGCAATGGGTTTGGGATGGACTTGCTGCAAAGAGTCAAAAGCATTTTCTTGCTGGAGTATCCACGACTGAAAGGGAAATATCAACAAGAGTGGCGAAAGGGGCAAGAAAGAGACTTGAGGGCTTCGGATATGAGACAACCAGGTTAAGGAGCCGGATTATTGAGGTTAAAAGGACTGACAATCCCGGGTCCAGGGGAGGGGAGGCTGGAAGTTGACTGGATTGAATCTGACTTATTGTTTTTGCTTTCTTATTTTCTAATATTGGGAATGTTTATAAATGTTTGAAGGATGTTGAATGAAATTATATGACTTAAGTAAGGATTGGTAAATGATTTGAAAAAGGTAATGTTGTTAGAATTTTCTAAATATTGAATATAAGGTTTGTGTTTTAAAGTTTTTATATGACAAGAGGGAAAATAGAATAAGGAAACGCAATGATAGATTGTTATGAAAAACAGAAAGGATTTGCTGTAAAAATTAAATACTAAGAAACAAGAGACGGAAGGAGGAGGAAGTCTAGAAAGGAAGTTAATGGAGATCGTAAAGGATTTTATATTTCTGTTTATCTGTCTTTCTTTTTTTCTTTTTGCGGCTGGTTTTTTTTCTTCTTTACTATTTCTGTATTATTTTTGTTTTATTTGTATTTTCAAATTTTTTTGGAAATGTTTGTGGTTATTTGTTACTTTTTGAAAATTTAATAAATATCAATTAAAAAAAAAAAAAATTAAATAAATAGGTAGGCAATGAGTCTTCCAAACCCCTGCTAGGAAATTGGAGGCTGTGGGTGTCAAGCCTTAGAAAGGCTACCCAGAGATTTCTTAGATTTCTCTCTCTCTCCATTGTGACTCTGTAAACGAGGGACCATCATTTTAAGAAAGGAAAGGTAAAGTCGAGGCTTTTGAAGTTACGTTCTCAGGCTGAAGCTGTAGGAAAAGAATTAATCCTGCTCTGAAAATGGGCATGAATAAAAGGGCAGTGTACCAGATCTTTGGCAACTGACAACATAGTTATTACCTTATTATACGGGGGACCTACAACCAAAGGTTGTGTTGGGTGTGTGTATTCCTGATCAGGGTTCTTACCAGTCAGCCATGCCATGTCTATTTATTATTTCTATATTTAGAGCATTTGTGGCCCTTTTTTCAGCCCAAAAGGCTGCCAGAGATGCTTACAGGAAACCAAAATAAGGCACTTTCTACCCGCAGGAGTGGGGCGTGGGGGGTTCCTGGGCCTTGCTGCATTGCCTGCAAGTGCAGGGGGGAGCCTAGCTGGCCGACGCAGCCCTTGGCAGGTGCATCCCCCTAATACTGGCCCCCTAATACTGGCCAGGTGTGAGGGGGGTTGGGGCCACAGCAGCAAGGCCGGCTGGGCTCAAGAACCCAGGGACCCCCTGCGGCAGGCAGGGCAGGATGGGGATCCCTGCATAGGAGTTCCTGGCTTGTGCCCCCTCAAAATCCTGCCCCTGGGGCAACGGCCTTCCTGCCCCCTCCCCATGCTGCGCTCCTGTGCCACACCACCTGCCTCACACCTCTTTTGCCTGCGCTGCATACCCACAAAGCACCGGCAGAGACACCAACTTCTGGTGAGATTTTGTGAGATCTTGCTGAGGTCTTGTGAGACCTCATGTGCTCCGTGAGATCTCACAAGGCTTCAGTGAGATCTTGCTAGAAACCAATGCTGGTGGCAGAGTTGGCGGGGCGGGTGGCAGAGGCAAGGCGGGTGTTGCATCTTGGCTTCCGCCAGTTCAGGTGAGCATCTTACCTTACCTCATCAGTGGACCAGGCCTGGTACTATTATTAATAATGGGATTTCTATGAGAACTTTCATCTAATATAGAGTGGTTTAACAATTACGGTAATCCCTCTTCTCAATTAACTCTGGGAAATAGTAGCTATGTAAAGGGAGATTGGGGCCTCCTAACAACTCTCAGCACCCTTAAGAAACTACAGCTCCCATGATTCTTTGGGGGAAGCCACGGCTGTTTAAACTGGCATCCTAGTTCTCTAAATGTATGCTGTGCATGTGGCCAGGAAGGGACACGCTGTGGGCAAGTGGAGATTCGTATCACTCCTTGCATGTAGAAAGCTAGCATGTCTGGGAGAAGGATTCAGAATTAACCTTGTGCCTGGCATAGCTGTTTCTCTGCGTGCACGACGACGCATTTGGACATTGAAACTCCAGACTCATGTCATACATTTAAAGCACTGCGACGCCTCTTTCAATACAAATGGCTTCCCTCAAAGAATGGTTCAAAGTTGTTGAGGCTTGTTTGGAAGCCTGTTCCTCTTCCAGAGCTACAATTTCCAGAGTCCCGTATGAAGAGGTGGAAAACTATGGATCTGGTCTGGCTCCCACAGGAGATGGAGATGGCAGACAATGGGCCATCCTCTGCTGCCCCCTCCAGGCAGAGCCGTCCTCTGCAGGCCTGAGCAGGCGAGGGAGACCTACCTGTAAGGTGTTTACTGGGAACGCCGTGATTGGGGGAAAGTCCATGATCTGCAGGTCGTGGACGTGGCCGTTCATGACCACAGCGGGCAGGTAGACGCGTCGGGTCTTGGTGGGGACACAGACCTCGCTGAACTCGTTGTAGAGGAACTGGCGGACAATGGCGCTCTTCCCGACCCCTTGAGCTCCCAGCACTGCCACCTTGAACGTTGTCACCATGCCTCCCGGCCGCGGTGGCCCTCCTGCGCGACGTGGCGATCGGCTCCTCAGCGCAGTCCGCTGCCTTTGCGCTGCCAGGAAGGCCCCCGGGCTGCATATTCCGGCAGCTGCGATGTCAGCCACAGTCAGCAACCATGTCCTCTCCGGCTTGGCCCGTCACTGGAAGACCAGGAGAAACCACATCAGGAGGAGGAACAGGAGACAAGGGAACGCAGGGCCAGACCAGGAGTCTGCCAGGTCCTGCACTAGCTCTCTCTCCCCCTCATTGTGTGCCTTTAGATATAGGACAATGGGAGGTATACTGCCCCTACACATGGAGGTTCTATATCCCACCTTTTCGCCCAAGGAGCTCAAGATGGTGTACAGGGTTCTTCTCCCCATCCTCATTTAATTTCCTTTTAGAAGTGTATGGGATGTTTTTTAATGTATTTATCTTTCCTCTTGGTTTAATGTATCTGTGTGAGGTTTACTGTCCATTCAGTTGGTTGTAAGCTCCTTTGGGCTGCCCTGGGCAGGATAAGGTGACTGACAGACAGTGCTTTTTTTTCTAAAAAAAATATTTAGGGGTACTCTCATTTTCCTACTCATATTGAAATACTGCCCCTCGATGAGGCCAAACATAGATTCACAAAATGTTTAGGGGTATGTGTACCCTGCGTCCCCCCAGAAATAAAGCACTGCTGAGATATATATACCCATATAATCCTGCTCACATGCTGAGATCTAGGAACACAGAAAGGTGCCTTATTAGGCTTGCCATATTTCAAAAAGTAAATATAAGGACACCCTGAAAGCTGTTGAACCCCCAAAATGTGATTTTTCGATTTACTTGCTGAAGATTCAGGACAAACTGCTGCCTTCCAGAAATCCACCTCCCCCGGATGTCACTTCCGACTTTGAAATCCTGGTAACGTCCAGGAAATCCTGGATCTGTGGCAGACTTATACTGAATCAGACTGTTACTCCATCTAGCTCAGTATTTTCTGCAGTGACTGACAGAAGATCTCCACGGTCCCAGACAGAGGTTGCTTTCATCCCTACCTGGATAAGCTGGGAATTGAACCGAGGATTTTCCGCATGCAAAGCAGATCCCCTAACCACTACGCTACAACTCTCCCCCTCCCCCAGGACGCTTCTTGAATGGTCACTATATAATCAGTTGGGTTGGCTCACACAAAATGCAGGGCCTTATCAGTGATGGCCCCTAAACAACCTTCCAATGGACTTTGCCCCTTCTGCTCCAACATTTAGGCCGGTCTTAGGCTGGCACCAGCACATTTTGCTGCCATGCTGACCAGAGTAGCAGTGGGATCTCACTTCAACATCTTCCACTAGAAGGAAAGGCGCAGGCCAGCCATAACCTTGCTCCGTCTAGTCACCGCCCCTCAGAATCTGCCGCCTGAGGCAACTGTTTTGCTTTGCCTCATAGGAGGGCCGGCCCTGTTAGAAGACCTTCCTCTATGCAGCTGCAGCAAATGCAGGGCTGGCTAAGCTTTCTGGGTCCCAACAGGGGCTCCATGGCAACCTCTTGGGGGCGGGGACTGGATACACGTGGAGGGCATCCCTGAAAAGCAGGCGTGGCAGCCAACCCACAGCCTCACCCGCATCACAGACAAACACCCATCTCACAGGAGTCATAAATAGCTCCCATCTCCCAGAGCAGCTTCTGCTTCTGTTCTGCTGGGGCTATTTTCCCTCTCGTACTCCATCTTCCCCTCCCTTGCATGTCACTTTCTGAGGGCGTTCTGCTCTTAAAAGCAGCTGAAAAAAGCTTGAACAAATAAAATGCATTTCAGCCAGAACAGAAAACCAGGCACTCTATTATGTCCTTTTAAATGTGTTTGTGGGACGGGTTACAGGTAGGCAGCCGTGTTGGTCTGCCATAGTCAAAACAAAATAAAATTATTTCCAGTAGCACCTTAGAGACCAGCTAAGTTTGATATTGGTATGAGCTTTCGTGTGAATGCACACTTCTTCAGATACACTGAAACAGAAGTCACCAGACCCTTATATATAGTGAGAGGGGTATTACTCAGAAGGGTGGTGGGAATGGGTGATTGGCTGATAGGTGTGGTAAACCTGTTGATGACTGTTAATGACTGCAATTGGTCTTATAGGAAAAAGCAAGGGGTGAGATGGCTAAAAATAGCTATATCATATATAATGAGATAAGAATCCAATGTCTCTATTCAGACCAGGTCTCTCCATGGTTTTAAGTTTGGGCTCTGGTCCATGAGGTCACGAAGAGTCGGACACGACTAAACGACTAAACAACAACAATAAGTTGCAATTCAACAACTTCTCTTTCCAGTCTATTTCTGAAATTCTTTTGTAATAAGACAGCTACTCTGAGATCTTGTATAGAATGTCCTGGGAGACTGAAGTGTTCTCCTACTGGTTTCTCTGTCTTGCGATTCCTGATATCAGATTTATGTCCATTTATCCTTTGGCGTAGGGTTTGGCCTGTTTGTCCAATATAGAGAGCTGAAGGGCACTGTTGGCATTTGATGGCATGCACAATGTTAGAAGATGAGCAATTAAATAGTCCTGAGATGGTATGTTTGATGTTGTTGGGGCCAGTAATGGTGTTGTCTGGGTGTATGTGGCAGCAAAGTTGGCATCTGGGTTTACTGCAGGCTCTGGTACCAGTGTCCATGTTAAGTCTGGTTGTTGTATTATTGTGGGTGAGGAGTTGTAGTCGGGTGTGGGTCGGGTGTGTCTGTGTGTATTATTGGTCTGCTTTTGGTTGTGTTCTTGTATTTCGGGTTCTCGTTTTGTAGTTTTATGTTGTGAACCGCCCTGTGACCTTCAGAAGAAGGGTGGTATACAAATTTAGTAATTAAAAAAATTAAAGAGTAGAGGGTCTTCGAGAGCCTGGTACCCCATGGGGAGTGCCGAGACAGGAACCAGCCCGACACCTTCTCAATAACTGAAAGACCTCTCCTTTCCTTACAGAGCCTTTCCGATGCTGAGATTGGCAGAGGCAGGGCCTTTTGGGTAGCTCCTCTGCCCTCAGAGGCTTGGGAGAGAGGGCCTTCTCTGGGGTGGCCCCTAAGCTGTAGAACTCCCTCTCCACAGAGGTGCATCTGTACAGTTTCCTGAGGATTTTGGCCTTGGCCTTTTGCACCTGAGGTGTATATTTTTAGGACCCACCTTATTTCTGTGATTATAAGTTATGCAAAACCCTTTTTAATATTGTGTTTTAACGGCTGTAACGCGCCCTGGGACCTTGGATGAAAGATGGGCAGTGAACAACAACAAACAAACAACACCACAACTGGTCTTGCGTAAGCAATAGGCACATGTCAGCCAGGCAAGAACGCTCAAGATGAGATGCAGCGCCAGGGAGGAAGTACCGAGGGCCAAGCAGAAAGACCTGGAGAGCCGCATTTGGCCTCTGGGTGTGTGGTTCCCCACACCTCCCCTAAATTTTATGGGGCTGCATTATCGGGAGGATGTCCAACCTACCCATGCTTTACGATCGGATTTGTACTTGAGGCCCTGTCCACGTGCAAAGTGACCCAATCGGACAGAGCCTGACTGGAGGTGGCCCCGCATTGGTGGGATGTGGGGAGGTTTTCAGGTGGGCTGCTGACACAGCAGTGCTGTTTTATTCTGCTTATCATCTGTGCTAGGTAGACTATGGTTTTTAAACACACTGACTAATTCTAATGCTTTTGGCATGATTTAAAAGGCTGAAGACCTTTATTTATTTGTTAAATTTCTATAATTAAAGAGGTTTTTGTCTGGCTACTGTCCACTAATGTTTGATGCTTTGTGAGGAGATTCTGAACTACAACTCAGCGACATATGGAGAGCCGAAGGTTCCCCATAGGTCTCCTCAGAAGTGGGATACAAATATATGAAAGCAGAAGTGGGGCACCTGTGCCCCTTCAGATGTGGAAGGACTACAGCTCCCATCATCCCTGACCGTGGGCCATGCTGGTTGGGGCTGATGGAAGTTGCAGTCTAACAGTGTGAGGACTACAGGTTCCCTACCCCCATCTCAAATGAATAAAAGTTTCCTAATCAAACTTTGGAAGAAGCCAAGAAGTGGACACTGCCTCCTTTGGGCCAGCGACCCAATTTCATTGACACCTACCAGGAAGGCAGAAGTAAAATTGGTAACACCTGTGCATCTGCAGGGCAAACTTCACCTGTGGAATAACTGCAGAGGAGCACCAGCAGAGGAAAAGGTGGCAACCCTGCTCCCTCCCTCTTGACTCTGCCACACCTGGCAATGCCTGATATTTATTTCAAAAAATACAAGCCCGGCTGAAGTTCATTAAACTCCTGGTGTTATCACTGCTGCCTCTGTGCTTAATGTAATCTGCTTGTACAGATCTTTCCGATGCAATCAAGTCAGCGACGTGTTAATTTAGGAGGCCGCTGGAATGAACTGCTCTCACCTCCTCTCTATAAATCCATAAAACTCTACAGTTCCAAGAATCTCCCTTTCCACAGGGCTGGGATTTCTGAATGGGTAGCCACTCACTTTCAGTTCCCTTTAACTACTCCCGTCATGCAGTTCAAATATTTCCCACACCCCTCTCTGCCCTTGCCATAGCTCAGAAGTGGGGAACATCTGAGGCACAGCGGATGCCCTTGGACTCCAACTCCCATGAGCCCCAGCCACTATGGCCAATGGTCAGGGATGATGGGAATTGGAGTCTGGAATCTGGAAGGCCACGGGGTCCCCGACCTTGCTATAGGTCAGAGATGGGGAATTGCAGGCCAAATTTGGCCCCCCAGGCCACTCTATCTGGCCCTTGGGACACCTCCTTGCAGGCCAAACCCCTCCCCAGCCACACCCCTTACTAACCCTGCCAAAAAAAACCCTCCCTTAGTGTCCTTGAACTCCAATAATGCCTCTTATCTGTCTGGATAGAGGGCAGGAATTGTGGTGAGTATGTTCTGAAACAAACTGGCTGCAGAAAGGTAAAATTTATTATGGATTTGTGTTTTTATATTGTGAGTTTATGTTGTGAGCACCATGAGACCTGCAGGTATAGGGCGGTATAATAATAATAATAATAATAATAATAATAATAATAAATTTCACATTTGATGCTCCACCTGTTTGTGTCTCTAGCTACACCCATCACTGGCTTTTGGACTCAAGAAGGTGGGCCTTGGGCCTGATCCAGCTGCCAGGTCCTTCCTACCTTCTTATGAGAGCATTCCCTCCAACATGTTGCAGAGGAAAATCATAACATTCCTTCCAGGGCCACACTCCCCAAAATGGGTGATTTTGAGGGCCACACTTTCATGGGAGCCAGGTGACTGGCGAGAGAGCATGCCCCCCCCCAATGGGCGCCTATTGGAGCCACCCTATCGCAGGAGCCAAAATGAGACATCCTGGGATCCAGTCAGAAGCCGGGGATGCATCTGTAATTCTAGGATGAGTGGAACACTTGAAGGGAAAGTGAGAGAGAGAAAATCAGTGGCAGGCAGTGTCCTAGATGGGCCAATGGGCCAACGCAGTATAAGGCAGCCTCTGTGGTGCCCTCTAGATGTTCTGAACTACGACTCCCATCGGGAGCCAATGGGAGTCGTAGTCCAAAACATTTTGGAGGTCAACAGGGAAGCAAAGGCCAGTTTAGACTCCAAGCTGCTCAGGGCACAAACCTGTCCCCTTGGACTTTTGAAATGCTGCATGTGTTGATTACAAGTGTGCAATTGATTGATTGATCGATCGATCGATCGATCGATCGACCGACCAACCGACCAACCAACCAACCAACCAACCAACCAACCGACATATCTGATGTGAGAAGAGCACCGCACCCCATAGTCAAGTTTGACTGGACTTAACCGTCCAAGGCTCCTTTACCTAAATATACATATATGTGGACATGTTGACATTTTCTTCTAGTCTGCAAACATAAATGGAATTTCCTTCTGCCAAAGAATCCAGGTCACACTGGACTGCCCCCCTCCCCTTCCTCTGTTTGAAGGGTCACTTGCTCTGAGTCCAGTTTAAAGAGAAAGAACCCTAAGGAGGGAGAAGCGCCAAGGGTGGGGGTTGGTGGTGCAGAGGCTTTCATTTTCCCACCCACAGTGAGCCCCTATACCACAAAGCGAGGAGGCACCTGCAGGCCACCTGCCCACAGCCTTCCCCACCAGAGTGAGAAGGCTTGTGTTCCTATTCAAATCACAGCCCTGCTTTCTAATTTTGCATCTATGCATATAAATCAGCACATGCAAATCTTATGTAAACCTGTGTCCTCCTTTCCCCCTCTTTTCCAAGGGATGAATGACCTCTTTTTTTTCTTTTGACAAAAGCTAAACTCTGGCAAAGCTAACTCTGGCTTTGCATTGGGGTTTTTTGGACAACCCAGCAGCAGATCTCCCAAAATACCTTCGGTGCTCCTTGCACCCCCTCCAACTTTTAAAGTCTGCATTGACTCTCCGCTGCCAAGGCGGCTGGTATCTGGCATCCTAGCAGAAGCCTTATGCCCAGGGGGAACTCAAAGATTCCAAGGGCACCTGGGGTTCTGCCAGACTCCACCAAACTCCCACCGTAACAGGAGAATAAGCACGTATCTCAAGGGAAGAGGGAAGGCCCACCTGGCAGATCCAGGGGTGGGGGATATTTTTGGAAGTTTATGGGAAGATGGCGAGCATCTGGAAAGAAGAGATACCTCGGCCCAAGCTAAGACCAGCCCCACTGGATCAAAAAGAAGGTCCAGATTTCTGAGCATCCTGTTGCTCACAGTGACCAATCAGAGGTTTGCTGGGAGCCCATAAAACAGGGTGCAAAGGCAAGAGGCCTTCTTTGTTGTCTGTCACCCGGCAGCTGGGAACCAGAGGCAGATTGCAGCCTGTCTCTGGATACCAGCAATCAAAGCAAACAGGTGTGGGTGGTAGGCCTATCCTTCCCTATGAATTTGTCTCGGTCCCTTTCCAAGCAACTTTTGTTGTCATCCCGCTTGCTGCCACCATCACTACTACACTGTTTTGACATTTGTATAAACCACTTTGGGGGGAGGGGTTGTCTACCCACTTAAGAATATAACAAGAGCCAACGACCCACCTGGTACAGTATCCTGTTCTCACAGTGGCCAATCAGATGCCTCTGCTGGGAAACCCACAAGCAGGATTCGAGCAGGAGAGAACTCTCCCCTCCTGCAACTTCTAGCCACTGATACAGTGGTACCTTGGGTTAAGAACTTAATTCGTTCCGGAGGTCCGTTCTTAACCTGAAACTGTTCTTAACCTGAGGTACCACTTTAGCTAATGGGGCCTCCCGCTGCTGCCACACGATTTCTGTTCTCATCCTGAGGTAAAGTTCTTAACCTGAGGTACTACTTCTGTGTTAGCAGAGTCTGCAACCTGAAGCGTCTGTAACCTGAAGCGTCTGTAACCTGAGGTACCACTGTACTCAGAAACGTTACTGCCTCCCAAAGTGGTGCAGAAACAGTTAATGAAAATAAACAGAATGCATCTATATAAGCTGCAGGCCCTCACCGCAGCTCCTGATGACAAATTCCACAGAGCAATTGTGTGCTGCTGAATAAGTTATTTCATCCTGAGTCTGCAGCCAGCCAAGTTGCAGCTGGATGGAGGGACGGAGGAAAAGTCTGTTCTCCCTCCTCAATCTCTCTCACACCATGCATACTTTTAGAAACCTCTGTGGTGTGCCCCTTAATCCTCCTTTCCCTCTTAAACTCAAAAGCTTGACTGCCTTTTGCTCATAACATGAGGAGATAAGAGCCTACCTGCAGGATCAGGCCTGTGGCCCCTCTAGGCCAGCATTCTGTTCTCACACTTGCCAATCAAGACACCTCTGGAAAATCAGCAAGCCGGGCCTGAGCACAAGAGCAGCCCTGTCCCCTGCTGCAGTTTCCAGATGCCTAATATTTCCAGTGTTTAGGGTCTCTAAAGGACTTGATTGCACCCTGGGTTTATGAACTGCATTCTGGACTCTGGAGTGAGCTGCTTTGGAGTTAGTCAGTCTCTCCACATCGAGAACCTGGACCCGAAAGTCGGCTCCAGTGTGTGTTTGTGTGTGTGTGTGTGTGTGTGTGTAGAACAGCCCCAATGTTTGGGAGGCCCACACCTGCATGCCAGAGAACAGCCTGTCCGCTAGGTGTGTATATGCAGGAATGACAAGACAAGCAGCCCATCCATGCTCAGCCCGAAGCACATGGATCCTCACAAACGGAGGCTGCCACATTTTGTCAGCTGATCTGTGGCAGCAGTGTGTGAAGGCAGCATGCGCGGCCTGGTAAACAGATACACAGAGACACACACACACATAGACTGAAAGTGCATGATGTGCAGAGCATTGTGAAGTTGAGGGTGAGGAGGAGGAATTATGCTTTTAAATGTACATCCCTGGTTTGCCCGGAAAACATTTCTTTGCTGTTTTTGGCTTGCCTAAATAAAAATGTTTTTTGCAGGCACCAAAGGGAGTGCAGGAAAAGCCCCTGTCTGATGTCAACAGGCAGGCAGTTCCAAAATGTGGGTGCTGCCACACTAACAGGTCGATTTCTTATAAGTGCAGAGCAGGTCATAATCATAGAATCATAGAATTGGAAGGGACCACGTGGGTCAACTAGTCCAACCCTCTGCAATGCAGGAATCTTTTCCCCAACGCTGGACTTGAACTCACGACCCTGAGATTAAGAATTGCATGCTCTACCGACTGAGCTATCCCAGACTGGAGAGAGGGTGCTGCTGCTCTTGAGCCCTGGTTGTGGGCTTCCCAAAGGAGGCATCTTGTTGGCCACTGTGAGAACAGGGTGCTAGGCTCCATGGGCCCACATGGGGTTGATCCAGGCTCTTGGGGTGCCCTTACGTTGAGAGACTTGTCTCAAACCCCAGAGTGTTTGAGAGTGCAGGAATTTAAAGAGCTAATGGAGCAGCGCTCTGACTCGGTATAAGGGTTCAGAACAGCACTTACATAGGAGACTGCCTTGTATCTGCACATTGGACCAAGCAGCTCAATATTGTCTACACTGACTGGCAGCCGCTCCCCAGGATTTCAGACAGGAGTCCCACTCAGCCCTACCTAGAGATGTCTGGGATGCTTGCAAACCAGGTGCTATGGCCCTCCCTGTCACATAGGTGCCAAGGGCCCAAAGTTGTTCTTTTGGGGGGGGGCAAACTGAATGCACCTGACAATCTCAGACAGACCCTCACCCCGAAGAGCAAACTCATCTACATGTGTGTTATTGTGGTAGCAAATTATACCCCCCCACAACATCTCGGCCCCAACGTGTGGGTGGTGAATGCCCACCCACACGCCCCTCCATGCACAGTGCACCGAGCATATTGTCCACACGCAAGCTACCATGTGGCCCATCACACCATACGTGGGGGGGGTGCGTGTTTGTCGGGGGTGCCACTCTGGCAACCCAGGAAGGGAATTCAAGATGTGCCATATGCCGGCTCAAGAGGTCGGGGAGACTCAGCAGGCCTCATGTGATAACCTGCTTGCGGTTTAAGGGCTGGGCTGGCGAGCATCACAGCGGAATTTAAGGTATGGGGCTTCATGTGTCAGGAGTGAAGGCCTCTTTTGCTTCAAACTGGTCTTCTCTATGCTTGCAGGGAAACTGAGCAGCCCAAAATCCACACAAGACCCACCACTTGACTTCCACACGGACCCCTTCTGTGATGCCAGAGTAACTGTACCACTACGCTACAGCTGGGGGCACAAGACCCCCTTTGAAGAAAGTGGTGGTTTTGGAGAAAGCAGGGAGGTGCAACATCTGTGGAAACAGGTATGAGTTTCCTTGGCTGAACAGGTAGCCACAGTCACGGGACTTTCAAATGCACACCCGCTTTGGCTTCTGGGGAGGGGCCCCAAAACTAGGTCCTTGGCCCTAAATCTCCCCCACCCCACCAATCCTGATGAGAGAGTAATAACAATCCCTACCCATCAACTCCTTCCAGGTGCACGGTTTTAACTTTGAGCATCAGCTAGAATCCTCCCACCCGTCACTGCTGCGCTGAGTCCAGAGGACAGGTGCATCTGGTGCATCTCACCTGTGCAGCGCCCTTTGCTCCACCTCCCGATAGATGGGCGCCCCTCGGGAAGGGGGAGCCCTCCTCCTCCCCCTCGCCGCCTTCCTCCCACCCACCCCAACCCCAAAGCCCACCCTTTACCTTGCAGAGATGACGAGGAGGCCAAGGACGCTCGCCCCCCCAGGCGGTGTCTCCAGTGATGGGTCCCAAATCCTTGAAAAAACGGGGGGTGCCTGCTGGTTGCAGAGAAGGAAAGATATTCCATTCAGTATCCTCACGCAGATCTTGGAAGGTTTTGGAGTTGTTGGGGGAGGGGGCAGCTCGGATCGGTGTATAATATATATATATATTGCAGAGAACTGGGGGGCTGCAGCGCTTACTTGGAGGCAAAAAAAAATAATCTGGTAAAACGAAACCTGCGATGGTAAAGGGAAGGAGGCTGGTTCTACAGTTGAAACAATTTCTCTCTCATCTGATCTGGGGGTTTTTTAAATTTTCCTCCCCCCCTCCAACAAAAATGAGAAATAGATTCTTCTCCTCCCCACCCCCCTTCCTATATTTTCTTGCAATGCAGGGAAGTCAGCTTGGATGGAGAGAACAGCCTCTGTGTGCGTGTATGTGTGAGGCTAGAGAGAAGGGGGGGGGGTGGAAATCTCCTGCTACTGATTGCAGGAGATCCACAGGGTCACAAAGCCTGACATGTTCTGTCTTTAGAGAGAGAGAGGCACACACACAGATAGAAAACAGCTAAAGGCTTCAGTTTCACCCCTGTGAGTTTCTCTTTGGCAGCAGGTGTGGATTGGGGCCATAAAGCTCAGAAGGACGTCGGACCAGCTGTGGGTGCTATAGGGTGCCTATAGGGTCGCTGGATGATGCTGTCGGAAGAGAGCTTTCCATGCATTCCCAGCCATCAGCCGGGTCAGAGGGAGTGTTTCGGCCACAGGGTATTTAGGAAGGTGAGCATAAGAAGATCCTGCCAAGAATCCTGTTCTCATGGTGGCCAACCAGGTGCCCTCTCCCCTTCTATGGTTTCCAGCACCTGGTATTCAGACGCATTGCTCCTTCCGATCCTGGAGGCAGGGCATAGCCATTGTGGCTAGTAGCCAAGGACCTCCCTCTCCTCCACGACTTTGTTTCATCCGCTTTCAAAGCCACCCATCCATGTTGGCAGCCATTACTGCCTCCTGCGGGAGGGAGTTCCACAAATTAACAATGCGCTGCGTGAAGAAGTCCTTTCTTTGATCAGTCCTGAATCTTCAAACATTCAGCTTCCCGGGATGTCCACAAGCTCTAGTGTTGTTAGAGGGGTAGCAAAACTTCTGTATCTGCTTTCGCCAAGCCATGCAAAATTTTATATTCCGTGCATAATTTTATGCATGACCCACCCTTCCTGCTTCCAGGAATTGTGTTACATTTTCTGTCTTTGTTGTGGTTGTTGGTTGTTTTTTTAACTTCCTTACATTTCTGTCCTGCCTTTCATCCATCATGAGGCTTCTGAGAATGTCACCCATCCAGGAATTGCCCTGGCCCAGACCTGCTTCCCTCCAGCATTCAATCCATACCTTCGTTATGCCATTGATTCGGGGGGGGGGGGAGAGAAGCCAATCTATTTAAATGGGCATGTCAGGAGAACAGGTGTGGCACAGTGGACAGAGAAGACCTGGATTCAGATCATTGCCCAGTTAATGAAATTTGCTGCATGTGCTTTTTAAGCCTGTCGCTTTCTAAGCCTGCTCTGTTTTGGGAAGGACTTTTTGCTGAGTGGTAGAGCACTTGACTTGCATGCACAAGGTCCCAGGTTCGAGTCCTGGCATCTCCAAGCAAGGCTGGGAAATATCACCTTGCCTAAAACCCTGGAGAGCTGCCCCCTGTCAGTGCAGCCAATATTGCGCTAGATGGGCCAAGAGACTGATTCAGTAGAAGGCCTGTGAACCTATTTCTATCTGCCCTCTCTTCAGAACCACAGAACTGGAATCCTAGAGTGGTAGAGCATCTGCTTTGCATGCAGAAGGTCTCAGGTTCACCCCCAGGCATCTTCAGGCTAGGGCTGACTCGGGGGATAGGGGAGCTTCCTATCTCCCTGTTTAAATCAGCCCTTCCATGAGGACTGGAACCTTACTTGAGTCTTAGGAGAACGGTCTGTATATGAAGATGATTACTATATTATACTACTTACATGCAAAAATGTATTCTAAGTGGTTTGGAGCTACAAAATCAATACATAATTAAAATACACAATAAACAAATCCATTCGGGCATAAAAACATCCTTAATTAAAATATACAGTAAAACAAACAATTAAAAAGCGTAACATCTGAAGCACCCCCCACTTAAAGCGATAAAATAAAAAGTTAAGTTTTGCTTTCAGAAGCTGGTGGAATGCCAACACTGATGGGGGCTCCTTGATTTCAGCAGGGAGCATATACCACAACCTTGGTGCTACTATTTCCCTGCATTCACTCATTAAAAGCTGCCACTGCAGGTAAATCAGAGGAACGTGGAATTCCACATTATTTCCTGAAAAGGTTTGTGGATTTGCTTCAAAGAAGCCCCCACCCCTTCCTGGTTTAAGTTCAGAATATCTTGAATGCTGAAAGGAAGAAAAAAGCTGGTGCCATTGTTTCTTTTTTTCTGAGTTGCTTAGCAAATTTTTAAAATGAAGTTTGGCCTCTGAGCCTATTTGGATATCACAGCGATGGACTCCTCCTCCTTCCTCAGACCTGGAAGATATTCTTCTTAATTTCATACATAAGAGGCTGATTACGATTACTCACAGGTGGGATGCACTCTGCACATGAGCAGATACTATTACTTCACATATTCAGGACTGAGCTGTGCATTGCAAATTATGCCCCAATGTGGTCTGGCTCATGTGAAACTGTCGTGTCTTTTAGGTAGACTATTTGGTTCTTTAAGAGAAAAGAGAGAGTTTTGGCTGATGAAAATTAAAATTTGGGTGGGGGTGGGGAACCTGATTGCAGTCAGAAATAAGTGTTCTTGGTATTTTAAAGGTTTTTTTGCATTTGTGCATATTTTTTGGCAATGGCGCAATTAATATATTAATTCAAATTTGTATTAATTCAAAAACTTACATTGTGTGGTATGCCTTAATTTCTAAATAAGAGGCAGTGTGTGTGGAGAGAAGAGGCCTAAAAAGACTTTGTTTGTTCTCAGCCCCTTGGACCTATCTGTGACGCTGAAACTACCCATAGTCCTGAAATTCCTGACCTGACTTGCCCTGGGGAATCTGGCACCAGACCTGAATGGGACATCAGCAGAGGTTTCACACAGGAAAAAACCAAACCTGCCCATTCTGAACAAAATTTAAACGAAAGGAATCAAAACTGTGCACATATCAACAAAGCAAAGGTAGAGAATCTTCTACTTTTCTAGTTCTGGTGTTTTAGTGTTTTATCTGTCCTCAACCACCCCACCACCCCCAAAAAAACACAGTTTATTACACTCTGGAATACATTCCACTTGGATCAGACTTGATTAATTTGGTACCTTTCAGTTATTTTGAACCATCATCATCATCTTAATCATTGTGGCTTTAGGTTCTGATACAGTTTAACACTACATTTTATTCTTTGTATTTTGTGGTTTTAGTGTGAATTGTATTTATTGTAAATATATACCAATCAGTCAGATTTCCAGGCAGAGTACCACAATAAAATAGATCCCAACACAAATACATGCCAATACAAAACAGAAACGTGCAATGTAATTTTTATAAATGCGCATCTTTGTTCTGTTGTATTCTACCGTGGGAGGATTTTCTGAAGGGCAGAATGCACACACGCCTGACTTCAAACTTCAGCAATATGGACTAGAAACTTGATTTTTAAAAAGGGTGGGGAGAGATTCTCATGGAGTTGAATTCTTCTCTGAATTCTGCATGCTCCTGTCAACACTCACAGAGAAAACACGCGAGGAGGAAAACTCTTCTTCACAGCAGCTGGGCACCTCAGTGGACTCTGGACGCCGGCAGAATGATCAGGATTCAACAGCAGCAGTAGCAACAAGGCAGAGGCTGAGATCACAAGACGATCTGAGGCGAGGAAGAAAGTGCAGCCAAATCCCTGAGCGGAAGCCTTTAAGGGAGCGAAGACACTTGCTTGTATTCACAAGCAGGAACAAAGCAGAGGGAGACAGGCAGCCACAGGGATTCTTTTGCAACAATACCTGGGAGCCTGGCTTTTATAGCTATAATAATAAAAAGCCCTTCCCTTCCCTGTAGTGGGAGTTTTCATCTCACCAGGGCACGGCATGAAGAGCGGAGGGTGTCAAAGAGGTTCCGGGGCTCAAGGTGCAGAACTGGCCCCCTTTACCCTGGGCTAACCATTTCCAAAGCACGCAGTGTGCCAAACAAAACAGCTTTGGTTCCACAGAACCCACCCACTGTGAGGGGCCTCCCTGCTGCATCTCTACAGGATCCACGGTCTACTCTGTGCTTCCTGCCAATCAGCTTCCATGGGAGGGGGGAGTCATTGCAGTGTGGGGCCGGGTTATTCATTCGCTGCCTAACAAGAAACAAAGCGGGATTTCCAGACTTCAGAGGAGGCTCACCGTTGCTTCCCTGCGCCAGTCTCTGATCTGAGTGCAACCGCCTTCCAAATCATGCCCAACACGCAGCTAATTGCCAGCTCACTGAGGGCAGGAAGTTCTTCCTCTGACACCCTCCTAAAAAACCCCAGAATTCCTGAACGGGGGGGGGGGGGAAGGAATGCAGGGAGCAGAGATCTCAGAACCACCGAAAGCCAGTGGGATTGGGACCCACCCTCCATTTTTTTTTTCTGGTGTAGTGGTTAAGAGCAGTAGACTCATAATCTGGTGAACTGGGTTCGCTTCCCCACTCCTCCACATGCAGCTGCTGGGTGACCTTGGGCCAGTCACACTTCTCTGAAGTCTCTCAGCCTCACTCACCTCACAGAGTGTTTGTTGTGGGGGAGGATGGGAAAGGAGACTGTTAGCCACTTTGAGACTCCTTAGGGTAGTGATAAAGTGGGATATCAAATCCAAACTATTGTTCTTCTTCTTGACCTTCACATCTCTACTTCCTACAAGGGGTAAACCAATTCTGATCCCGCTTAAACTTTTGAGAACTGTCTTGCTGTTTTACATCTCCCCCCTCCCTGTTCTGCAAACACTGGAATTCTGCAAAATGGGTGTGAGGACAGATCTGGATGTCCACATTTCAAAGATGAGAACTGCACTGCAAATATCCACACCATGTTCCATTAGAATATCTTGAACATCAGGCATCACCTTGCAGCACATTTTACAGCTCGCCTGGTCCCCTGCAAATAGGCATGCATGCAGGTGGGACAGGCTGGCGTTTAACTTGCAACGCAGAACGCTACCCATAACATGCATACAAGTTGCCCTTCTAGCCTGACGTTCAAGGGAAATTCCACCTTCGACATTAACGGGATATTTTGATTCTGCTTTCGCCCCCGGTATGCAGGTAGAGCCTGTGCTGGCAATTTTTCATGCTTGAAACATGAAATGTCACACTGCGGAAACGCCTGTCTTTAAATCAGGCCACTGCCATTAGACATGGGCTAATTAGGCAGGGTTCTGGCCGCATTTGCTCCTCAGTCCCCTGCTCTGGCAAGTCTAGGGCCTTGTCCCACCCTCCTCCTGAACAAGCACCACCACCAGGCAGCCAGATCTGTGTAAATGACATTTATTGATGATACAAGGCAAAGCTTCATTCCACCTCCCACCCTCCCGCAGTAAAATGCCTCAGAATGCAGCAATTTTGAGCAAAAACAAAAAGTACCCTCCACCCCACACTTCACAGCATGCAGACAAAAAGAAACACATCAGCAGGCCCAGCAGAGAGACAGAGAGAACAGGGGCGTGGTGCATTTCTGGAAGGTCCCGGGCTTGCACCCGCCATTTTGTTTCCGTCTTCAGCAGTTCCATTTTCCCTGGGCGTGGTGTTGCTGGGCACCACTGAGGCCACAATCACAACATACATTTAAAGTACCTTGATGCCGCTTTGAGCAGCCATGGCTTCCCTCAAAGGATTCTGGGAACCGTAGTATGTTGAGGGTGCTGAGAGTTGTTAGGAGACACCATCCCTCATTCCCCTCAGAACTACAATTCCTGGAGTGGTTTAATAGTCCATCGTCTCGTCACACAGAATTATGGGAGGGGAATAGGGGAGTCCCCCAAAAAACTCACAGTACCCTTAACAAACGGTAGGATTCTTTTGGGGAAGCCACGGCTGTTTAAACTGGCATCGTAATACGCTTTTGAAATCTGAATGTGGCCCAACACTGAGTCGGAAGAGTTACCCAAAAGTTACCCATCTCTCCCTCAAGAATTTCACATCCCCCATTCTTGAAACTGCTATGGAAGTGGTTTTTTGGGATGCACTAAATTCTTGACCTCCTGAAGAAGACAGCAGGGAGGAAAAGTCACTTGGTGTGTGCAATCTCTCCTTTGTTTTTAAAAAAGAGAGTTGGGCCACAGGGTGCTTCAAACTTCGATCCAGAGGGGGCTTCACGCAGCCCCTTTGGGACACCTCAATAAGGCCGAGTAATTGCAGCCTCATGCTCAAAAGAGAGAGTCAAGAGGGGATCAGGCCCAAATGTTTTCCTTGGCCTCCAAGTTCAGACCTTTCACTACTGCAAATTTTTTGGCCCCAAACGACAACATTTCAGAGGCACTGTTGGCCTTCTCAACCCTTAAGATGCTTGAGCTAAGCTCCCCAAATCTCCTGCCCTAAACCGCAACTGCTATGAGATCCCATTTTGTTTCTTGGAGCAGCTCAACACAGGCGAAGCAGCAGCAGCAGCAACCCAAACAGCAACCACATTGACCTTTTTCCCCCCAAGAAAAGGCCTGAAGGGAGATAGTCCACCACAGGCTACAGCCCCCTCTCCATGCTCTGGTGCTCAATAGCACAGCTTGGGCAATCAGAGGAAGGTGGCTAAAGTGAGGTTACTGAGCCCCTGGGGTGGGGCTCCTGTGTAGGGCTGCTGCCCTATGGCTTGCTTGAGGGAGCCCGTTGGACAGCCATCTTGGGGCCTTCAGAGCCTCAGAAAGGAGACCAGCTCCTTGGCTGACGCTTCCCAAAGGGTCACAACACAAGATCCCGGGGAGACAGCAGCCACGAAGCCATCACCGTGAAAATTATTCTTATGGGATTCCTTACATGTCAATGATTCTTGCTAGGGAGAGCTAAGCTCCTGTGTAGCTCTAAGCGGCAGTAAAGGAAGTCGCCTGGCACATTTTTTGCCCTCTAAATGTCCCGTCCCCCCTGACAGGGTCTTTTTTTGTTTTTAAGTGCTGGCAACCAACAGCCTTGTCTGTCCCCCTTGCCCAGCTCGGTTCTGGTGAATAAGCTTTCCTGTCAGCTCCACTGGATTTGACTGGATCCATGTCATGGATTCGGGGGCCAATGAAGCAGCAAGAGGCCAGATGGATCAACCCCTTCCCCCTTTTCCCTCAGTGCTTAATGCCATCCCTTGTTCCTTCTCCTGTTTCTTCTCTTCTTCTCCTTCTTGCAGAAGAAGGAAGGTGCCTCCATCTTCTGCCGAAAGCTAACGGGAGGGTGGGGGTGTGAATTATGCAGGCGCTGCTCCAAAAACTGTACATGCACAGTGGGCCCTTGGATATCGAGGATCTGCTCCCTAAGGTGAAGCGAGGAGGTGGCAGTAGGAAAGAGGGCAAGAAAGGGAGGACCATCTTAACCTTTCCTCAGTAATGGGGCACATTTAAGTTTAGGGTTGGCAAAATGTGCGCTCTCCCTCCCTGGATATTGCTGGACTCCAGCTTCCCACCTTCCCTGACCATCAGCCATCCTGCCTGCAAGGGCTGATAGGAGTCGGAACCCAGCGACACTTTCTGGAGGGGCCACAGACGCCCCACCACCCTCGATAACAGATGCTAGCCAGCAGTTTGAACTGGGTGCCTCTTCGACTGCACCCTACTCGGCCTTGAGGAAGGACTTGGCCCCCTACGTGGAGAGGGCCCCACACTTCCTTAATAATGCCATACATGCGCCGTACCATCAGGAAAGGCAGCCGCATTAAATGCAGCCCCAGAAAGCAGCTTTTGTGAGATGCATGCAGGCGCATACTGGAGCTGGTTCTCTGACCTTTCACAACTCCTGAGGTTCCCTAGAAATGGAGTCTCTTCCCAGCTGTAAGACATTCTTCCCAGCTGTAAGACGCTCATGCTGAAAAGCTCCATGGGTCAGGAAAGACTGCCATGTTTGCAGCAGGCAGGATTTTCAACCAAGGTGGGGAGAGAGCACACTTCAAATTTAAGGGGGGACGATGTGCCAGTTCCTAAAGACCAAATTGACCAATACTCAGTGTTGTTTCTTACAAGGCTGGTCTCTTTCAGATGCCCTTTCCTTCAGCCTCGCCTGCTTGAGACAGCTGGTTTAATTGCAGAAAAATAATAATATCACCATCGTCATCATCATCATCATAAGTACACAAATGTAAAAGAATAAAGTGCGATGTGTATGTTTTTCTCAGGCTGGGCAGAGATGGTGTGTGTGCGTGTGTGTGTCTCTCGAGTGTTTAAAATGAGACTGCATGTTCTGAAGTGTCAACTAGAGGCCTACAGTGGTTCAAGAAAACGCAAAGCGTTGGCACGAGATGGAGAAGCCCCACGGGGAACGGATGAGCGAGACAAGACGTGGCAACGGGACTGGCGGGAAAATGAAATTATATTACAAAAAGAAAAAGAAAAACAACGGGTGGCGCAAAAAAGTGGTTACAAACTCCTCACAGATGCTAAAAGTATCAAATGGGACGACATCCCCCCTACAGTTACCAGCAACGTGGACACTACTCGCTACCTTGGTTTTGCCTCAGCGCGTCGCACCGAGATCTTAGACAACAACACAGAGCTTTTTTTCCCCCTCCCCCCCACGCCAAGAGGGTTCTGGGCCTGCACCGGCAAAAAGGGGGCGGCAGAGTGTCTGGAGTCAGCCCCGTCCCGATTTCCCTGTGCGGTGAGGCCGGCCGTCAGCAGCGGCGGCGCCTTCGACGGGCTTAGTTTTTCAAAATGGCGTCGTAGACCTGGTAGACGTATTGGGAGACTTCGGGAGCTCGGCATTTCAGAGAGAGCTGTGGGAGAAAAGGAGGCATGAGAAGAAGGGAAGGGGGCTGGCTTATTTGAAGGCACCTGGGAGGTGGCGGGGGGGGGAGCACATAAAGTTGCTGAGACAGGTTTCAAAGGCCTTCGTTTTCCTCCCTCCTCATTCCCCAAACTGAGGTTTACAAATTATTGCTGACTCGAGCAAGACCCTGTCAGCCCTTAACACTTCTGCCCCAAGACCTGCTGGCGGCTGGGCCATGCTGGCGGTGTTACTATCAGTATGTAAAACCCTAAACAACTTGGGACCAGTTTGCCTGCAAGATCGCCTTGCCACTCGACAGCTTCTATCTGCGGAACTGGCACTGTTACAGGGGCACATCATATTCGTCCCGCAGTTGTACAAAATGAAATTTTCGGCACCGCAGCACCGAAACTTTGGAACTCTTGACCGACTGGCACCAGCCAGGCGTCTTCGCTGTTCAATTCTCCGCACCTGCTGAAAACATTTCTGTTGAGAAATGCCTCCCCAGACATGCCAAATGTTGATTTTTTTTTTAGTTTAGAACGGGTCTCAATTTTCTTAAATGATCTGAATTGTTCTTTTTAATTGCTTTTACCGATTTTTCTTTTTGTAAACCGCATTGAGGTCTTCTACAATGAACAAATAAATCTGAAGGCAGAAATTTATCGTGCCTTTTCTTCCCCCAGACACAGGGCTGGTCCCACCATTAGGCTGCCTTGGGCGGCAGATGAGAAAGGGAGGACAGTGAGGCTCTGGAGGCCGCACCAGCGTTTGATGCATGTTCTCCCCAATACTCCCAGGCCAGCCCTGCCAGTGGGGGTCTTACCGTGTAGTTGGGGTTCCCTGGCTGAATGCGCAGCTCAGCCAAGATCCAAATCCCATTGGTGAGCTTCAGGGATTGGTACAGCATGTCCTGTCCTTCCACGTTCCTCTTGGCGATGGTGTAGACGTTGTTGTTCTGCAGCTTGCTGGAAACGGTGTCTGGGCGGAAGGGCAAACAAGGAAGAAAAACCTCATTAGATCACACAAAGGATCCAAGCCAGTAATGTGCTTCACCAGGGTGGGGGTGCCACTGTGAATACAAGGGCTAGACTGGCCCCTGACCTCGTCCAGCAGACTCTTCTTCTGTGCATTGCTCCTGACACACTCTCCAGAGGCCGGATGTGTGCATGAGTGGGTGTGCACAGAGGAGAGACATAGAGAGCTCACCCCCAGAAACATTCGAGTGCTGTTCAGTTGCAGTGCCGTCGAGAAACATCCGCACACCGTTGACTAGCCTCACTTCCCCAGAGCTCTGCTTAACGTGCAACTCTCTCATTAACTGCCAGGAAACTCCACATTTCGCGACACAGCATCCTCCCCACAAAATGCTGGCTATGCACGCCTTCTCAGCACGGGAGCTGGGCTTCCCCAGGTGCAGAATGTGGAAGGCACGGCCGGGTGGGCCAGATCAATGCCTCACACCCAGCTAGACTCTGGAATGGCTGGTTGCAGGGGGTCACACAAGGTTCACTCACTCATCTATCTACACACATACACACACACACACACACACACACACACACACACACACACCATGTTCACAATCTGATGGGCTTCCCTGTCTTTGGTTGCTGTGGAAACAGAGACACAACACAAGTGCCTATCCCTTCCCAGGGCTAAAGCCCCCTTCCCTCCATACAACTTTATCCAGGGAAATGACACCCGCACAGCCCACCTAAAAATGCAGCTGCAAAACAGCTGGCGACACAGCAGGCTGCAATCATGGGGCTTTGGGAGCAGGGTGGGAAACTCGCCGAGCCCACCTCATCCTACCCTGCGAGGGGACTAGCGCCTTGCAAAAGCCAACTCCCCAAATCTAAACCAGAATCCTCAGTTTATAGGATGGTGGTGTGGCAAACACTTCCAATTTTGCAAAAAAACACCCCTTACTTTGCAACCAACACACACACAAACACTTATGCAGACTACACTACTGAGACTTCTGAGTTTGGAGAGGCTGGAAGACAGCCTACTACAAAACAGTAAGAGTCGCTTCCAGTGCTCCACCGACTTTTCCCTCTGGCCCTGCACACTGCCACCACGTGGCCCCCGGAAGCCTGCAAATGAGAGAACCTGGACCTTGGGGGTCATCCACCTCTGCTCCAGTAGGAAGGAAAAGCCATTTTAAAGTTCGATATTTTTTTCTCCCCTGGCCAAACCAGAAACAAGAGAGGAGCTTCAAAAAAGAAACGGGTAGGGCGGTCAGGGTCACTTCTCTGCCCTGCTGCTTCACATCTTAATTCCTTTGCCGAACAACTGAAGTTTCCACTGACTGATCTCCACCCATTTAAATGGCTGAGCCTGCCAGCCTTCATAGCAACTGACCTTATGAGGTCACCAGAATTGTGAGTGAGAGGCACGGAAAGGCCTCAAAAAGGATTAGTTTTGGGAATATATATTTTTTTAAAAATAATATCAAGACATGCATTTGAACTTGCCCACTGTCTGAAATGGGCCAAACCGAGAAGGGCAGTTTGAAAAAAGCCGACCACCCCCCGTCCCCTAAAACACTGCAGTTGGTTCGGAGCCTGCGACGCTGGCTTTGCCTCGGCCGTATTTATCATTCCATTTCTTTTACTGATTTCTATGCTCCCTTTCACACAGATGGATCTCGGAATGGTGCAAAGCAACCATGACAAAACAAAATATTTTTAAAAACTATGGATGCTGGAAGAAAACCGCAAGCCAATGTCAGCACTTCTGATGCCCAGGGTGCCAAAGAAAAATATTGTTTAGGCAGGTTCCAGGGAGGGTGATCCAAAATTGGGAGTGCCTGCAAGCTGCGCGGGGCAGTTTCACATCCTGTCCAGCAGCACCTGGCAGAGTCAGCAGCTCGAGTGAAGAACAGCCTGCAGGATCAGGCCAATGGTCCATCTAGCCCAGCATCCTGTTCTCACAGGGGCCAAGCAGATGCCCCAAAGGGAATCTCTCCTGCGGTTTCCACCAACTGGAATCCAGAAGCATCCCTGCCTCTGACTGTGGAGCATTAGCCCTTGCGGCGAGTAGCCATTGAAAAATACTACGAAGGGCGTGCGCTGGGAGATTCGGAGTTCTTCCCTTTCATTCACAGGTAGCAATGCCAGCTCCCGCCGCCGCCCCAACCTCCGCTTCCCGGCACTGTCACGCCAAGGCTGATGTCAGCTTTGGAGGGAACGAGGAAGCGTTGCTAGGCAACGCTGCCCGGCAGTGCCTGACACACAAGGCAAAACGGCTCGGGCCCACGTGACCGGTGGCAGAGGGGCCCCGCTGTCTTCATAAGCAGGCACCTGCTCTGAGTGGTGCTGAGCCCTCGGCAAACAGGGCAGGGGACCAAAGAGTTGCCGATCTGACGCCGGCTCCTTTCTCCGCTGCCCAAATCTGCGCAAACAGCATTAGAGATCCCTCAGGCTCTTTCGCAGGCCTAGAGTGGGTGGGGGGAGTACATGGCCTGGCAAACAGGAAGGTCCATTTGTCTAATGGATTTGTAAGCCGCTTCCCAGACACAGAGCCTGTCAAAGCAGCGTACGAGAAAGCCAATTCCTTAAAGCAACGGGCACCACAAGGCCATACCTTACCAATTCGAGAAAAGGAGTCCAGCCCACTATTTCAAACATGCAATTAATATTCTGTGACTGGCGCCATACTCACTTGGCACATTCAAAGCGCTACGATGGAACTTGAAACAGTCATGTCTTCCCCAGAAGAATTCTGGGAGCTGTAGTTTGTTAAGGATGCTGAGGGTTGTTAGGAGACCTCTGTTCCCCTCCTAGAGCTACAATTCTCAAAGTGGCTGAATGATCAATACCTCCCCACAGGGAACTCTGGGAACTGTAGCTCTGGAAAGGGAATAGGGGTTTCCTAACAGCCTTCAGCAGGGACTCGGGTAGCACTGTGGGTTAAACCACAGAGCCTAGGACTTGCTGATCAGAAGGTCGGCAGTTCGAATCCCCGCAACGGGGTGAGCTCCTGTTGCTCGGTCCCTGCTCCTGCCAACCTAGCAGTTCGAAAGCACGTCAAAGTGCAAGTAGATAAATAGGTACTGCTCTGGTGGGAAGGTAAAAGGCGTTTCCGTGCGCTGCTCTGGTTTGCCAGAAGCGGCTTAGTCATGCTGGCCACATGACCTGGAAGCTGTACGCCGGCTCCCTCGGCCAGTAAAGCGAGATGAGCGCCGCAACCCCAGAGTCAGCCACGACTGGACCTAATGGTCAGGGGTCCCTTTACCTTTTAACAGCCTTCAGCACTCTTAACAAAAACTACAGCTCACAGAAGTCTTAGGGGGAAGCCTTGACTGCTTCTCCTCCACAAATCTGTCCAATCCTCTTTTAAAGCCACCCAAGTGGGTGGCCATCACGGCCTCCTGTGGGAAGGAGTTCCAGAGTTTAACTCTGCGCTCCGTGAAGAAGTCCTTTCTTTTCTCTGTCCCGAGTTCTAGCGTTAGGAAGGGGGGGGGGACTATTCTCTGTCCACTTTTTCCATGCTGGGCATAACATTACAAGCTGCTATTGTGCCACCTCTTCCTTGCCTTTTCTCTAAACCAGGCATGTCCAACAGGTAGGTTGTGATCTACCGGTGGATCACTGGACGTCTGTGGTAGATCAGTGGTAGATCACTGGCTCCCCCAAAGAAGCTGAACAACTGTGGCTCCCCTAGAAAAAGCTCAACACTTTACCTCCTCCCTGAAAAAACTCAACAACTTTGACCCGAACCCCCGAAAAAGCGGGTAGATCACGGCCAGTTTTTAACTCTGTGAGTAGATCGCAATCTCTTGGGAGTTGGCCACCCCTGCTCTAAACCAAAAGGTACCATACGCTGCTCCTTGATAATTTTGGCTCCCTTTCTCTTCCTCAACTCCACCAGATCCTTTTTTCTCGAGGGGAGGTGACCGGCCTCCCACTTCTCCCCACTGTGCCTCTCTGCGCTCCCTCCAGGCATGGAGCCGTGAATGGCCCTTGCCGGATCATGAGCGGGTGCTGATACCCTTCTCAAAGGAGGGCGTTCTGAAGCTTCCAAGAGAACACAATGCGGGGGGGGGGGGAATGAAAACCCCCTCCCCGCCTGCTTCCATCCTCCGCTCTCTCGCAAGCAACGACAGGGCTTTAAATAGAGCCTCTTGCCAGCCCCGGTTGCCGCTCAGTGACGTTACTTTGACATGTGGAAAACGAAACCCCCGGCTGATAGCAGCACAAAGGAGGGCAGCGCTGCCACTGTTTACTTAATTGTAATGTGTATGGCTTTGCTGACATGTTTCAAGAGCTTAGTCATCCGCAGAGGGTGACCTTGTCGTTGCCGAAGGGGGTGGCTCTCGCATGGGGCGGGAGGGGGCAGCCCAGGAACAAGGAAAAAACCAACAACTTGCTATTGATTGCTCGAAACAGCTCCAAAGGCAGGGAAATGGGTGTGTGTGTGTGTGTGTTGAGCATCCATTGACTTCAAGACCCCTCCCAGGCGCCTGCTATTGTGTGACCTTCCTACTTCGGAAACCACAGGCTGCCTTTTGTTCTCCTGCGTGATGATAATTGCGCCTTGGAACATTCTTTATTATTCTCTCTTTTTTATTAAAAAAAAAAATAAGTCAAGGGAAGTGGTTGGGAGGCAGCAGCTGTCAGGAGGAGGGCGTCGACGGAAGCACAAGAATGGGAAAGAGAGGAAAAACCCCAATCCACGGAAAAAGAACATTTTGCCTTCATTATAAGGCAACTGAAGCGATTTAGAAAACTAGCTAACTAACAGGATCTTAATTTTCTTCCTAGCAATGCAAATGGAATAATCTGTAGCACAAATTTTGCCAAGCTGGAAATCTTAGCATGGGTGTGTGATGCATATATACAAAGCTAGATAAATAGATTTTTGTGTACTTGCGTATACTCTCATCCACATTTATATACCGCATACACTGTAATCCCTCGTATTATGCAGGGGTTCAGTTCCAAGGATTACATGTGGCTAGCAGGTGAGTGGGAAGAAATCTCACACGAGAATCCCTAGCCTCCCAGAGCTGGAGCACCAAGCAGGCCTTGCCTAGCTAGCAAAGCCGAGCTTTAAAAAGCTCCTTTTGCACCAGATCTGCTTGGGGTTGCCCTGCCTGAAAACAGCTTTAAGCTCCAGGCCTTGCTTGTTTGGCAAGGCCTGCTCACCTGGTGCAAACAGAGCTTTTCAGCTGTCTTGCTTGGGACTTGAGCAAAAGAGCAGCGACTTTTGGAGCATGGACCGCTCTGATCCTGCTTTGGTAACATGGTCAGTAAACTTTCCGTGCTTCAAAGCTCTCCGCAGCCACCTCCCCAGATCAGGGAGAAGGGAGACCCTGCCTGCCTCTCCCCCACACCCCAGAAAACCGTGGCAGAGAGATGAGGCATCTCTGAGATGAAGCTGTCACTGGGGAAGCAGTAGCATGCAAGAGAATCTGCCAGTCTCCCTCTGCTTGTGGAGAGCCTGAAAAGTGGGTCATGCCTGATAAACATGACTTTGGTTTCTTCTTATCAGTTCTGGCTGGCTTCCCCTATCTCGGAAGCTAATGCCTTGCCCCGTAGCAATTACAGAGGACGGCTTCCCGGCCTGCTCCTCCTCTCCGCTTACTCTGTGCTTTGAGATCAGGCTGCTGAGCTCGCTGGAGACGGAAGTATCTCCAACAAGGGGAAGAGGCAAAGATCAGCGGAGGGCCGTGTTCTTCGCGTGGTTCATTCCCCGGTGCATATCCAAGTAGGGCTGGGAATAACTCTTCCCTGAAGCCCTGGGGAGCAGGTGCCAGTCAATGCAGACAATTGAGTGCAGACTCCATAAAAGGCAGATTAGGGAAGGGATGTAGGTCATGCAGAAAATTCCAGGCCATCTGTGGCTTCTCTGGGTAGGTTAGGAGAGACCCGCACCTGAAACCTTGGAAAGCTGCTGCCAGTCAGTGTAGACAATACAGAACTAAATGAACCAAGGGTCTGACTCTGTATAAGATTGCTTCCTATATTCCTAGTTAAACTAGACCTTTGTACCGAACCATGAAGGATGGAATCCTGCTTTATTTTTAGGATAAGGACAAGGTTAAGGAACAGGCCATACTTTCTATGCAGAAGGTCCCGGGTTCAATCTTGGGCGTCTCCAAATAGGGTTGGGGAAAGACTCGTGTCTGAAACTTTGGAGAGCTGCTGCCAGTGTAGACAGTACTGAGATGGATGGACCAATGGATGGATGGACTTGATATACAGGTGCATTCAATGTGTGCACAACCACGCACACACGTCGAACCCAGAAGTGACCCAAAACGTCACAAAAAGGGATGGAACAGGGCATTTGCAGTCTTTTAAAATGGTGTTTCAGATATACGCAATCTCCCTTAGACGTGTGGTGCCTTGGAACATAACCACCGCATAAATGTGGGGTTCCCTGTAATACATCTTCCTAAGACCTGCCAGCGGTGGCAAAGGGACTGGCTAAGGGAGGCCAGAGTGACTGAGGAGAACCTTCCCTAAAGGAGGCACACCTTGTGGAGGAGCCCACAATGGGAAGCATCCTCGAGGGGGAGACAGGGGAGAGGTTGAGACTGTTCTAGATAGACTGTGCCTGCCACAGGAGGCTCCCTGCCATCACCATTCTCCAAAAACCCATCTGCATGTAGTCAAACCCCCACCATCAACACAGGAGGGAGACAATCAGCCAGCTTAGCAGAACCCGAAGGTTGTGAAACCATTTTTAAAAAACCCTTTAATGAAGCATAAGAACATCAGAAGAGGCTGCTGGATCAGGCCAAGGGACCATCCAGTCCAGCATTCTGTTGTCACAGTGGCCAAAGGGATGCTCCCATGGGAAGCCCAGAGTAGTATAAAATTCAATCGTAGGTAACACTTGAGAATCTGTAGAATTGTTGGAAGGGACCATGAGGGTCATCTAGTCCAACCCCCTGCAATGCAGGAATCTTCTGCTCCATGTAGGGCTTGAACCCACGACCGTGAGATTAAGCGTCTCATACCCGACCCACTGAGTTATCCCTTGTAGCTCTGGGAGGCGAATGGGGGTCTCCTAACAACTCTTTGCACCCTTAACAAACTACAGCTCCCAGATTCCTTTGGGGGGGGAAGCCATGGCTGTTTAAAGTGGTACTATAGTGCATTGAATAAAAACTTAACAAAGATCCCCACATGCAGGACTGTTTATTTTTTTAAAAAAAAATCACTCACCAGCATTCAGGTGGCACTCTTTAATCTGGAACTGGAGCTCGTTTTCATTTGGAATGTCTTTCCATGTCGCGAGGAAAACTTGGCGTTCTGTTAGTGGGTGGGAGAGGAGAAACACAAGAGTCGTTTGAGGCACCTAACATCTCTCCATCCAGACTAGTTTTCCCTCAGTCATTGGGCCATATTTCAGGCAGCGCAGTTTCTGAAACCCAACACCCGGAGGGACAGATGCAAGGAGCAGATGAAAAGCACCCTTAAGCTAGACTACCATAATGTGGGGCTACCACTGAATCATAGAATCTTAGAGTTGGAAGGGACCCAAGGGTCATCTAGTCCAACCCCCAGCAATCCAGGAATCTCAGCTGAAGACTGCTCTGAAGCTACAGTTGCTGTAGAAAGCTGCCGCCAGGGCACTAAGTCACACGTCAATCCAGAGTCATGCTGTTTTCTTTCGCTCTTAATTTAAAAATCCTTAATGGTTCACAAATCACACTGTCAAACACCAACAGAGTAAATTAAAACTATAAAACCATTTTCTAAAACAGCAGCAATCCTATAGATGGTTCTATGATCAAATTTCCCCCGAGTCCTAACTGACAATAACCTCAAGAAAGCATGAGAGGTGTGCCTTTTTACACCCAATGAAACTGGAGTAAAGATTATGACTGACAGGCCTCCAGTGGCAGAGAGTGCCACAGGGAGGGTGCAACAACCGAGAAGGTCCTTGACTGTATCACCACCCTCAGGTCCTACCTCGCAGGAGGCACCCCAAGAAGGCTCCCCTCCAATGATGTCAATGACTGAGCTGCCCATAACTGGAACATGGGTTTTGCCAAGTGTTTAGGCCCTGAGCCATTTAAGGCTTTGGAAGTCAATGACAACGCCTTAAAACGGACTTGGACATGACTAGGCAGCCAATGCAGATCACAGTGAAGAGGCATAATCTGATGCTGAAATGGTGTGTAACTCAGCAACCAGGTGACATCATTCTGCACCTACTGCAGATTCCAAACAGTCTTCAAGGGCTGCCCCACATAGGATGCACGGCAGTAATCCAGGCACGAGGTTATTACAGCTATTATCTCTGACTTCCACCGGCTGCTAATGCATTTCTGGCACTGATTTTTTGCTAGTAGATGTTGATGATGACAACGATAATGATAATGATGATAATAATAATAATAATAATAATAATAATAATAATAATAATAGCAGCAGCAATAATGATAATGATGATGATTCAATTTCTTACCCACCCCTTCACTAGAAGGTCTCAGAATGGGTTATAGCAATTCAAAAATAAAATATTAAGAACAGTTTGAAACAAATTACAGTTACAAGAACAGGGTGTGTCCTAAATCTCTCAAGTGTCACTGGGGCCAGGTAAAGAGGTGCGTCTTCCAAACATTAGTCGTTTGAGTTTATACTCGTGTTTTTGATGATATAGTATCCTGTGCTGCTTTTTAAAAAAACGTGAAATCGCATTGTATTTCTTTGTGATATGCTTAGGATACCGTAAACCGCTTAGGGAGACTTAGCAGACTAAAAATTGCTCAATAAATAAATGTCAATAAATAAACGTCGATCGCATCCTTTTTGGCCTTGAAGGGCACCCTTCCTCTTTACCCGTCCCATCTCCCCTCTGCCACTCTTGTTCCCAGACGGATCTGGATCTGGCGGAAGCAGAAGAGACTGGCCCCCTTCCTCGACATCTCGCTTTCCCCTCCGCCTGAGGTCAAGCGACGGAAGAGGCCCCACTTACCCATTTTGCCATCCTCGACGAAAAGCACGTTGAGGGGAATAAGGCAGCTGAAGTAGAAGACATCAATGTTGTTCTTGACAGCCACCTGCCAGGAAGAGGAAGAAGAAAGAGGGAGAAAGTGATTGGCATCCCGCTTCTCCAATTAAGGGTCACCAAGGGGCGGGGGGAAGAGATGGGGTTTCCTAGGGGGAAAAAACTGAATCAGAAGGTGGTCTAGGAAATGAGAATTCCCCTCATTTTTAGCACTGAGGAACCCCTTTGGTCTTAACGCTGCACCCCCTTTTCCAGTGCTTTTTTCCTGGGGGGACGCAGGGGTACGCATACCCCTAAACATTTTGTGAATCTAAGTTTGGCCTTACTGAGGGGCAGTATTTCAATATGAATAGGAAAATGAGAGTACCCCTAAACATTTTTAAAGAAAAAAAAGCACTGCTCTTTTCACTTAATGTGTCTCTGCATCCTCCACTGCCACTCTGAAATAAATCCTAAACAATCATAGGGCTGTAGAACGGGAAGGGACTCCAGGGGTCATCCAAACCAACCCCCTGCAATGCAGGAATCACAGCTGAAGAATCCCTGACAGATGACCATCCAGCCTCTGTTTAAAAACCTCCAGTGAAGGAGAGCAGTTCAGTTGGGCTTTCTGTTTCCATGGAAAAGGAAATAGCTGGGTGACAAGAGCACCTGCTTGGCATGCAGAAGGGACCAGTCACTAGTGAGTAGTGAGCAGTACTGAACTAAGTACCAGGCCAAAAGTCTGACTCAATACAGTGGTACCTCGGGTTACATACGCTTCAGGTTACAGACTCCACTAACCCAGAAATAGTACCTCGGGTTAAGAACTTTGCTTCAGGATGAGAACAGAAATTGCGCTCCGGAGGCGCGGTGGCAGCAGGAGGCCCCATTAGCTAAAGTGGTGCTTCACAGGTTAAGAACAGTTTCAGGTTAAGCACGGACCTCCGAAATGAATTAAGTACTTAACCCGAGGTACCACTGTACAAGGAAGCTTTCCTGTGCAGCTGCCCTCGGTGCCCGTAGTCAAAGCAATCCTGCCCACCCTCCAGACCCCCTGCCTTGTGGAGGGCAGTGTTGAAGTTCAATTATTGTTTGTGGCCAATGGCCATTACAATATAAACACAAAACACAGGGACAAGCAGTAGGAAACAATGGATAAACTCAACTCTGATGGAGTTACCTATTTGCCTTCCCTGATACGGAAGCAGAAACAAGAAGTCTCATTGCAAAACCGTCCCTAGGCAAAGCCCTGGTATGGGGATATGTTGCCGCTGGAAAGTTTTTGCACGTATCCATCATGGCAGGAGCCGATTGGCAACAATTAACTCTTTGCCTTTGAGTTATTGCAGTTCCGACACATAAGAAAGGGGACTGGAGGGATCCTCAAAAGCACTGCCCAATAAGCTTGCGTGACATCCCTGACAAAATACATGTTGAACATCTTCTAGTTAAATTTGAAAAACTGGGTTCCAGCCATGGCTGGTTTCTGCCAGGGGCGCACAGCAACTGGCCGGTGATTCGCTTTGAACCATTTCATCCTAAAGTACATAAATGCTCTATCCAAACGGCCGCGTTTGTGGATCGATTCTGCTCTGCAGCGAGGCATGGCCAAACCCAAGCGCATCACAGATATGCCACTGTCTTGAGGTTGGGGCTCTCTGGCAACTGCGGCAACAGCTGTAGCCATCAGGGGCCTCAGCTGTCCACTCTTCCTCCTCCCCAGCCCAGCAAGCCAGTCTGCTATTTTGCTCGATGCCGACGGCTCTCAGTAGACAGAAGCGAGATGCCAGAGAAGGAAAGGCGAGCTTCAGTGGCTACCGTCAGTGTCAGGAACACCAGCTATTAGGGAATATAGCCGTGTATATGTTGGGGAGAGATCTGCATCTGAGTGTTGCTGGTGATCACAACCTCTTGCAACCCCCTTACGGTTTCTCTTTCTCAGTGGAGACTAACTGTCCCCCCTCTCTAGGGTGAGGAATAGGTTTTATCCCCATTATGGGAGTGACTCCAAATGAACAGGGAGCTGCCCTCTATTAGAGCATTTTTACACCACGCGTCAGCCAAAAAGGTTCCCAGAGCAGCTTGCATACAATCCTTTAAAGCAAGGCAGCCTCTGCCCATGGCTAATGGCAGGGGATGATGGGAGATGAGAGCCCAGCAACATCCAGAGCAGCGGTTCTCAACCTGTGGGTCCCCAGATGTTGTTGGACTACAACTCCCATCATTCCTGAGCTCTGGACATGCTAGCTAGGGGTGATGGGAGTTGTAGTTCAACAACATCTGGGGACCCACTGGTTGAGAAAGGCTGATCCAGAGGATCACGGCTTCCACACTTTATCGGACTTGGTCAACGCAGCCCTAATGATGCTCTAAACCAGGGTTTCCCAAACTTGGGTCTCCAGCTGTTTTTGGACTATAATTGCCATCATCCCTGACCACTGGTCCTGCCAGCTAGGGATGATGGGAGTTGTAGTCCAAAAACAGCTGGAGACCCGAGTTTGGGAAACCCTGCTCTATACAACTCCCCATTATCCCTACTTCTGGCAGCTCTCTACTGCCAGCTGTGCACTGGTTGGAATACTGTGATGCCCTCTATGTCGGGGCTACTCTTGGTTGGTCCAGGGGCTGCAGCTAGTGCAGAATGTGACAGATAGGCTGTTTGTGGTGGCAAACTCCTGCCGGCATAGGACACTTTGCTTGCAGGATTTGCTCTGGCTGCCTGCCAGTCTGTTACCAGGCCATGCTCAAGGTGTTGGTACTAGAATATAAGGCCTTATACAGCTCAGAACCAAGGTTAGTTGAGCCTTATCCAGGAGGTTCCAGAGATCTTGGAAGCAGTACAGTAGTACCTCGGTTTACATATGCTTCAGGTTACATACGCTTCAGGTTACAGACTCCGCTAACCCAGAAATATTACCTCGGGTTAAGAACTTTGCTTCAGGATGAGAACAGAAATTGTGTGGCAGCAGCAGGAGGCCCCATTAGCTAAAGTGGTGCTTCAGGTTAAGAACAATTTCAGGTTAAGAACAGACCTCCAGAACGAATTAAGTACTTAAACCAAGGTACCACTGTATCTCGGAGCAGGGCCTTCAGTTTGGCTGCCCCTGCTTTGTGGAACAGCATCCCTGTTAAGATACAATAGGCGCCCATTCTGTATTTTCCAGAAATATTTGAAGCCATTTTGGTTCCGATAGGCTTTCCCAGCTGGTTAAAGGCGTCTTTGCTACAAGCCCCCACTTGTTGACATGTTAGTCTTGTTTTAAAAGCGTTGATTGTTTTAAAACTCTTTTTCCTTATGTGTAAATCACCTTGAGGTGGCAGTTTAGAAGGCGATTAATAGATTTTACCATAATAAAAATAAATCGCCTCCCCTCCTGGAGTTTCTCTCTTGGCCCTAAAAACTAGCTCCGGGATTTTGGAATGCTGAATTTCTGCACCAAGTAAAACTGACACGTGCTACTGCCACCCTTTGGAGGAGGGGCGCCAGCCAGAAAGCAGAACGCTCTTGTGAGCTGCACTTGTGTTTTAAGAGCGTGCCAAGTGCCAGGTGGCTCAAGAAGCAGCTAAGCATGTCGAGCGAAGAAAATGTTCCAAATTCGAACATTCCACCGACAAACGTCAATACAACAGGCACAAGCTGAGTCAGAAGGGCGGCCTGCCTCCCTGGAAAGAGCTCTCGAGAAAAGATCTGGGTCCCAAAGGCCGTTCTCTGAAACAGGGACATAAACTGAGCAACAGGGCGTAAGAACGTAAATAGAGAACCCTGCAGTACCAGGCCAGTTACCCATCTAGTCCAGCATCCCGTTCCCCAGAGTGACCAAGCAGATGCCCTAAAGGGAAACCAGCAAGGACGGTCTGAACACAAGAGCCCTCTCTCCTTCTGAAACTGCTATTCAGAAGCATTGCTGCCTCCAGCCGTGGAGGCAGAGCATAGCCATCCAGGCTAGTAGCCTGGCTGATAGCCTTCTCCTCCGTGAATTTGTCCCAACCCTTTTTCATGGAACTGTAGATTTGGAAGGGACCCCAAGGGCCATCTAGTCCAACCCCCTGCAATGCAGGAATCTCGGCTAAAACAGACCAGAGACAGGGCTTTTTTGGCCGTGGCCCCGATCTGTGCTCTGTCACAAGAGACGAGGGCCCTGCGGGACTTGACATCTTTCCGCAGGGCCTGCAAGATGGAGCTGTTCCACCTGGCCTTTGGCCAAGGCACAGTCTGGCCCCCTCTCTCCTTCTGTAATCCTCATGGAACTCTAACCCACTGGTTGCCATTAATTTGATTCTGAATTGATTTTAGAATGTATTTTAATTAATTGACTGTGTGATTTTATATACACTGTGCTATTTTCACTTGTTGTTAGCCGTTCTGAGCCCAGTTTTAGCCGGGGAGGGTGGGATACAAATAAAATATTATTATTATTATTATTATTATTATTATTATTATTATTATTAGATGGCCATCCAACCTCTGCTTAAAAACCTCCATGGAAGAAGAGGCACAGCCTCACAAAGAGACCATTCCTCTGTCAAAATGCTCTTCGTGATGGTGTCAGAATTTCCTTTCTTTTAACTTGAAGCCATTGGTTTGAGTCCTACCTTCCAGAGCAGGAGAAAACAAGCTTGATCCCTCTTCCATGGGACAGGCCTTGAGATATTGGAAGGTGGCTTTCATATGCCCTCTCAGGCTCCTCTTTTCCAGGCTAAACATTTTAAAACTATCTAGGTTCATGGCCAGCCCTGCCTCCTGTAGGAGGGAGTTCCATAGTCTAACTATGCCCTGCATGATGGGAGGACTTTATTCTATCTGTTCTGAATCTTCCAGCATTCAGCTTCATTGGATGTCCACCAGTTGTAGTGCTATGATAGATAAAAGTATTTCTCCACCTATCTATCCATGCCATGCAAAATATTATAAACTTTTATCATGTCAGGTTTCTAAGAGCCCTTCTTGAGTAAGTCAACAGTGAGGCAGCCTTCCAAGAGGGTCTCTGCTGGCAAGGAGGAGGTCAGTGGGATGTGCGCTTGGATTGCAAAATGCTTTTCAGAACCATTCCTGTCAGTGGTTTTCCTCAAAATGCTTCTCGAGATCTGTGGCTTCCAGGTGTTCCAAAGGGCTGCCCCGAAGGTGAAGGAGCAAATCAGTTGTTCATTTCTGATTAAATGTTAAGAAGATGTTTCTGATGCTTTGAGCTGCCGACAGCAGAACAGGGAGCCTCGTAAAAAGGTTGGGTCCTCCTTTGTTAGGGGTTTTAAAGGAGCGGCTGGATGGTCCCCTTAGCAGGGATGCTGTCAGAGTGCGTCCATTTAAGTCCAGCGTCCTGTTCCATTATGTGGGTTCAAACTCCATTAATCTTTAGTCATCGGGCCTAATCTACCTTGCAGGGCTGTTGTCAGCATACATGGGCCACTTCAAAGCCCTGCAAGGAGATGATCCAGGAAGAAACAAAGGAAAAATCCCTTCTGAGATGGCGTTCCCACCTTTTCCTTTGCCGTGCCTAGAGCAGGCAAGAAACCTCCTACCAGTAGTGAAGGCAGGAAGTAAATATGGAATTAGGGGGTTGACCTGCCCCTGTTGTATTGCTCCAAAGTTTAACTTCCTGCCAGTGATGAGATGGGCGGAGACAACCCACATCACGGATCCTGTTTCTTCCCTACAGGAGAACCAAAATTCAGAGGCCTGGCCTGCAGCCTGCTAAAATTTGCCCACAATGTCTGCAAAACTCTAGGCAACTAGGATTCAGAGGTAGGCAGCTTGAACCTTGAGGTTTGTCGCAGGCGTATTTGGGGCCTGTCAGGGTGCTTTCAGCTCCACCCCCCTCCCCATCTTCCCCAAAGACATACATGCAGAAACCGCTACAGCCGCACCTCTTGGCACCAAAGCAACAGCCTCCAAGCGCCGAGGCTGCTATTTTGAGCCACCTGCCTGAAGGTTCATTAATAAACCATGAAGGCACCAGAGAGAACAGCTGAAAGGAGAAGCCGGCACCTTAAGCAGTTAATTAACCTTGAATTTTGTTGCCGGGCGAAACCTCCACAGGTATCTGGTGCCTCTGCACTGCCCCCAATCAAGTCACACAACCAAACAGAGAGCTGGATCTGACTAGACAGGCAAGTTGCAGCCCCCAAACCCAGAGATGCGCTTTGGTCGCTGCTGCATCTCACATTTAAATTTAATTTGCTTTATTTACTTCATCATGTTTATATACTGCTCAATGGTAGCAGAAAGAACAAAACAAAAAAAATGTCCGGGCGGAGGGGAATCCAAAGCTGGAAACAACTATTTAAAGCAGTGGCATGCGGGTGTGGCAGGAAGATGACAATCAATAAAACATTTAAACATTTGAGTCTAGTATAGTTTAGTAAAAAAATAATTGTTTACAGTGGTACCTCAGGTTAAGAACTTAATTCATTCCGGAGGTCCATTCTTAACCTGAAACTGTTCTTAACCTGAAGCACCACTTTAGCTAATGAGGCCTCCTGCTGCTGCCGCACCGCTGCTTCACGATTTCTGTTCTCATCCTGAAGCAAAGTTCTTATCCTGAGGTACTATTTCTGGGTTAGCGGAGTCTGTAACCTGAAGCGTCTGTAACCCGAGGTACCACTGTATTTGCCGACTATGAATAGGTATCTTTTCAAAACGAGAGTGAGACCATCAAGTGAAGTTCTTCCTTCTGCCTGTGCCAAGCACCACCAAACAAAGTCACTGGATAACCCCAGGTTCCAGGTCAAGGAGAGCCAACGCAGTGCTTGCTAGGTATTGGCGGATGCCCATCAGAACCAATGGCAGGGGCTGATGGGAGTTCCGTCAACGTGTGTTTAGCTTGTTGTCAACCCTATTCTAGTTTGACCAGAGTGGGAAGGAGAGAAAGCTTGCCTTGTTCCCCAGACGGTGCTTCAAAAAGCTTGAAGATTCTGCTACAATTGCTTTCCCCTTTCCCCCCTCTGCAAACCCCAGACATCCCAGGCTCTTCTCCCCCCGCCAATGCCCCTTCCCCAATTCTCCTCCACCCCTGCCCCACTCCACACCTGGAGGTTGTTGAGAGGCTCCATCTTCATGACTGGTCCCAGAGTGTTGAGAGGAAGAGAAACATCGATACTCTGGTTTGGCATCAGAGGAGTGTGGATGGCCAGCGGGGTGCTGGGGATGACCCCAAAACTGGGGAAAGAAGATGAAAGGCTCAGCGAAAGAAGGCAGAGGATCTCTCTCTTTTTGGGGTGGGGGGAAGAGACTGAAAGAGCTGCTTTTCTGGATGAGGGTGGTTGGGGTGGTCTGCTAGTCTAGCATTCATTGTTTAACAAATATAATAAGTCAGCAACAACAACAACCGCCGGCCAGCCAGATGCCTCTGGAAAGCTCACAGGAAGGCCCAGAGACACGGACACAGAAACACGCCATCCCATTAAGAACATACAAGCTTGCAGAGTGTTCCACTTGCAAGATTTAATGTTTCACAAATAGCTGTACAACGTGGGCCACGTCAGATGGGAGTCCCTGAATCTATGGCATGTGTACTCCTGCACTGCAATTTCTATTCTGATCTGATAAGAGAAATTTACCCTCCCCTGACTCCTCCTCTTGCCAACTAATCCGGATAAAGGACTGGCAATCAGAACTGGTTTATCCAGTAAGGTCTCATATATTGCTGGACTAACTTTTTCCCCTCATTGGGCATAGGAAGTCAAAGGACAGGCTGAATTAGTTTAGTTGGATAAAACTGTATATTTGGGTAGCTGTATTTTTTATGTGTATCAAAATATAAAATATATCAAACTATAATTTATGTTAATCAAAATGTAATTATCACTTTTAGCCATGTACATAATAAAACTGTGCCAATCAGTTGTGCTTCAAGCCTCGTGCCCATTTTATTTTATTATTCAATTTTCCCGTAAGAGCTATTTGCCATCATTTGTTGTACAAATTTGTCACAGAGAAGCACCCTCTAAGTTCTTCCTGTATCTTGTGATGGGGAGCCTCTCTGCTAGCAGAAGAGAACTTACTAAAGGTTAAACTGTAAGTTAATATTGTCTCCCGTGAAAAGACTGAGGAGAGCCAGCTCCGGATGCTTAGAGATATTTAGTCCAATAATTGCTTTTATTTTTGTTTTTACTGTTGTTGTCTGTGTTTTTAATATCTCTTTTTATACCCTTTTAATTCTATTAGTGTTTAATTACATTGTCCTTTCTATACTAGCTTGTTCTATTTTATCTGTGTAATCTGCCCTGAGTCCCAGACATCCTCCCAAAACCAAGCCGCTTTCCCACATGCCCACCGCGTGTGTTGATTAGTTTTGCCCTGTATTAATAATTTTAATAATGTTGCTATTTCTACCCCACCCATCTGGCTGGAGTCTTAAAGATCACCAAACTGATGGAGAGGCACAAAACAAACATGAGAAATACTAGTTTTCTCAGGGGCGGGGAAGACTCAACCATCACCAAATGCCGGCAGGGTACAGCCTGGAGAGAGGGATGACTCCTGCCACCCCTGGAGAAGAGGCAAAAAGCTTCAGAGGACCTGCCTGATTCTTCCAGGAGGAGACGTCATCCTTATCAGGAATGCCCTCCAGCAGAATCAGGCAAACAGACTCCAGGTAACCACCCCTGTTACTCGGCGGCCTTACCTGTTCTTGTTAAACTGAATGGCAAAGTCCGTCATGTGCTGCAAAGCTTTGTTGGTGAAGCTCATGTCCATGTAGATGTGCCCTTGCCGGTGACTGAAGGTGCCGGAGATCTCCAGGCCTTTGGCTTTCACGGCCGGCAGCCAGACCTGAAAAGTTATTGGGGAAACTGTGGTCAGTGTCAAATGGGGCTGGGCCTGGAGAGATGCTTACGTCCTGCCTTTTCCATTTCAAAGGCGGCTAGCCTCAGCAATTAAAAAGCAATCAGGTTCTGATAGCTGATGAAATCATTTCTGGATGGTTGAAAGAATCAGGGTTTTTTTATTTTAAAACAATCATCTTTCATGGGGTAGCCCAGCATAGAGTTCAAACCCGAGGACTTCCTGCCATTAACAGGAAGATTGTTAAGAGAGGTGCCAAAGCACCAATACGAATTGCTGGATGAATTTCCTGGGGCAGGGAGTTCCGCAGCCTGGGTGTTGCAACAGAGAAGGCTCTTTCAAGAAGGTGCCTTAAGACAGTGGGGGGGGGGGTGCATCACCGGAGGGGGGGTTCCTCCCGTGCTGACCTGAGCAAATGGGGCAGGATGGCACAAGAGGAGGCCATCAAGAGTGCAGAAGATGGAGCAGACTTGCTCTCTTGTTGCTCCAGAGGGCAGGATTAGAACCAGTGGCTGGAAATGGCAGGGAAGTAGATTTTGGCAACACATATGGGGAAGCTTCCTAGCAGTGAGGGCTGTTGGGCAATTGAAAAGGCTGCCTTGGGTGGTGGTGGTACGGCCTTCCCTGGAGCTATCAGGGATACTGTAGCTGTTGTAGATCCTTCACTAAGCAGGGGGTCAGGCTAGATGACCACCAGATCACCCAACACTACAATTTCTATGATTTTAATACTCAATCCATCTAGCTTGGAAGCAAACGGGCAGACAACGGAAGCGTGATTAGAGGGCTGCCATGTTTAAAAATAAAAATCCCTTTTTGCCCAGGCTTTCCCTGATAATTTGCTCTAGATTGGGTTGACCTGTTTCCCCCTCTAATGATAATTTGTGATGTAGATATAGATTTAATGTATTATGTTTCGGGATTTTCCACAGTGAGCGGTATATAAATGATTCCAAATAACTAAATATGGAACAATGGGGAGGGGGAGTAGAAAACAAACTCAGTTTATCGTAACCTAAAGAGAAACCGCCAGACAAATTGTACTGGGAAAGGTGTAATGCTGCAGCCACTCTCTGCAAGTACCGATTTGGGTGCCATGTATCCTCCGGGCGCCATCCCAATGCCGGAAGAGAGCTCAAAGAGGTCGTTGAGTCCGCTGCTGACCACGGCCGGCGTCGGAGACGGGGCAAAGGTTGCTGGAACCGATGATGGAATGAAGGTCTGCCCCACCTGGAAGCAAGAAACGGAGGAGGAAAAGGACGACGGCATCTCAGCGTTTTGCACACAGTGGATGCCTTTATTAAATAAACCACAAACTCGGGTTATATCCTGAATATTTCAAAGCTCTTTACCGGAATCTCGTTGAATTATCAAGAGTGCCAAATAATGGATTTGCATACCAATGCGCTCTGCAAATTTAATCCCCGCAATCATCTCCCCCATCACCTTCGCAGGGTGAGCGTCCTTTGAAAACCGCCTGCCTAAGAGTCCTCCCTTCTTCTCAAAAGGCTTTGGAGGGTGGGGAGGGCCAAGGGCGGAGGGCGAGCGAGGGACACTCAGGGGAGCTCTTTAGCCCAGGTGGTGCTAATCAGCTCTCATTTCCATTCCTGCATTCTCAAGCACTTGCAAAAAAAACAACACAAAAAGGCACCCAGGACATTAAAATGATCAGATTTGTATGAATTCAGGAAGCCGAGGGCAAAGTGGGGGTACAAAACTCTGAAAGAAAGAACTGGCCCTGTACAAACCCATGAAGAGCCAGCATGGTGTGGTGGTTAGAGCAGCCTTTCTCAACCTTGGGCCCCCAGAAGTTCTTGAACTACAACTCTCATCATCCCTGACCACTGGGCCATGCTGGCTAGGAATGATGGGAGTTGTAGTCCAACAGCATCCGGGGACCCAAGGGTGAGAAAGGCTGGGTTAGAGTGTCAGACTAGGACCAGTGTTTAAATCCCCACTCAGCCATGAAACTCACTGGGTGACCTTGGAGCGAAACTGCCTCTCAGACTAGCCTACCTCAGAGGATAAAATGGACTACTTGGGCTTGCAGCTGAGGACTGAACCTGGGATATCCTGCCATGCAAAGCGAGGCTCCACCACCGAGCAACGGCCCTTCCTCTGAGTATTTAGGGCACTTCTGGTGTGTGTGTTGGAAAGGGCCTGTGGGAAGGGGATGGAGAGGAAAAGAGAACAGAGCATTGTGTTCCAAGGGGGTAAAATGAATGGGGGAGACTTACTGCTGGGCTGCCTCCAATTCCCCCGCCAAGGTCACTGCCAAGCTGCAAGAGAGAAAGAATCAGGGAGAAGGGGGGAAAGAGAAAGGGGGGGGGGAGTTCATTTCAGCGAGGTTGTCAGGTGCCAGAAAAACAAAGGACCCCAAGAAGTGCTGCAACACCACACGCCCCGTCCCTTTCACCGTGAGCAGACTAGTCGCCCAGCAGGAGCATCGATATAGCAAAGGCGAGGACAGCCACAAGCCTGAAACCCCAAAAAGTCCGCAGGGAGTAAAAGCTGAATCCAGGCAAAAGCAAGAGAAATGCAAAACGTGGGCACTGGCCATAGAGATCTCGTAGGCATGCTCCGGACATCCAGGAGATCTGCCGTACCAAAGCTACAGCTTTTTAAAGTGTCACCATATTTGTCCAAGTCGTTCCTAGATAACCACCTGCATCTGAACCCATAGAATTTGTATTCTTCCAGCAGAGACGACACATCCACCCAGTTTTGACTTTATAGAGTACAACTGAAGTTACAATGAAGGCTAGGTGACCAACACAAGAAAGTCCCTGCGATGCTCTTGGGCGCAGTTAGCAACTTTACTAAATTCAAGGAAGGTATGGGTCGCAATCGCTCCTAGGCATGAGGGCAGTGTGCTCCCTTCTGAACACCAGCTGCTGGAAGCCGCAGGAGGGGAGAGTGCCGTTGTGCTCAGGTCCCGCTTCCGTGATTCCAAGGGACATTCCTGCACTGAAGGAGGTTGGACTAGATGAGCCTTGGAGTCCCTTCCAACTCTACAATTCTATGGTTCTACCTGGTTAGTCACTGTCAGAACAGGGTGCTTGGCTAGATGCCATGCCCTGCCCCCCGGCCTGATCCAGGAGACAGGTTCTTCTTATGCTGTTCTACTGAAATGTGTGTTGCAGAGTTCCTAGCAAATGGTCAGGTCTGGCTGATGGGGAGCAGAGTTGCCTTATACCGTATTGGCCCGAATATAAGCCCCACCACAAATAAGCCGCACCTTTAAAATTCAAGGGGAGTGGGGAGAAAATACCCAAATATAAGCCACTACCTTAAAATTCAGCATGCACTCACACCCTTAAATGGCAAATGTAGAAGAAAATCCTACAGCAATATCGTAAAAGCCAATTTTTGTAAGGTTGCAAATTTAAGCCGCACTTTAACTTTTCACGGACGGAATTTGAAAAAAAAAAGGGCGGGTTATATTCGAGCCAATACGGTACTAAGTCAGGTGCCACTGCTCCTTCTACCTCAAAGTACAGTATACAGCAAAGGCCAGAGAACCTCAGGCCCTCCAGTCTCCTCTATCTGGCCCTCGGGACTCTCCCCAGGCCACCCCTTCTCTCCACCCTTGCTCTGCCCCCTTCTCAAGTGCTTTTGATTGGCTGGAAAGTGAACTGTAGTCCCGTCTCTTGCTTGAGATGATTCATGTGTGTAAAAATCCCTGGCTTTTGTGCGGCTGGAGTGCCGATTAAGGGCCACATGGGCCGCTCCACCCACTTCTGCATCTGGCTCCACCCACTATTACCTTGCACCTCCCAGAAAGCCGCTCAATGAGCCAAAGGGGTTCCCTGCCCTGACTGCACCAACAGGAGTCACTGTTTCTGGCAGGCGGAATTTCCTGGAATGAACCTGGGCCCATCAGCTTCATGCAAGGTATTTGCTCTGCGACTGAGCTACAGTCCTTCATTACAGCCAGCTGAGCGCTGTATTTCCAGAGGGGGGAAATATCTGAGCACTTATGCATTTACGACTCCCTCTTGCAGTCGTAACCGTGTGGGGCTATTGCCTCGTTTCAATTTATTGCCGCATTTGCAGGCAGAACGGGAGGCTTGCCTTGTGTGGAGAAGGCAGCCCTCGTAAGGGAAAGAGAGGAGCCCCCGGCAGATTCATTCCCAGCCATGGAGGAGTCAGAGGTGCCCCCCCCAGGGGCCTTCAGGAGTGTTCCCTTGTGAAACAAGGAAGGGGGAGGGTGGAAACAGCAAGCAAGCTTCTTATCAGCAAGCCTCTTACATAAAAGCAGTGTCAAAACAGCTTGTGAATAATTCTGCATAATAGCACCAGATGTTTTTATCTGCCTTTCATCGGTTCCTGCGCCAAGATTATCTCAAAAAGAGCCACGGGGCTGGGAAGCCGACTTTGAAAGAGACAATCACAGCTTCTCGTTCATTCACATAATAATTATAATTTTTACACACACACACACACACACACACACACACACACACACCTCTTCCCCAAGCTTTGTAGATCTGGCGGAAATAGGGGAAGGGGGATTCCTGGAGACCCAAGTTTCCCTACAAGAAACTTGTCTGGGGTTTCAATAGGTAGCCTTATGGCATCTAAACAGGGCACTGGCCTAGTGAGCCTCTTGGGACTCTGTGTGTGTGTGTTTGAGCTTCAGAGTCCTTTTCCAGCCCCAGAGGGCAGAAATGTCAGCCCTGTGTGACTGGCAGGCAGCATAAACACTTCTGGATTGGTCCAGCCCACCAAAAATATTCAGAGCCCGAACACCTCGAGAGCAGCAGGCTGGGGGGAAGCTGATTGGTTATGGGCCGGAATGGTCTGACTACAAGACAGCAAAGTACTGTCCATGGTGCTGAAGTGGCTGGGAATCTTGTTGAGCAGTTTCCTTTGGCGACAATTACACTGTATGTTAAAGCACCATTATGCCACTTTCAAAAGTCATGTCTTCCCCCAAAGAATCATAGACGCTATAGTTTGTTCAGGGTGTCAAGAGTCATCAGCCCCCTATTCCCCTCCCAGAATTTCCTGGGAAGAGGGATTGCTAAACGACTTGTTTCCCCAGAATTTATTTCTACAGCCACTTGCAATTCTCGCTCTTAGGTAAATCCCAAACTTTTTAAAGCCATCCTTCCCCAAAAGGGAATCATGTAACTTCCCAGTTTTGAGTCACGAACATTCTTGCAGCTGCTAACAAAAAGGATGCAAATTCCTTATGTTCTTTCTGGACAATAAATGACATACAGTGGAGCAATATCAATGCTGAATCTAAGGGAACTTCATGTCTCAGTATTTCTGCTATTCTAATAACCACAGCTGCATGTCCACCACATATGGTAACATGTTCTGTTCTGCTTTTTCATTTGTTTCTAATGATTTAATACTGTTGGTTTACTGCCCTAATAATATCATCTGTTTTGAAGACTGCACACTGCTTAAGAGATTTTTAAAACGTGAAGTGGTTTATAAAAGCTTTCTAAATAAATAAACGATGTGCCTGGAGACAAGCAGTCAGGTCATGCATCCACAGCAGTGACCAGAGGAGGAATGACCGCTGGGAGGAGCACAGAGAGAAGAAACACCACACTGCATCTGCAGCAATACAACCGGACACCTTTGTCTGCCCCAGCTGCAACAAAACATGCCTCTCCCTTATCAGTCTCTACAGCCAAAGCAGGCACTGCAAACTGCCAACAAGTTTGACTTCACATCCACTTCTCTATTGTCTCCCGAGACAGACAGATGCCAACAAAAAGAAATGATGGCAGGTGCTTGAGTCAGCAGGGGACATTTCTCGGCTCCGTTCCCACAAGACAGGCTGCCCCAGGAACTCGTTCCAGCAAAATTCTCCTCCACGCTAATGCAGTTTTACTCTGGGCATCTGCCTTCTCCGGATTCCTATCTAAGAGCCATGTGTGAGGCAGGCAGGCAGGCAAACAAGAAGACAAGCACTCTTCTGCTGAGGCGCTGCCAAGATCCTGCAATGTTACGTGAGGGACGTGGCGCCTCTAAGTCCCAGCCGGGATGAGAAGCAAGGTGGAGCTAATAACAGAGAGAAGCGCCGGGGAGACCTGCCGTTCAAAGGCTCAGCCATCGGGGAGGGCCAGGGCAGCCGGAAGACGCAGAGCCCTTAATGGAAGGGCTAATGAGTGACAGGGCAGCGCATCTGCTCGCAAGCAGCACATCGGCAGCCGAGAGAGCTGACAGGAAGCCTCAGAGCGCCTCCTCTCCACGGAGCTTAAAGCGGAGTCCGAGTGGCAGGAGGCAACAAATCATTTCCTGAGCCGAGTCCAGACTGGGGGGCAACCAGGCCGCAGCTCAGAATGAAAACAGGGCTCTGCACACATTGCGGCTCTGCAGGCAAAGTGCGTTGTGGAACAGGGCGCTAAAACTTTAGCACCCTGGAAAGCGCCACTGGCTTTCACTTACTTATTAGTTGTATTTACAATCCCCTTCCTCCCCCTCCCCAAGATCGTCCTAGAGCGGGTTTCGATAATAATCACAATCAAAACCAGCAAAGATCCTAATAAAATCATGAAACTAAATCAATAACAAATCTGACAAAGCATTTAACGCACAAGTTTCTAGCCCTCAAGGCTGCAAAAATATGCATTAAAATGTGTTGGCAGCATTTCTATAAGTATTAGAAGCTGGAAGGAGCTGGGACAGAATGTGATTTTCAGTGGTTGAAGGAACAGAAGCATTTTCATTTTGCTTATTTACTTCTTACTTTGCTGATTTATTAGATGTAGATTTTTATCAGACCAACTAAAGCAGTTGTTCCCAAAATTTGGGGGGCCACTGCTGCCTTGGTTACATAAACCTGCCTCTCCTGGCCCAAACCCTACCATGTTAAAAACATTATTCAGAATGGAGATTTGCACAGCCCACTAGGGAAGATGATAGACACAATAAAATTCAGAGCAGGGACAATTAATTGCATATTTATTCAAAATCCGATTAAAACTATTTAGTTTAATCCATTCAACAAAATGGATGAACTTGATCCAGGGACGCCGGCTTTTCAAAGTCTGATAGTCACTTGCACTTCCAGCACCCCACCCCCCAGTACACCCCACCCTTGGGAGCCAGCACTGTCTGCTTTGGGAACCACTGAACTAAACCAAGCATAAAATGCAATGCCCCCCTCTCCTTGCAAAAAATAAATCACAGCATAATAAAAACAAGATGCATTGGCTAAACACCGAATACCTGCCTAAGCAGGAAGCTTTTTGACATATGGCAAAACACCCTGGTGGGGGGAGGAGAAGGAAACTGAGCCCCGTCTAGCTCTGCGACCTTCTCAAAAGTTAGCATAAACCAAAGGCAGTGCAAGGCAGTGTGCGTTCCTGAATAAAAGATGCAAACGCAAAATTATGCAAAAAAAAGTTTCCCCAATCTGCATAACTGACACACGGTCACAGAACTCCCCTTCTCCTGGCGCAGAATTTTAATGATTTTTAGGAGAACTGCCACTCTGGATTAGACTCTGGATTAGACTCCAGTTCCTTCTAAGCCTGTCTGGCTCTGTTTCCCAGCCCCCCCCCATCTCCTCCAAGAGGAGCTCCATTAGAGCGGATGAGCTTCCCTGAAGGATGGCTCGCTCTCGGCTGCTGATCTTGCCTTCCCTCCTACAGCCTGCCAGAGAGAGCTTTGGGGATGCTCTCAGGCGCTTGGTCAACAGCCCCTGGGAAAAGACTGGCCCGCTGTGTTTTGGATTGCACTTTTCCACTTTGTTTTTAACCTTGTGCCTTTCTTATTGCGCTTGTGAGAGGGAGGGCGGGGCAGGGGAAATAAAATATTAACAGCAAGAAGACCGTGTCTCCTACAAGTATCTCCCAGAATCCTCTGCTAGAGCACATAAGGTCTCTTGGCAAAACAACAGAGGAGGAAAGGGCTCCTGGCACTACAGAGTTCGAAAGCCTGGGTGACCTTGGGCCACTCACTGCCTCTCAGCCTGGCCTACCTCAAAGGACTGCTGTGGAGATTATGTGAGGAGGGGGAGAACCATGTACACCACCTTGGACTCCATGGAGAAAAAGGTGGTGCTATCAATGCAATATATACCGTATTTTTTGCACCATAACACTCACTTTTTTCCTCCTAGAAAGTAAGGGGAAATGTCTGTGCGTGTTATGGAGCGAATGCCTACGGATGGCGGGGGGATCTGCTGCAGTCGTGAGCAGAGGATCCATGGTTCCCCTTCCTTCCCTCCTCCGTGGCTCGCTTTGAAACAGCAAAGCGGGAGAAGAGCCGCTGAGTGGGGAGGAGAGAGGGACAGAGAGCCTGCTTCTTTAAAGGAGCAAAGCGGGAGAGGAGAGGAGCCGCTTACACGAGTGTAATCGGCTCCTGTCCAGTTGGTTCCTTTAAAGCAAGCAGGCTCTCTGTCCCTCTCTCCTCCCCACTCAGCTCGCTACATAGCAGCAAAGTTTTTCAGCTCGCTAAGCCGGGGATGAGCGGGGAGGAGGAAGAAAAGCAGAGCCTGCTGGCTTTAAAGGAGCAAAGTGGGAGAGGAGAGGAGCCTTCTCCCCTTATACCCCTCTTCTTCATTATTAGCAGCATCCTTCTCCACCCACCCCACGCGTGCTCCTTGTCCCTTGAGTGCTTTTCCTTCCCTCCTCACTTAAAACGTGGTTACAAAGCACGGAGCCACATGGATCCTCAGGATTTTTGCACTGGGTCACCCCAAATTCACCATCAGATCACATGGCATGTCCATGGCTACATCTTGCACCAAAAAAACACGTACCCACTGTTGCCTGGGGCCGCAGTGGTGCAAAAACATGGTTACAAAGCATGGATCCACATGGATCCTCAGGATTTTTGCATTGGGCTACTCCAAACTGACTGTCAGATCACATGTCTGTGGCCACAGCATGAACCACAAAAATCATACATCCACTGTTTCGTTTAGAATATTTTTTTTCTTGTTTTCCTCCTCTAAAAACTACGTGCGTGTTATGGTCAGGTGCATGTTATAGAGTGAAAAATACGGTATATATAAAATTATGTCACAGCACCCTTGTCTCTGAGAACAGCACTGAATATGCTAGTACTGTGGTTGGGCTAGAAAGCAGATCTCAGAGCGATTTGCTGTAGATCTGCAGTAGATTCTGACTCCCCGTTGTTTAAAAATAGCAACAACAACAAGGCTCTGCCCCTCCACCGCCCCCCTCTGCTTTCTAAATTATGCAGTTGAAATGAATAAAGCTTGAGGGGGGAACCAAGAGCCCAGTTTGGGTGTTGAAAACAAACCCTTTACTGAGCATGCACTCAAGTAAGGCGCCCTGTTCCTTAAATCCGAGGGTATGTTACACCCCCGCCACCTCCAGCATTTTGTACCTGGCTGCGATTGGAGGATCTTGGGGTTCTAGTAAAAACCAAATGCAAGACACCGAAGTTTGCACAGCTACAAAGAAGGCAAGATGGATGCAGAGAACCGGCAGCTGTGTTTCCCTCCTCCTCCTCCTCTCTAAAGAACATCTCGTCGAAAAGTTAGATGCATGACATGATATCCTCATGCTCCATCTTCCGCACCTTTTGCTCAGCTCCAGGGTCTAGCCAGGACCCTCATGGGTCTGATGCCACTTTAAACAGTTATGGGAAGTGGAGTTTGTTCAGGGGGCTGGGAGTTGCTAGGAGACTCCTGTTGCCCTCCCAGAGCTCCCTGGGAAGAGGGATTGTTAAGCCACTCTGGGAACTGTAGCTCTGTGGTGGGAAAAGGAGCGTCCCAACAACTCTCAGCACCCTGAACCAACTACAACTCCCAGGATTCTTTGGGGGAAGCCATGACTTCTTAAAAGTGGTAACGCAGTACTCTAAAAGTATAGTGTGAATACAACCTTTGGCAGCTCAGGTCCCAGCAAGACAGAAAATTATATTCTTTTAGAACCAGGGAATCTGTGGCCCTCCAGATGCATTTGGACTCTGGCTCCTCTTGGCCTCAGTCAACATGGCCAACAGGCAGGAGATGATGGGAGTTTAAGTCTGGCAACATCCAGAGGATTCCCCATTTATTCAGGTTCATTCAAGCAACAGTTCCCAGAATTTTCTGGGGGAAGCCAGGACTGTTTGGAGCAGTATTATAGGACTTTAAATGAATGGCGTGAATCTGCCCTAAATAGATTCTTGTTCTAGAAAACAGGGGCCCTTGTTGGAGCAAGTTGCTCAGGAGGAGCTCTCCATGGTGCTGAAGCAGCTGACCTGCCTTTACCCTGTGGGCTCCTGCACGAGACCAGGATAGGACACTGCAGCTCCCACCTGCCCCAGCCAAGCAAGGTCCCAGCAACATCTGGAAGGGCCACAGGTTCCCCACGACCGCTGTGATATTTAGTTCCACTCTAAGCAGCTGTCAACGCCAGATACTGCTCCCCCACCACAAATGGAGGGCAGGGATAGAGAGAGGTGGCAGCTTTGTTCTTGCTGAAATGGGGAAATCTGAAATGGGGCAAAGAAGATCCCTGTGGCTCCCACTTTCTGTGGCGGCTGCCTGGACCCCTTCGCTCTCCCCTGCTTCCTGCTGCTTAGCACAAAGGGAAGCAGGTAGCAGTCTGGATTTTTTAGTTATGCAGCTAGCCTAGAGACTGAGAGCTTGGGGACTCCAGGGCCAAAGCAACTTGACCTCCAGCAAAATAAAGTTCAAAAGCGTTCCGCTCACCAGACTATCCAGCCCTCCTCCAAGAAGATCCACAGCCCCCATCTGCATGGAAGACACCTGGGGCACGTTCACTGGTGGGCCGAGGTCAAGGTTCAAGAGGTCACCCAGGAGGTCGCCTTGGGAGGGGATCACCTGAGGCTGCTCCAGGTTGGTGGTGGTCGTGGTCCCCATCGGGCTGTCGCCTGCATCAGTGCTGCACAGGAAAGAGGGTAAAGGGAGGTATTAGTTTAGTGCCTTTTTAGAAAAGGATGACATGGGGCGTAGGAACTTCTGCTGCAAAATGTCTAAATTAGCTTTGCAATGCCTCATTAGCCTTGCAGGGGGAACACAGGGGAAAGGTAAGAGCTGCAACGTTCCAGCTTATTTTTATTCAATTGCTTATTACCATAGGTAAAGGTAAAGGGACCCCTGACCATGAGGTCCAGTCGTGGCCGACTCTGGGGTTGCGGCACTCATCTCGCTTTATTGGCTGAGGGAGCCGGCGTACAGCTTCCGGGTCATGTGGCCAGCATGACTAAGCCCTAAGCCGCTTCTGGCGAACCAGAGCAGCGCACGGAAACGCCGTTTACCTTCCCGCCAGAGCGGTACCTATTTATCTACTTGCACTTTGACGTGCTTTCAAACTGCTAGGTTGGCAGGAGCAGGGACTGAGCAACGGGAGCTCACCCCATCGCAGGGATTGAAACCGCCGACCTTCTGATCGGCAAGTCCTAGTCTCTGTGGTTTAACCCACAGCGCCACATTCGGGAAGCTTTTAATGTTTGATGTATTATAGTATTTTAATATTCTTTTGGAAGCCGCCCAGAGTGGCTGGGGAGGCCCGGCCAGATGGGCGGGGTATAAATAATAAATTATTATTATTATTATTATTATTATTATTATTATTATGGCCTGAATATAAGCCACACTTTTTTTCTAAATTCCAACCGTGAAAAGTTGAAGTGCGGCTTAAATTTGCAACCTTACAAAAACTGGCTTTTACGGGACTTCTGGTGAGGCAAGATGGCGGGCACCATGGCAGCGCATAGCTCCTAGGACCACCAGCACCACCATAAGACACCATTTTAAAGGAGCAGCTTATATTCAGGTATTATCTTCTTTTCTTATTCCCCCTTGAATTTTAAAGGTGCAGCTTATTTGTGGGTGCGGCTTATATTTGGGCCAATACGGTATATAGAAGCAAGTCCTGCCCAGGAACTCACTAGGATGATGGCAAACAACTGCTACACACGTGGCGGGGTGTGTGTGTACTGGACTCTGGCTAGGTTCACACAGGATTAACTTCACATAGGATGAATATGGCTGTGAGGGATCTTGGCGATTGCATTCTGACTGCCTGAGCCCTTAGGAGATCTGCCGCCGGTCCATGTAAGACAGAGCACTGGCCTGGCTCTGCACAAAGCAGCTCCCCAAATCCCTACCTTCCGTGGTGGATGGGCAAGTGTTTGCGGTGGATCCCGTGGCTGCCTTCCACGAAGGCGTTGGGCGGCTTGTGGTACACGGAGGCCAGAGAACCGATGTGGCAGATGAGCTCGTCCAGCAGAGTGGGTTCAATCAGGTCGGTCTCTTCCGAGATCAGAGGCTTCTCGGACAAGACCACCTCCTTGGCAGTGACGGGGTCCGTGGAAAGGAGGCGCCAGTAGATATAGCCACGATCACGCAGGTCCGGGTTGTCGGAATCCTAACACAAGAGCACAGTACACATTTATTCACACGGCACCAGCCTCATGACAAATTTTAGCTTATAGATATCTGTCCTTTTGCACTCCTGACTGATATCACCCGTCCCTGATAAACTAGCTTTCTACTTCTGGTTTTTGTTTTGTTTTGCATGGAGTGGTACAGTCCACCTACCATCTCAGGACTCCACCACATTCTCCTGCATGCATAGAGCATCTCCCTTGCCTCACAGCTCTGAGGAGCTCCTGGATTTCACTATACGGATGTTTTAAGTGTTTTTGTTCTGATTTAAAGTTTAGATTTGATTACTATTCTCCGGAAAGTGAGAGAGCGCTTGGTGGGGTTTCTCTTTCATTCATTCTTTTTACATATTTGTGCTATCAAGATTTTGCTCAGAACAGTTGACGCTCGTACGTTTTTGACATGGCTGAAACAGTAAAATCCAGCCAAACTGAATGTTTCTTCTCCTGTACAGACACATATTCAAATGTGGTTGTGGAAACACAGGGCCAGCCACAGGCTGGGGAAGGACTATGAAAAATGAACAGAATATTTTAGCTGCAGCTCATTCGTTTTCAGCTTTGGATTCTTGCTTTAAAAAAGCACACCTAGACACTCCGTTGCGGCACCCATAACCTAGGTTCAAAGTGCCATTTTAGTTCCTAGCTTTCGTAACTCAGTTTCTAACACTGGGCAGGAAGACACAAGGAGTGTGCAATGCCACCTATTTCCTTGGAGAGCTGCACTTTAATACACACACACACACACACACACACACATATATATATATATATATATATATATATATATATATATATATATATATATTTAGGACAGAACTTTCTTTATGTATGCTACAACAGCAGCAAGAATACTTATTGCAAAGTATTGGAAGACACAAGATCTACCCACACTGGAGGAATGGCAGATGAAAATGATGGACTATATGGAATTGGCGGAAATGATTGGCAGAATCCGTGACCAGGGAGAAGAGTCGGTGGAGGAAGATTGGAAAAAATTCAAAGACTACTTACAGAAATATTGTAAAATTAATGAATGTTAGAATGATGACGGATTGAAGTTAAGCGGTTTCTAGCAGTAATGGCATAAAAGAATATGGAAAAATTGGTTTTTAATATCTAAAAATTTAATGTTATAATATATCAAGATTAAATATCAGGATTAAAAAGGAGGGAAAGGAATCGCTGGACTAATAAATTGAATTGGAATACAAAAGAGGGAGGTATGAGGAGGTCTGGGAAACAAGTAAATGTAAAAGAAGTGATGAAAAGATGGAATTGTTTTTAACTGGTTTTTCTTTTTTGTATTTTGTATTTTTCCTTTTTACTGTTAATTTTCTTATTAATGTAATCTTTTTCTTTTGAAACTTTAATAAATATCATTTAAAAAAAATAAAAATATATATTTACTGAAAAACTCTGGGTGTGGGAATCAGACAGGACATTACTATGAGGGCATGACTAATTTAGGTCTACCATTTTAAAGGGGTCTACTCAGAGCAGAAAATAGTTGTCTACAGCCCTACGTTCCTATTTAAATCAGCCCTTCCTTCAGAACTAGAATCATAGAATTGTAGAGTTGGAAGGGACCAGGAGGGTCCCCTAGTCCAACCCCCTGCAGTACAGGGATCTCTCTGCCCAACGAGGGGCTCGAACCCACAACCCTGAAATTAAGAGCTTCATGATCTACTGGCTGAGCTATCTCACTTATGAGGAACAGAATCTTTAGTCCTAGGCTTTAGTCCTTATGAGGAACAGAATCTTTAGTCCTAGTCCTACTTTAGTCCTAGAAGGGCTACAGCTAAGCGGCAAAATGGTAATGACTGGCTGGGCACCCACTTACTAAAATCAAAGACTTGTGGAGTTGGAAGGCACCCCCCCCCCAAGAGTCATTCTAGCCCAACCCCTGCAAAGGAGTCCCTGGCAGATGCCCCCCAACCAAGAGGGAGAGAAATGAAGTATTTCTCTACTTCCCAATGAATCAGCAGGAACAATAGCACATCCAAAGAGTCTTGTTTTGATTTGGTTTTACTTTCCCACCACCACCACGGATCGGAATCCAAGTCCCGAGACACATCAAGAAGCCAACACCAATCCAAGGATGCTATTAAAACACTGCGTGACTCAGCTGAGTGGGCTTTGTAACACCGGGCGTTTGCTGAGCAGTGCAAGCGATCTATAAACTCTTGGCAAGAAAGCCCTGAGTCTGGAAGGAATGGGAAGTGATCTCAAATAAAAACCTGCTGTGCAGACTCAACACACCAGAATCCAAAGGCAGGAGGCCCTGTGCCCACAAGACACAGGAAAACACATCCGACCAGGTGTGAGTTTCGTAGGCCCTTAGATGCATCGCCATGGACAAAAATCCCAGCCACTGTTTGGCCTCTTTGCACCTGAGCCTTCCTCAATAACCCTGTAGTTTTTTGTTCTTCCCGTGTAGGAGACGGAGTCCTACACATGCCCAACCGAGAGGCTTACCTGCGTAGCCAGGCTCAACACCTGCTGGACCAGCTCCTGAGTCTCGGACGGCTTCTTCAGAAACAGTTTGACGATGGCAGTCAGCAAGGTCAGCTGCACCTGTAGCAAAGCAGGACAATGCAATTAAGAGGCAGCCCACTGACTTCCTTGGGCGAGCTTCAGGGGGCAAAAAATGGCTATTGGGATCCAGAAGGAGCCCCTTCCTCTCCCCACCTCCCAGGGTGCACCCAAGAGGCTTGGACTGCTCCCTTTTCCAGCAAACATTCTGCTTGCTTTTCCCCCCACCCTAACCCATGTTGCTATAATCCTCATTATCCTCATTCCCAGCCCCGTATCTCCCCAGGTCAGAGCTGGAAAACTCCCCTGCCTGCTTCTCCTGCTCCCTACCATTTCTAGGTCTGTTCCTTACAGCCCACAACCTCCTGGGGGAGAAGGACTGAGACTGGCAGGCTGAACTCTGAACAGGAAAGTGGCTATTAAGAGGCGAGGACCCCCAGCAACATTTTGCCATTTTTTGCAATTCTTTTTAAAAATAAGGATCTGCAACTAATGGGTAAGAGAGCATAAATAACTTATCACCCAAAAATAAATTAAATGTTCCTTCCTTTTTCCGGTAAGTCCTTTGATTTCAACAGTAGCTCACAGCATCATTGCCAAACTTTCCAAAGTGAGGGCAAGTAAGTAAAGAGGAGAAAGCGAGTCCCTGTTTAGTACCTGTTGGACATTTTTGCACATTTGGAATCAGCCATTTATCCTAATCTTAGCTGCAGAGGGCTTGTAAATAAGTCTAATGGCATGAGTTGAAATTACTTGCAAAAGAAATGCATTTTCTATAGAAGCGAAGGCTTTAAAGGCATCTAAAGCCAAGGCATCTAATTCAGATTAATTTTACCTGGAATAATGAATAGCATTCAGTAACTCTCTGATGAGGTCTGCTACGAACCTTTGCATCAGAAAAATGAACTGGTCTGGGTCAATGTAATGTGCTATAAATATCTAGAGTCTATTTGCTAGAACTGTAGTTTTAGAAAGTGTGATCTACACGAAGCAATGTGACTGGCCTATGGGAATCAAGCTGCTAAATATATTTGCTTGGTTTTTAGTAATGAGTATTACTTTAGATTGCTTCCAGGTTTCTGGGATATGTCCTGAGGCAAAAACAGTCTTAAATATATCCAGTATGTGTGGAATAAGATTTTCTGGAAAGTCCTTTCAATAATCCACACAGAACTCATCTGGTCCTGTAGATCTACGGCTCCTTAATTCCTAAATAGTGTCTTGAGTTATTTCCCATCAACTTAATTGATCTAAAAATAATTTTTGACCTGGAGTAATTATCCCAAACTCATTAGTTGTTAAATATGGCTCTAGAAGGCCTTCAGGTGGGTTCTGGTTAGAGTAAATTCCTTTTTTAAAAATGGAAATGTGGGCAAGTCTTTGGGCTGCACCCAGTTACTAAAATGCAAGGGCCCCGTTTGCTCCTTCGAAGCAGCATGCTTTGGAGAGGGAACACAGTTCAGTGGCAGATGCCTTGCATGCAGAAGGTCCCATTTTCAATCCCCCATGGCATCTCCAGGGAGGGCTGGGAAAGATTCCCTGTCTGAAACCCTGGAGAGCCGCTGCCAGTCAGTGTAGACAACACTGAGTTAGATAGACCAAGGGTCTGATTCGGTCTAAGGCAGCTTAGTCCTAGAGTGCCTAACCCGCATACAGAAGGTCTTAGGTCCTATTCTCAGCTTCTCCATGTAAGGCTGGGAATGTATTCCACCTGAAGCCCTGGAAACATCCTAACAGCCTACTGGATCAAAGGATCACCTAGTCCAGCATCTGTTCTGAAACATACCGTTGGGAAGCCTCGGCACAAGAGCCCTCTCCCCTCCTGCAACTGGAATTTAGAGACACTGGTGCCTCCGACGGTGGAGGAAGAGCAAAGCCACTGTGGCCAGCAGGCAGCTGATGCCAAACAGTGCAGAGGCATCAGAGAGCTAGAGGGACAAATGGTCCGTTTCATTCTAAGACAGTTTCCTTTCCCAAAAAAGGGCACCATAGGACTGGAGAGGGAAATATTACCTGGGTGCTTTCATCATGGAAGCCCTCCAGAAAGCTCTCCAGGAGCTCGTCCGCATTGTCAATCCTCTCCGCATATTCGCCCACGATCCAAATCATGGCCGCGCGGGCATCCGGCTCGTCCAGAGAGTCCAGGTTCTCGCACAAGGTGGCAATGATGCTCTCGTATCTGGTTCACCAAGGCAAAGTTAAGCGCTTTGCTTTCTCTACGGTTGCCAACTCCTGTGGCATCCCAAATTTTCGATTCTCTGGCTCAACCTTTTCAAGCTCCTAGTCCTCAAATTTAAGAACTCTTGCTCTTGCCTCTTCTCTGCCACCCGCTGTCAGCTGTCCCCATTCCTCCATTTGGGAGGAATCTTCAACCAGCACAGCTTTAAAATATGGGAGTGAACCCCAGCTCAAGTGAACATGTGTAGGATGGAAGATTTCCATCCACTAAGAGACAGGCCTTTTCGGAGATCCCAGCCACTCGCCCCCTTCTAAAAAGGTCTGCTTGGACCCACCACTTGTCTCCTTTTTAAAGCAGGTAAAAACATGGGAGGTTTTTTTTAATCCTGATCAAACTCTGAAAACAAGGACTGAACCTCACTGCTGCTGTCAAACCACTAAAAGTTGTTTTCAGGATCCAGAAGTTGTACTTAAGGTCTTTAAAAATTTATAAATTACCTAGAAAATCACATAATTCAAAAGGAGGGTGAAAACTGAGTAAAGAAAAACAGAACACTTAGCCATGGCTCAATTTAAACCAGGTTTCTAAAATCAGCTTTCAAGTCAACGGTAATAAGCAATTGGGTTTGTTTCAAAAATGGAAGAGGGGAATTTCTGCCAGGAGAGGTGAGAAGCCAAGAAGCCCCCCCAACGCCTAAGCAGAGCTAGGACATCAACGACGGCATCAGCTGCCCCAGGGCTTTTTGCTGCAGAGGTGTAGACTGTGAGGAGCCATGCTTACTTATTGGGGTACTTGCGGAAGATGTCCCGGATCACCACGATGGCTTCCTGGACGACGTAGTTGACCTTGGTCTGGATGAGGTCCAGGAGGGTGCTGACGCAGCGCTCAGCCGATTGCTGAGAAGAGGGACAGGACAGAGGAGGAGGTCAGGGTCTAGCAGAGGCCAGGCCCCAGTGCAAACGCTGGCCAGCATCCAACCCACAACTCTGCAGCTCACCCACCACCTGGTATTATAGAAATCAGAGCGGGATTCTCCGCAGGGGAGAGGTCATAGTTCAGTAGCAGAGCACCTGCTCTGCATGCAGAAGGTCCCCATTATACACCAAAGCAGAAACGGAGGGGGGGGTCAGTTCACTTGCCTCCACCTTGATAGCACAGCGTCCAATGGCCCGCACTGCTTTGCGGACAAAATCGACATCCACCTCTGTGGCGTACTCCTTGAGCTCCGCCAGAACCTGTTGGAATCAGACAACGATATGTAGTAATGATAAAAAGGTAAAGGTAAAGGGACCCCTGACCATTAGGTCCAGTCGTGACCAACTCTGGGGTTTGCGGCGCTCATCTTGCTTTATTAGCCGAGGGAGCCTGCGTACAGCTTCCGGGTCATGTGGCCAGATGACTAAGTCGCTTCTTACGAACCAGAGCAGCGCACGGAAACGCCGTTTACCTTCTCGCCAGAGCGGTGCCTATTTATCTACTTGCACTTTGACGTGCTTTCGAACTGCTAGGTTGGCAGGAGCAGGGACCAAGCAATGGGAGCTCACCCCGTCCCAGGGATTCGAACCCCCGACCTTCTGATTGGCAAGTCCTAGGCTTTGTGGTTTAACCCACAGCGCCACCCGTGTTCCTGTAGTAATGATAATGATCACTTAATAATAAGTAAAATTTATAGTTGCACCCTCTCCCCTGCTTTGACCCAATCAATGGAATTTCCATCTTCCTTCTATTTTTTAAAAAAGTCACTGGCTGGGAACTTTGACAGGGGCGGGCTTTGGCCTTTCAAATTTCAGCAGCACCCTGTGCGAGCACAAACTTCAGCTGCCCGCCACCTCTCACCTTCCGTTCTGCTCAATTCATTACATCATAGTTGTGACGCTCTGTGGCGTCCCCTAGGCTTGGTGCCCAGTGCGGAGGAACCAGTCATGCTGAATCAGCCTCTGGCTTTTATGAAGACTCTGTTCAGGCTACTTCCTTGGGATGGGCAGCTTTGCTGGTACCTCAGTCTAAGCCCGCCCTGTCAGAGGATGCAGCCCTACCGCCATCCTCTGACTCAGAGGAGGAGTCCCCTGCAGTGCCTCTGCCTCCCTGGTCTTGCAGAAGCCAAAGGCTGCGGAAGACAGGCCAGATCCAACAGGACTCCGCTCCCTCGTTTGTCACCTGGGGGCACCCAGACTGCCTCAGGCTCCAAAAGACAGAAGGCTCACTCCATCAGCTTTGCCAAAAGCCCAGCTCCATCAGGCATCTCTTACACTGAACTGTGCCACCCGCTCATTATAAGAACAACCTTTTAAGAATTGGTGCCCGGTGTTGATTTTTCTTCTTCTTCCCTCCCTGTCCCTTTTCCTTGTGTGCTGTGTTGTTTTACGTTGCAAGCCTGTAGTTCCTAGCGAGGTTAGTGGAGAAGCAATCTTGTAATGATATTAACTGCAGATTGCAGCTTCCCATGTTTGTTATTCTGTAGAACACACACACACACACACCAAGTCAGGTATCCCCTGGCCCCCCAGAGCTGACCTGAGCAATGTTGGCCTGCGATGCCAGGCGGATCATGATGTCCAGTTTCTCCAGCTTGACATAGATGGGGTCGTTGTACTTCACAAAGAACACCTTGATCTCCTGCTTCAGGATTTCAGGTCTGAGGAAGGGAATGCATGCACAATTTATTATTGTTGTTATTAACTTATCACCAGCCCTTCACCTCAAGGTCCCAGGGTGGGTTAGGTAAAGGACCCCTGGACGGTAAGTCCAGTCAAAGGCAACTATGTTCATCTCACTTTTCAGGCCAAGGGAGCCGGCATTTGTCCGCAAACAGCTTTCCAGGTCATGTGGCCAGCATGACTAAACTGCTTCTGGCATAACGGGACACCTGACGAGTGTCAGAGCGCACAGAAACGCCTTCCCGTTGCAGCAGTACCTATTTATCTACTTGCACTGGCGTGCTTTCAAACTGCTAGGTTGGCAGGAGCTGAGGCAAAGCAACGGGAGCTCACCCCGCTGTGGGGATTTGAACCGCCAACCTTCCAATCGGCAAGCCCGAGGCTCAGCGGTTTAGACCACAGCGCCACCCACGTCCCTATCCCAGGATGGGTTACAACTGTTTAAAACACAACGTTTTACATGTGAACTGTATAGCTATTGTATGGAAATTAACAAGGGGACAATGAAAATGGATTCTTTGTGCACTAATGCTGGCTAAGAGACTGATACTAATTAATTGAAAGAATAAAGATATGATACCCTTTAATCAATGGACTGACAATATGACAACACCTGCAACTTATGAACGGACTGCTTACAGATGTAGACTTTGTTTGGATCAACATGACAACATTTGAAATGAGCTTATACAGAATGCAGAAGGCTATTAACAACCACATACCTAATAGGGTAATAACACTTTAGCAATCTATATAAGAATGTCTGGTAGTATATATTTCATTTTTGTATATATATTTTTCTCTTTCTTTTTTCTCCCCCCCTTCCCCCTTTTTTCCTTTGTGATTGAATTTTTTTTCAATAAAAATACTAACATTTAAATAATACATTTAAAACAACTTACAATCACAAAAACAGGGTGGCTCCTAAAAATACACATCTCACACACAGCAGGTGCCTTAAACAGGGATGACGTCAGGCTGTGTGAACAGCCGCCCCCCACCCACTTAGGGACTCCTCGTAAAGAGGCAAAGCCACTGCCAAAAGCTGGGATGCGTGCATGTCTCTGTCACCAAGAGGGAGCCACTCCATCAGGCTTTATTTGAGAGAGGAAAGATAAATGATTTAAATCCCCACTCAGACTTGAAGCTCACTGGGTGTGACCTTGGAGGGACAGGGTATCAGTCACTGCTTCTCAGCCTAGCCTACCTCACAGGGTTGTTGTGAGGATAGGAAAAAAGAACCATGGATCTACCTAGAGCTCCCTGGGGAATAAGGTGGGCTAGAAATGCAATCGCCGTATTTTTCGCTCCATAAGGCGCACCAGACCATAAGGCGCACCTAGTTTTGGGAGGAGGAAAACAAGAAAAAAAATTATGAATCCCAGAAGCCAGAACAGCAAGACGGATCTGGCTTCTGGGATAGCCTCTGGCTGTTCTGGCTTCTGGGATAGCCGCGTCAAGCCTCTTCAGGGCAGTGGGATGAAGGCTTCCCCGACCTGAAGAGGCTGTGCATCGCTAAGGCAGAAGAAGAAGAAGAAGAAGAAGAAGAAGAAGAGTTTGGATTTGATATCCCGCCTTTCACTCCCTTTAAGGAGTCTCAAAGCGGCTAACATTCTCCTTTCCCTTCCTCCCCCACAACAAACACTCTGTGAGGTGAGTGGGGCTGAGAGACGTCAAAGAAGTGTGACTGGCCCAAGGTCACCCAGCAGCTGCATGTGGAGGAGCAGAGACGCGAACCCGGTTCCCCAGATTACGAGACTACCGCTCTTAACCACTACACCACACTGAAGCCAGGAGAGGCGCTTTGCTGAAGGGGCGCTGCGCAGAAAGAGAGAACTGCGCAGCGCCCCTTCAGCCAAGCGGGAGGAGGAACGGAAGGAGCCCCTTCTGTTCCTGCTCCGGCTTCGCAGGAGAGGCGCTGTGCAGAGAGGGAGAACTGCGCAGCATCATTCGCTCCATAAGACGCACTCACATTTCCCCTTACTTTTTAGGAGGAAAAAAGTGCGTATTATGGAGCGAAAAATACGGTAACTGATTGGCCACAAAGAAGGGAGGCAGCCGTCCAGGTGGAAGAGTTTCCCCAAGCTGCCCCTCTAACCTTTTCTGCACGATCAGGTTGATGTTCCTCAGGGCGACATACTGGACCTCGGGCTCCCCGGACAGCAGGGTGACCAGCGGCGGGGCCAGCTTCTTCAGCAGCATGTTGTAGTAGTCAGAATCCTTGGGGAGGAGCTCCAGGAACTTCATCAGCACCTTGACAGCCGACAGCACCACGGCGGAGTTGGCGTGAGAGAGGCGGGGAGTGACTCGTTCGCAGATGCTGCCGGGGGGGAGACAGGAAGGGGACCGAGATTCAGGATACACCCGGAAAACGCTGGGAGTAACTCAACATAGTGCTAAGTTAAGTTCCTGAAGGGTGTACAAGTCGGGCTAGCAGGACGGCAAGAGGAGAGGCAGGAAGACAGCGAGGTTCTTGCACCGGGTTGCACCAACAGCCCTGACACTTCCTGTTGCACAGCCAGCTTTCTCCAGCCCTTTAACTAGAAGCCTGCCTTAATGCACATCAACAGTTGCATTTTGAAGCCTGCAAGTTTGGCAAACCAAGTTGATGGGACTATGCCGAAATGGCAAAAGCTCGGGAATCAGGAAGACGGGAAATTTTAAAAAGAAGGGGAAATGTTCATAATGTCTATACAAAATCATTGTAAGCTGGTCGAAACACTAGCAGGGTTTTAAATACACTTGTAACAAGAATGTATAGATAACCTAGGAAGATGAAAAAAATGGAGAAGTATTGATATGCAGTTGAAAACAGAATCTAAAGGACCCATGGAAGGGATGGGGGGAAGTCAGGAGATTCAGAGCAATCTCGATATTTGGATTTTGAATTGTTTTATGTTGTATGCTTATATTTTTGAAAATCAATAAAAAAGATTGTAAAAAAGAAACCTGTAAGTTTACAGAGCTACAGGGGTTTCACATCCCATTATTACCGTATTTTTCACCCCATAGGGCGCACCGGCCCATAGGGCGCACCTAGTTTTTTTTGGGGGGGGGAATAAAGAAAAAAAATTATTTCCCCCCCAAGCACGGGGCTGGGGCGGGGGAAGCCTGAGCTTCCCCCGACCCCAGCCCCCAGAACAGGCTGCTATCCGCAAGCCTTGGGAGCCCGGCGGGAACTCTCGCGGGCTCCCAAGGCTTGCGGATAGCTTCCTGAAGCCTGGAGAGCCTGCGCACCGACCCCTCTCGCTCTCCAGGCTTCAGCGAAAGCCTGCATTCACCCCATACACACATTTCCCCTTCATTTTTGGAGGGGAAAAAGTGCGTCCTATAGGGCGAAAAATACGGTATTTATAGCAAATACCACCAACAAAAATGTGAAATTGACAGGTCAATTTTTACGGTGATTTGAAATCTGAACTTGAACCCCCTTAATATGTTGGCAGCCTTCTTTCCTGAGGTTCCCTCTCCTTTCTTTAAGTTAATTATCTTATTTTTATTTTTATTTTCTTATTTTAAAAGGCAAGTCATATGAAGTGAGAGACTGCGTTTCAGCTGCTGACATCCTCCATGGCTATTTCCATGCTTTCCCCAGTGTCTGTTACAAGAATCCTGCAGCAAGGGGCTCCACAAGTCAAATGTATATTACTCTAGAGGCGTCACATGCCTCTGCCCACAGATGTGAAGCTGCTGAGCCAGGAGGAAGCAAGTGGAGCTAAGGGACAGGGGTCTGCAATCCGAGGCCCACATACCTCTGGGCTTCACGGTCATCCTTTGGGTTGTAGTTGGAGAGGCAGTCCAAGATGAAGATCTGTCCCCACTCAGTGCACTCGTTCAGAGCAGTGAGCAGCTTATTGATGTTCTGGGGATTCAGGTCCAGCAGGTTGCTGTTCGGGTGAGATTCACTGATTTCGGACAATGCAGCTACAGCGTTGGCCACCACCTGCAAGAGGGAAGGGGAAAGGAACAATCCATGCTTTCGAAATCTTGGCTGAGATTTTGTGGAGGCGTTTTAATGCAGAACCAAAGGGCTAAACTTGGAATTATATAAAGAAGCAAGATAGTCTCTGAGCATATATAAAGCAATTATGCACACCAGCAAAACTCCAAGTAAAACCAGTCCACAGTTATCTGGGAGTAGAATTGGGGCTGACCATTTGTGACCCTCGACCTCACAGGATCTCACAGGATCCTCAACCTAATTTCATGTGGGTGGCAGAGAGAGAGAGAGAGAGAGAGAGAGAGAGAGAGAAAGAAAGGTGGTTCCACTCAGGGCGCTGTAATGGTTAAGAGTGTCAGACCAGGACCTGGGAGACCAGGGTTCAAATCCCGACTCGGCCATGCAACTCACTAGGTGAGCTGGGCCAGTCCCTGCCTCTCTCAGACCAAACCTCTCTCACAGGGGTGTTGTAAGGACCATCATTTTCAATACAACCCTCGCTGCAAGCCTGGCAAATCTGGAACAATCCTCAATGTTCAAATAACACAAATATTCTTCCTTTATGCAAAGGCAACATTTGTTCTCCATTTTTTTTCCTTTCACTATTTGGGCTTTGTTACTTAACCCATATGGAACTGTGCTTATTCTACATGCCCCCTTTATGGTTTCTTTTTTTTATCTGTTAATTTTCTTCTGTTGCTATATAACAGTCCTGTCTGTTTTATATGCATTATAACATAAAATACAATTAAAAAAAAATCTTTGCCAAAAAAAAAGTAGGCTTGAGCCCCAGAACCTCTATTTAAAAATAAAAATAAAAATTAGCCCCAAACATGTGGAAGGAGCAGCATTCTTGGCTCCCTAAGCATTGTTATTTTTTAATTCCAAAGAGTGCCAGCTCAGAGCGACGTGGGTTTGTGTGTGAGAGAGAAACTGGGGACGTGAACGATCCTTCACTGCCAATTCAGCAGTGAATAAAATGACTTAATGAACAAGGGGGTGGGGGGTGGAAGGGAGAGGAGGGAGAAAGAAGCCTGTCTCTCTCCATCAAGCAGAGAAGGGGGAAATGTGATAGACGGGGAAAGCAGGAGGGGATCCGGGACACCAGGAGGAAGAGCAATTAGATTACTTTTGTTATTATCCAAGGCTAATTGGAAATTAAACCAAGTGTGGAATGTGGCTAATGGAGGGGAATGCGCCTGCCATTTAGAGGCCCTGAATCTTAGACTCAGCCACCTGTTAAGTGCCAGGAAGGGAAGGAGGTGGATGGAGGCAGCACCAGGAGGTGGAGGAGGAAAGATGGTTAGGGAGAGGGTGGCAAATAAAGGTGAGGCTGGCTCTGCGGTGCTGAGCAGCACATAAACACCCTTCTGCTGCCTTAGACAGAGCCTGTTCATATCAGCATCTATGCTGCCTGGCAGCCCTTCTCCAGGGTGCCAGGGAGGGAGTCTTTCCCAGCCCTCTCTGCAGATGCCACCAGGGACTGGACCCCAGGGCCTGCAAAGCCCCTGAGCTATGGTCCTTCCTCTGAAAATGAAGTGTGATGCTAGTCCTCATGTTTCTGCATAATGGGAACGTAGGAAGCTGCCTCGTACCAAGTCAGACCATGGGCTCCATCTAGCCCAGCGCTGTCTACACTGACTGGCAGCAGCTCTCCGCTATATTTGCAGATGAAATGAAATGAGGCCAAGTGGCAAAGAAGTCATTTTGAGCTCTTTGGCCCACAAAACGTTTTAGCTCATGTGAGATTCTTTTTCCAAGATTTGCCAAGTCTTAGGATACTAAAATAGCCCGGATTATTGAGCTCAAAAGTCTTCCAAAGCTTAGCGATTGCGGCCCGGGGAGCAGTCAAAAGATGCCAGACGAGGTCTCCATCTGAATCTACAAATTCAGAAGAGGCAAGCCAGGGAAGGGGGGAGTGAATCCTTTTCCAATGAGATCTCAGAAAATGCTTTTGTCCAGAACCTGCTGGTGCCATCGCTGCGCCCTGATGCTTGCCAGAATGGATGGGATCTGCAATCCAACAATATCTGGAAAGAGGCCCACACCGCTCTCCTGGATTTGGAGCCGTGCTGTTTTTTGGCATCGGTTTTGCTTCTTTTTTTTACAGCAGAGAAGAAAAAGAAAAGCAGGAGGGTGGAAAAGTAAAGGTTTTCACTTAAAAAAATAATAATGTGGCAGTCAACAAAGGATGTCGAAATGATTCTGGGAAAGGAGGGGGGGAGAGAGAGAAAAGATCACAGCAGCAAGAAGAACAGAACATGCCAGACAATGGACCCCTTGCAAAGAGCTGCTTTCGTTTGGCGTTAAAAATAAGAGCGGCAGAAGTGAAAGGTTAAGGGGGTGCGTTTGACTGTTTTGTTCTGCAGCAGATCTGCAGGTGGGGGAACAGGGACGGGGAGGGTTCAACAGCCTGCCCACGGCTACCTAGGGACTCACCACACTGCGTCTTTGTACCAGAGGGGAGAGGAGGTCAGGTATAACCCCCCTCCCCGACCAGGCAGCCATCTCCAGTTCCTCAGATTTCAGAACATGCCCACGCCCAAAGTGGGAGGAATAGCCACAAGTGATCTATTTCCGGTAGGACCTAGGAATCTAGAGAGCCAGTGTGGTGTAGTGGTTAAGAGCAGAAGACTCGTAAGTCTGGGGAACCAGGTTCGCGTCTCCGCTCCTCCACAAGCAGCTGCTGGGTGGCCTTGGGCCAGTCACACTTCTCTGAAGTCTCTCAGCCCCACTCACCTCACAGAGTGTTTGTTGTGGGGGAGGAAGGGAAAGGAGAATGTTAGCCACTTTGAGACTCCTTAAAGGGAGTGAAAGGCGGGATATCAAATCCAAACTCTTCTTCTTCTTCTTCTGTTTTGAAACAAGCCAGGCCTTCTGGTCTGCTTGGTCCAGCATGATCACTCTGACCGCCAACAATTCAGGATCTCGGGCACAGAGATAAGGACATAGGAAGAACCTCCTGGATGGCCCACCTAGTCCAGCATCCTGTTCTCACAGTAGCAAGCAAGACCTGAGCACAGCAGTCCTCTCCCCTCCTGCGTTTTCCAGCAACTGGTATTCTGAAGCATCGCTTCCTCAAACTGTTTAGGCAGAGCACTGCCATCGCGGCCAGCAGCCATCCATCAAAGAATCACAGAGCTGTAGAGCTGGAAGGGACCCCGCGGGTCATCAAGGGCAACCCCCCGCAATGCAGAAATCTTAACGCGCAGTCCCTCATCCAATCTGAAACCGTTATCAGACCCTGCTTAGCTCTGCAGATGTGCTAGAGGTTTTCTTGTTTCTGTCTAATCCTTTAAAGTGGCCCACCATCAAAGAAAGTCAAACAAGGAAGTCCCTGGAATTGCACTGCCGGCCCCCCCCCCCTACGGCCCCCTCCAGCTAGAACAAAACTGCATCTCCTGCCTTGTGCTGCCCCCTTGTGGCTCGTCTTCCACAGCTACAGGAGAAACGGCCCAAAGTGCATCCGGCTTTCGGGAACCAGTTGCAGACTCTGACAAGGAAGACTTGGGTTATAGACAAGGGCCTCCATTGACCCCCTGGGGCTTCCCAGCCTTCCTGCTGCTATGTTGTTTGCTCTCCGCATGAGGGGTGCAACCCGAGGCCTTCTCCTTTTTCTCTTGGAAGCTGGTGTGGCACAGCGGATAGCAGAATGGGCCACCAATCAGAACACACATGCCCTCCCCTAAAGTACATTTCGCTTCTGGCAAACCGCGTCATTTCTCATGCACAACATGGGAAATAATAATACTGGCCCAATTCACAAGGCCGTTTCAGGGATTCCAATAGGATGAGGTTCGCAAAAGGCTTTGGATGCTCAAAAACACTAGATAAAGAACACTCTCGCCCTTCTCTGGCCATCTCTCATTCCCCCCGGGGCTTCTGTGACATCACTGCAGTTCAGCCAATGGGGAGACACAAATCCCCAGGTTTTAACAGTCAACCTGTGCTCACTTCACAAGCTTCACCTTTTCAAGTTGCTGGTATGTTGTTGTTGTTGCTGTTGTTATTCATTAAATTAATATCCCAACCTTTCCTCCGAGGAGCTTAAAGTGGCATACATTGTTCTCTCCCCTCCCATCATACCCTCTGAACACTCTTGTGAGGCAGGCAAGGCTAAGATAGGCAGACAGAGACTGACCTAAGGTTACCTTGTAAGCTGTAAAGCTCAGAGAAAATTTGGGCCTCAGTCTCCCTCTTCTCATTCCATCACTCTAACCGCTCTACCACACTGCTGCTTTCAGCAAAATGACTGGATCCCCTGCACTCAACCTGCAAAACGTCCACGTTCTCAGCTTTAATAGGACGCTTCCGTCTTTCGCAATGCCCAAAAATTGAGTCCCCACAGGACAGCAACACAGATTTTCACCTTTTTGCTGTAGGATTTTTGTCTTGGCATTTCAGGGGTTGTATATAAATAGGGCTTTTTTAACCTGGTGACAGTTAAATAAAGACTTAAGACATAGAAAAGGCATTCTTTTTACACTCCCCAACATAAGGAGACAGTTGCTTTGGCGAGAACACTGCGTCTCTGAGAAACCATCAATATTCATGGGAGGAGGTCTGAACAGAACCAGCTTGGAATGCTGCCTTTCAAAAGCCAGAAAGGCATCTAATTTCCTAGCAAAGGGCTGGCCGGGGGGAGAGAAGCAGCAGCTTCCAGCAAAATGTGAGGGCAGCAAAGTCAGACACTTTCGGAGCCATTGTCTCAGGAAAAACCAGAAGATCAAATTCAGAACAGATCGTCCTGAGGTTCCTTGTTTGTGGAAGGGACTCTGGCACTTGGCCAGCAAATACATCACTATCAAGAGAGGCTCAAGCCGGCGGGATTGGCATTCCGGTCCATTTGTTCCATTACGGGCCCAGAAAGTGGGAAACCCGGACAATGGCACAAACACCCCAGGATGAACGGGCTGCAACCAGATGTCACCTCCACCACCACCAACTACGCGCAACAAGAAAGGGAGAGGAGGTTTGGGAATCTGTTCTCGATGGCAATTCTGGCCCTAACTTGCTTTGACTGGCCTGGTCAGAACTGGATGTATTTGAAGCTAGTAACTTAACATGGTGAGTTATCAGGAGCCTTCAAGGCAGGGCATTAGAAAAGTCTGCCCACAGCAGCTGCATTCAGCCCTTTGGGGAGACCTTAGAGGCTAGGCCTTTAGATAATCCAGACCAGCCTTCCCTGCAGATGTTTTAGACTACAAACCGCCCTCCTCGCCAATCTGGATATAACCTGCCCGGAGAAGGGTGCTCTCTGCTTACCTGCTGGTCATCTCAAAGGCTTGTTTCCTGCCACAGATGATTACCCAAATGAACACATGAGAGTCTGGTAAATTGGAGATGATCCCAAAAATCTGACAGCCTGTAAGCAGGGACTCTGCACACAGACCAACTATGACCTGTGCACACGCATCAAGATTTGGAGATTAAGGGGTTGACTAAAGGCCCCACCACCAAACGTCCAAATGTAAAGTTCCCTGGTGTTGGGGGATTAATTCTGTTTGCCAGCAGGGGTGGGCAGGCATCTATCTCAGCACCCCATGGTAGATGAGATCATGACCAACCAACGCCATCACTGACTCCCCAAATCCCTATGGGGATTCAATCTACTTGACCCTACTGGAACAAGAGCACTTCTCCCTGGTCCTAACCCAGAAGAGCTGGCAGCTGCCATCCCAGTTGGCAGAAGGCGCCCCTGTAGAGACATCCTCATAACTTTTGAAGACACACCTGTTCAGACAGGTAGGCCCCTGATCTCTCAACCTGTGTCTGCCATGTTGCTTTAATACGATCGTTTCTATTGCATCTTTTCATTATGGGTGTTTACGTTCTAATATTTCACATGGAATTGTTCTACTGATAACCAGCAGCCACACATCGGACCTCACTTGTGAATTCTAAGGGGCAAGGAAACTTGTGCAGTTTCAAAACCAGTGGTTAAAAATCAGTGCTGTCTATCATCTTAATTCAAAATGGTCTCTGCCTGTACCCAAACAGTCAAAAACCTCCTCCTTGGTCTCAGGAACCATAATGTAAAATGGTTCTCCAGCTGTTGTTGGACTACAACTCCCATCATCCCTAGCTGGCAGGACGAGTAGTCAGGTGGTGATGGGAATTGTAGTCCAAAAACAGCTGAAGACCCACGTTTGGGAAACCCTGGCCTACATTGACCAACAGTGGCTGTCCAGGATTTCAGACACAACTCTTTTCAAACCTGTACCCAAGCATGATTCTAGTTCTCATTGTTCTGAGTAAAGGCTTGAAACAGGAACATAGGAAGTTGCCTTGTGCTGAGTCAGACCAGTGGTCCATCTAGCTCAGCACTGGCCACAATGACCGACAGGGTTTCAGACATCCCCACTTGGAGATGCCGCTGGGGACCGATCCTGAGGCCTTCTGCACGGAATGCAGGTGCTCTGGCGCTGAGCTACACAGCGCCACAATCCTGCGCACATACACACTTGCGTTAGCCGAGAAACATTATGCCAAGCATCAAGGAAGCGTCCCCTGCGGGAGGAGTACTTTATTTACCATGGGATTGGAGTCTGCAATGAGGTCGCGAAGGGAGTCCAGGAAGCCCTGGTCCTCCACCATCTGGGCGTTGATGTCATGCAGCTTGGCCACGCAGACGGCCGCCGTCTTCCGCACGTAGGGGTCCTCGTCCTTCAGGCACTTGCGGAGCGGCTCACACAGGTACTCGGTAATTTTGTCCACGCGGATGCAGCCCATGGTGCGCACCGCCAGCGCACGGATGAGAGGGTTGGGGTCTTCGCAGTCCTGGGGGGGGGGAGAGAAGCAGGTCGTCACAAAGGTGTTCTGTGCAGTTTCACTCCCCCAGAGCGAGAGAGTTTGAGTCCCGCCACTTCCTGGGACGCAATCAAGTTGCTTCAGGGCTGGACTGCTGCAATGTGCTCTATGTGGGGCTTCCCTTGCGCTTGGCCTGGAAGCTGCAGCGAGGGCGGGATGCTGCGGCACGACTGCTGGCAGGAGTGAGGCCATGTCAACATGCAACGCCTCTGCTCAGAGAATGGCACTGGCTGCCAGTTTGCTACCTGGGCAAGGTCAAGGTGTTACTATTGGTGTATCAAGCCCTTAGGAACTTGGGATCATTTTACGTGTGAGATTGCCTTACCCTGTATATGCCCACTCAACCATTTCAATCTGCTGGCATGTAATACCTGTTCCGCACCTTTGGTGTGGCCACACAGACGCTCTGGAACTCCCTGCCTATTGACACCAGACAGGCACCTTTACTGTACTCTTTTTAACACCTGCTAAAACAATCTTGGGACACGGGTGGCGCTGTGGGTTAAACCAGAGCCTACGACTTGCCGATCAGAAGGTCGGCTGTTCGAATCCCCCTGATGGGTTGAGCTCCCGTTGCTCAGTCCCTGCTCCTGCTAACCTAGCAGTTCGAAAGCACGCCAGTGCAAGTAGATAAATATGTACCGCTCCGGCGGGAAGGTAAACGGTGTTTCTATGCGCTGGTCTGATTCGCCAGAAGCAGCTTAGTCATGCTGGCCACATGACCCGGAAGCTGTACGCCGGCTCCCTTGGCCAATAAAACAAGATGAGCGCTGCAACCCCAGAGTCGGCCATGACTGGACCTAACAGGGGTCCCTTTACCTTTACTAAAACCATCTTGCCTAGATGACCCTACCCAGATTTGCAAAATGTTGACATGTGTTGTAACCTGCCTTGATTTAACCTTTGACTTTTTAATTATTCGCCGAATGTTTCAAAAAGGCCTTTTTAATTGTTCGTATTTTACTGTTTCATTCTTTTCGTAAACCGCTCTGAGGTCTTTTTTTCGCTTAAATCATGCAGTATATAGATTTTATTAAATAAAGCCATTCTCCTAAAGATGTGCAGCCCTGCCTGAAGATACTGAGGCTTGAACTTGCGATGCTCTTTCACTGAGCAGTCGGAGGACATGCTGCCTATAAGGATGTCATCATAACATCGGGGTTCCTTCTGCATGCAACCCGGCCATCGCGACAACTGGCACTTTGCTGGCATGTAGTAAAATTAAAGCACCCATATTTTCCCAACTGCCCCCATTACCTTCACAAAACTGTTGACTGCCATGATGGCCATATCCGGCTGGCTTTTGGCATAGTTCATCAAGTACAGGTAGACCAGCTTCTTCAGCTCCAGGTTGTCGGTCTGCATGCAGTTCACTACATCTGGGAAAAGGGAGCTAGATGATAGATAGAGAGGGAGGGAAGGAGAATGTTGAGTTGAAGCAGGAACCCTGAAACTGGAAGCAGACCTCCAATATTCCAAGCAAATTATTATTATTATTATTATTGGGAATATTTATTTACATTTTAAAGGAATAAATCTCAAAGCGGTTTAACGACACACTAAAACATCTAATTAAACATTGCTGAAGTATACATTCAAAGCAACGTAATTAACAGGAAAGTCAAATACTATCTTAAAGATTTCAAAACAAAACACTGCAGAAGAGATCAACTACTGAATGCACGTTTAAGAAATATAATGACCTTAAACAGTTTGAAAGAAAACATTACCAAAGGCAGTCAAACATAAAACACACTTTTAAAACAGATCTGCATTGCCTAACAGTAGGGCCGGCCCCAACGGAGGAAAAACTGAAGCGTGGAGACCTAACTCAGGGTCTCAGGTCAGACTTGCAAGCTGGTGGGTGTGGCTGGGCCAAAACAGCCTGGCAGGCCTGATTCAGCCCATGGGCTGGAGGTTCGCCACCACTACCAACTGCCCTACAGAATTTGGCAATAGGGGATCGTATGACCCTCCTGTTTTTGCTGGACTGCCCATGATGTGTTGGGGCTGATGGGAGCTGGAATCTCAACAATCTTTAGAGGAGGAACATTTTCCCCTGAGTATGCCCAGAGATTGCTTCCTCCATGACAGCAAAGAGTCCCAGACACATGGACCAGGGGTGGGGAGCCTGCCGCTCTCCCAGTGTTGCTGGACTAAAACTCCCCTCACCCCTAGTGACTGGGCACGGTGCACTGGGGCTGATGGGAGCTGGATGGCAGCAATGGCTGGAGGAGAGACGCAGCTTCCTGCATCCCTGCTAGAGGGCTCCAGCACTGCGGAGACAGAAAGAGAGGGAAAGGGGTGTTACCTTATGGGTAAAAGCATATTGGGAAATGATACATAATGAATTGAAAAAAATGTTCAAATGTACTTTCCCAAAAAAACCAGAGTCCTTTCTGTTGGGGATAATTCAGATTGAAATCCCCAGGTGTCAGAAAGGTTATTTATGTATGCCTCTACTGTGGCCCATGTTTTGTTAGCTCAAAAATGGCAAATGAGCAAGGTCCCAACCAAAGAAGAATGGCAACTTAAGTTGGCAGAATATGTGCATCTTGCAGACTTAACATATAAAATAAGAGAACAAGAAGAACATACATTTAGAGAAGACTGGAAAACATTTATTGAATATATGGGAAATAATTGTGTACAGCTGAAAACGCTGGCAGCATTAAGATAAATCCAACAGTGTAAATAAGCTTTGATGGATGTAATAATGGAATACAGAACGGTATGGTTTTTGTAAAATATGCAGGGATTTATGATATGTAAAATGAACCACAGAAAGAGAAGGAGCGAAGTCATTGATATCGTAATGATGTAAAAATGATTACTTTAAATTGTAAAACAGAAAATTTAAATATATATATGAGTGTTACCTGACATCCTTCCCCACGGTCATGGCAGCAATGACCTTCTTCACAGCTTCTTTCCTCTTCTCCTTCTTCTCATTGTTGAGCTCCGCTTTCAGTTCAAAGATCTCCCCTAAAATGAAATGTGAGGCCGTGAGAGAGAGCCACAGTGTACAGAAATAATATGGCATAATGATTACTCCTGTTGGTTTGGGCCAATGGCCCATCTAGCCAAGGACCCTCTTCTCAAAGCAGCCAACCAGACGCCTGTGGGAAATGTACAAGAATCCAAGCACAACAGCATTTTGCCCTCCTGCAGCTTCCACCAACTGGTATTTCAGAAAGCATGCCTCCAACTGTGGCAGCAGAGCATAGCCATCATGGCTAATGCCACCAATAGCCCCCTCTTCCAGGAAAAGGAATTCCCCACCGCTCAGGTATCATGCAGTATACCCAGTATACCTGAAGGAGCATCTCCACCCCCATCGTTCTGCCCGGACACTGAGGTCCAGCTCCGAGGGCCTTCTGGAAGTTCCCTCCCTGAGAGAAGCAAAGTTTTAGGGAACCAGGCAGAGGGCCTTCTTGGTAGTGGCGTCCGCCCTGTGGAAATCCCCCCCATCAGATGTCAAAGAAATTAACAACTACTGTATCTGACGTTTAGATAAGGCAGTCCTGTTCAGGGAAGTTTTTAATGACTGATGTTTTAATGTATTTTTAATCTTTTGTTGGAAGCCACTCAGCCACTCTGGGGAAACCGAGCCAGATGGATGGGGTATAAATATATTATATTATTATTATTATTATTATTATTATTATTATTACTACTACTACTACTACTACTATATTCAACCTAAACAGCAGGAAAATTGCTTTAGAATCCATCTAGAACATTTCCCAAGAACTGAAACGGAGACTGATTCAGCAAAACCTAATATTCTGCAGACACGGACTCGGCGATGGTTTTATAGGATGGCTGCCAACACGTTTCCCTCAAACCCAGTGGAAAGAGAGGTGGCATGGAAGGAAGAGCCTCCATGTGATCTAGCATGCTGCCTAGGCTTTTGAACCACATCTGCATCATTCCCAAATCCTGCCCCCCCCCGCAACCTAGGTATCTCTAGAAACAAGCTGCAATATCACATTAATGAGTGGAATCTAACCTTTTTTATTGGTGGTGAAATATTTGGAGTCCGTCATGATTTCAAGTTCTTATCACACCTGGAAACAAACAATATAGCAATATTTTAATGCTTAATAATAATAATAAAACCTTATGCCGTTTACATAAAATGGTACAAAATAGTTCTTTAGAGAAGAGCAGACATAATACAATTATCAAAATACATTTAAGAATTAGGCTTTATACTCTTCCGGATGCTCTGAGAATTAGGTAAGAGGGAACTTTATCAATTTGAAGCATTAAAGAAAAACTCTCCTGGGTCAGACCAAAAGTCCATCTAAGAGCACTTTTATCAACAGAAACCCACTGGAAGATCCCAGGCGGCTCTCACAGACATCTCCTGCTTTTTTCTAGCACCTGTCAGAGAGAGGTATTCTGTTTCTCCATTTTTAATCCTATATTCACAAAGGGTCACACAGAAATCCACCCATATCCATAATCCATCACCTTTTTGCCCAGTCTTTCCGTAAGTTTTGGCACTGTCATGTTATTCACTCATTCTTTTTTTTGCATTCAAATCCTGCCCTATATATACATATATACATATAAACATACATATATACATACACACACCCCACCCTCTCATAAAATATCAGGGTGGCATAGAGCAATATAAAATTTGTATTAAATAAAAATGATTTTAAAAATAAGTAGGAAATCGATCTTCCAGTATGGTCGTACCAACACTTCAGAACTTCCTGTCTATCAACATCAGGTAGGTTGCCTGTTTAAAATGAAATTGTTGAGGTAAGTCTTTCCAGACACACAGATGTGTTTTAATCTCTTTCACCATTAATTCTAATTATTTTAAAACAATTTTACCTGCTTTTTCTTGGCAAATTAAATATCGTTTGTGAACTGCTTAGAAGTTTTACTACAATCAAGCGGTGTGTATAAATTTTGTAGGGAGAGGAACTTTTTTTTTAAAAAAATCATCCAAAGCAGTAGACAACAATAATTAAAATGACTGGCTGAATAAAAAGTATTTTAAACAGCTGCATAGCCTGTTGGCACACACAAAAAAATCTTTCAGAGAAACTCCTGAAAGTTAAAAGCAAGGATGCCTGCTGAATCTCTGCTGGAAGGGCCTTCCAAAGAGACACTAAATATCTGACTTCTGGATGAGGCCATCCTGTATCCCTAGAAGAATTCACATAATTCATTTATTTGCAGAACTATTTTATATTTCTGATCAGTAGGGGAGGCCAGTGGGCGATGGTGGCTATGGAATGCCCTCTCTAGGTGGAACTTAAAACACTCCTATCCACCCAGGCCTTTGACGGCCAAAATATACTGTTCCAGGAAACCCTGAAATTATTCAAAGTGAAGATATGTGATTATTATTATTTCTTAAAATGTGTTTAGGGGTTATTAGCATTTTGAAATGGGATTTTATTTTAATGGCATTGTTTTGCTGTCTGCCGCCCTGGGCTCCTTTGGGAGAAAGGGTTGGGAAATTTAGATAGATAGAAATTAGATAGAAATCTAATTGACAACAATAATGCAGGATGCTGGCATTTCGAGATTGCAGATGTTTTCCCATCCCTGGGTAAAATTAGTAGGGAGGGATGCCTGAGCAAGTTTTTTAAACCAGGGACAGATGGAAAACCTCCCATAGAGTCATCTAGCCACCCCACAGCAGTCTAAGCAGGAGGGGTGCCTCACCAGTGGCAGTGCATTTTTCTAGGAACCAAGATCTGATAGACCAAAAGGTGGTTTTGGCAGGTGGGGAGCATCTAATGACCTATTGCGCCAAACCAAATTCCTGGGAACTGTGAGGAGGGGAGGTAGATACATATCCTTTACTGGAAATTTATTTTTGTTCGTTGAATTTATATAAATATTACCTGGGCTGCTTACAAAGAAACAAACAGTGCTAAAAAGTACAGTATATACCATGATTCCAATAATCAAAAAGCAATAGGAGGTAAATACTAATAAAAATTACAAGACTTAAAGGAACCTGGATTTAAAGCAGAATTAAAATGCCTGAGTGAATGAACAGGGTGAGTGAACCTGGCACAGAAAAGACCAGAAATTAAGATTCTGATAACAGCATGAAGAAATCTGATCTATTTCTCTAGCTATGATACAAAGCCAGGGGTCAAAATTGCAATCTGACACTGAGGCAGAATTTTGTCACTGATGCATTCAAATTTAAGGGGGGTGGGTTCCAAGTAGTCCTGGAAACAAATCCATGTTGTAACAGGACAAATCTTTATTTGTGTAAGATTCAGAAATGTTGATATAAAGGATGCAGAATAGATTTCCCAAGGCCTCATCAGATCCTAGTCCTAGCATGTATAAAGGGTCAGACTGCCCTCTGAGAAACTGCAAAGTGCATTTCCCTCTGCATATACAGAGTGAGTCCTTTAAAAGAGGCTCCGTGGATACAGATTACGCATGTTCCACAGGGACTCTTTTAAAACACTCACCCTGTATTTCCAGAATCAAAACAGGAGGGATTTCCAGTGCAAAAAGTCTTTATTTCTGGCCCAGGTTAAAAATCCAGTCCACCACTCCAGCTTCTCCAGCCCTTCTGGCTAAACTGGGGGGTGGGGGCATGGGTAGAAGCTCTCCTCCGAAAAACATTTGAGTCTGCTCTAAGCCTTTCCTCTTTGGTTTAGTTTGGGACCTGTTCAAATTAAATGAACAAGGATGATCTGCTATGCTCTCTCTCTCTGTCAGACTCAGAACACCCCTTCCAACCTGGAAATCTGAATCCAATTACAAAGATTTGGGATGAGAAACCCAACAAGAAAGAGTGAAGGTTTCAACTGGCCTTTGCATGGAGGGGGCACTACCCCACCCCAGTTTCCAAACCCTAAAAAGGCAGCAGAGGAAGGAGAGGAAGAGGCAGGTTTAGGAGGGGAGATAAAAAGAGGACAGAATCTGCCTCCATCCCATGCCAGAATCTCGACCAATTTCAACCCTCTCCAATATTCCATTTTATGTTCATTTATACCAAATCTCCAAGACACTCCTCCACCCCCAGAAGACTGTCTCTGACCTGACCCAGCCCTGCCTCCATTTATAAGACCAGGGCCAGTTCCCACTTTCCCTCTCTCCACCTGCACCAGTGAAAAGGGGAAGGGTACCTAATTTTCAAGCAACCTCCACTGTAGAAACCCCACTGGAGTTCCCCCCACCCAAACCCCAGGTCCTCCCATTCCTTCACTCCAAACAAGCCCATCCTTCATTTTCTCCAGCCTCCCATCACAACCAACTCCGAATGCCTTTCTTCATTCACTGGGATGCTCCACGATCTCTGTCACCTGCCCCCCACATGCTGCCCCACTGCAGGGACAACTCTACCTTGCAATATTGCACACACCGTACAGACTGTAGGTAAGCCACTCTGGGCGCCTTTGGGGCTGGGTACAAATAATCTAAATAAACACTCAGGTGCATAAATGATTAAACAAATTACATTGTTGTTGTTATTAATAATAATATTAATAACACTGCCAAGGCCCTTCACCTTGCTCCATAATAATAATAATGGTAAAAGCAATAATGGCAATAATAATATTACTGCCAAGCCCAACCCCCCCCCCAGCACAACCTTGGGGTAGGGGGGAAATAAAGAATCCTTCTAGTCTGGGGGAGGGGCACGCAGCCCCCCCAGCCCTCCTGAAAGGCATGCCCCTCCCCCACCCCATCTCAAGCCCCTCCTTGGAGGGAGCCCCAATTCCAGCCCTCCCCCCTCAGCAAGCAACAGAGGGCTCCCCTAAGCCTAGCAGCCCCTCCCCCAATGGATGCTGCCCCCTTTTTCGGAAAGGAGAAGGGATGTGCCCCTCCCCTATTTCCTCTCGCCCAGCCCAAAACAGAGGTCTCCGTCGCCCCCCTCCCCGTTTCGAGACACCCCCCCACCAATTCCCCCGAGGGGCGGGGCCACCCGAAGGGCCCCTCCCCCCCGACTCACCTGCAAGGGGGTGGCGGGTCCTCGAGAGCCTCTTTGGCTGGCGGGAGGGGGGGCAGCAACGGCCGCGGAGAGCCACAAGCAGCTCGGCTGGGGAGGCGGCCGGAAACCGGGATGTCTCGGAGGACCAACCACCCGTCCCCGCCACGCCTTCTCGCCTAGAGCGTCGCGCGGCCACAGAACTTGAGGGGCCTAGGTCGGCCCACGCTCACTTCCGGCCGGAGGGACATAGATATAGAAAGGAGTGAGTGGCCCATGTGCATACCTGACGCCGCACTTGTTCGTTTCTTTTTTTTTGTTTATTTTTAAATGCCGCTCATCATACTCTCAAAGAAGATATAAATACGGGGCTTTTTGAACCACGGAGATGACGAAGGCTAGGGAGGAGACGCTTTACCTTCCCCCACCGGCAATAGCGGGTTTCCGGCCATTGCAGGAAGTTCCACCCTCCTTATCATACTACTACTTCCTGGAAAATGTTCAATTTTATATAGGAATAAAATCTTCATTATTGCATATATCTGTGCGTGTATGTCAATACGCATTTTTTATATTTAGTAAAAAAAATATTATATAATATATTTATATTGCTTGCTATATTATACATTATTTATACAATATATTAATATGCAACAAAATAAGATGCCTCATGCCTTAGCCCCTTCCTAACTCTACCTTACCATAGAGATGAGGAAGAAAGGCTAGAATAGGCTTCCCCTGAGCTACTTCCGGTCTCACATTTGGACCAGGAGACAAGGAGACCCATGGAGTGCAGGAGGATCTGAGGTTGTGCTAAAAGGGAAGCGCGGGGAAGGGGAAGAAAGGGAAGACCCCAGCTCCTAATAATAATAATAATACCCCGCCCATCTGGCTGAGTAGCCCCAGCCACTTTGCCTTTCCTTCTCCCGAGGGGTGGCTGGTGATGGGGGCACAGACACAGGAAGCAGCCTCATGCAGAGTCCGGCCATTGCTTTGCATAGCTCAGTATTACCCACACTGACTGGTAGCAATAGCTCTCCAGGGTCTCAAGCCAGAGTCTCCCCCTATCCTATCTGGAGATGCCACCGGGGCTTGAACTTGAGACCGTCCTCACGCCACCCTCCCTCCTTCCAAGTTCAGGTGCTGTAATTTCCCAGCCTTCAACTTTTCCAAAGGCTAGGAGCTTGTGAAGCTTCGAGTCCAAAGCAGTAGGGCATCAGATTGTACACCGAAAGTTGATCGCTCCTGACGCTCCTCCAAATCCAGAAGCTTTGTGCACCCTATAAACAGCAGCTTGCAGTAACCATTTTTGTTCTTTCCGTAAGATTTCAACAGCAATCCGGATTTTCCATTCCAGAAGACGCCATGGCAGAGCATGGGGCTCACCTCACTGCGGCCTCCATCTATGAGGACAGGCCATCCATCTTTGAGGTCGTTGCCCAAGACAGCTTGATGTCAGCCGTGAGGCCCGCACTGCAACATGTGGCCAAGGTAACAAAAATGCCCCATGGGCAGCATTCCACCCTGCTGAGTGGTATTCAGCAGGATGGCCTACTGCTACTTCTCTGTGCTTCTGGGACCGGCCCAAGATGGCTGTAAAAAAATGTTTTAAGTGTATTGTAAGGTGCATTATACAAATGTGACACTAGATGGCAATTGCGAGCTATGGCAAAATCAATATATTTTTCAAAACTTTTTTTTAAAAAAGCATTTTCACATTTTTATTTGTCTAGATTCGACCTATAGCTACTGCTGATTTCAATCATCCATTGAATATTTTTTATATACCTGCTTGTCCAGTAATTCTAATGCTTTATATTTTTATAAACAGCTTCAATCAAACAATATATAAAAATTTTGTTAAGTGAAATAACTCAGTAAGCAGCCCGGAAGCTCAGGAGAACCTAGGAAGCTGTGTTTTACCTTGCATGCTTTTGCAAAGGGGCATCTGTTTGGCCACTGGGAGGCTACTGGACTCGATGGCTCTTTGACCTGGTCCAGAAGGGCTCTTAATTCTTATACCATTGTTCCATCTAGCTCAGGATTGTCTACAGCCTTCCCCAAATGAGTGCCTGCCATGCTGGCTGGGGCTGAGAGTTACCCCTGAGAAAATGCAGCTCTTATCAGGGATGGGGAGGGGGGAGACTTCCTACCCCTTACTTAGGCCTTGCTTTCTCTTGCGCCAGGTGCTGGCTGAATCCAACCCTGGCCGTTACGGCTTCCTGTGGCGCTGGTTTGACGAAATCTATGCCCTCCTGGATCTGCACCTCCAGCATCACTTCCTCTCAAGGTGCAGCGCCTCTTTCGCTGAGAACTTCTACAGCTTGAAGAGAGTGGTGATGAGTTATGGGGGCAGCAAGCCCAGGCAGAGGCGCTCAGTCACTGCTGGGTTGCCACGTAGGCCTCACTGGAAGTCCCTCTGCCTGCTGGTCCTCGTTCCCTACCTGAGGACCAAACTGGAGGCGCTGGTTTCCCGTCTCCGGGAGGAGGACGATTATTCCATCCACCCGCCATCGTCGGCCTGGAAGCGGTTCTACAGGGCCTTCCTGGCCGCTTACCCCTTTGTGAACTTGGCTTGGGAGGGCTGGTTCCTGGTCCAGCAACTCTGCTACGTCCTGGGGAAGTCCCGGCACCACTCGCCCATGCTGATGCTGGCTGGCGTCCAGCTGGTCAGGCTCACGGCGGAAGATGTGCGAGCCTTAGAGAAGGCGGCAGCGGCTGTGAGCGGGAGCCCACAGCCAGCAGGAAGGTGAGCCGAAATGGGGGAACGGGCAAGCTCTGAAAGGGACATAAGGACAGCCAAACCATCTGTCTGGACCAGGGCAGTGCAGCACGCATGCAGGCTATTTTGGCAGCCCTCAGCAACATTTGACACTTGCAACCCTTGTGCTGCCTTCCCAAAGCCAGGTAAACAAGGTCCTGGGTTTTGGGAAGGAGGTGTGATGGCTCTGGCAAGATCCCACCTCTTTCCCAAAGCCTAGTGTTTCTCCAGCTTGGGAAAGAAAGTGGGAGGGCTTTAGATCCCTGCCAGAGCCTCACACCAATATATTGGAGCAATCTACAATTGGGCAAAAGATTCCTGCATTGCAGGAGGTTGGAGTAGCTGACCCTTGTTGTCCGTTCCAACGCTACGATTCTAAGATCATAAGACTAATTGTGCATAAAACAGTACGATAAATTCCAAATTTTAAAAGCTGAAATCGGAAATCAGGTAACTGTTCTATCCTTAATTGCCTATATATGAGAATAAAAAAGTTTTCAGCAGGCAGTTTAAAAGCTGGCACGGAAGGTGTGTGCTGAATCTCCATTGGTAGAAGATTCCCCAGTTTTGGGCAGGTGACACTAAAGACTCGGTTTCTTCCTGTTGTCAAATGAGCCTCACCAACCTGGTTAGCTCAGTTGGTTAGAGCGTGGTGCTGATAATGCCAAGCTTGCAGGATCGATCCCTATATGGAACAGCTGCATATTTCTGCATTGCAGGGGGTTGGACCAGATGATCCTTAGGGTCCCTTCTAACTCTACAATTTGATGATTCTAACTCAAGGAACCCACTCTGCTCCTGCAGATGAGCTCAGTGATCGAGCTGGAATATAAGGGTTCAGGCAATCCCTGAGTGGCTCAGGGCTCTGCAAATTAAGAGAAGAACCTTGAGACTGGCATCGTAGCAGATGGGCAGCCAGTAGACAGTTAGCAGTAGTGTCAAATTTTTCGGCCAGATGTCCTCATCAGCAGTCTGGCCTCTGCATTGAGCACCAGCTGGAGCCTCCGATCCAGGCCTCAGGGCAGCCCCACAAAGACTGCATTACATTAATCCAGCCCCAAGATACTGACTACAGTGGTCAGCTGGCAGCAGAGAAGATGCCTTCACTCAGTGCTCTTTTTTATCTGTCTTGTGTCTCATAGCTTGAAACGGCAGGTACAGTCTGCCGCAAAGAAAGCCTTGGGCGGCCTGGCTTTCTCCCTCTCCACCGGGCTCTCTGTGGGCGTCTTCTTTCTCCAGTTCTTGGAATGGTGGTACTCGTCTGAGAACCAGGAGTCCATCAAGTCCCTGACAGCTCTGCCTACCCCTCCGCCGCCCGTCCACCTGGACTGCAGGGCAGGCTCCCCACTCTTGCCGAAGCTCAAGACCGTCTGCCCGCTGTGCCGCAAAATCCGCGCCAACGACACGGCCCTCTCCACCTCCGGCTTCGTCTTCTGCTACCGCTGCGCCTACAACTATGTGAAGCAGCACCAGCGGTGTCCCATCACAGGCTACGCCACGGAACTCCAGCACCTTGTCAAACTGTACACCCCTGAAAACTGACAGAGGTGGCCCAAACCCTCTGTCTCAGGCACCATGTGGCTGGATAGGATACTTGATTATGTTTTATGTGTTTCTCTTGTACACACATGAAATTTATCTGCTACGCAGGCATCCCGTGACGTTTTATTGGTGGTCTCTGTGAGCTTGGCTACCGTATGAAAAGCAGGCCTTGAGACCTCTCTGGTTATCTCACTTAACTTATTTCTCCTAGAAGCTGAGGAAGATTAGCTGAGTGAGATAACTAGAGAGATAAGCCTGCTTTGCCTTCTTCCTTTCAGTACATGAAGGCACACCTCCACTGCAGGCTCCCATATATGAGAACCCAGAAGGCTCCTTGTGCACAGAGTGGTATGCCTCAACTTTCTTACTGGCTCTTTTGCTCAGCTAATTTCCCCCTGTAACAAATTAGGCTGTGATGGGTATCAATGCATGTGTCCCTTCCAGAGTCCTGACAAATCTAATCCAAAACTGCTACAGTGGTACCTTAGTTCTCGAATTTAATCCATTCAGGGAGTCCATTCGTCTCCCGAAATGGTTCGGAAACCAAGGTGCGGCTTCTGATTGGCTGCAGGAGCTTCCTGCACTCAATCAGAAGCTGCGTTGAACATTCAGCTTCTGAAAAAAACGTTTGCAAACTGGAACACTCACTTCCAGGTTTGCGGCATTGTTTGACAACCAAGGTACCACTGCATGGTGAAACTGTTCTTTTAGCCAAGGAGCTGGAGAAGCCCCAACTAGAGAACTCTCAGTAGTCAGGGCCAGGCTCTGGTGAGCACTACAGGAACACACAACCTGTGTCCCTCTAGATGCTGGAGCAAGGGTGTGGAGTATTCTTAGGGCAGGCATCCCCAAACTTGGCCCTCCAGCTGTTTGGGGACTACAGTTCCCATCATCCCTGACCACTGGTCCTGTTAGCTAGGGATGATGGGAGTTGTACAGTGGTGCCTCGCAAGACGAAATTAATCCGTTCCGCGAGTCTCTTCGTCTTGCGGTTTTTTCGTCTTGCGAAGCATGGCTATTAGCGGCTTAGCGGCTATTAGCGGCTTAGCGGCTTTAAGAAAAAGGAAACAAACTCACAAGAACTCGTAAGACGTTTCGTCTTGCAAAGCAAGCCCATAGGGAAATTTGTCTTGCGGAACGACTCAAAAAACGGAAAACTCTTCCGTCTAGCGAGTTTCTCGTCTTGCGAGGCATTCGTCTTGCGGGGCACCACTGTAGGCCAAAAACAGCTGGAGGGCTAAGTTTGGCCATGCCTGTCTTAGGGGATCCCGATTCCCCTCACGTAGCTACAACTTCTGGTTTATCAATGCCTCTTCCCAAGGAAACTGGAGCTTTGTAAGGGGAACCAGGGACTCCTAGCAACTCTCTGCAGCCTTAGTAAGCCACCGCTCCCAGGGTACTTTGGAGGAAGGCACGGCTGTTTAAAGGGCTATGACACTGCTTTAAATGCACAGTGCAGATGGGCCCTAGGATGGCCAACTGTTGACTGCAGCTCCCCTCGGCCCCAGCTAGTGTGGCAAGTAACCCAGCAATACCATGGAAGCACCTTGTTGGTCAGCCCCACCATAAACTATGGCAAACGACGCTTTTGTGTCCAATTCCAGGAGATGTTCTTAATATCTGGTGAGGGAGGGCAGGGGTCAGAGCAGGACTCTGATAGGAGGGATTCTCCTCCAAGGGCTCCTCTTCAGGAGCATGGCGCTTGGTGTATGAACCTCCCACATCATCATCACCTCTTCTATGCATCAACAGGAACAGAAGACCATTACCTGCAAGATATGGAAACAGAGGTTCCTGTTAAAACGTTCAAGCGAATGCGATCCAAAAAACATATAAGACAAATAATGTTTTACACCACAATTCCCATCATCCCAAGCCACCACATCATTTTGGACTCTTCCTCAACCCCAGCCTTGCCCTTCCGGCTCATGGGAGTTGTAGTCCAAATCATTTGGAGGGTATCAGGTTACAGGAAACGCTGGATACAACAATTCCCAAATAAAAGTTTAGCTGTCACCAGTGAGCTTCATGGCTGAGCAGGGATTTCAACCCTGGTCTCTCCTAGGTCATAGACTCGGTTTTTTATATACAAAAATGTATAAATGATCCTGGTTTTTCAGATTCCTTGAGCTTGAAAACACTGTATTCACAACTGCAGGTTCTTAAAAGTATTTAGATTCCTTAAAACATTTTCTTGGAATTCCAATAAAATATAGTTAGAATTTCTTATTTACTAAGAATTCCAATAAAAATAATTTCCAATGAAACTTCTGATTTTTTAAAAACTTATAACATTTAATTCACATTCAGTGTGCTTTGCTAAATGTCCCACCCCTGCAAATCAAATATTTCCATTTAAATACTTTTGACCACAGGAAAAGAGAAATATTCACACAACCTGCAAAAATGCTATAGCAGACATGCAACCCTAGATGCACTTACTAGGCAGCAGGTCTAGTTTGAAGTAAAGATGCATGTTTAGGACTGCCATTATAATTTATTTATTTTTGCTTAGATGTGGGGGAAAAACACAAGATCACGTAAGACATTGGCCATTTTAATTCAAAACTTTCTGCCCCCCCCCCCCCCAGTTCCACACTGCAATCACTACATGCTAATTCTCCAGATTGTATAGCTACTCTGGAGTAAGGCCCACTAAATTCAATTGGGCTTAACTCCCAGACAACATTAAGGTGTTTTGTTTTGATATCAGCAACCTCCATTACAAAAGCCACATTGAGCAGTGGGATTTTTGCATTTGCAAAAGCCACTTTGAACAGTTTACACATTTGGAAAGTTGCAATCCTGAACACGTATTATTTATTTGTTAGCAACCTCATATCCAACATTGCTCAGGAATTCTTAGAAGCCAAAATAAATCAGTGCAGCTTTGAAATCAGTGGTTAAAAGTAGTTTTTAAAGGTTCAGTCCTCCATCTTGATTCAAAGGGGCATCCAAGGTGGATTCCAATCCACCTTCTGCCCAGCCCTGGTTTACTGTTTCCAGCAGTAATTTAACAGAACTCTTATCACAACCCCAAGTTAATACTGATGGGGTTAAACGAATAAATTAAATAAATAAATAAATAAAATAAATTCAATAATAGTAATAATAATAGTTTAATTATTTCATTGCAATTTTGTTGCCTTACGCCCAGCACAGTTTACTTGAATACATTAATTCATGGTAAGTGATTTGAGTTATTTGTTCATAAAGGCCGGTGTTTGTTTTAGCATCTTTCACATCTTAACCTTAAGAGATTGATAAGATCCCAACCACCACCAAGGAGCGATCACCTGCATGCAGACAGCCAAAATCTGCTCAGAGAGAAGATTACGTGATCATGTCCTGGTCAGAGCCAAACCAGAAGTTGTGGCAATACCAGGTCAGACTATACTTCACTCATCATTGCCTCTGGCATATCTTACAGGCAACCCCGGGGCTGTGGCTCAGTGGCAGGGCATCTGCTTTGTGTGCAGGAGATTTCAGGTTCAATCCCCAGCATCTCCAGATCTGGACAGGAGAGAACCCTGCTTAAAATCCTGGAGAGCAACTGCCACACCGTGGAGATGGTCTGGTTCACAATGAAGCAGCATTCTACATTCCAAGTTAAATCTGGGCCTTAATAACTTAAGAAGTGTCTGCAGGGTTCCTCAGCTTGGCTCCGAAACAGGGCTGACTCTCAGGGTGCTTCACACTGTAAATGCATCGATGAGATACTGTAACTGAGGCAACAAAGAGAGTTGGTTTGTTATTTAAAAAAAACAACAACTTGCTGGATTTCCCTCAGAAAGGTTAAATCATATGGACAGACAAAAGAAGAGCCCGGGAGCTGATAAGGCTAAAAGGGAGCCCTTCTAGTCCAGCATCCTATTCTCACAGTGGCTTAGGCCATAAACAGCAACACACACCCCCCCCAAATCAGTGCCTCATAATCTTTTGCAGTGAAAAACGCACAGATTTAAATTAGGTAGGAATAAAAATGCAACCAGTCCCAAAGGCGTAATGAAAACTATTATTCTAAAGCAATGATAGTTGCTAAAGTATCTGAAACCAAGCTGCAGCAGACCAATAAAACGAAATAAGCCGTTGGACTTTCTGACTACGCTACTGAAATATAGATTGCAGAGTTGGAAGGGATCTCTAAGAAGCATCCAGTCCAACCCGCTGCGATGCAATGGGGAGAGTGAATTTAGTGGGGCTTTCACAGGCTGAAATCCTACACTTCCTTGCCTGGGAGTAGGTCCTAGTGCACTCAACGGGGCTTACTTCCGAGGAGACACACAGAGGCAAATTTTAGCCTCCCTTACTAAGAAAAAAGCAACCATTAAACCAAACGAGGCTTACTTCTAGGTGGAAAAGCACAGGATTGCCACGCAACCGGTTAACAACATGCAGGAATAAGGGTGGAACTCTGGGGTGCGAGTTAAGCCGTTTAAACGCACGTTTAAAGCAACACTTACTTCCCGCTCAGTTTCCTCGCCGCCATCTTGCTCCCAAACTAAAGGTGGCTTCCGCGGCTTCAGCCTTCTCTCGCCTCTAAGCCAATGGCAGCTCTCCGACAGCTCAGGTGACATTCGCGGCAAAAGCATCCGCTCGGATCCCTGCCGGCCACGCCCACAGCTGTAGAGGAAGGAGGGAACGAGCGGGATAGGCGCGCGTGCCGCACTTCGGGCTCCCATGCGAAGGCTGCCAAACGCAGCACAAAGACACTCTGCAAAATGAGAGCCCCCCCCCCATTCGATCTATGATTCCTAATGGTGGGGGCCGTATGTGGCTCGCCAGATGTTGATGGACTCCTAATCCCAATCGCCCCAGCCAGTAAGGCTAGTAGCCAGGGATGGTAAGATTTAAGAAAGTAAGAGACCAGGTATGGCCTGGACAGCATCTTAAAAAGCAGAGACATCACCTTGCCAACAAAGGTCCATATAGTTAAAGCTATAGTTTTCCCAGTAGTGATGGATGGAAGTGAGAGCTGGACCATAAAGAAGGCTGATCGCCAAAGAATTGATCCTTTTGAATTATGGTGTTGGAGGAGACTCTTGAGAGTCCCATGGACTGCAAGAAGATCAAACCTATCCATTCTTCAGGAAATCAGCCCTGAGTGCTCACTGGAAGGACAGATCGTGAAGCTGAGGCTCCAATACTTTGGCCACCTCATGAGAAGAGAAGACTCCCTGGAAAAGACCCTGATGTTGGGCAAGATGGAGGGCACAAGGAGAAGGGGACGACAGAGGACGAGATGGTTGGAGAGTGTTCTCGAAGCTACCAGCATGAGTTTGACCAAACTGTGGGAGGCAGTGGAAGACAGAAGTGCCTGGCGTGCTCTGGTCCATGGGGTCACGAAGAGTCGGACTCGACTAAACAACTAAACAACAACATGGCGCGGTGGATAGAGTTGGATTAGGACCTCACAGGGCTACTGCTGCTGAGTTCAGGTCCTCAATGCCTCAAGGACTGCCTCTCCCCATATATACCTACCCAGAACCTGCATTCATTCTCAAAGGGCCCTCAATGAGATCTGGATCGTAGCAACATGAGAATGGGTCTTTTCACTGGTATGCTTGGAGCCATCACTGACTAAATGTAGGTGCCAGGCAACAAAACACTTTTGAGCCAAATTTTTAACCTGGTTGACATTGTGGCTTCTAAGTGGGTGGGATTTGTTAATGCAGCTTTTCATGCGCATCAATGTTTTTAGCTTTTATTTCATTTCCGCTCTATGAAGATTTTTATTTTTGCATTATACTGCAAGTTGCTTTGAGTTGTTATTTTGTGAAAAAAGTGGCTAATAAGTGCAATTGTGATAATGATTGGATACATTCCACCACATACAGAAAAGCTGCATAAATTTGGTACTGCCTACAACAGTTATTATCCCAAGAAATCTTGGCTTTTTGTTCTTTCTTCCCCCACCCTCAGGAGTTTCTTGTTCTCTTTGAGTGAAAATATATACTTGTATACGGACAATGTCTAGTAAAATTTCTAGAGGCGAGGGCCCTTACAGCTTAATGCCTCTCCCCCTCTCCCACTTGTAAATTTAAAAAAAGTTACAGTAATATATACCGCTTTGCCAAATTTAGATGAACTGCCAAATACTGTACAGCTATTCCCTCTCCATATTTTTCTACAACACAGATTCTGCAAAGAGTCCCAAGTATCCATGAAGTTCAACACTTCCTTCCTAAATACACAGGGGTTGCTGGGGGTTCCCGGAAAAGGGCGGGGAAAACAGGCCAAATGTCACAAATAAACAATCAGCTTTTATTGTTTGAATTATAAAACATGTCAGATTTTTGGCAAATATTTTACAGTTTCATTCCTTCTTTTTTTCAACAGCCCGTGGAAGAGAGAGCCTTCTTTTTTTTTTTTTTAGGTGATGGAGAATTGGGGGTGGTGGGAGAAGGGGGAGGGGAATGATGGAAATCAGAAGATGAAAATTTTGATGGACTTGCTTTAAAAGTAAAATAAAAAAGGAGGGGGAGGAATCTGACCCAAGTTCCCTCCCGCCAAATAAAAAACAAATCCAATTTCACATTTATTTCCACTATCCAAAAGAGGCCATGTGGGGTATAAAGCAGCAGGCGAAACTCAGCAAAGTTTGCTGTGAAAAGCCGTCAGAAAGATGGGGTAGGGAGGGGGGACCTTCACAGCTGTTCTTAGTAGGGTCGGTTGCGTTGATCGCTTCTGAAGTCATTTCTGGAAGAGAAAGAAAGGAGGTTTTTTTTTTCACTCAGAATACCTTCCTGTCCAGTGACTGCACCCTAGAACCAGCCACCTGGACCTGGCTGGCACCCTTGCAAGCAATAAAAGTCTGGACAGCTTCAGTGGGCCAGGTGTAAATTTGTGGCCAAGGCACCCTAAGCCAAGCCTGACCTTTCCAAAGAACTTCCCTTTTCTCATCTCCTTCCTCCGGCCTTTGACTCCTGAGATGTGCATTTCCAGGATCCAACCTATGCTTGTGGGTGTTGTATGTTTTAACTGCTTTTAACTCTGAATTTTAAAACTGTTGCAACCCGCTCCGGGACCTGCTGGTGAAGGGCAGGTAACAAATCATCATGATCATCAGCATCTCCTGACCTGTGGCCTATCTAGACATAACACTTTTGTTTTTAAAACTGTTCATTTTACTGTGTCTACTTCTTTTTAAAGCTTGTTCATTTTTATCAGTAGCTTCTTCTGAATATTTTAAATTATTCTATGAAAAACACTTGCTTTTTGGGGGTTGGTTGGTTTTACAATCAATCCCTCGTCTCAGGGAACTATGGGAAACTGGAGCTATGTAAGGGGGAATCAGGGGCCTCCTAACAGCTCTCAACACCTTTCAGAGACTACAACTCCCAGGATTCTTTGGGAGGGGGAAGCCCTGGCAGTTTAAAGTGGTATTGTAGCGCTTTAAATGTAGGGTGTGAATGTGGCCAAAGACGCAATGATGGGGAATACTGATTTGGGTAAATCCCAGATCTAACATGCCCTTTGGTTATTCTAATAAGTAAATAAATTCAGCACTGACCGGCCTCCCATTTTTCCGCCAAAGCCACCGCCTCTGCGGCCTCTGAATCCCCGGTCGCCTCCAAAGCCTCCCCGGCCGCGGAAGTCTGGGGGGGGGGGAAGCAAGATGAGCAACACAAGGGAACACTTTCTCCAAGCTGTGGCATCCTGCCCCCACCCCATTTCTGGCGTTATGGTTTGCTTTGGGGTTGTTGTTTTTTACACACCTCCTCCTGATGGATGCCCATCATCCGGCCTGGGCTCATCGCACTGATTGCAGGAATTTCGACGGGCAAAATTCATATTGCCGCAGCTCCTGAAGGAAACAAGGAAACATGCGCTTTAGAAAGTGCTTTGGATTTTTTAGAGGGGGACACTTGGAAATGCTAAATTGTGTTGTTGCGATTTTTGTATATTGCATTTATTTTTATTACTTTTGTTTCCAGCCCTGTGACTGAAAACATATGAGGAGCAGACTACAAATACCATCAATAAAACAGAATGCAATAAAAATAATAGCCAGTGAGGTGTAGTGGTTAGAGTCCTGGCTGGGCTAGGACCTGGGAGACCAGGGTTGAAACTCGGCCATTAGGCCCACTGGGTGACCTTGGACCAGTCGCTCACTCTCAACCTAACCTGGACTCAGCCCCCAGCCAGTGGTTAGGGATGATGCAACTCTCGAGTTCAACTTCATCTGGAGGGCCACAGATACCCTATGCTGCTCAGCTTCAATTGCAGCTTCCTATGTTCCAACATGGAAGAAGATGAAGCCATTATTCAGATACAGGCCTAAGGATAAGAACTTACGGGTTGGGGCAAACCCAGTCACCACTTTTGGGTTCTCCGCCTCGGCCCTGGAAGCCGCCGCCTCTTCCGAAGCCCCCTCCTCGGGAACCTGCCGTCACAAATACATTGCAGTTAAACCAAAGAAACACATGTGGGTAGGACTTAGCCAAAAAGCATCAGAATGGCCTCTGCTCCCTGCTTCAGAGAGAGGGACAGCCAAAAAGAGATTTGGGGGACAAAGTTGCTCCCACGCTCAGTCTTGAAATAACAGCACCTCTGGATCACATGGAAATATGACCAGGGAGGCGGTTCTGTTCCTACCTCGGCGACCACCGCCACCACCTCCATTGCCTCCTCGCAGGAATTCAGGCCGTCTGGTTGCAAAGGAAACCCTGATAACACTGCCGTTGAATTCCTTTCCTGCAAATAATAATAATAATATTTTTTTAAAAAAATTAAAAGGAAGGAAAGAAAAATCCACAGCTGCTCAGGCACAACAATGAAATAGAAACCTTCCATCACAGATCCTAGGAGAGATGGCTAAAAGCTCGGTTACTTGCCTGAGGATATGTACTCCCTGTGCTCTCACCCCCCTCCCAAAAAAAACCAGCTCCAAAAATCTGAGGCAGCTTTCCTCAACCTTTGGTTCCCAAATGTTGTTGGACTACAAATCCCACCATCCTTCGAACATGGGCCGTGCTGGCTGTGGATGATGTGAGATGTTGTACTACAACATCTTGCGTCTCAAGGACTCTATGTTATAAAGTAAAGCTAGTTGGTGCTTACAATAACCTTTGAGTCAGGAAAGGAGAGAGAGAGAGAGCAGGGCAAATAAACAGGCCATGAGTTCTCCAGATCCTGTTGTGAAAGAAGTCTCCAGTTCCCCCTCACTCTTGATCTTAGTTGTTTTAAGACTGCTGCATAAAAAGGAGGAGGGGAATCATGCACTGGCTACCGAGAGGAAGGCGGCCAGTCTTACCATCAAACCAGTCGATGGCTGCCTTAGCAGACGGTGGGTCATCAAAAGACACTGTCGCTTCGCCCTTTGGCTTCCCAGTATCCTTGTCCGTATAGAGGTTAATCATGAGTTTGCCAGTTTTCTTGTTAGTCTGGGAAGAAAAAAGAGAGAAAGGCCTGTCGTCACCCTCCATATAACACAGAACTGCTGTGTCTGGCATTGTTGGTGGGGGACTAATGTGGGGCAGGACCACACAGTGTTAAGGTTCTGGCTTTCTCTGATCTTCTAGACATGGCAGATTAAGCCACAAACTGTGTGACTGGTGCCCATGGCACTCTTTCAAATTTCCAAAATGTGCCACTGACCTAAGAAGGCTGGCACCTCCTGCTCTGGGGCACCAGCAACTAGAGAAAGGCTGTTGGGTGCCAGAGGGGTGAATCCCCACCCACACATCAAATATTTATCTGCAAACATGTAACAGCCATGTTTTTGCAATGGATGTGCTCATTGGTACAAGCGAAAATTTTGAGGCTAATAGGTGATGGGTCTCCATACGGACAGGAAGTTGGATCACTAATCTTTTGGTATTTTCACTCTAAGAACTTCCACTGGCAGAGATCCAGCATGCAACTGCACCATCAAAAACAGAGGCCAAGTGACAGTGAAGGGGGAAAACCCAGACAGATTTTGGGAGTTGGTTAACAAGTGTTCATCACCACCAAGTCCTACAGGAACAAGAGTAACTTCTAGCTGAATCCATGAGAGTTAGGGAATGAAGTGGGAAGGTATAATTAACTTCTTGGACTCAAGACAGAAAAGCCAGCTGCTTTCCTACACCCACCATGCCAGTGACTTCCTGAGATTGTCAGAGACCAAATTCAGACAGCTAAGGCACCAACACCAAGGTGTTGTGTGTAAAGAATAAGTCTGATGCCTGCTCTACAATTATGGACACCCACCAAGTCCAACCTTAAGTATGCTCCAATCAGAAACCTGAAATGCCTCAGTTTTCTGATTGGTCATCCTATTTAGGAGACGTACCTTGCTTTTATCCATTTGAGGATTTTGTTATGAACTATCACCTGCCTCAACGGCATCATCCCCACAATCTTACCAGGTTTCTCTGGTAAGTAGTTTTACTACTTCACCCACCTTAATGACACCTATTTGCTTGAAATACTCCGCAACTTGATCTGCTGAAACGTCATCTCCCAGTCCTTGTACAAAGATGGTGTTGTTATCAGAGTTGTCAGACTCCGAATCTACATCACAGAGGAGCCAGAGTTATTTTAGAACCTGAAATAACTTCTGCAGGGGCCAAGCTAGAAGGAACAGATTTCCAAGACTACTCAAGTCAGAACAGTCACCATTGCATCGGAAAGGCTCATCGGCAACAGCCCACTATGGTATGGAAAGCTCTGCATGTATATGGGGAAGTTGTGTCAGAGAACTTAATCATTTTAAGTTTAGGAAATAGAATAATAGAACTGTAGAGTCGGAAGGGAACCCAAGGGTCGTCTAGTCCAACCCCATGCAATGCATGAACCACAGCTGAAGAATCACTGTCAGGTGCCCATACAAAATCTGTTTTAAAGCTTCCAATGAAGGAGAGTCCACCACCCTCTGAGGGAGCCCATTCCACTGTCAAACAGCTCTTACCCTAAGAAAGTTCTTCCAATGTTTAGTCAGACACTCCTGTCATTTGAATCAGTTGGTTCAGATCCTACCCTCTAACAATTCGGGACCTGCTCTCGGACAGGAATGATCAAATTACTTTAATAGTGGCTGAATTTTTGAGTGCTGTCCATGCAGAAAGACTAGGCCATTATAAAGAGATTTAGTGGTTCTTAATTGATCGGTGAGGTGGTAGTGTTGTATTGCATTATTTATGCAAATTGATTTTATCTGGAGTTAAAGATCTGACTGGGACAAACTTTGTTATGTTGAGTTCATATTTACACAATTTGTATACAGTGTTTGTTTGATAATGTGTGGTTTGCTATGCCTAATAAAAGATATTTCATTTCCTACCCTCTAGAGCAGCAGAAAACAGGATCGCTCCATCTTCCATGTGACAGCCTCTTACATCAGCTCTCAAGTCTTCTCTTCGCCAGGCTAAACATAAAGCACCTAAGAAGACTGGTGCACCTCCCCGTTGAAGAGGAAGACTGCTGTGTGCCACCCTTGAAAGTGAAGGAAATTACAGAAGGCTGTGGAGCTATATGCTGATGTGCTTACCTGTGTCTGGCTTCTGCCCATAATCCCTCTGACCTGAGAAATGGTTGAGAGAAAAACCAAAGGGTATTTTAGCCAAAAATACAACAACACCTGACAATACACAAACTGACAACGTAAATGAATTCTGAATTAATGAAAAGGTATATGCAACAACCCTTAAGCCGAGACAAGATTTAGAAGAGATGATTAAAAATGAAGGAAGGTGCATCCAAGAAGAAAACTGGTCACACTTTTTTTTAAAACCAAAGGTTGTGGCATCTGCCACCTAGTTTTATGGGGTGGGGGGTCATCTTGTGGGTCCTGGCTGGCCATTCTCAAGTCGTGTGCCGCAACTCTTCTCTCATTGGTAGGTTTTGCTTAGCAGAACTTTGCATTACGCACCACTAAGTGGCAAGGAAAGGAACAACAAAAAAATCCTTTCATGCAAATGGACAAAAGAGAAAAGAAAAGAAACCGGAATCCTGGTTTTTAACTTTATTATTACGAGCAACTTTTTTCTTTTTCTTTTAAAGCACACGTACACACCAGCCTCAGCTCAAAGAGGGAAAACAAAGAGAACAACAAAAAATAAAATGCTTCTAATGGAACATGGTATTTGGTGGCTTTTAAAGACTGTTATTTATTTATTTATTGGCCTTTTAATGTGGAATTTCCACTGAAATGTTTTATTTCCGATGCTCAGCACTTACCACCAAAATTTTTGAAGCCACCTCGGTCACCACCACTGTAGAGGAAAAATTGAAGAAGTGATTCCTTCTTTTAAAGTCTCTACACCCTGAGCCCAAGGGCTCAAAAGCCACACTTACTGAATGTTACCGTGCAGCTGCTGAATGCGTCCCCTAAGAACTGGCACACACTCCTTCAGCAAGAAATAACACGTGCTCAGCTCCTGCTCTGGAGCTCTTGTTAGTCTCATTGATTAAGAGAATAGGGTAGGTATGCAGGTGTTCCCAGGCCCACTTCTGCAGCCCCAAATCCCAGCAGTAATTTGTAAGATGCCATTTACACCTGGGATGCGCTCAACAGGTGTGCATGTGAAGACCAGAGCTGCAGCCACCATCCCACTGGGTTTGTTTCTTGAGCTCTGTCCTAAACAAACCATGAGTTCTGTTCAGACCAAGGAGTTTATTTGCTGTGACTGGTTGATCATGGGGTTTTGTTTTGGGGCAGGGGTGTGTATATTTTTAATTGTGCACACGCTTGAGGGGAAAGGTCTGATCTGTCCTTTGCAGAAGTTTATGCACACTATATAGACAGCAGGTGCATGATAAAGAAATAAAGAATAATGCAGTTTTCTATTCACAAGGGCACAAGCCAGAGAGAATGCTTGAGTAATTGCAAAAAAATGTGTCGGTGTGCATATGCATGAGCGGGGGTGGGGGAGAGAGGGGATGACTGTTTCTAGGCTAACAGCAGTTATTCTGGACTAGCAGTCACATTGTTTGACAAGGAAGACCTGGGCTTAAATCTCCATCAGTCATGAAGTTCACTCTCGGCCAAGCCTCCCTCTCAACCTAACCTTCTTCACAAGGTTGTTGTGAGGATACAAGAGGAGGAAGTTCTCTGTGCCATCCTGAACTCATGGCAGGAAGGGTGGGGTAAAATATACTCTGGCTCATTTTTTTAAAGGACAGCCTTTCACGAGTTTGGAGAAATGCCACCCTCTGGCTTCCAATAAAATCTGCATTCTTAACTGTGCAGCACAACATTTGGGTTAGGTTCGATATATAGGTTCAAAGCCCCAGCAGCCTATGAAGCTCACTCCGTGAACATGGGTCAGTCATTCTGTCTCAGGCTGAGGCTGGTCAGTATTTGTCAGCCTATCCTAACTCATAAGACTGATGTGAGGATAAAAAAAGGAGGGAGGGGAAGCTTGTAAACCACCCAGAGCGCATTGGAAGGGTGGGATAAAACAATGCAAATAAATAAATAATTCTGGTCCTAAAACCTAGGCCCAAAAATACATCCAGTTTTTAAACTCCAATCCAGGAGATGCTTCACACACACAAAAGGACTGACCTACAGTCATGAGCAGACTCATTCCTTATTTGGGAATTATTTTACATATGCGAAGGAAACAAGGGAACAAGCTTCAGAATGCCAACCTTTGCTCTCATTCAAGCCTCCCTGCATTGCAAGAATGACTCCAAGTCTTATAAACAGAGAGGTCACGTTTGGAACCAAACACAGGGCTGTCATATCAGTTTGGGAATGTCATGGCTGCCCCTCTACAAGATCTGGAGGCTTTCTTTTGCTTTTTAAAAAACAGGATTCAGATTTTCAAATTGCTAAAAAAATACGAGTATATCCAGATCCAAGTAAATGCAAAAAAATAATAATTCTTCTCAGTAAGAGATAATAAAGATTGGCTACATTCACATCATACATTTAAAGCGCTGCAACTTCCCCAAAATAATTATGGGAGCTGTGGTTTGTCATGGGGGCTGCAAGTTGTTAAGAGTCCCCTATTCCCCTCCGAGAGCTACAATTCTCCCTTTTCACAGGGAGCTGTGGGAGGGGAAAACTGACCTCCTAACAACTCTCAGCCCCCTTAAGAAATTCCAGCTCCCAGAATTCTTTGGGGGAAGCCAGGACTGTTTAAACACATGTCTCATAGAGCTTTAAATGCATGGTGTGAATGTGGCCAAAAAGTCTAGAACGCCAGTGAGGCTTGCTGGACATCAGAGAAGGTTTATATTTAGAGATACTGACACACAACAGAAATTGTATCCAGTTATAGACGGTTATTTTAATAGTTGTGACCTACTGCACTCAGCTATGCCACTCACTCACCCACCCACCCAACTCCTCCACTCTGAACCTGAGCAAGCTACAACCAAGCGCTTCTGAATCACTGCCCTTTCCTTTCTGTGTCACCAAAATACACTCTTCCTCTGCCCTCAAGTAGCAGCGCCTGGTTTCTGTCCAGCCGCACTTTGTAGCTTAAGTTCCCACAAGGGCTTGTCAAACACTTTAACCTGAGGCACCGAGGGAGCAAGAAGGCAAAGCCCTCTTCCATCATCAGCTTAAGTGGGGCCAGTGCCTTCTCACTTTCCACCCAAACAAGACTCCAACCAGTGGCAGTCCCATGTGGCCGCAAAGCACAACCAACGTTCCTTATCTCCTGACTGGTAGGGACCTACTTCACCAAGTGGCACACTATTTATTCTTATTTAAATTTAAACTGTAAGCCAGTACTTAACTCCAGAATTTGCAGGTAAAGGGATTCATCAGTGCATAATTTAAAGCTAGGTGGGGGGGAGAGAGCCTGCCGCTGCTAGCATGAACAATGGTCAGGGATGATGGGAGCTGCAGTCCAGGAACATCTGCAAAGCTCCAGGTTCCCTGAGCCTGGTGGCCAGGAGATTCAGCTGCAGAGAAGGCAGGTGGAACACCAAAGGCCAGGGTGAAGGAACTGGTTCTGCCCAAGGGCCACATTCCCTCCAGGAGCAAAATGGCAGCGGTGGGCAGGGCAAAGGCAAAAGTGAGTGAAGCAACAGGCGTACATTTTACCTTTGGACGGTACCTTTCGACATCAAGACCCCTCTCTATCCCCCACCCAGGCAATCAAGAGTTCAGGGACACATTCCAGTCAGGCAAAAACATTCAAAGAGAGTATGATGCAGGGCTGGTGAAGGGGATGGCCTGGGGAAGATGGGGTTTGGCTGAGGGAAAGGATGTGTTTTGGAAAGAGTCCTGTAACCCTAATCCTATTTCCTACACAAGCATCAATGGGCAACTTGAGCTTCGGCCTGTCACATCTCAACAGGCAGGCTACCTCTCTCCATCACGGCCTGTCTAGATGCAAGCTTGCATTCCAGCGGCAGGGAACCCTTCTCAGCTAGAAAGCTGCACCCCTTCATGGACAACATCCCAGGGGCCACGTGCTAATGGTAGCAAGTGCGGGAATAAGCAGCCATGAAAGAGAATGGGAGCAAGAAGGCTGTGGACCTCTGGGAAATAGGGTACCTTCCAGCCACATTAAAGCCAGACATTTATACACACACAAACCTCTCTTCATCCCCCACCCAAGCATGAATAATCACCACAATTTAAAGGACACATTCCAGCCAAGGGAAAGCATTAGAGGTGTGTATGGAGTGGAGCTACTGAGAGGTCTCAGGTTTCCCCACATATATTCCAATCTCTCTGGAAGAGCAGCCACCACTGCAAATCTTGTTTAGCAATGTGGAAACATTTATTGCCCATCACTGGCTTCACACAAACTGCTTCAGATATAGCCTGCACTGTCTTGAAGTTGCCATGTGACAAGCCTGCTTTTACTAGACTCTGCTCTAGTAAGAAACTGGCCACAGATAGCCAGCCACACAGACAAGCAGAGAATCCCTTCTGTCTGGGCAGGAAAGCCAGTATATCCCTGCCTGCCGTAAATACTCCACAGAGCTCACGGAGCTTCATCAAGCTGGAAATCAACCATCCTAAGTTGGGTTTGAGAATCTTAGCTGCTAACATAATTTAAGGGAATGCTTGCTAATCATGAACAATAGTAAACTATTAATTATATTTTCAGTATCGCTTGACATCATGCTGTCTTTAATAGTCAGAATTGCTTGACTAAATCATGCTGATATAGCCTGAAGAACACAGCAGCCAGGGCTTGTATGCTCAACTTTAAATCATTTCCCTAAGGAAGAGTGTTCATCCATTTGGCTTGCTGAGGTGTAAAATGGGGAGAAAAGCTGGCATGACATTATGAACTGGGCCTGGGGGAAACCAGGCACCCAATCCCAGCTTAGGCCCAAGCTTATGGGTGTCTCAGCTCAATGCCCACCAGGGTCGCCAACTGAACAGAAAAAAAACAAGCTCAACTTGTTCCGGTGGCCGTAGCCTTGCTGGGGTTTTCAGGACTTGCACAATTCCAACTGTGGGGCAATGCTTACTGACCTCACCCCAGAGCGCTCACTGTCCATGCATGGGGGTGGGGGCGGAGAACAGACGTAGGTTCCCCATGTGACTTTAAACCTGGCACGATCAAGGTCACACTTTAGATTGCTGACCTACAAATACTGTGGGCAATGGGGCTGGCAAGGAAGAATGGCAGGGTAAGGCCAGGGACCCTGACTAGAGTCATTTAAGTCATAAATGCCTGAACAGGGCTTGTAACAGCTGTTTGACAGTTTTCTCATGGTACAATCAGGCCAAGGTGCTGTTAAAAGGTGAAGGACCTGTCAGCTGAGAAGAATCATTGCCCGCCTCACTTGTTAAAATGAACCATCAAGTGTAGCCGAATTCTTTGCTGAAAGTATGGCTGGATCCTACTGGTCAACAGGCACTGGAGGTGTCCCATGATACCCCGTTATTTTATCTTGCAGAAAGAGATTCCATTTCTACATTGGAGAACCTTGGTTTGTATGCTATTCACACCAATTCTGTCCAGTTTTCAGGCAGTACCCATCACAGAGTGCTTGAAGAAGAAAAAAATCCACTGCCTTCAAATCTCAAAGGCTCAAAGGTTTTTGCATGAGCATCCACTCAAGCAAGCCTGAAAAATAGTGGGGAAGGCAGCCACATACAACCTCTGCAGCTACTAAAAATCCTTTACCTTAAGCCCAACATCGGACCTCTGCTGTCAGAATCGAACCTGCTTCCACCTCCTCGGGGCCCACCATAGCCTCTGTTGTCTTCGCCATACCTACTCTTCTCACGACGATCATCTGAAGAATTACAAAGCAGTTACTGTGGACTGATAGACAAGAGGCGTCTCCTAACAACTAGGCACCCTTAACGAACTACAGCTCCCAGAATTCTTTGGGGGAAGCCATGATGGTATCATAGTGCTTTAAATGTATGGTGTAAATGTGGCCTAAGTGACCCTGGAGGATTATAGGCTACCGAAGCATGTGATGCTGCTTTCGTTAAACATTTCTGAGCGGCCTGTGCAAGGCTTACCTTGCATGTTCTGGCCATAGCTTTCCTTCTGCTGGGATTGGTAGGACGGCTGGTTCTGGCCATACGATCCTGGCGGCTGCCCGTAGTTGGACTTCTGGTTGTAGGAGCCTTGCTGTGACCCTAAATCGTGCTGCTGGTCGTAGGAGCCTCGGTTTTGGCTGTAACCTGATTGCTGGTCGTACGAGCTTTGCTGCTGTCCCTGCTGGCTGTAGCCCGACGGCTGGTCAAACTGCTTCGGCTGCTGGCTGTAACCGGACAGTTGGTCATAGGACCCTGGTGGCTGACTGTAACCTGAGGGCTGGTTATATGAACCTGGCTGCTGCCCATAGTTGGACTTCTGGTCGTAGGAAGTCCTGTTGCTGAAGCAGAGGAGAAAACTGATGAAGAAGCATGACCGAAATGTGCAGAAGTTTCGTCGGCTTATTGACAATGCATATGCAGGACAGAGTTCCAAGGCAGTCAAGACAAAGGCAACTCAGATCATTATAGCACACTTTTTTGGCATCTGGAGCACAGGAAGCTGCTCAATACAGTCACAGCACTGGCTCATCTAGCCCACTGCTGTGTACCGTGAAATGCAGCCCCTCTCCAGGGCTTGAGACAGAGAGTCTTTCGCTACCCTACCTAGAGATTCTGGGGATTGAACCTGGGACATTCTGCACATAGAGCAGATGCCCTGTCACTGAACTACAATGCAGGAACCACTGCTGAAGAATCACTGTCAGATGATCATCCAACCTCTGCTTAAAAATCTCCAATTTCTATCAGCCCAATTTCAACCAACCCCATCAAGACTATTTCCTGGACGGCCACAATCATCTCTGCTTATATCGTAACGACAAGCAGAATCCCAGCTTAAGTCACCCAGCCAATAATCTACACCAGCAATTTTCGCCCCCCGAAACTGGCAGAGAACAATGGAGATTTCATTGCAGGCATATAAATGGGCCCAGCAAAAGCCTAAGAAAGCCAGAATTAATCTGAATCCCCCCTTTCCCCCCAATCAGGATGCCAATGCAATCTTTCTACAAGTTTTCACTGCTTCACAACACAGAAAACTTTACAGCAGTTGTAGCTGGAGGATGTTAGTAGTTAAATTAGTGACATACTTTTATCAGGTTCAGGCAAAACAAGTCAGTCTCCTTACCTGCCTGATGGCTCTTTCTGCTGCCCCTGACTGCCGTAAGACTCCTGGCTGTAAGAGCTCTGGTTCTGATTTTCATATCCCCCATATCCTTGCTGGCCACTCTGCCCGTAACCTGAAGATCCAACAGGGAACGCTTTAGGTAAACAGTTGCCCCTGAACAGTGCACACGTACAAAAATGTCAGCATGCTCAGCCAAACCTGTCTGGGTCTGTCCATAGTTTCCTTGATAGCCTCCATAACTTTGCCCATAAGAGGAGCTCTCCCCACTCTGCTCATAGCCAGGATAGCCCTGCAATCGAACAGGAAGAGGGCAAAAGAGAAGTCAGGCCACAGACATTTGTGGAGACCAGGGAAGTAAACCAAGACAGCCACTACAGCCGTATGCTATGGGCAGGGAACCCTGGGTTTAAATTCCCCGATTAGCCACAAGGCACAGTGGGTGGCCTTGGGCTAGTCACAGGCCCCCTGCCTAACCTACCATACAGTGTTGCTGTTATTTATTAGGTTTTATATAACTTAGAAGCCAAAATAGGCTTCTAAGCAGCTGTGAAAATTAAATGGGTATCCCACTTTATTTTTTTTAAGGGTTTATATTTTCCAAATAATTGCATCCCACTTACCCCTCACTCACTGGCTTCACCATTTTGTTTTGCTGTTTGCTTTATTATATTGCAAGGTACAAATCTTCTTCATGCCATTTTGGCAGAAGGGCTGAGGTGTGCCAACAACCCTAGCTATGTGCACGCAAAAGTGGGATATAAATGTGATTGTGACATCAATCAGTCCCAGGATGAGGAGGCTGAACAGGGAAAGCTATAGACTACCTCTGTTCTTGTGGCTCAAGAAAAAGAACCCTCTGAAGTCTGGAGTAGCTGGCAGCACCAATCCGCCAACCAATTATCACAGGAGCGGAGAACCTTCAGGACCTCTCCCAGGCCTCCACAGGCTGTTCTGGCCAAGCCATGCCCATATGCCCTATACCTGACATTGCATGTGATGTGAGGTGCATGGCAGTTTAGTTGCCTGGGTAAATTATACATCAGGAGAATCAGCCTTATAGTACACTGATACAGATTCAACTCTGGCCTGGAAGGACTTTCCACTCTACGAAATGTAAAGGTAAAGAACCCCTGGATGGTTAAGTCCAGTCGAATTCAACTATGGGGTGCAGCGCTCATCTCCACTTTCAGGTCAAGGTCATTTGTCCGCAGTTTTTCTGGGTCATGTGGCCAGCATGACTAAACCGCTTCTGGTGCATGGGACACCATGACGAGTGCCAGAGCACATGGAAACACCGTTGACCTTCCCACTGAAGTGGTACCTATTTATCTACTTGCACTGGTATGATTTCAAACTTCTAGGTTGGCAGGAACTGGGACAGAGCAACAGGAGCTCACCCCATCGCATGGATTTGAACTGCCAACTTTACGATCGGCAAGCCCAAGAGGCTCAGTGGTTTAGACCAATGTTTTTCAACCACTGTTCTGCGGCACACTAGTGTGCCGCGAGATGTTGCCTGGCGTGCCATGGGAAAATTTGAAAAATTTGAAAGATTTTTTTAAAAATAAAATTCAAATTTTCGCCCACTAGGCGGGCGCCAGACTGTGTCCTGGGTATGGGGGGGGTTGACCCCACCCTCGGCCAGCAGGGGCGCTGATTGGCGCTCCTCAGGGGGACACCCTCCACTTTTCTGATGTCCGGGCTGTGATTGGTCCAGACTCCAGCCTGGACCTATCACAGTAGGACATCCTCTTCCAACCTCCTTCCCGCCCGAGCACAGTGTGCGCAGTAGCGGAGAGAAGAAGACGTCGCGACTCGAGTCACCAGGAGGACCGGAGAAGTTGTCATTTTATTTCTCTTCAGTCTCCACTGAATGCCTTGACTGGGTTAGGGACCCTTATAGCTCAGCATCAGTTGGTGGAAAGGACATGACTTTACAGGAGCAGGAGGAACTAACTGAACTGAGACAAAATTGTGGTTTCAAGCTAAGATTTGCTGATCTACCTTTGGACAGTTTTTGGTTGGATACTGCCAAGGAGTTCCCCCCTTCTGGCAAACAAAGCTATTTTGACATTGCTCCCATTTTCCACTACATATCTGTGTGAGATGAGCTTTTCAAGCATGATTGCTATAAAAACTAAATACAGAGAGAGACTGAGAGCTGTTGATGAAGAGCTACGTGTGCGTCTTTCTTCGATTCCAGCCAGAATATCAGCTTTGTGTTCAGCCAAACAGGCCCAGGTTGCGCACTGAATAAAGTATTTTATAATTTTTCATATTTCTGTTTACTTACTATTTCATAATAAAGTAATTATAAAATACTTTCTTTGTGTTTATTTGATTCCTATTCAAGAGAATTACTTTATATATAGTCAATATAGGCACAGAGTTAATTTTTTTAACATTTTCTAATGGTGGTGTGCCTCGTGATTTTTTTCATGAAACACGTGTGCCTTTGCCCAAAAAAGGTTGAAAAACACTGGTTTAGACCACAGCGCCACCCGTGTCTCTCCACTCTACCATTACCACTCTACTATAACATGAGGAATAACTCATGATAGAGTGAGATCGTGCTTGCTTTTAATGGCAAGCACTCTATCAATCCCCATGTATATTTTCTGCAGTCTAAATCTCAAATGGGCTCTTTCTTTTGTATCTTATTAGTCACACTTGATCGTTCTTCCCACAAAGTTCACTCAAATACCAGCTGTCTATCTCTCTCAAGAGGACCAAGAAAGACATTGATTACACCATGATCCTGTCATAGAAAAATTGATGCTGTGATTTATTTTTTAAAGCAACACAAAAGTGGTCATTTTGCTCACCTGCGGTGCCTGTCCATAGCTTTGATTTCCTTGATTGCTATATCCTGTGTAGCTGGAAGAGAAGGTGGCAGAGAAGTGTTATTTCCACACAGCACCTCCCTAGGGGCAAAAAGAAGAATTCACATCTATCTGAGCATCCTGCAGCATCTTAAAGAGCAGTTCTTTGTTGCAGCTTAAGCTTTTGTGAACTAAAGCCAACTTCTGGCCCACAAACATTATCCACAGAACATGAAGTTTAGGGAAGGGCACAAACTGTTCTTGCAGAGACCTAACTGTGTTCTTGTTGACCAGCAGAAAGTATAGAAACCAGTGACTCTGGAAATCCCTAGTGATGCCTTCTAGCCAGACGTGGCACACGGTCTGGCACTTTGTTCTCTTTGGAAAAAACATATGCACCTGGGCTCTTTAGAGCAGCCTTCTCCAACTTGGTGCCTCCATATGTTTTTGGCTGCAACCCCCATGATCTCCAGTCACCAAAGCTGTATCATGCTGGGGCAGATGGGGGTTGTAATCCAAAACATCTGAAGGGCACCAGGGGAAGGAGAAAGCTCTAGAGGAATTACTGAGTTCCTTTTATAGCACATCAATAAGTGCTAATTTCCCACTGGACCAACTTCGCATCAGAAGTAATTTGCGAAGAACGCCTTCACTTAAGACATCACTTCAGCACAGACTTATCTCTACAATTTGTACAGCTTTAGGCATTTGAAACCAGACCAGCGGTCTGGCTTATTTTTGCAATTCAATCTGCACCATATGTAGATTTTTTTTTTCACATTCAGGAAGGGTCGTAGTTCAGTGGTAGAGCGTTTGCTTTGAATGCGGGAGGTCCTAAGTTTACTCCCCAGCATCTCCAGGTAGGCGTGGGAAATATTTCTGCCTGAAACCCAGGAGAGCCACTGCGAATCAATGTAGATAATGCAGAACTAGATGGACCAATGGTATGGCTCAGTTTGGCAGCTTCCTATGTTGCAATAAAACAAACCTTGTTTAGACATATACGCACACACTTTGTGACTAGAGCTGAATTTTACCCACAGCAGTTGAGGCTACTTTATAGATCACCACTTTAATTGTGCCATCCAAATGAAAAGTTTGAATTTGGGGGGCCATCCAGTCATTTTAATCAATACAGTACTGTTAGTATATAAAACCCTTAACAGCTTGGAACCAGCTTACTTGAAAGACTGCCTTACCCCAATTGTGCCCGTTCAACAGCTTCAAAATGTGAAATGGCACTTTCACAAATTCCACAAAATGTTAGTTACACGCTTGCAAGGAATCTATCCTTTTAGCATGACACCTACTCTCTGAAACTTTGAGCCTCTTATTTTTAGGTAGGCATCACTGCTGTACAGTGGAACCTCGGTTTAAGAACAGTCCTGTTTACGAGTTCCACAAAACTGGAAGTAGTGTTCCGATTTGCGAACTTTACCTCGGTCTACAAACGGAAATGGAACAGTGGAAGGGCACCGGTGGTGAGAGGCCTCATTAGGGAAAGCACATCTCAGTTGAAGAACAGATTTGGTTTAAGAACAGACTTCAGGAACGGATTAAGTTTGTAAACTGAGGTACCACTGTACTGCTTTTGAAGCCTGCTAAACCCTTTTTTTGTTTAGGCAAACCTATCCAGGTGAGCAATTTTATGACATATTTTTGTTTCTAAACTGTTGGTTTTATCTATACAGTATTTGATAAAAGTTATTATGTCCACTTGTTTTTAAAGTTTGATTTTACCAGTATTTTCTTATGAATGTTTTATACTGTTTTTATGTAAACCGCTTAGAGGTTTTACTGATTAAGTGATATCTAAATCTTGTTAAATAAAGTACTGTAAAATAATACAGCACCGGGCAGGAGAGAAAGGGATATAAGGGACAGGTATTTGTACTTGTTTCCCTGTGAGGAAGTACACAAGCTGTTCTTTTTACCTGGTTGGGAGAGCGGGACAGGCAGGCTAAATTGTAACACTGAGCAAAAGGGAGGGTGGCAGAAATGGCTTGGACATAAACTGTAACTCTGCATGTGGGAATTTGAATGGAGGAAAACGATTCCAAAAGAGAGAGGCAGAATGGTAACTACCAACCTTCCAAAAAGCCTCAAGAAGATAACAACATATTACACAACATGGGGGTTCTTGTGTTTTTCTCCACAGGTTTAAGCCCTATATGGTATCATCATTAGATTTGCATACCTTTGTTGCTGATCTCCAGAATGGCTGAAACTTCCAGAATCTTAAAGGAACAAAAACAAAAATAAATTCCAAGTAGGCACTTATATAAGAAATGAACTTTTCAGCCAAAAATTATGATGAACTGGTTATTTGTGATGAGGAGCTCAATGATTTATTTTACATAACGAAAGCTGGCACAACCTCTTAGGAAGTCCTCTGTTCAGATGATTTCAGGCTCTCTTGCAGGGAGGCATGTGTGTTACAATGCTGCTCGTCTGCTTTTAGAAGCAGGGCATCACATCCATACCATACATTAAAGCACACTGTGTTCCCCAAAGAAGCATGGGTACCCCCACAGAGCTACAATTCCCAGTGCCTTTGAACTACAGTTCCCAGGAGTCTATAGGAGAAGCCATGTGTTTTAACTTTATGATATGACTCTGACTAGGGACTTCTAAATTGTATCAGAGCAAGGCTGCCAATACCAGGAAAAACTGCCCGAGCTACATGCAAATGAAAATTAACATTCAGGCTTGATGGGATCTTCTCCTAGAACCCCAAAAGCCACCAAATACAGTCAAATGTGAAAGACAAACATGTAGAATTAAAGAATCCAGAGTCTAGGGCATTGTTCTAAGTACAAGAACTATTCCAAACAGCTGAGTGAAGGTTTTGGCCTCTAGCTTTCTGTCTGCTCCACCACTACCCTTTTTTCATATATGGCAGGGCTGGGTAATATCCGGTTTTCAGTATCGCAATATATCACCAGCTAAACATCACAATATATCACAATGTCTGAAATAAGGATGGAACTATGTAGAGGCGAACACGTGGCAATAGTCTCCAAAACTTTGCAAGAGGTGGGAGAACGTGTGAAGGGGAAGCAAAAAGTAGCAGGGAATGACCGGATCTCAAAGCAGGTGTAGCTTTCCTTCTGCCAAGAATGGAAAGAGGGGTGTGGATGGCTGAATGCTCACTGGCAAAGGACCATCATGGAGTCATATTGGATTTGTAGGAGTGACAGTAACTCTGTTCCCTGCTCCTTTACAACCTGATAATGGGAAGAAAGTCTAAAAGAGGCCCAGCCTTATTGCAAGAATAGTTCCCTGTACGTGTTTTTAAGAGAGACTAGGAGAGACCCTCCTTTAAAGCCAGTCTTAGATAAATATCCCAGTCCACAAACCCTCACACGCAGCTGCAGTCCTGCACAGAACGGAAGATGAACATCCCAGCATATTCATCTGTGGAAAAGATTGTTGGTGCTGGGGTTGAAAGGGTGGGGGACACAAGATAGAGGAAGTTCAGATGTGAGGCCAAAGTTCACAGCGCTTGACAATCATTGCCTTAAGTATTTGTTTTTTCGATCCTCTGTTAGAGATATCAGCAACTGGAGATGAACAATTGAGAAGACAGGTGGGTACTTGTGCTGAGCATGATTTCAGACACAGTGAATGAGGTGTGCAGTATCTACAACTATAAATAACTCATCTTGGGTATCATTTGCTATTTAATATAGGTGCATGGCTAGCCATGGTGAACAGCCACAGAACCCTCTTAAAGATGCTTGTGCCCAGCAGAAGTTTGCAATGTGTTTCCAAAAACTGTTTTGCTTCCCTCCTCCCTTCAGTTACAAGAAGCCTATTTCCAACTTGAACTCCCACTGCGAAAGAACTCTAAGACTGCAACAGCCGCTTGGAAAGGGCTATGCTCTGACCACCGTCAAACATTCCACACAAACAGCAAGAGCACATATGCCTCACAAGCGTCCCCCATTAGTAGCCAGCATCATCCTTAACGCTTAAGAGCAGCCTTCCCAAACCTGATGCTCTCCTGATGTTTTGGACTAAATCAGCCGCAGCAAACATAGCCAGTGGTCAAGGATGTTGGGACCTGCAGTCCAGCAAGCATCTGGAGGACCCTGGCTTGTGGAAGGAGATAGGACTATATTGTAGTTGACGGGCTGAGGCTGAGAGAGGAGTAGAGGGAACTGTTCATATTCCAGCCACGCAAAAACACTCAAGGAAGGTGTGAAACACTGCCAACGAAGATTGAAGCCTGGGGACAGCATGAAGGGCCAAATAAGGAAACCCAGGGGGGCAAATTTGCCAGAAGTTTCCCAACCCTACCATAATATCATTATTATATTCAATCTTTTCAGATCCAGGACCCACCTTTAACTCAAACATATCTGCATGGCAGTGGTGCTCCTGCTGCGACCCACCTTGTATCAGACATGACCCAGTACTTGATCCCGACCCACTAACTGAAGACTACTGTATTGCCTTTCCCAAATTACAAAAACATAAAACTGCAAAATATTACTATAAAGCTGTAAAACACTGAACTATTGCCAACATTTTTATTACTATTTTAAAAAATAAAATAATATTGCTATTATACATCCTTCAAGGATTCCAATTTAAAAATAAATAAATAAACCACAAACTGAGGCGCCACTCACGCCTCGACTGGCCAAGAATAGTCCCAAGGGGCCTTAAGCACGTGAGACGAGTCAGCTGTGGGGCGAGCGCGCAGGCGCACTCGTGGGTCAGTCCAGCGCAACCTTTGCAAAAGAGCCTGAAACTTGTGGGAGGAGTCATTGCGCAGGCGCAACCCTCTCAAATATGGCAACTGCCAGACCCGCTGGGGTCCTTCCCTCCTCCCAGAGGCCACGCCCCCTCCCGCCTCCCCCTCAGTGACAGCCTCAAGCCCCGGTTTCCCCCAGCGAGGGAGGCGGCCACCTACCCGACGCCATCCCGGTCAGCGACCCCGGCGGGGAAAGAGGTGAGGCGGGGGGAAGACGCGGGACCCCGGACAACCCGCTCCGTCGGCCACTCGCTGACTGACTGACTCTGCCAGCAGCGGCAGCAACAGCAGCGTTGTCGACGCCGCCGTCGCTTCGGCTGCGGGGCGGCGCAGCCAATCAGAGCGGGCGGCGCCTACCAACTGATCAGCGCGCGCAAGAATGGGGGGGAAAGAGATAAATAGGCGTGTTGGAACATACCTATTGACGCCCTGCAAGGGTGTGTGCGAGAGAGAAGAGAGAGCAAGAATATTGTTCCAATCGATGACGGGCGGGGAGGTTCCGTCCATGTTCCAAAGCGGGCTGTACCACTTTTGTGTACAGAAGAGGAGAGGAAGGGACTGAATGGAACGTACCACTGTGGCTTCAGTGAAATAATAGCTTTTGGGGCTCTTCAAAGCGAAGGGGAAATGTACTAATGCATTAATATCCCAGCTTTCAGCCAAGGAGCTCAAGGCAGCATATATAGTCTGTCCTCCGCCTTTTTATTTTTTACTCACAACAACCCTGTGAGGTAGGTTAGATTGAGATAGTGTTCTGCCTAATATCTTTATGGCAGCGAGAATTTGAACTTGGATCCAGTCCAAACACTGTAACCACTACACACTGGGTCCCCGTAATTAGTGAAGAGGCAAAACTGTGATATTAAACTCTGTGTGTGATATACACACCATTTTAGCTTGCTTAGATTTGAATGCTGGGGAACCTGAGAAAATAGAAGCTTTATACCAGGCATTCCGTTGGAAATGGCAAGAAACCAAAAAATCCATACAATGTTGATATCAGCTGTTGAAATCAGTGCAGCCATGAAAGGTTCAGTTTACTATCTTGATTCAAAATTACACCCAATTATATCCAAACACAGACAAAAGTTGCCTCCTTAACCTCAGGAGCCATCAAGCAAAATTTAGTGACGATATCTTAACAAGTGTCCAAATAAACAGAGGACCAACAAACAACTTTCCAAACTGTAGTAGATAAAGTGTCTCTGACAGTGTGCAGAGTGCATTTGGCTGTGTAAACAGAGCAATTTCCTCACACATCCTAGCAATAAGGGTTCATGCCTCAGGAAAGCTGTCACCTCTTTTCCCCCACAAGCATGGTTATTGGGGCCTTTAGCTGCTATACAACAGATAGAAATTCTAAAGGTGTAGCTTTCTTGGCCATCACCATGCCATAAATTAATAGTACTGTACAAATCTAGTTTCTGTGCTTTTAACAGCTGCATCACAGTCAATGCCTCTTAACCTAATCCACCTCAGAAGGTTGTTGTGAAGATAGAATGGGTGGGTGGGTGATCTGTAATCACCTTGCGCTCCTTGGAGGAAGGGTGGCATAGAATATACTATTTTAAAAAATAAAATGACAGCAAAAATTGAGCCAATAAAACTGGAGAAGAGTTCTGAGGGCCACACAGAGAGGTATGGAGGGCGAAATGTATTGGTTACATTGGTGGCCTTACCTTTCCAGGCTCAATTTAAAGGTGCTGTGTTGAGTCTTTAGAGCCCTGGACAATTTGGGACCATGTGATCTGAAGGACTCTGTGCACCTGTATGGATATGCCCAAACTGTAAGATCAGGAGAGGTCCTGCTCTCTGCCCTGGCGGCAAGAACCATGAGGCTGGCAGGTAGTGGTGGGCAGGGACTTCTCAGTGGTGGTTCCACACCTCTGAAATGCCATATTTGTGGAGATACATATGGCATTATTGATAGAACTCTGCTCAAAACAGAGTTCAAGGGGACTTACTCCCATGAAAGTCAGTATAAGGGGATTAGAGGGAGGGGCTGAATCACACTGAGTCATTTTATTCTGTTTTAGCGCCAATTGTAGTTGAGCCAGCATGCCATAGCATGGCTGGAGTGTCGGTCTAGGACATGGGAGACCAGGGTTCAAATCCCCACTTGGCCACATGAAGCTTACTGGGTAACCTAGGGAGTCAGTCTCACTCTCTCAGCCTCACTTACTTTGCAGAGTGGTTGTGAGGATAAAATGGTGAGGAGGAGAACCATGTAAGCCACCTTGAGCTCCTTGGAGAAAGATAGCGGAACAGAAGTGAAATAAATAAACAAACAAATGCTGTCTTAAGCCTTTTGTAACCTGTTTGAGTGGATGCCTGAGGGGCAGGGCATAAACCATCCTAACGAAGTGCAGACATGCAAAGAAATGACTCATCAGCCACAAAGTTTAGAGGGAGTGGAAGGGAGTCAAGTTCCAGCAAGCAGACTGCTAGCTGAGAGATGGGAGAATCCACAGGCTCACTTTACTCCTGAAACTAACTTCCTACTGGATCAGAAGACCGGAGGGACTAAACAGAACAGCCCCTTCGTAGGTTCGGTGAAGAGGAGGGTCAGTTTCGGGTCTGGCTGCCAGGGAAAATTGTGAGTAACACTCTCTCCCTGTTTTAAGAAAACAGAGGTCTTTTCCCATCATTGCTGATGTGAACAAAGATGGCTTCTCTCTCGCCGGGAGGGCAGAGAGAGCAACAAATCTGGAAGGAATTAAGCTACAGTGGTAGCTTGGGTTAAGAACTTACATAATTCGTTCCGGAGGTCCGTTCTTAACCTGAAACTGTTCTTAACCTGAGGTACCACTTTAGCTAATGGGGCCTCCAGCTGCCGCCGCACGATTTCTGTTCTCATCCAAAGCAAAGTTCTTAACCTGAGGTACTATTTCTGGGTTGGCGGAGTCTGTAACCTGAAGCGTATGTAACCCGAGGTACCACTGTATTTGCAATGTATTTTATCCAGTCTGCTGGGACAAGAACATGCTGTGTGCTTTGCCTTCTTCTCTCTTTCCCTTTGTTAGAGTGTGATGCTGATAATGCAAAGGTTGCAGGTTTGATCCCTGTTTCGGGCTCCTGTGTATTTCTGCAGGGTCTCCTCCAGTTCTACAATTCCATGATTCCATTAATCTCCCCCTCCCCAGCTGCCCCCTGAATGTTATTTTCTGCTTTCTTTTCTTTTGCAAGGGACCTTGGCACTGAGCAAAAGTGCCTCCTGCAACAAAATGTTGCAGCATTATCGGCACTCCTTACAGGAGTGCTCCTGTTCAATGTGCTAGCCAGCTAGCCAGGCTCTCCTTCAGCAGACCATTCCCTGTCTTTTCCTTTTCCAGCTGACATACAGCATTCCAGGGCTGCTGGATACGCACAGTCCTTATTGGGTTGGGCTTCTGAGAAGGGGTGGGGCTGGCTTTCTCATTTGTTTTCCATCATTTTATTTTATTTTTGTGTTGCTGCAAATCTCCACATTCCTGCAGATATATTCTGATGCAGCCCACTGGTTTCTCAGTAGACCACATTTAGACTCCAGTCAACACTTGGCCACTTGAGTTTTCTATTAGAGGGATAACAATAATCATTCCGCACTTGTAAGACGTTGCTCTGTTAGTGTGGAAGCATCTGTATTGTGGAACTTCCTGCCTATTGACATCCGGCAGCCATGCCTTTGCTGTACAGTGGTACCTCGGGTTACATACGCTTCAGGTTACAGACTCCACTAACCCAGAAATAGTGCTTCAGGATAAGAACAGAAATCGGGCTCCGGCGGCGCGGCAGCAGCAGGAGGCCCCATTAGCTAAAGTGGTGCTTCAGGTTAAGAACAGTTTCAGGTTAAGAACAGCCCTCTGGAACGAATTAAGTACTTAACCCGAGGTACCACTGTACACTCTTCAGTGCCTCTTAAAAACATTTTGCCTTTCCAGCCATGTACTGTATAATGTTTAGCGTATAGCTGGTTTTAATTATTTTTGAATGTTTTAGTAGTTCTTTTTAACTGATCATTTCGCTGTTTTATTCTTTTCGTAAACCTCTTGGAGATTTTATTTAGAGTTGCCATACATCTGGGAAATCCCCGACATGGCCTCTTTTGGGGGGGCCTACATGCCTATCTGGGGGAATTTTCAATGTCCGGGGTTTGGGGGTGTGTGTTGTGAGCTGATGGCTTGGGTTCAGGCTATGGCTCTGGGTTTGGTGTGGGTGCCTTGGCAGTGGTGGATAGCTGGGGGGTGAGCTCAACAACTCTGCCCCCCCCCCCCAAATCTCAACAACGTTTTTGGCGATCACCCAAAAAATGCTCAAGAAATGTCCGGATTGATACCTCTTGAAATACGGAGTTATAAATTCATAGTAAATCAACCGTACATCAGATTTACACTGGTCCACTTTTATTTTGCTCCATGAAGGAAGGACTATCAAAGGGGGACGGTTTGATACAGGACGGCCATAATCCCTTAAGCGTACCAACACGTACTCAGGAGCCCTACCCAGTTGGCATGACAACCTTGATGGTCCCAGACAGAAGACCATCAAGGTCACAAAGGACTTGCATATGGGAGTGGATTCAACATGGACTGGAACAAAGCACAATGATCAGATCTTCCATCTGGGGGCAGGAAACTGCCAACTCCCCTTTGTCCTCTGGAAATGACTCATGGGGAGGAGGAAAGGAGGAACCAGCCAGGTGACAAGATACTCAGGTTACCACCACAACTCTTCCCTCAACCCCTCCTTTTTGTGTCAGTGATGTAGTCATGATGTAGTTGTGATGTAGTTCTAGGGGTGTAGCTTAGGGGATTAGTAACTAATAAAAGTTGGGGTCTTCTTTTGTTCTGGGCTTCCATTTTGTTTCACCTGGTGGCAGGTGGGAGTCCTGTCATGACAGTCTTCAATAAAGACCAAGCCTACTGGCTGCTGTTTTGCTCTGGTATTCCTGGCTGGTGTCCTTGTTTTTTGTCCAAGGGAGCCCTCGGATTTCTCCATTAACAACGGCAACCCTGTTTTATTACAATTGAGCTGTGTATCAATTTTGTGAAATGAATTTTCTTAAAGCAGACCCATTGAAACGAAGCGAACCAAGTTAGTCATATCCATTTACTTTCAACGGGTCTACTTTGCAGTGTTTTGTTTCTTTATATACCATTTTTTGGCTGAAGGGAAAGGCCCCCCGAGGCGGCTTACAAATAATAAATAGATACAGAAGAACACAAATTCGAAAACAAAAACCCTAATATTTCAAAAGTATTTCAAATATCCATGGTCCTGCCAAAAAGGCAAAGCGCATTCTCTACAAAAGCATCAAGAGAGGAAAAGAGCAGAATGCTTAAGCATCAGCTCTTCCTTATGAGAAAAGCCCTAGCTCAGGGGTTCAATCCCAGTTTCAATCCCTGCTGGCATCTCCAGGTAGGGATGCGAGAGATTCTTGCCTGAAATTCTGGAGAGCTGCTGCCAGTCAGTGTAGGCAGTACAGTGGTACCTCGGGCTACATACGCTTCAGGTTACATACGCTTCAGGTTACAGACTCCGCTAACCCAGAAATATTACCTCGGGTTAAGAACTTTGCTTCAGGATGAGAACAGAAATCGTGCAGCAGCAGCAGGAGGCCACATTAGCTAAAGTGGTGCTTCAGATTAAGAACAGTTTCAGGTTAAGAACAGACCTCCAGAACGAATTAAGTTCTTAACCCGAGGTAGCACTGTACTGAGCTAGATGGACCAATTGTTTGACTCTGTATAAGGTAGCTTCCCATGTTCCTGTAAGTGTCCCAGGCAGGGGGATTGGGCAAAGCACGTGGAGATGCTTGTGTCTTGTGATAGTTCCAGCAGTCTCTGCCCTGTAAGACTATTGCTGGACACAGTTCACTGAAAGATTGTTAAAGCTGCAGATTTGCTCTGTGTTTCATCACAGTTCTATTAAAGATGTATGTATCCAAACCCTGCAGGTGCAGCCGGACAGCATGGCTTCAAGTATCGCGCCTCTGCTGGGCCTGTTCCTCCTCACCATCTCCACCACCAGCGTCTCCCACGCTCAAAGCTCAAAGGCCTTCCAGAGGAAGCACGTCACATTCCTGGATCACATAGACCACAACCAATGCAACAGTGAGATGCGGAACAAGCGGATCTCTCAGACCGAGAACGGGTGCAAGCGGCTCAACACTTTCATCCATGCTCCTGAGCAAGTTGTCGACCAGGCGTGCACGGCGGGGGAGCCATACGTGATCCGGAACCAGGAATACAAAAAGAGCCCCAAAAAGTTCCGCATCACAAACTGCAGGCTCTCTCAGGGACATGGGGACGACTGCGAGTACGTGGCGGAAGCCAGCAGCTTGAGATACATTGTTGTGGCTTGCGACCAAAACGGCCGGCCGGTCCATCTGGAGAGGACGCTCACCGATGCAGCTGCCGGAAAGCCAGACGACAAGCAGCCGAGTTTGAACCCAACCAAGAAACCGTCTAATTCTGCAAGTGTAATAAGCGCCCATTGGGTTCGAGGGCAGGGACGTTGGTGCATGGGGCGTTTGGGGGGAGTGCTGCTGTCTCTTTCCTTTGTCCTCTTCTGGTGCCTTTAAGAAGGAAATCATTTGAAGACAAGCTTGTGTCTGCTGCATTTCCTCTGGTCCGGCTCCTGTGGAAGACACAAGAGTGCAGGGCTGGTAGGAAATGGTGAAAGCCAGGGAGCCCCACAATTCCTGTTGCCACACTTGCACAGTGAGCGTCTTCTTCTGAGAAGACCCAAGGAGCCCCGCAGGATCAGACCAAGGTATATCTAGACCAGCATCCTCCAACCAACCAATGGCCAGCCAGATATTCACATAAGAAGAACTTGCTGGTCAGGCCAATGGCTCACCTGGTTCAGCATCTTATTATCATGGTGGCCAAGCAGATGCCCCAAAGGGAAACCCACAAGAAGGACCTGAGCCTGAGAGCCCTCTCCCCTCCCGTGGCTCCCAGCAACTGGTATTCAGAAGCATTGCTGCTTCCGATTGTGGACTTCTTTTGCTCTTTCTGAAGCTTTTCAAATTTTACAAAACCCTTTGTAACCAGAACTGTGCACAATATTCCAAATGCATCTGCCACATAGATTTTTATAACAACATTATGATATCTGTATTTCCCCATACACTGGAGAGGGGCAGGGTCCTGGCAGCTGGACGTTTGATCCAGCTGTTTTGGGACTATAATTCCCATCATCCCTGACCACTGGTCCTGTTAGCTAGGGATGATGGGAGTTGTAGTCCCAAAACAGCTGGAAGGCCAAGATTGGCCATCACCAAGCTAATAACTTCCAACACTTTGTGGTGCTCTGGCGGCAACACATGTTTAGGGGTTAGGCCTGAGGATAATTTCTGCAGAAGAGAACACTGCCTGCCTTCCTTTTAATACTTAAATAGTGAATATATTTGGCCAAAATAGCATGTTGGTGGACTGGGAGGGTGTATCCATTCAATATAGGTAATTTTTCTTATCTCCAGTATTTAGCTCTTGCTGCAGGAACTATTGAAGAAAATAGTCCTTGATCTTTTCGAATTACATTTATTGCATAACTCAATAAAATAAGTTCTAAACTGGCACATTTTTTGTAATTCTATGCACTTCATTTATGGTATCAGGCCAACCTTTCTGAAGACTGAGAGATGCCCCCAACATTATTCAAAGAGGGAAGTAGAGTGGGCTCCACCTCTGGGAAATTGGGGCCGTCTCTTCACATCCAATACACCTGAGGAGAAAACTGAACTTTTGAACTTGCCTAGATGTAACTTAAAAGGTTGCCCGAATGTAGCAGGGGCAACTTAGCCCACAATCTGCAATGGAATGTATGTCGCTGCCTTTGCTCACCCAGCAATGGGTGGTGATTGTTGAGCCTCTTCCTTGGGATATTTGTCCTTACAAAGGCCATCTACATGGAGACGATTTAAATCACCTCTATGAGTTAAAAAGGCTGACACTGTTAACAAAGTAAATGGATGTAAGCCAAGCAGAAGGCAAAATTTAATATGTGCCGAAAACAATAGTGGTGCAAGTGCCATCTCAGTGTTCGCCTGTACTTTAGCCACGCCCATTAGAGATACGCCTCTACTGTAGCCACGCCCATCATGGACATTGGCTCCAATTTAACCACGCCTCCATGAATCTCTCTCATTCAGCCATGCCCTTTGGGAAGCAAATACGGTCAGCCACGCCCTCAGTGGCCTCGCCTCTCTTTTAACTGCTCTCCGTCACTGACCACGCCTCTCCCTTAACCACGCCCCAAAGGAACCCGTCTCTCCCTCAGCCACGTCCCTCCCCTTTAACTACTACAGGGATTGACGTCACCTCCCACCAATCACGTCAGACAGCCGGGAGCGAGAGAGTCTCCCTCCGCGAGGACCTGGGGAGGCGGTGGGCGTGGCTGTAAAAGGCGCCATCCTATCGGAAGCAGGCGCCCCGGCGCCCCGCCCTCCTCCCTCAGCGAGAGAGACGGCCTGCAGGCTCCTTGGCAACGGACGCAACCACCAAGGACCCGGAAGCAAAACCAGGGGAAGGCGGAAGTACTTCTGATCCCGGCAGTTGGACTCTGAGGGAAACAGGAGGATGGAGCGGCTGCCGGTGGCGACTTTTCTGACGGTGCTGCTCTCCTTCCTGGCCTCTGGGCCGAGCCTGCTGCGGTGGGGCGCGGAGCGGGGCCTGCCGGGAGACCTTTCTTCCGCCTTTTCGCTGCGCCCCGAGGCGGTGCTGGAGGGGCAGGGTGAGGCGGTGGGACACCGACCCCCCTCTCTTTTCGACGGGTGGGGGAGTTATTGCCAAAATGGGGGGTAGGGTCTTTGGGGGTCCTGAGTCAAGGGAGGAGAAACTGGGGACTCCTACGCTAAGGGCTGAACCTCAGTGGTTAAAGCAGTGTTTCCCAACATTTTTTTTGGCCATGCCCCGCCTAAGCATCTCTCAAATCCTGATGCTTCTATTCACGTGGAGGAAGCCTAAAAGGCCATTCACTGTTACTAACTCATTCTCGAATTGCTCCCCTTAGAAATCAAATTACCCCCCTGTGGGGCGTGTGCCCCACGTTGGGAACCACGGGGTTAGAGCATCTGTTTTGCATGTCTCATGTTCAGGACTCAACCGCATGTCCAGTGAGGGCTGGGGAAAAGAGCATGGTGTGAAACCTTGGAGAGCTACACAAGATTGAGTTAGGTGGGCCAATAGTCAGCATAAGGCAGCTTCCTATGTTCCTCTTTAAACCAGCCCTTTGTTTAGAATAATGTGGACTGGAGCTTTCCTTTGCTTTTAAGTAAAAGCTCAGGGGCAGAGCACCTGCTGTGCATGCAGAGATTCCAGGTTCAGCCCCCAATGACATCTCCAGATAGGGCTGCAAGCGTCCGCCAGTTTGAAACCCTGGAGAACCACTGCCTGTCCGTGTGGGCAACATTGAGCTCGATGGACTTACCCAGTGTAAGTCAGATTACTGTGTTGCTTCTTGTGTAGGGACAGGATATCTTTTACCGACATGGCATTTTCCTCCCATCTCAGTATATAGGCTGGTGACCTACATCTGTGTATATGAGGATGTGATCTCCTTGGTATGTGGCGCCATCATCATTTGGTACTTCGCTGGCAGCTTTGAGAAGACTGTGGGCACTGTGAGACACTGCTTCCTCACTGTGGCCTTTGCCATTTCCTTAGCTTTGCTCTACCTGATGCTCTGGGCTGCCCTTTCCAGGCTCTGGGAAGTGGCAGATGCCAAAGGCTTTGTGCCTGTAGCTTTTGCCATGCTGGCTGCATCCATTGCCCGCTCCCGGATGAGGAGGACACTGCTGTTTGGGGTCAACATCCATGTGGCACTGGTGCCGTGGGTCCTGATTTGCGTGGCTTGGCTTATTCTAAGTTCCTCTCTCCTAGGGAACATCTGCGGCCTCTTAATTGGAGACATCTGTATCCTTTTGAATAGATTCCCATAAGCCAGTTTGGGCAAATGCTGAATGGGGCCCTCCAAACCTCTTTATCTGGCCATTAGGACCCTCTCCTGGTCAAAATTGAATTTGGTTATTGTGAACTAGGACCTGGAAGAGACCAGGGTTTAAATTCCTGAATCTGCTGTAAATCAGGCTCCTGATCTTGGGCCAGTCAGTCTCTCAGTCTGTCCAACCTCCCAGGGTCACAGTAAGGATTGAGGGGCCTATGGGGAGGCTGAGCTAGAGGAGTATAAAATAATGCACCATAGGGAGACAGCCTGGGCTCTTTTTCTAGCTCTTCCTTAACTACTTGCCAAACTCAGATGGTTATGGCTACTGCTTTGGTGCAGATCTCCCTGAATCAACAGTCTCTCGTCTGGATAAAAAGTTCCCTTTCCGCCTGCTGAAGAGAATACCAGGAATGAAGTATGTTCCAGGATCTATAGCAGAGAGAAGGGCTTCTCAAAGCAGGAAGTAAGTATGCCCATCCCAGTATGGGAGTCATGTGCTCGATTGGCTTTAGATAAGAACATAAAAACATATGAATAGCTCTGCTGGATCAGGCTAGTGGCCTATCTAGTCTAGCCAGATGCCCCAATGGGAAATCCTCAAGCAGGACCCAAGCATTAGAGCCCTCTCCCCTCCTGGGGTTTCCAGCAACTGGTTTTCTAAGCATTGCTGCTTCCAACTGCAGAGGCAAAGCATAGCCATCAAGGTTAATATATATTGATAGCCCTCTCCATCAAGTTGTCTACTAAATCCATCTAGGTTGCTGGCCATTACTTCTTCCTATAGGAGCAAGTTGCTATTGTTTAACTATGTACTGTGTGATGAAGTCATTTATTTTATCTGAAATGACGCCTCTCTTTTTTCAGGCTAAACCCAGCACCCGGTTCTTACCCCACTCAGAGCTATCACAGCTCCTCTCCTCCCTCCTTGCTTGCTGTTCATATGCAACACCCCAGTACATGCCCTCCTGGATCTCAGCCGCAGTGCATGCCCGGTCCTGTGCTGAATCAGTGCACTGGTTCCCTTGGAGGGTCATGCATCCAGCACCATTTCCAATCTCCGCCAGGATCCATCTCGCAGCATTTCAGTGGGTCTGACTCAGGGGGACCCAAGAGGACAGATTGCTCCAGTGTCCCCCATGCACCTGGGTTTCCAGCTGCAGGAGCAGCGTCAGAATCAGCAGAGCTTTGCCGAGTTCACGTAGGGTGAAATTCCTGTATTCTACTGCCTGCAATTCATGTGAGGATTGGCAAAGGTTTTCCCTCCAAGATGGGAGTCTCCTCCAGGTGGATGAAGGATTTTTAAAGTCCTAAACAGCTTCAATTCAGTGTACCAAAGAAACCACCCTCTCTCCATGTCTTGTGGCATCCCCTTACAATCAGATGAGGGTATTCTCTCTACTCGATCATCAGTGTAACACAAAGAGCTCCACAAATTCAGGGCTCCATCTCCTTGTTATACCCAAGCTTGAGCAATCTTACAAAATGATTTAATGTGGTTTTATCTTTTGAGAGGGTGGCTGGCTGGGCCAGGACTGGTAAATTTCTACTGTGCCTTTTCTGTATATGTGTGTGTTGGCCTTGAATCATTATGAACCCTGAACCCTTGAATGGGGCATCCTACGCATGTGATTTATTTCATAAGAGTATGGAAAGGTGGCAGCTAGTACCTGCTTGAAAGCATGGTGTCTTGAGGTGAGCTTTCTACAGGACTTGGGTCTGCAACCACAGACACCCCGAATCAGGGACTGTAGCCTACAGCTCTGATTTATTTTTTACAGGTATGTTCATTTGGGTTTGGGGTTATCTTGCTACTGATAAAAATCATTGTGACTTTGTATGAAATAATGCTGGTTTGCTTACAGTTCTGGGAAGGGCTATAGCTCAGTGGTAGAGCTCCCGCTTTGTTAAAAAAATGTTCAATATTCAGTCTCTGGTATCTCAAAAAAGACTGGGTCGCAGGTGATGGAGAGCCTCATCTAGTCAGAGTAGATGTGGTCAGGCAGACAAGTACTCTGACCCTGCTAGAATGCAGCTTCCTAAGTTCCATGAAGTGAGGAAAGGGGAGAGAGGAGACTTCAGTCTTATCCCAAAACATACATAAACCAAATATATCTTCTACAAAGATCACTGTGGCTGTTTCCAGTCACCCTGTGCCTCACAGGGGGACCTATGTGCCCTGCTCAGTGCCAGCGACGCAACCAATTTTATTTTATATTTTTAAGCCAGTGGGAGAACAGTCATTATATCTTCTATGTCCCAGGAGGCCTTGGCAGAGGCTAAGCTGCACAAGCCATTCAGATCTGCATCCCATGACAGTTGCAAATTGCAAATATCAAAATCCTCTCCCTTGTTTCATTTAAAATCCAGCCTGATGAGCAGTTCTGGAGGTGTTGAACGCTTCCTTGCGCCTAGCTGGAGAGGTTACCGTCTATCAGGGTGCTGTAGCAGGGGGATGGACTAGATGACCTGCAAGGTCCCTTCCAAGCTTGGGATTTGACTTTATGACACTTCGGCTGGTCCAAATAAAGTGATTGCCATACTGTGGTTTATGGATGTCTCCTCCAATTTTTGTGTAGAAACCTCTCAAGCTAGCTGGTTCTTTAGTATGATGGTGTGGAGGCTGGTTGCTGGCTGGGAGGTGTACTGCTGGGGGAGCTGGCTGTGTGCTGTCTGACCATATATCAGCTGTGCTGGACATTTTCAGTCCCCAGATTCAACACCTGATGTCGCAGAGATGGGGAGAATGAGGCATTATCCCATCCTTTCTTTTGAATGCTTTGGACAACTGATTGGTTTTCCCTAGGTCTGACATTTCCTCCAGGCAACAGAGGTTATGACGAGACATAATAAATCTTTTAAAAATGGACAGCCTGCATGCAGTTTGATCTGGAATATAAACAACTTGTAACATCTGGATGAGCCTCTTTGCACCCTCCCTGTTTGCCCACAAAACACCACTATTCCTCCTGGCTTTTAAAGGGGCCATAATGCTGTGTGTAGATGGTTTGTTCCAGGTGCTTTAATGAGGCATTGATGTGTGATAGGGGTAGGTGTGGGGAAGCCATGGCTGTCTCCATGTTAAAACTCCTTCCCATCAGCCCCAGCCAGCTACTGTAGTCCAACCACACTTGGAGGGCCACAGGTTCCCCACCCTTGTTGGTGGTTGCGGGGGAGAGAGAGAGAGAATGCACAAAACCATTGAGGAAGTCGCCTTACTTTATTTATAGGCCACTTTTTCTGCCAAAAGACTTTCAAGTGGCTTTCTGAACAACTATCAGGGAAATGGAAAACCCACCACGTTAAAAGATAAAATAAACGTCTAGCCATGCAAAGTAGCTGCTTCTGCAGAAGAACTATCTAAACTCACATGAGAGAGGATATGGAAATCTATAGACTTAATAAAATGCAGTCTGTATAAGAAATGCTTTCAAAGGCTAGGATCCAAATGCCTACATAAAAGATCAGGCAAAAGGTTCATCCTGCTGTTCACCCTGCCCAACAAGGTGATTCTGGGGATCCTACAAGCAGGACCCGAGTCCAGTAGCGTTTGCCTCATGTTCCCCAGAAACTGGGCCTCTGGGTAGACACTGAACAGCAGGGATGCGGAGAGCCTGCAGCCCTCTAGATGATGATGGACCCCCCCAACGCCCATCAGCCTCATCTGACATAGTCACCGGGGCGGGAGGATGGAAGTTGTAGTCCAATAACATCTGGAAAGCTACCAGGTTTGGGGGAAGCTGGTCTGGTCTAAAAAATAGCAAGCCCACCCCACGGTCTCCCATTGAACAAAACCTTGCTGGCTGTATGGAGCAAGCTTTGAATGTTTAGCCTGCAAAAGAGGAGACTAAGAGGAGGCATGATAGCCAGCTTCAGATATCTACAGAGCTGTCACATGGAAGAGACAGCAAGCTTGTTTTATCCTTCAGAGGGGAGGACATGAACCAGTGGCTTCAAGTGAGAAGAAAGGAGATTCTGACTAAACATCTGAAATAACTTTCTGACAGTAAGAACTTTTTGACAGTGGAATGCACTTCCTTCGAAGGTGGTGGACTCTCCTTCCTTGGAGGTTTTTAAGGAAAGGTTGGATAGCCATCTGTCAGGGATGCTTTAGTTGTGTTTCCTGCATTGCAGGGGTTTGGGCTAGATGACTTGGGGTCCTTTCCAACTCTACTTCTGTGAATACACACGTGGTCCTCAACAAACCCCAATCACAAGGAGCCCAGAGGGTCCTGCTTTAGCTGGCCGAGGATTCCCATGCCCCTTCTCGGGAGCAGTTGAGAGCTGATCCATGGAACTAAAGGGGCGACACGCACAAAGGTGGCTGATTGGCTGATCTCCTTTCCTTTGCTTTGACTTTCCACTGAAGATGTAAAGATTCCCTCCAGGTAAAGCTGCCCGTCCTCTCCTGGGCAGACAAAAAGCCCTCCTGTACTCAGCTATCAAGAGAGAGAGAAAGGTGAAGATGAGCTGCCGGAGGATTGCAACTGGAAAGCTAGCAGCTGAATTCAGAAGCATCACTGCCTCTGACCCTGGAGGCAGAGCATAGCCATCATCCATGAAATTCAAAGCAACAGGGTAATTACCTGAAGGTCCTTTTTGAGGCTGAATGGTTGTGCACAGGTGGAGGCCAAGGAAGAGGTGGGGACACAGCTGTCCAGCAAGGTCACGGTCCACTGAAGGATGTCAGGGTGAGCTGATGGAAAGGAACGCCACAAGCCTCTAAGGATCTGCCTGCCCTCTTTGCTCTTTCTCCCCATGGCTCGTGATCTTTTCTCCTCCAAGCCCATCAACCTTGGCTGCTCAAAAGTCTCCCATAAATAGCTCTCATTACAATTCAAATTCGGACGCACGGGGCTCCCTGTCTGTGGAGCAATGTGAAATCTGCTTTTCCTAACTCGCGGACTACACTTTTCTCTTGTCAAACTTTACCCAAGATCCCTGCAATGCTTTTACACATTCCTCGTTTTATCTCTTCAAGACAGTTTGCAAGAGAGAAATAGTACCCCACGATTTCCCCAGCCATTCTTGTTTCGGAAGTATTTATGTTTATACTTTTTGATGACAAGGATAAACCAGATCAGCAAACAACCAGTGCCTTTTATAAGACCTCTCTTATTTGTAAGATTCTGAAGACAAACCAGAGGGTCAGTATTTTCTAATGTGAAAGTGCAGTATACAAACAAGCCTCTTGTGGGAGCCAATGAGTTAGAAATGCCCTAAATAAACCTATAGGGTGATTATGCTATAATTCACAGGGTTTCCAGAGGACCTCCTGAAGAGGTGCTACAGCAATTGCATTGGTCCTTACTTGGACTTAACCCATGTGCAACTGTACTCATTCTATGTGCCTATTTTGTAGTTTTGCTTTTCATCTTTTAATTTTCGTCTTTTGTTACAACTGTTGTTTTTGTTTTATATAACATCATGAAATTAAATTTAAAAATCCTTTACCAAAATATAAAAATCCCAGGTAAGGACTGGGAAAGTATGCTGCCTGAAACCCTGTCAGTTGCTACCTGTCAGTGTAGACAATACTGAGCGATATATGGGTCCATTGTCTGGATAAGGCGGCTTCCTGTTTTCCTATAGATTTTCAGCTGTACAGCATTTCTGAACCACATCAAGCAACATGTAGGCTAATAATATATTGACAATATTTATATAACACTATCAAACTGTTTCAAAATTCATAAACAGTGCAGGGAGTCACAAACTAATAAATATCAAGTGTGCCGCTGTGGTCTAAACCACTGAGCCTAGGGCTTGCTGATCGGAAGATCGGCAGTTCGCATCCCCACAATGGGGTGAGCTCCCGTTGCTCGGTCCCAGCTCCTGCCAACTTAGCAGTTCGAAAGCACGTCGAAGTGCAAGTAGATAAATAGGTACCACTCCAGCGGGAAGGTAAACGGCATTTCCGTGCGCTGCTCTGGTTTGCCAGAAGCGACTTAGTCATGCTGGCCACATGAGCTGGAAAAAACTTTCTGTGGACAAACACTGGCTCCCTCAGCCAGTAAAGCAAGATGAGCGCCGCAACCCCAGAGTCGTTCATGACTGGACTTAACTGTCAGGGATCCTTTACTTTTGCCTTTTTTAACTCTTCCATAAACAGAATGATTAGAATGGTATGTCACTATAGTCTATGCCTTTTTGTACACATAATTTTGCTTGAGAACTGCACCACAAAATTTGGAGAAGTGTACATTTCAAGGGATGGCTGCATTTCAGTTTCCATATTGTTTCAGAAACTGAAAATTAGGTAGATAGATATATGATTTTAAGTGAGAACAGAATTAAATTTTGCCCCATCCCCATGAGACACTCCCAGCCTCCAGAGACAGAAACACCTGTGGCTTACCACCACGTTCCTTTGATCCTATCGCCCAGCACCCTGTCCCAGGTGATACAACGTGGAGTGGGTCAGGAAGGCAAATGGGACGGGTGGTCGATGTGATAGGTGCCAGTTTTGCCAGCTGGACTAATGCGACATCATCCTGGGCACCTGACGAGCGAGGGGTAATCTTGGCAACTGGATACAGCTCATCTGAAGAAGTGAGCTTTACAGAGTACAAGGAGATGTTTCTGCAAAGCAAAAAGATGGGCTGGAAGTTACATGTGATGGGGGGGCAAGGAGGAGAGGACGGCATCGCAACGAGTCATCAGGCTTGTATAGGAAAACAGGAGGGTTATACAAAGCTCATTGGGTTACCTGGGGCCAGTCACCATCTAACCTACCTCAGAGGGTGTTGTGAGGGTGAAATGGGGAGGAGGAAAACCAGTTACACCACCTTGAGCTCCTTGGAAGATAAAGGTGGCATATGAATATAGTAAATAAAATAAATAACTAATAAACACCTGTAGCTTGCTGCTGGTACAGAAGAAACAAATTAGAAGAGCCTGCTTGGTCAGGCCAATGGGGGCCCATCTAGTCCAGCATGCTGTTCTCACCGTGGCCACCCAGAGGCTCCAAAGGGAAACCCACAAGCAGGTCCTGAGCACAAGAAGCATGACTGCTTCCAGCTGTTGAGGCAGAGCACAACCATAATGGCTACTAGCCATCAATAGCCCTCTTCTCCGTGAATTTGTCCCATCCTCTTTCAAAGCCTCTTCTAAAGATTATCAAGGAAATTCTACTTGCGGCACTGCACCCTTCAGAATATCACAGGGTAGTTTCCCGAAAATGGGCATTTTCTGCTGCTGTTGCTGTTTCTGTGAGAATGCCCGTCACTCTGCCAGATACGGAGCATCAGTTGTCTTGTGAAGACTTTTTATCTTTTTGTTCAGGCTTTCCCCTGCCCATGCAATTGGACCTTAACCTACGAAGGATATTGTAGATTTGGAAAAGCATCAGAAAATGGCATCCAAACAGATCGAGGGCATGGAGCCGCTTTCCTATGGGAGAAGAGCACTACTGTGCCAAAGTCCTACTTGCCAGCTTCCCATTAGCGTATCTCGTTGGCCACTTGGAGAACAGAACAGATGGGCCTGGGCTCAATCCAACAGCCAGGCTGAATTGTGAGGAGGTGGGCGAGCGGGTGGTTTGCCCTTCCTTGGGACACTGAAAGCTGGGTGTCACCAGCTTCTAGCTCCCTCTGATTCCGTGTCTCTGTACTTAGTGCACAGGATACAAGGTTGGATTGCGAGCACCAGGCCCCCGGTTGCTTTTTCACACTGCAGAATTTTGCAATGCAAGTTTCTAGCCCTCGGGGCTGAGGAGATGTGCTTGGCAATCAGGCAGCTTTCTCAATGCACAACTCAGTGAGTTTGTTGGGGCAGTGCATCTGCTTCTGGAATGCACAGTCAGCTTCTGGAATTCTGGTAAGGGTTACAAAAATGCTCAGGTTGCGTTGGGGTATAAATAATAATTTATTTATACCCCGCCCATCTGGCTGGGTTTCCCCAGTCACTCTGGGCGGCTTCCAACAAAATATTAAAATACAATAGTCTATTAAACATTAAAAGCTTCCCTAAACAGGGCTGCCTTCAGATGTCTTCTAAAAGTCTGGTAGTTGTTTTTCTCTTTTCTCTTTCTCTTTGAGGTGAGGTAAAAGTATGGAGCTCTAATGCAGAATTTAATCTAAAAGCCTTCTCTCTGTCTCTCTCTCTCTCTCTCTCTCTCTCACACACACACACACACACACACACACACATACTTTTAACCAAACCATGTCCCACTCAGTGGAACATTAGAAAAGAATACAGTTGTACCTTCGTTATTGAATGCCTTGCGACTCAAACGTTTTGGCTCCTGAACGCCACAAACCCGGAAGTGAGTGTTCCGGTTTGCAAACGTTCCTTGGAACCCAAATGTCTGATGCGGTTTACGCGGCTATCGATTGAGTGCAGGAAGCTCCTGCAGCCAATCAGAAGCTGGGCCTTGGTTTTCTAACGTTTTTGGAAGTCAAACGGACTTCTAGAACAGATTCCTTTCGACAACTAAGGTACGACTGTATAACTTAAGAGCCTTCTGGATCAGACCAGTGGCCCATCTATTCCAGCATCCTGACCTCACAGTAGCCAACCAGATGCTCAGTGGTGGTGGTGGTGGTGGGAAACCTGCAAGCAGGATTCAAGCACAGGAGCACTCCCCCCCCCCCCCGCTCCTGTGATTTCCAGCAACTGGTATTCAGAAGCATTGCTGCTTCCAACCATGGAGGCAGAACATAGCCATTGTTATAGCTATTATTATTGTTACTGTTATCTCTTTTTTTAAATGTTAGCAGTAACATCAAAGTCACTTCATCAAGGAAATGGGTCGATTCCTTTTGCCTTTAGCCAGATCATGTGCTGAACTCGTTCACCATTGTGTCATAAAGAATGTTTATAAAATTATGCATGGTATGAAGAAAGTGGGCAGAGCAAAGGTTTTCTCCCTTTCTCATAACACTAGAGCTAGTGGACATCCCATGAAGCTGAAGGTTGTAAGAGTCGGAACAGACCAAAGAAAGGACTTCTTTATGCAGTACATAGTTAAACTACGGAACTCGCCCCAACAGGAGGCAGTGATGGCCACCAACCTAGATGGCTTTAAAAAGGATAGGACAAATTCACAGAGGAGGGGGCTAACAATATATATTAGCCTTGATGGCTATGCTCTGCCTCTGTGGTTAGAGTCAGCAATGCTTCTGAATGCCAGTTGCTGGAAACGAGGGGACAGTGTTCCTGTGCTCAAATCCTGCTTGCTGGTTTCCCTATGGGGCATCTGGTTGGCCACTGTGAGATCACGATGTTGGACTTGATGGACCTTTAACCTGATCCAGCAGGCTCTTCTTAGGCTCTTAAACTGTGCTGCAGAAAATCTAACATTTCCAGGTTTTGATTATGTGTTATGCCCACTGGCTAATGCAATAAAACTGAAATATAGCTGTAACCTGCACCACCGGAGTCATTACTTCAAACCAGCTAAGTGGCTTAAGTTACCATTGTGTACACGCTTACCTGGTAATAAGCCCCATTGAATTCATTGAGACTTACTTTGATGTGGACATGTAGGGGCTTGCACTGTTAATTTCATAAGCAGACAGCCAAGCTCAGATTTCACAGTTATTGACAAAGCCAGATAAATTTGAGATAGACAGGAGGAGCCAGATTTGCAGTTGAGCAAGCCGTGTGCTAAGGTTAATTTGGTGCGTTGAGAAATTTTATAGGATAAACGATTAATAGGGATCATTAAACTGGAGCTCATTCTTACAATTCTATGAAGAAAACACAGCGATTGTTTTTAAACCATTCCTGATGCTGCTTCTATCTGATTTCCCTTATAGCAAGATTGTTGATTGATTGGTCAGAAGAACTCTGTACTATGCTTAGGTACTGAATAACTTCTGTGGAACTCTCTGCTCCAAGATGGCCACTGGCCTAGATTAGGCAGCCATTTGCCAAATGGATCTTCCATGTGCAGGGGAAATATACCTCTAATACCAGATGTCACAGGGACAAAAAACTGTTAGGGGAAGCTTTAAATGAAATGAATGTTTTAAATCATGTTTGTTTGTGTTTTCAGAGTTTGTCCCTGGCTTATGCTGCATTTAATGTAGTAGGATTATTATTATTATTATTATTATTATTATTATACCCCACTCATCTGAATGAGTTTCCCCAGCCACTCTGGGCGGCTCACAGCATATCTAACAACATAATACTGTAATGATAATTGGCTCCAAACAATAATAAACCTTGAACTTTGGGTCCCAGCCAACTCTACAGTTCTATGATTCTAGGAATAAAGCAATAAAGTCATTAAAACAGTTTAAGGGCATAAGCAGAGGTCAGGCCAAACTAGTTTAGCATCCTGTTCTCTCAAGGGACCAACCAGATGCCCCAGTGGGAAGATCCCAAGTAGGACCTGAACGCAACAGGACTCTCCCTGCTTGTGATTCTCAGAAATCCCTTTTCTAATGACCCCCAAAATTGAATTTGCCTTTTTCACAGTTGCTGCACATTGGGTCAATGTCTTCAATTGAGCTATCCACTATGAACCCAAGGTCTCATGCCTAGTCAGTCTCTGCCAGTTCAGACCCCATAAGCGTCTATGCAAAATTAAGATTTATTTATTTATATTTGCCGTGGTATGCATCAGTTTACACTTGCTTACAGTGAATTGCTTTTGCCATTTTACTGCCCTTTCACTCAGTTTGTTTTAACCACCCCAAACAATTTGGTCTCATCGGCTAACTGGGCCACATCACTGCTCATCCCTAACTCTAGAATGTCTTATAAAGTGTGAGTCCCAATATGGATCCTTGTGGGACTCCACTTTCTGCATCCCTCCATTGGGAGAACTGCCCATTTATTCCTACTCTCTGCTTTCTGTGTTGTTATGTACTGAGTTGAATAGAATTCAGAATGCAGCAGTCTGATTGGTCCCAGAACAATAGGATTCAGAATGCAGCAGTCTGATTTGTCCTAGAACAATAGGATTCAGAATGCAGCAGTCTGACTGGTCCTAGAACAATAGGGTCCAGAATGCAGCAGTCTGATTGGTCCACAGGAGCCACCCAATCCAGCTCCAGGTGGAAGTGAATCCGCAACCAGATTGGCCTACAGGTGAATCCCAGAATTAGCCAATCACGTGGGGCCCATTGTGTAAATAATGTATATAAAGCAGACATTCTGGGGGAACTTCCATTCCTTCTCACCACTATGAGCTGAATAAAGAGCATGAAATCCACTCTCAATTCCGAGTATATTTCATGTGTCTTTACCAGTTCCTGATGCACAATATGACCCTGCCTCTTATCCCACGACTGCTAAGCTTACTCAAGTATTTCATGCGGTACTTTGTTGAGAATAGTAACTTGAAATAGCCAAAAGATGAATCAAATTGCCAGTGGCATAGTCTGAACAGGGCAAACTGAGGTTCAGGCTGTTTGAAGGACTGTATTTTCCATATGAACCTGCCCGGGCTCTGAGATCTTCAGAGGAGGCCCTTCTCTCAGTCCCACCACCTCACAGGCATGCTTGGCGAGGATGCAGGAGAGGGACTTCTTGGTGTTGGCTCCCAGGCTTTGGAACTCCCTCCCTAGAGAGGCCAGACTGGCCCCCTCCTTGCTGTCCTTCTGCCGACTGTTTTCTTCCGACAGACCTTTGGGAAATGACTGTTTTTCCTGGAAAGAGTTTTTAAATAGTGCTGTGCTGTTTTTATTATGTGTGTTTTAATAGTTTTGTTTTTAAATTGTTTTAATTCTATTAGAGCTTAAATAATAAAATAAATAAATAAATAAATAAATAAATAATAAAAGTAATTAAACTATATCTATATATCTATATATTTTCCTGAGGCTTTTTTGTTATGAATCATAGGTGTGGAACTCCCAAAAGAAAAGACTGTTTATGTATGCAACGACAGCAGCAAGGATGCTCTTAGCCCAAAGATGGAAAGAAGAAAAAGCACCGACCAGAGAAGAGTGGCAGACCAAACTGATGGAATAGGCCAAAATGGTAAGATTGACAGGAAAGATCAGAAACCAGGAAGACCGAATATTTGTGAAAGACTGGAATAACTTTTTAACATAACGAGAGACCACTGTAAACAGTTGAAATTATTGGGAGGAATGCAATGACACCTGTAAAGTAACATGAACTTTGGATACTATGGATATATAATAGATAGATTACAGTAAAATATGCAGGAATAAAATTTAGAAATGGAACCCACAGAGGGAGGGAGGTCTGAAGGTTCACGAGAATCTCCACCCCCCCCGTCTCTTTTTAGTTTTTTTCTTTGGAATTGTTATGCTCGTGATGTATAATCTCTATGTAAAACTATATATATATATATAAAGGTAAAGGGACCCCTGACCATTAGGTCCAGTCGTGGCCGACTCTGCGGTTGCGGCGCTCATCTCGCTTTATTGGCCGAGGGAGCCGGCATACAGCTCATGTGGCCAGCATGACTAAGCCGCTTCTGGCGAACCAGAGCAGCTCACGGAAACACCATTTACCTTCCCGCCGGAGCGGTACCTATTTATCTACTTGCACTTTGACGTGCTTTCGAACTGCTAGGTTGGCAGGAGCAGGGACCGAGCAATGGGAGCTCACCCCGTTGCGGGGATTCAAACCGCCAACCTTCTGATTGGCAAGTCCTAGGCTCTGTGGTTTAACCCACAGCGCCACCCGTGTCCCATCTATCTATCATCTATCTATCTATCTATCTATCTATCTATCTTATGTATATATGTTTTTAGCTTTCTGTATTTTATCTGTATGGTTTTAATTTGTGTAAGCCGCCTTGAGCCCCAGTCTGGGGGAAAAGGAGGGATGTAAATAAATATAATCATAACGACAACCACAATCATAATTTAGAATAGGGATGGGCCGTAGTTCAGTGGCAGAGCCCAGGTTCAGTCCCTGGCTTCTCCAGATAGATTTGGTAAAGCAAGACCATGCTTGAAACCACAGAGAGCTGCTGCCGATCAGCGCAGACAATACTGAGCCAGATGGACCAAAGGTCTGATTCAATACAAGGCACCTTCCTATGTTCTTGTAAATAAAAGCAAAATATGTCCAGGTGAAAAGGGAACTGTAGGACTGGACTACAGAGTTGCGACTTCCCAACCAACCCCTGTAGCTATGCTTCAAAGGAACAGGCCCTCTTCTTTTAGGGATGCCCCCATGCATTGACCTTTCAGCACAGAAAAGAAATGTCAGCAATGGCGTTCTGGAAACTCACCCAGATTCTACACAGCTCCTGGCGCTTAGCACCCAGTTTTCTGCAATCAGGCTTCCTGCACAAATGGGATCTCCGCCCTTCAGGACAGTGGCTGCCCAAGGCCATTTCCCATTCTTTTGCAGATCTTTGCCACCCCAGTTGCTTTTGTGATCCTTCTGGGTGCCTGCATTGTCACCCATACCGTTAACAGACATCAACGACGGTTTCAACAAACAGAATCCCCTGGAATCTAAATGTGGGGGAGAGAACAGGTTTGTATCAAACAGAGTTCCTTTGGGTTCACAAACAACTGGTGTCTTTCATATTCTGCATATTCTGATCCTTTAAAAAAAACCAACAACTTGAATTCTAAATATTGAAAATAAGTAGGCAAAAGTACATATGAAGATGCCTTAGGCTGAGTAAAGCCCATCAAGCCAGTATGGTGGTGGCCTCCAGACATTGTTGGACTCCAATTCCCATCAGGCCTGCCAACATGGGTCAAGAGCAAGGGATGATGGGAGTTGTAGTCCAATAACATCTGGAGGGTGCCATATTGGCTTCCCCCAATATGGAGTATTGGTGTGGACACTTGCAGAGGTGACTTGAATTCTTTTTGAGGAGCACACTTAGAGTGGGCTTCCAATTCCACAGTTGCAAACGGCGGGATCAAATATGAATCAATGCCATATGATGGCGAGTGATTGACAGGTGTCCCATGGACAATGGAGGAGTTCTGGGTGGAGGGCGGCCCTGATTTAGAGTGTCTTCAGGGTCTCAGCCAGAAAGAGGTCTCTTTCCCTGCCAAACCTACCTCCTAGATCCATTTTTCATTTATTTTATTATTTTATTTATTACATTTGTATACCGCCCTATACTTGTGGGTCTCAGGGCAGCCCACAACACAAAGTTACAATATACAAAGCACAAAATATGTAATAAAAATAATAAAAATGTATTAAAAATAAAAATAATCAAAGCATAATAAAAACAATTAACAATACTAATGTTTACATGCTGGAGGTGTCAGAAACGGAACCTCAGCACTGTATATATCTGGTAATCAGGGAAGAGGAGAAATCAGCTGTCCAGGGTGCTGAAGCCCCGCCCTGGTGATCCTGCCAACTCCCACCTTCCCCGCCTAATATAGTCCATGACACAGCCTTGAGGACTAGATGCTTGAGAGATGCATGTGTAGGTTTTAAAAAATGAAAGGGGTGATTCTGTGCTGGTGCGGGGCTGCAGAACGCAGACAGGCATGGAAGTTTTTAACAGAACAGCTCAGAGGATTGTGGGCAGAGGATCTGGCCCCTCCTAGTCAAGTAGGTCTATCTACATTTCTGGCCTTTGGCAGACTACGTAAGAGTCTATTGCCTCCCTCCTTGGTAAATATATTGGCAGTGTTTGCATGCCGTGCTAGGACTGTAGCACCTCGTAACTGAATTCCATAATTCCATAATTCTGGTGTCACGTACAAAAAAGAGATCTGTGTGTATCTGACGGATTAAATCTGCTAGTGGGTTGGAGCAGAATAAGCAATGCTTGTTAAATAAGTAGAGAAAATCACAGAAGGAAGGAAGGAAGGAAGGAAGGAAGGAAGGAATTCAGTCTGGTTCTCTACAAGAGGATCATTCTCTGGTAAGTGCACAATCTCTTTAGAAATGCAGCCTGAAGAAATTAAGGAGAATATTTTTATTTTTATGACATTTATATCCCACCTTTTCTCCAAAGAGCTCAAGGTGGCATACTAACCTCTCGCCTTCAACATTTAATGCTGCCTTGTTTTCTTTTCAGTGAACTGTAAAAACCTCAAGAAGTCTTTCTTTGTTTGTTTGAGAGCGGGATAAAAATTATTTAAATCGAATAAATAAATAGTGTACTGTACTTTAGTGGCACAGCCCACCTTCAATATGTACGTTCTCTGCATCTACCAGGACTCCGGTTTCATTGTGAGTTTCTCGGTAGACACGCTTCATTTCCTGGGACACGTTGTTGGGGCTCAGTTTCGACGCTTGGGTGCTTCTGCGAAAACTTGGCGGCTCTGAGGTTCTGGATTTTGGGCCAGCCCTGGAAAAATAAATCAGGAGATGGCAGAAGAGGTTTTCCTGCCTAATCTCTGCTGGCCTGCCCTCGAAACTATGCACATTGTGGATAAAATTGTAGATTTGTGGTAGAGCTTCTACTCTGGATGCAGAAGGTTCCAGGTTCAATCTATGGCATGTCCTAAATCAGAACTTTATGGAGAATCATGTGGACTAGTGTCTCACTTTTAGTGAAAAACAAAGCCATTTTTGCAAGCCATTTCCCCATATGCACTTTCGTTTGTCACTTTCACTAATACATGCTTCTTTTTTTGGCACACATTTACTTGCTTTGCAAGCTGGCTTGCAAAATTTTGAGACATGCAAATTTCAAAGGTGATTGCATTTGTGTTCCCATCACATTTCAGGAAGTCTGGGTTCAGCAGATTCACCTTTAAGTGTAAACGGAACCAAATTTCCGCATCATCCTTCCTTTTGACTCAGTCATCCCCAGTCCCTTCTCTCTTTCCACTTGCACAACAGCAAACTGGTAGTGCTTTTTCCCTCCTTGGTTGGCAGCTTTAGAATCCAAGTCTGCTTATTTGACTGCTTATTTTATCCAGCTCCAGACAGACTCGGATTCAGCTGATGCACCAGTCACCCTTGTATCTTTAAAGATGGATTTTACTAAGTTGGCAACCCTAATAAGCAGAAACACTAGGGCCATCTTGTGTATTTGGCAGTCTAGTAAGGTCATGTTTGTTAGAGACATTTATGCTTGTGATATAATCACATACAGTGGTACCTCTGGTTACATATACTTCAGGTTACATACGCTTCAGGTTACAGACTCCGCTAACCCAGAAATAGTGCTTCAGGTTAAGAACTTTGCTTCAGGATGAGAACAGAAATTGTGCTCTGGCGGCACGGCAGCAGCAGGAGGCCCCATTAGCTAAAGTGGTGCTTCAGGTTAAGAACAGTTTCAGGTTAAGTACAGACCTCCGGAACGAATTAAGTACTTAACCCGAGGTAGCACTGTATAGTAATTTTAAAACATTTATCAAACCTCTTTATTTTATTCTGTCCTTTTAAAAGTTGTGCTTTTAACCCACCTGGACTGAAAACTTGTTAGTCCCTAGTCCCTATTGAGACCAAGTTGGAGAGTGTCAAACTTTCAAATACATTCCAAAATGTTTCCTCCTCCTGTGCCCTACTGGGGAGGGCAGGAGCACTGCAGAGACCTAAGGGCTCCTTTCATGGACACCCACCTAGCTAATATAGGAAGATCCTAAACTCTGCATTCATCGTATTTCAAGGGCAAATATAGACACATTTATTTTCTTTAGTTAACAGTGAACTGCAGGAGAAGCAGCTTAACCTACTTCAATTCCAGGGTGGGCGACCTTCGATATTGCAGGTTTAACACACCTTTAGCAAACGAGTTGTTGATCTGAAAGAGAGAGAGATGTGGGGATGAGAACCTCGTTTAAAACTATTTTATGTACTAAACAACACAAATCCAGTTAAAGTCCTTTCCAGGTACATGCAGTATTTTCCAAGTTTACATGTGATCAACGTCTGGGTCCCTGAGAGAAATACTATTTTCAGCTGACCTTCTACTGAGTTCGCATAGTGAGGCTAGAAAATCCCTGCTAGTTTGGTGATAAATGAAAAAAGCCTCCAGATATGATTGATTCTGTACACAACGTTCCACAAAACACATAATTTTGTTGTCTGAAGGACAAGGCATATGGCATGGATGGAAGTTAAACAAACAGGCTGTTGGATCTCAGTGCTGGCGAAGGGCCCAGCATCCTCCATCACACCATGAGAGCAGAAGGCTAATTTAAGGGAATGTAGAACAAGGTGCATAAATTTGCACACCGTTCTGTTATTCAACACCGAACTGCCACCCCTCAGCATCTACCACCTGAGGCAACCTCCTCGCTCCACCTATTGGAAGGGATGAAGGGGAAGCAGTCAGAAAAGTCTAAAACCATCTCCGACAGAAAGAGAAAAAAGGGTGACCGAAGGGGTCACAGAAAGAGAAAGAGTGAAAGGGGTGTCAGATGGAAGGAGACAGTTATGTAGAGAGAAAAGGGGGTGTCAGAGAGGGAGAGAAGGGGGATCAGAAAGAATTATACACAGAGAAAAAGGGGTGTTAGAGAGAAGGTGTCTCAGGAAGGGCAAGAGAGAAAGGGATGTCAGAAATGAGGGAGGGAAAGAGAAAGAGAGAGAAGGGGTGCCCAGGTTTTGTCTCTGAGCCCACCCAAACTGGCTATGAGCCACTGCCACCATCATGGGCGTAGCCAGGACTTATGTTAGGGGGGCAGAACCGAGCTATGTGAGATGTGATTGGTTTTTTTATTTATTTACTTGATGGAGGAGTGCAGCTGCCTCCTTGCCCCCCTGGCTAGACCCATGGCTGGCATGCAGCTCTTGACAGCTTACCACGCTGTCCTCAACTGGGGGTAGGAAATCAAAGTTCTCCACCGCTAGTTCAAAAGGTGGGGCGGCCCTTCTGGGCTGCTACGGTCTGGTAACTCCTTCACGAGGCCCAGTCAGGCAGCCCTGTTGAGCTACAGCTCCTCCCTATGACTTCCTGAGGCCTACCCTGTCTCTTGTTTTCAGGCAGGGCCTGGGATTGCGCACTGAATGTTCTCCTGGAAGAGGCGGCCTGCCAGAGAGCAGGGGTTTTGAACCCTGGCAAACTCGGGTGACCGCCACCCCTTGGCACGCAAACCTCTGCTCTCGCCTAACCTGTTCCAAACAGGGACCTTTGGACCCTCCCCAAGGCTGTTCCTGATTTAGGTGAGCGTGTCAGAGGAGTTGACAATGCTAGGGGAGAAAGAGCAGCAAAGGAGGCAAACTTTCGTACAGACACCCCTGCGATGGGTTTTCATGTTGTGAAAGAGCAGCTGAAAATGCAGGCCGGGAGCCACATTCTGAAATGGCCTGGCTTAACCCTCGTCTCCATGGCAGCCAGCTGGGAGCATGACCACAAGCCAAGGAGGATGGGCGGCTCCTGCACTTCTGCTTGGAGCGAGGAGACCTCTGAGGCTCGCGTGCATCCCTTATCTGGTTCAGTTCCGATATGCAGAACTGGCTCTATTACAAGTGCCACATAATACCTGTTCCACATTTGTCAGTCTTTAATTGTGGCGGCACCTGAACTTTGGAACTCCCTGCCTCTTGATCCCAGGCAGACGGATCCTTCGCTGTACTCATTTCGGTGCCTGTTTTGTTTAGGCAGGCCTACCCAGATACAGTGGTACCTCGGGTTACATACGCTTCAGGCTACAAACGCTTCAGGCTACAGACTCCGCTAACCCAGAAATAGTACCTCGGGTTAAGAACTTTGCTTCAGGATGAGAACAGAAATCGTGCTCCAGCGGCGCGGCGGCAGCGGGAGGTCCCATTAGCTAAAGTGGTGCTTCAGGTTAAGAACAGTTTCAGGTTAAGAACGGACCTCCAGAACGAATTAAGTTCTTAACCTGAGGTACCACTGTATCTAGAATGCCAACATGTTCTTAGTCTATTACTGGTTTTAGTTTTCTGAATGTTTTGGTTTTTTATTAGTAATTTTATTTATTTATTCTTTTTTGCAAACCGCGTTGAGGTTTTTACATACCGATTTCATAAATCCTAGGAAATAAAGAACAATCTATTGACAGCGTTCGTGCCCCACCCATTAAGTTGAAAAGGTCTGGCATGAATCAGTTCTAAGGCAGTCCCTGCCTGCAGGTTCACAATCTGAAAAAGGCAGGGCACGTGAGGGAAAAAGGAACAGGAGGGCGAAGGAGGAAAGCAAGCGCAAAATAAGTTCTTAAAGTTACGGCCAATGTCAGTGGAAGTTATAGTTCTCTTGGTCTTGGAATCTTCTTCCACACAACCATCAAAGGCGGAGGAGCTCTGCCATCCTTGGCATATGGCAAGCTCATCAATGGACAGCGGCTAAGGTGGCAGAAACACCAAGATAATAAGGCCTTACCCTTCTTGTCCTGTACATTAAAGGGAGGGGCAGTGGCTGCAATTACTCTCTGTTGAGGAAAAGGGCACTCCACATATGCTCAGGGGCACTGCATCTCATCCTCTCTAGACCAGCAAACTTGGGGAGGCACCTTCTCTCACGTCAGCCCACCCTCACCTATGTGAGTGGTTAGAGCAGAGGGGCAGAACCTTTGGCTTGCAACTCCCATCGGCCCCAGCACCAGGAATGCCAGTGGTCAAGGGAGTTCTTGGGAAGTTCATTCCGAAAACAAACTAGTTATTGTTCTAGTCTATCAGGTCCCACAAGGATACTAATTCCTGCTCACATCTGTCCCTTTACAAAGCAAGCTATTTATTTCCTTTTAAAAAATGATAATAATGAGATGGTAATTTATCCTCTTACTCCTTTCTTTGGGCTCTAAAGAAAGGAAAGGAAAGGAAATCACAGTGGAATTAAAGCACCTGCACTTAGTCTTTATATAAGGTATTACATGTGTAAAGATGGCATTTCGTCGCCAGGAGCAGAATAATCCAAATTAATTATAAGCCTGCCAGCTTCTGAGGAAGGCTGTATCTCAGGCATGACCAACTGAGGGGTGGGGAGAGGCTGCCTCCTGCAAGCACGATTATGCAAGACTTTCCTGCATCTGCGGTAGAGGCATACATATTTGGTCTCTGTGTCTTGTTCCAGCCCTCCTACTCCTTGAGAAGGTACTGGGAGCTTATCTGCCAAGCCCTCCAGATTGGTAGTGCTGTTGCTGAATGCCAGATTGGTTCATAATAAGGCCATGCTCGCCCATGAAGCGGCTGGTCTGGCTTATAGAATCATAGAATTGCAGAGCCGGAAGGGACCCTGAGGGTCATCTAGTCCAACCCTCTGCAATGCAGGAATTGCAGCTCAAGAATCTCTGACAGGTGGCCATCCAACCTCTGTTTAAGAACCTTCAGTGAAGGAGTGTTCCGCTGTCAAACAGCTCTTACCACCAGAAAGTTCTTCCAAATCTTTAGTTGGAATCTCCTTTCTTCTCACTTGAAGCCATTGGTTTGGGTTCTACCCTCTGGAGCAGCAGAAAACAAGCACACATAGGCCCTGGTACAGTGTGCCACTCTAATATGGCCTTGTAATCCTAGTGTATGGTTGCCATATTTCAAAAAGTAAAAGACCAGGGCACCCCGGAAGTTGTTGAGCCTTTCATAGACAAACCCCCAAGTTGTTGAGGTTTGCCAAAGAAATGCGATTTTTCTATTGACTTGCCTAAGATCCAGGACAAAGCGCTGCCTTTTGAAAAAATCCCCCCTGGACTTCAATTCCACCTTTGAAATCTGGACGTATGGCAGCCCTATTGTAAATATGAGCTTTTTCTGTTCTTTGCTACAGTGGATCATGACAAACATTAAGGTTGGCATAACTTAACATGAGTAAAGATTCCCATTATGAACTTTTTTGACCCTGGTACCAGCCTTATCTCCAGCATGCCCTGAGCTCATAATATTTTATGTAAAGATCAGCATATGTAACCTGGTGACCAGCAAAGTTTAATCTACACCTCCTGTAAAAGAATGGTTCCCATCTAGATAATGCTAAAATAACTTTAAGACAGGAAACAAACAAGGAAATCTACTTTAGTCATTGCTCACTATGGTTATATTTTTTCAACATTCAGTTAAGCAAAATAAACAAAATGGGAAATAGGCAGCAAATTCAAAGAAGAGACAATAGAACAATATAAATACTGGAATTAGAAGAATTGCTCATTTCAGAGTCCTCCTCCCTTCTCCATTAGAATGCAGTGAAGCATTTCTTCCCTTGACATTAGTGTGGGTCCTGTGGCAAAACTGTAACACTCACTTTCTTTAGGCTTTAGAGAACAGGGATTCTGTTACTCTTCAGAGCAAGGTGTTTATGTACTGTAGTATTTGCTGCCTGCTTAAATTGTAATTTGGCTATCCGAAGCAGCATTTATATACTCCGTCACTTTCATTTCATGTAATAAAGCAATTTTTCTTTATTTCTTTTGCATGAAAACTTTTTCTGGGCATAAGGTTAAGGGGCAGACACATATTCGTAACGAGCGCACGTCATATTTCTAGCAAAAGATTCCAAACCTCTTGGTAGTGTGTGTATAACTACACACACACACACGTGCATTCAGTCACATACACTATATGTAACACTCGCATAAACCAAACATCCTCATTTGGCCTCTGCCTTTCACCTTCCGCTTTTGCTCTCTTGTATACCTTGCCTCCTCAAGGTTTTTTGGACCTGGGTTAGGCTGTTTTGCATAAGAGGCTATTCCCCTTCCTTCTCCCTAGGGAAGCGCTCACCTGTAGCCTAATAATAGGAAATGGAAATCTCAGTTTAGCATCATCGTGAGTTAGGATCGGGTGGCCACTGCAGTGAATTAGCAGAACAGTTCGTTGCAACATTAAAAGCGTGTCAATTCATGAAACAGAACAGGCACCGCAAGTAATTTTGCCTGAGGCAATGATGTCACAGGGGGAATAGCAGAGCTCTACAGAGCAGCAGCAATGACATCATCTGTCAGAACACATATGGAATTGACAGGCTCCCTTTGCTCTGGAAAGGGAACCCGGCAATAACAAGCCTTTAAAATTTCTCTCTGGCAGATTTGCCTAGGCCCTTAGCTAGCCTTTGCCAAGTTAGTGCTCTCCTGATGTTGGCCCACATTTATCATCAGCCCTCGTCTTGCTTTAATTTATTGTATGTAAGCTGCTCCAGGAGCATTCTTGGTTGAAGAGCTGAGTACAAAGGCTCTTTTTAAACTAAATAATAAATAAATAAATATAAATATGCAAACTTCCCAAAGCATAGCACAAGGCTGCACACAGGCCTGTTTTTCAAGAAGCATGTTTTTCAAGAAGGAGTTTTGCAGACTGCAGATCTTTGCAGTGGAATAGAACAAATGCTTGCAACTCAGCCTCAGTGAAATTTTCACTGCCCCACCATTGGTTTCTGGTTTGGAGTGAAACATGAGCGATGCTGCTTTGGAATCAGGGGCCACAAATATTCTTGGGCCTGCCGTCTGAAGATTGTGAAATAAGATGAAAGGTGAGATCTGCGGGCATGTGCAGAGTGCCTTTCGCAAATTCCTCAACCCACCAGGTCAGATCAGAGCCTATGACTCCAAGGCCGGCTGGCTGCTGCCCCATGTGGTCAGTTGTATCACTGCAGCTTCTTACTGAAGAACCCCACCCCTCCAACCCCCCGCCCAGGCTAGTGGTTGGCTCCACCCACAGAAGCTTGAAAGATTAAATGTGGGTTTTCTGTCATCAGTGAAGCTTTGCTTGGGTAACGTGACCCAACGTGTGCTGTGTTTCTAGTTTTACTGGTTGCTCCAGACTCTCGGCTCGTTCTCAGTCCTGACTTTTGGTGTGTGCTCTGATTTCGATTGCTGTTTGGCGCTCAGTGCTGGTTCCCAGCTCCTTACTTGCTGCAAGCTGGTGCTCACGACCTCCCCTTTGTACACCCAATGGCCTCTCTAAAGGTAAAGGGACCCCTGACCATTAGGTCCAGTCGTGACCGACTCTGGGGTTGCGGCGCTCATCTCGCTTTCTTGGCCGAGGGAGCCGGCATACAGCTTCCGGGTCATGTGGCCAGCATGACTAAGCCGCTTCTGGCGAACCAGAGCAGCACACGGAAACGCCGTTTACCTTCCCGCCGGAGCAGTACCTACTTGCACTTTGACGTGCTTTCGATCTGCTAGGTTGGCAGGAGCAGGGACCGAGCAATGGGAGCTCACCCCGTCACGGGGATTCAAACTGCCGACTTTCTGATCAGCAAGTCC